CCTAAGCTATAATATAACCTAGGCGGAGTATATAAAGAACTTTTAGACCTTATATTAAGACTTAGAGGTAAATAATAAGAGGATATTTCTTAATAAGTCTTTTTATATTATACTATAAATACTTAAGAATAAGCTAAAAAAGGTTATTATAATTACTTATTATGAGATTATATTTTATAGGAAGTACCTAAAGCTAAATTCTAAATTCCTTTATTTTATACCTTTCTTTTTAGGTAATTATAAAAAGGTAATTAAATATAATACTAAGTAGGGATTTAATAGCCTTTAAAGGTAGCGAAAGGCCTATTATAAATAAAGATTTTATATAGGCTTTATTTTTTATATATATAATAAATATTTTATATTATTTATCTAGGACTAATAAGAGAATAACCTTTATTACTTTAATTCTTTTATAATTAATTAAATAATTAAAGTAAAGAATATAGGCCTTACTTAGTAAGAGTATCTCGCTAAGGTAAGGTAGCCCTATGAATTTAACCTCTATATAATTCCCTTAATATTATAATAAAGAGGTTAAGAATACGGCCTTATTAATATATTTACCCTCTTTTAAACCTTTTAAGGTTTAAGAAGACTAATATATATTAAGCTTAAAATAATTTATTTCCCTAAGACCTTAAAAATTAATAAAAAAGAGGATATACCCTTAGTTATATTTAATCTATTAATATAGGACTAGGTACTTAATAGCTAGACTATAGACGCAAAGTCTAAAAATACCTCTTATAATAATAATCTAAATAGCCTTAAGGGGATTTACTAAATTATTATTATAGATAAGCTTAGGATTAGGGATAAGCATTTCGAGAAGTAAGTCTCTTATACCTAGGTCAAGCTATAAGAATTTTCCTATATAGATTTAATTAATTATACCTCTCTCGATTTTATTAATTAGGTCCTAAAATATTAGCTTTATATTAACTTAGGAGGATATATAATTGCGGATATTAAGGATATTAGTTATATTAGTAATTAGTAGACTTATCGCTTAATTATGCCCTTTATGATTAAGGATAATAAACAGGCTAAGGTCCTTTTAAGAGCTAGGCCTTTTATATCCCTATGAATAAGAGTTACCCTCTTAACCCTTCCTTAGGATATAATTAAATAATATACTAATAATAAGATTAAGGTTAAGGATAATATATTAATTTATATAGATAGGGAAATAATATTAGACTCTAATAATTCTAAGAAGAAAAAAAAGCTAATTATAAAGCTAATTAGTCTTATTTTAAAGAATAATAAGGATAAGTTTATAATTCTTATGCCTCCTTAAAAGAAAGATTAGCCTAAGACCTTATTAAAGCCCTTAGCTAATTTATTATTAAATACTCTAAAGCGCGGCTAGCCTTTATCCCTTAGTAAATTAGAATTTTAGCTATCTAAGCCCTTAGCCTCTTCTAAAGATAGCATAAATAAAAATAAAAAGAAGACTCTAGCTAGATTATTTAATTAAATAATAGATATAAGTTATTAAGGTAAGACCTAAGATAAGCGCCTATATATTATGGAAAAGGGTCTATAGATTTAAGGTATTAAAGACTTTAATTATTTAAATTATAAGAGCGATAAGGTCTTAGTATTAAAGAGAAAGTTTATTAGACCTAGTATATAGGCTATATTATATAACCCTAGAGAGAAAGGCTAGCTTAGGGAGGTAAGGAATTAGCCTATATAATAATTATTAATTAGAAATTATATAATATACCTTCCTATTAGAATAATAAGATTATCTTAATAGGATAAGATTTTAGTTATAGCGATATAGTTATAAATACTTATAATAATATTAAGAGAGAATAAGAATAAGAGAATAAGGAAGTACTAAAAGAGCCGAGATAGCTAATTAGATAAATAGTCTTATTTAGGAGATAATCTAATATATTAGAGGGAATTAATAGCCTTTAAGGAAAAAATTAATAAGGTTTTAATAAGGCTTCTTAGGAGCTATAAGGATAGGTATTAAAGCCTTATAGGGAGCTATAAGTTAGGGGAAAAGCATATTAAGCTAATTTAGGCTATTAAGTAATTTCTTATATATAGAAAAGGGAGGTAGAGGCTATAGAGCCTTGCCTTTAATATTACTTTTAGGAACCTCGAGGAGAAGACTTTTAGGCTCCTTCGTAGGTTATATCTTTATTATTATAAATTAATTAATTACTCTTATTATTTTATACTAAATTTACCTTATAAGAAAATATATAAGATCTCTCTTTTAAAAAGACCTTAAAAAGAATATATAAATATTTCCTCCCTTAGCCTATATAGTTTAATATATTCTATTTCTCTAATAAAATATTCTAGGTAATATATATAAGGAATTTTACTTAGATTTATTTTCTAGAAATACTTAAGAGTATTATATATAAACTTTAAGAGTATAAAGGTATAAATAACTAAGAGAGATATTATTAAAAGCTTTATAATAGATAAATAAATAAAAAATATAAAAATATAAAAGAAAATTAAAAAATTAGAAGTAATTTAAGAAAATAAGATTAATAAGAATTATAAAACCTATAATAATATTATTATAATAAGTAATAAAAATATTATTATAAAAAAAAGAAAAAAAAAAGATTATTATAAAATAAAAAACTCTAATTATAATAATAATAGCTATATTTAAGCTATTAATATTAAATAATTAATAACGCGAAGTAATTACTAAATTAATAATAATTAATTAATTATAAAAAAAAATAATAAATTTATAATAAAGATTATAATTATTATAAAAGATAAAATATAAAAGATATAATAAATAATTAATAATATATTATAAAGACTTATTAAAGCTTAAGATTATTAAAAGATTATTATATTTAAATATCTTTAGTATTAAATAAAGAGATAAAATAATTAGCTAAATAAGCTTAAGGGATTAAGCTCCCTAGAGAGGGGGTAATTATAAGAGTATTTAAGTTATATTAATTATTATTAGTAAATTAGAGAATCCTTAGATTATTATATAGGTTTTAGACTATATAAAACTCTTTTTATTAGAGGCTTATAAAGGCTTTATAATAAATTAAAGTTATATTAATATATTAAACTTACTTTTTTATTTTTAATATTATCCTAATTATATTTATTAGGCCTATATCTTTATAATAGTAAATTCCTTTTTATAAAATTTTTTTTTATTTAGCTTATTATATAAAAATTATATTTTATATTAAATTATTATAATTTAAGATTATTTATAATTTAAGATTATTATAATTTAATACCTTTTATAATTTATTAAAAATTATAAATATATATATATATATTTCTTATATATTAAATAAAATACTTAATTACCTTAATTATTAATAATATTTAATTACCTTAATTTATAATAGATATATTACTAAATATAACCTTTTTTACTTAGATTTATATATTACTTTTACTTATTAATAATAAACCCTTGGTTTATTTATAGTTAGAACCTAATTATTATATAAAGGGGTAATTAGAGCTAATAGGAGCTAATAGGGTACTAAGAGGGGCTAATAAATAGCTAATCTAAAGCTAAGCTAATAAGTAAAAAGGCCCTAAAAGCAGTGATCTATAGTAGGGCATATATTACTTAAGTTTTATCTTATAATACTAAAGGAATTTCTCTAGTATTATTAGTATTAGATAAAGCAAGTTACATAATGCTTATAGAGCAGTATGCACAGCTGGAAGCGCGCAGGCAAAGAATCCTAGAGCTTAAGACTATCGAGGAGGAGCAAGCAGCACTATGAGCACGACTAAGTAAGATGCAAGGAGGAAATGGAACAGAGTAACTTTTCAACACGATTAAGGAAGCTAGCTAGTCGAATCAATTATTACCTACGGGCCCAAAAAGATGTATGCCCGGTATAGGGTTGGTCACTCCGGGATTCACCGCAAGGCAGCCAAGCTTGACATGTGTGGCAAACAGCTCATAGTTGTCAGGGCTCTGCAAGCTAGAGTTGCGGTCCAAGGCAAGAATCCTAGGGAGTCCAGGCTCTGCATCTAGAGACATGTTTCCAGGTATCCCGGACTTACGCAGGGTCGAGTGGACCGTCTTTTGAATGACGGTGGATGCTCGGGAGGGAAACCAACCCCAGGCGTCGGGCCTATCGTAGACATAACACCTCTTGGGTAAGACTGAGAGGTCAAAGAATGGGTCGCAGTAGCCAATCTGGAGTGATGGCTCTCTCAGGTAGGCCATGAGAATTCTATCATTGGAGACACAGTCCCTGTAGTACTCGCGACAGAACTCGTGGATGCGGGAAGAGTCGTTTCGGCATTTTTCTGCCGTGTCGGAAAAGATCTTGGCGACATGTTGACGGATCGGCACGTCTGCGAAGCCGAAAGCCTCCTCCATCCTCCAAGAAGGGCCGTTGAGTGCCGCTTCTTGGGCAGCGAGAGACATTTGAACGCAGTGGGAGAGTGACTCTCGCATCCTGGGAACTCTCCCCCCCTTGCAGTTCTCCCGGCGAATCCACCGTCGGTCCCGGAGATACTTTGCACGCACGCTCCCGGCAGCTTCACCGTTGACATTGAACTTGACGGTGTTGGACTGGTAGGGGATGAAGCCTGCGATGTGGCGCCCCTTGATCTGACCAAAGGGCAAAGCACCCAGTAGCTGGATTGTATGTTCACCACCGCCCGTGAGATCGTAGTTTTGAGCAACGTCAAACTTGACCCTGATCGTTTTGCCGCTGGGGATGGTGGTGAAATGCTTCCTCTTGAGCCTTGTGTAGTCGATTTTCGGCACTATGCCCAAGAAGGCCACGCGTTTTCCTGCTCAAAGTTAGTACAACAGGACAGAGTGCAAAAGACCATTCACGAACCTCTGGTAAAGATTTCGGCTCTCTTGACAGGAGCCCCCCTGTGAAGAAAGGTGGCATAGTTGAGCACCTTTATGCTTTCCACGTTGTGATTGTATATCGTGGCCTCGAAGTCGAACCCGCCCTCGCGAACTCTTTTCAAGACGATATCCAAAGGAATCGGGTACGCGACTTCCACTTTTCCTTTTGCGCCTCCTTTTTTCTCAGCAGCTGTTGCCCACGACGCCAGGGCAGTCAGCGCCGTGAGGAAGAAGGTGGCTCTCATTGTTGGGAGAATGCCCTGCGTGAAAAGCTGGTAAAGAGAGGCCAATGTTCATAAAACAGCCACGGCAGAGCAAGCCGAGACTTAGACCCCCTTGGACAATCACAAGAGGTGAACAGTAAACGTGAGTAAAAGGGGAGAAAGGGTGAAGCGCCAAAGGAGCAGAACACCACGCTGTGGTACTGGGAACGGCACCGGTTTATCTAGTTTCCCAAGAGTGGAACTGCCGAGACGACACAAGTACAGCTGAGCTCGTTAAAGACAGATCGCCACTTCCCACTCCGTCTATGATGCTTCCACGGTAAGCACAATTGGTGGTTCGGACCTCACCCTGCAGAGGAGGAATTTTAAGTTGATTGGGTCTGCTGTGTGAAGCAAACGAGTGGAGGCTATGATGTAGCTCATGACGCTCTTGACTTGCGCAGAGTTAAACCCGCAAGTCTATGCCTGGTTGAAGGCATGTGTCAGTTAGAAAACATTCCCAACATGGCACAATGTCGGGTTGATTAGCGACTGAGCTTTACGCGAGGGTCAGACGAATCTCATCCCCCCTCAGGTTCCTTGCCGTACGACGTTCCTTGTTTGCTCGGGTAACCGTTCTGCAGTACCGTTTCTCGATTTTTTTTCTGCATGGGTATTTTTGAAACTTGAAGTGAAAAAGAGAATCGGACTCTACCGTCTCCATGCTTGTGTATGGGATTTCGCATCGACGGAGCGTTGACTTAAGTATCTGGAGCTCAACACTACCTTTCCCGCCAACCTCCACCTACTAGGTCTCATCGACTGTCTTGAGCGCATTTTTTATGCACAGGATGCCATGGCTTGGCCTTTGGCAAGCTTCAGCCCGAAAAAAGAAATGTGGCTTCCACAGATACTCCGCAACCGGAACGCCAAACTACAAGCACAGCCGAGAGCGACAGCCACGCCCCAGGACAAGATCTCGAAAGCTCGACCGAGAAAAATATGGCAGAAGCTCTAGAAATCGCAAAGGGACCCTTAAAGATTCAATTAAGGAGAATGTGCAACGTATCTTGAGGTCATGGGGAATACTGGAGTCTTGATTGGATCTGAGTGACGAGCACTGATTGCCTTGGCGGGGCATCGGCGACAACTTATCCATAAGCTGAGCACTCCGCATTATGTTGTGAAAGCACTTTGGTGACAAGTGCAAGGCATCATAGCCCAATCATCACTTGGAAAGAGTCGATGAACTGCTCATCACTGCGTCTTGGCGCCCTTGAGAAGATGTAGTCGTGACGTTGAAGGCTGGCCAACAATTGACGACACACGACGAGAATCCGGCTTGTCGCATAAGTAGGGCCGGTATTTTGACGGCCACCTTTCACTATCTCTAGTGTCGCAGCTTAGCCCTAGCCGAATTTTTCCTTCTACACAAATCGAATGTTCGAGAAGCTAAATGGAGCTGGTAGGTAGATGTGCAGTCGAAGAGAAATTAGGATGGCGTAACGCAAGGGCTTGGGAGTTGAACACAAGTATCTAGTTACAATAAGCACCTCGGCCTCCACCAGACCACTCGAGCATCGCAAACCTATGCTGAGTATCCCTTTTCGAGGCGATGTAATGACAGATAGGAGCTGAACTAGTAGATTGCTGTGCATCAAATATGGGCTAGCATATATGCATCGCACGAGTTCTTTCAGCGGCTGATCAAGCATTTTATATCCGTCACTGCGCGGTAGTATCCGTCCCGGAAGCTCGGAAACGTGCCGAGGAAAATGCCCGGCCACGGTCTCCATTTCCGACCGTGTTCCGGGAAACGTCTGCCGAGGCCGGCTCCGAAAGCGGGTCCCATCAAGATGAACGAAGATCTCAGGGAATGTTGGGAATATTCTCCTGTCGATAGATGGGCTACGGGCTTCTTATTCTGTCCATGATCTATCGTGACAACTTGTTTGAGCCCTCAAGCTTTCTCTGCGTCAAGTCTATCCACAATCGCCCTGTGTTCCCACGAGAACGCCCCTGGTCTCTGTCCACAACCAAACGACAATGATACACCAATCTTGACGATCCAATTCGCAGAAATGACGCAAGGCAGCCGAAATGCCGAGGTTTCGAGAGCCGAACGTGCTCTTCATGACCAATACAACCTCCTCCCTCGGTCCCAGCTAGTGTCCTGCTTAGGAATACTCTCCTTCTGTATGCTGATCAGTTTCATCGACCAGAACGGAATTAGCATTACTCAGCCCACGATCGCCAAAGATCTCGATGCGTCGGCAACAATCTCTTGGGCGGGCACTTCGTCGTTAATCGCGAATACCACCTTCCAAATGCTATATGGTCGTCTATCCGACATCTTTGGACGAAAGGCAGTGTTTCTTGGGGCCGTTGCCTTGCTAGCCATTGCAGACCTGATATGTGGTCTGTCAAAAAGTCCTGCCATGTTCTACGTCTTTCGGGGTGTGTCTGGCATCGGGAGCGGCGGCATCGCCAACATCGCCATGATCATCGTCAGCGACGTCGTCACTCTTGAGGAAAGAGGCAAATATCAAGGGATCTTTGGCACCATGGTAGGTCTAGGAAACCTGATAGGACCATTTCTTGCCGCTGCTTTTATTAAGCGTTCAACTTGGAGAGCCTTCTTTTACATGCTGGCACCCCTTGGTGCCATTGCAGGGGTGGTTTCATATTTGTTTCTGCCAAACAAGCCACCTACAGCGACCCTTAAGGAGAGTGCAGCGAGGATTGACTATGGAGGTTCCTTTACAATATCACTAGGGATCATACTTCTACTCATCCCGATATCTGGAGGTAATTGGCGACCCTTTCATGTCCCTTTCTTAGGAACTATTATTGACCTCAAACCTTTTATAGGCGGTGCCTACTTTGACTGGAACTCGCCAATGGTGATAAGCATGCTTGCAATTGGATCCTTTTCTTGTCTTCTATTTCTGGTCATAGAATGGAAGATTGCCAAGCTACCAATGATGCCTGGTAAGTTCTTTCATGTTTGAGTAGGTATAATTATACTAACATCGACAGTGACAATATTCGCCAACAAGGAGGTTGTGATCTTATTGATCCACTCCTTTCTCTTCGGCGCCGTGTATCAGTCGTGCATTTACTATCTCCCCCTCTACCTACTAAACGCACGGCAATTTGAAGTCCTCGAGGCGGCAGCAATATCAACTGCCTTGTTCACCTTTCAAGCTGTATTTTCCACACTTAGTGGTCTATACATATCTCATTTCAATCGATATGGCGAGGTGATCTGGTTTGGGTTCGCCACATGGACACTGTAAGTTATCTTGGCGGGTAATACTATTTATCATCATGCTAACCTTAAGTTTCCTTTCAGTGGAGCTGGTCTTTGTCTGACCTTTGACCGCAATACATCACCCGGAGCCATAATTGGGCCTTTGATGGTGATTGGCGTCGGAGTGGGTTGCATCTTCCAACCGACGTTGGTGGCGCTCCAAGCCCATTCACCCAAATCTCGACGAGCTGTCATTATATCGAACCGTAATTTCTTTCGATGCTGTGGTGGTGCTGTTGGGCTAGCAATCTCAGCAGCTATTCTCCAAGCAGCTCTTCGATCCAAGTTACCAGCAGAATACGCGTACCTGGCAGACAGCACGTATGCGCTCCCGACCGACCTGGAGCAAGGGCCCCTTACAGAAAGAGTGTATGATGCTTATATGCATGCGAGCCACTCTGTGTTCTTGATGCAGTTTCCAATGATAGGGGTATCCTTGATTGGTTGCTTATTTATCAAGGATCAGGGCTTGGAAGGAAGAGAAGAGACTAGCACTAGCGAGGAGGAGCCTCAAGGGACGATGTTGGGATCGCAAGATAATGCATCAAAAGTCCCGTAGCACACGCAGCATGATTCTCTCTATTTTGTCAAGTATAAATTGTATGCACAATCACCAAGGCTTGATGTGGGTGATTGGCTGATTAGATCTGCAGGAGCTGTCATTGAGACGCTGTGAGAAGCCGTGTTTCGTGATGGGCAGTTTGATGACACGACATCCTCTCTACATCGGTAGAATGTTGCTGTGAACTATGTGGCATGTGCATGAGAGAAAATAGACTGCCGGTGGAGAGAGTGGAGGTGTTATTAGAGGCGCCGATATTGATGATAGGGCACTCGCTTGATAATTAGAGTAGTCAAAGAAGCCACAAGAATTCTCAACTATATCATCTTCTATCTCTTGGTGTTGATGGCCAAGCTTGGGGCACCAAACAAGACAATATGCACCAAAGCATGGTTTGCAATTCGAGTACAAGGATGTCATCCTGATCCTTCTGATGAGTAATAATCGTGCAACTTGCGACGCTGGCATCATCCCTTTTGAACAACAAATAATTATCCCATCAACGCTCAACACCCGAACATAGAGGTTAAAAAAATTGGCCAGTATCAAACTGTGGTGACGATTTTCTAGCAATGGCTCGCAAACCTCGAAGGCTTTTGGTGCCCTTCCTCTTTGCGTTAATCCCCGCCATCACCAACGTTGATGCGAATTACTGGCCAGAATGGACTCGTCGAGATCCCTGCCCAGCCAAGATCAACGCCGTGATCCCCGTGGGCTCACCATTCGGCAATCACGAGACTGTGCATGAAGCTATGAAAACGTGCACAAACATCACCGAGCTATCCATCTATACTGGTTTCTTCGGATGCACCGGATTCCCGGACCGCTACAGCCTGCCCTTTGCGCTTGACGGCAGTGATCGCTATCTCTCAGCTCCTCGGGTCTTGACACTAGACGCCTACGAGTTTGATGACATAGAGTGGCAAAAAGTTCTCCCTCCAAGGCCGCATTGGTCGAACGACGACGGAAGCTGGCCTTCCTCGTCTTCACCCAACCCCATCATCGCGATGACTGTTGAGCTATACTATCACACCCGCTGGTTCCTCGATCATCTATCTTATCCTCTGACGGGAATGTTCCGCGATTACGAATGGTGGAGCTGGTGGAGCTCCGGCAAGGCAGCCAAGTGGTACAGATGGAGAAGGCTACCAGTCGAGTACCGATCAAAAGACAACATGGAGCTATGGCTTGAAGCCATGGACTTTTCCCATGTCCATACTCTTTCCATCAAGCAACATAACACTCCCAAGCCAAAAGGAGACGCCCTTTTTCGTCGTTTACCACAAGCACTCACCAGTCTTCGCTCGCTCACCATCGGCGGTCGATGGGTGGATTGGAAGACTGAGTTAGAGAGGTGGGAGGCCGAACCTGGACCCCTCCCAAAACAAAAATTGAAGTCACCGAGGGCGCCCCGTGCTCTTGAGTTTACCATGGCTTTACCGGCCTCGTCTTTGACCAATTTTACTTGGATCGAAAGTGCAACCGTCGATGCAGACGTCTTCGACGCTGTGCTTCGACACCATGGGCCATCACTGAGACAGCTGAAGTGGATCAATGCAGAGGTTGAGAGAGATCCAAGGCCTACTTTGTCAACAGAACAGCTGAAAAATCTGGGGGAATGGGCCCCTGAGCTGGCAGACCTAACAATAGACTTGGACCGCGAGCAGGAGGACTGGCCGAGGGAAAAGCTCAATGCGTTAGGGAAAAGCTTGCCCAGGCTAAAGAACCTGACACTCTACCTCAACTTGGAAGCCGTCAATGTCAAAAACGAGACGATGCACCCTACCACTCGCTACGACTTTCCGTTCGCGCCACAGTCTCTGGCACGGCCTCTGTTGGACGCCAACGGAGCACGCGACATGTTTCTGTTACTCCAAGAATCCCAGCCTGGGGATGAACTAGAGACTGTCTTGTTCAGAGAGGGAGACTGGGATGGCCAAGACGATTTAGCCATGCGCTCCTACGACCTTTGGTCGGAAGGTCTGCGTAACTGGGCAAGGTGCACCATCCTGGGAGAAGACGGAGACCGACTCAAAGATGGCCCGAGATGCTACGCCGAGTACAACATCGAGTACGAGAAATTCAAAGAAGGTCGACAGGGGGAGGACTTATACTAAAATAGCATTCGTGTTTGTTGGCCGAAGGATTGTGGCTCTGTCTGAGTCTCCGAGGTGGCCGACTCAATTTACCACCCATGCAACGTTCCAGTACTATTGGGATGTGACAATACTTATCCCAAAGACAGAGTACTCTGCACAATACAGAACGGCTCTCAGACCAATGCTAATAATTCATTCAAAGGTGCATGGTGTAGTAAGCGATAGAATCCTTTCATTGGCATTCGCCTTCAACATGACATGTTCTGCCTCCCTTTCCGTCCCAATACCTCTCATACAGCCACATGTGTCTCAGCTATGCAACGAGCTATGTTTAATCCAACCAAGTATATCCCTCGCCCTCCTGCAGGAACACTTTGAAGTCAGACACGAGATCAACTGACACTGACCGATCTCGCAAAAACTGATCGTCTGAGTAAGGTGGGATGGAGCAAAGTGGCAGAGGCATAAGTGGAGTTTTGGTTAATAATCTGGCAAAAATGATCTCGTTGCCGCACGTGTACTGTATATCATGAGGAAGTGTCCACGGATTCATTTTCTTTCCGTGGCTTGGTACTTGGCAGGATCCTTTGCGCAGCTGATCAGCTTACTCCTCGTATAGACAATCCTAGCCATGACCTTGATCACACAATCCAAGCTAGACATCCTCTAGCTTTCGACTTGCAAGTCGAGGCCTCCGAGCACTATTCTAGTCTTCAATATCCCAACAAATCAATAACTGTAACTCGAGTTTCACAATGGACGGTTCAAGAAGTGCGGCCAGCCCTATCGCCCGAAGCCGCAATAGGTGTCCCCGGCCGAAGCCACTATTTCATCGCCGCTGACGGGCTCAGCCCCTCCACCAAATTAGTGCCCGGCGCCGAAGCCGATGGAGCCTGGTCGCCGATTCCGCTTACCTGCTGTAAACTTCTGACTTGCGTCATTTCAATTAAACGGGATCTTGGTGTCGGATTGCGAGATCGCAAGGACTGTGCCGTGGGCTGCCAAGCTGTTCAATCGACGAACAACAGGGAATGCAGTCCTATTTGGGACATGAATTCGCGAGAGGTATTCCTTCCTGATGCGTGTCTTGTCTATTCTAAGAGTGTAATTACCAATATTCCCAAAACGAGTAACTGTCAACTCGTGATGCTACGCCGTAGGGCTGTTCCTCGAGCACAGCCCCCCTTGGTCCAAGGCTCTCTGCGGGGGTCACCGACGCCACGGTTAAGCTTGTGGGAGTTGGCGGAGCTGAGCCTCGCCGACTCTGTTGTGCCGCTGTTAGTGCTGATTTCGGTGAGATGGGATTTGATTGGGACGGACTTGGGCGCAGCTGAAAGCCTCTGATGCCGACAGGTGAAAAATAAGCGGCGAGAGGCTTGAAATTAGGCTCAATAGCACTCGGTGGGCCCCGAAAATAGCATCATCGGCCACTGTCTCACTGCCCTCTCGCAAACTGTGAGATGGATCTAGATCCCGATGATGGCTTCGGAGCTGCGCCCTCTGTCGTGATGACCTGAGAGAGAGGCACAGTGAGGGTTATGAGCCAAGGTGAGAGCTTCAATGATAAAAAGGACTGGAAATTCCTTCGTTAAGACCATTCTCATTCTCATCATCAACACCATCCTCCTCTCACTTCAACCAACACAACTCACACACACAACCTTTCAATCGCTGCTTATTTCAACTTCAACTTCAGCTTCAACTTCAGCTTCAATTTCCTTCATCTCTTAATCTTTCTTCTCAACCCACAATGCGCTACTCCTACACTCTTCTCGCCTTTGCCGTCACGGCTCTGGCACTCCCTACAGCCAAGCCCGCCGATGACGGCAAGTGGGCTCCCGGCAAGTACGAAGGCAAGGGCACTGGCTTCGACGATGGCAAGTGGACTCCTGAAAAGTACGACAAGAGGAACGACGACGGCTCCTGGCACCCTGGGAAGTACGAAGGCGAGGGTACCGGTCACGATGATGGCAAGTGGACCCCTACCAAGTACCCCAGCGGAAAGCCCAAGACCAAGAGGAACGACGATGGCTCTTGGAAGCCTGGAAAGTACGAGGGCGATGGCACCAACTTTGACGATGGCAAGTGGACGCCTGAGAAGTATGACAAGCGCAACGACGATGGTTCATGGAAGCCCGGCAAGTATGAGGGCGAGGGAACCGGTTTCGACGACGGAAAGTGGACTCCTACCAAGTACGACAAGAACCACAAGCGCAACGATGACGGTAACTGGCACCCTGGCAAGTATGAGGGTGAAGGCACCGGCTTTGATGATGGCAAGTGGACTCCTGAGAAGTACGACAAGCACCACAAGAGGAACGATGACGGCTCTTGGCACCCCGGCAAGTACGAGGGTGAGGGAACTGGTCACGATGACGGAAAATGGACTCCTGAGAAGTACGATAAGAAGAACACCAAGCGCAACGATGATGGTTCTTGGAAGCCCGGCAAGTATGAGGGCGAGGGAACTGGCTTTGACGATGGCAAGTGGACACCCGAGAAGTATGACAAGAAGAACACCAAGAGGAACGACGATGGAACGTGGGCTCCTGGAAAGTACGAGGGTGAGGGTACTCCCTACGACGATGGCAAGTGGAAGGGCAACTAAAGGGTTTAATGTGGGGTGATAGACTGGGGTTGACTTCAACTGTACATATTGGGCATCTTGTTTGGAGTTTTTTCTTGTTCTCTTCGAGTATTTAGATTCATTCCTTTTTCTGCATACATAGAGTTCATACATAGCATACCTGCATAGAACATACAGCTCGGTTACTTCACTTTCATAACTTTCCACAATGTTCTTGACCTTTCACAGTTGCCTGTCCTGCTTGAAGCGCTTCATTTGTTTTGCCCATCTTGGAAAACAATATTACTCTAATCATCCACCAGACAGTGCAAACTCATGCTGTTCAAAACTCTCGCGTAGAAAGACACAATCGAAGTCTTCTGACTCAATCATGCGATCGAGGGCTGGGCTTCAACTATAACAAAAATACGTTGGACGCAACCACGCTTGCTGTTCTTCGGTCTCTTCAATGTTAACATTGCCCATAAAAGTACAGTCATTTTTCTTTACGACAAGCGTGTTTGCAATCGGGTCTTCTCGAGTCCTTGGCTGAAATGGGGGTTTCCCCACTGAAAGTCCGAACCGCTTGAGAGCTGCATCCATCTTCGTCCTCACTGATGCACAGCTATCCATCACTCCTCAGCCCTATCATACAAAGTAGAGGCTTAAGACAAAGCGAGAAAGTTTATTAAATAATAAACAAAGACTATTGCGATGGTTGAACCGACCTACCGCCTTTCTCAAACCTCACAACCAACTCCGTCGGCGTAGGGTAAGTAGGAACGGAACTCCGTCTCATGAAGGAGGCTAAGACAGACTAGTCCGCCAGGGTGATCCCTGTCCTCGCCAGCTGGCACATGGCTTGCCTCAAAAAATCAAGGTTCGGTCGATGCCGAACCCCCAAGATGGATGGACCAACATTACTCCGTGAATGGCCTGTTCAACCCGAGATTCAAATGCCGAAGAAGCGGTCGCCAATCAGCGAGAGAAGACGTCTCAAGGCAGAATCTTGACTTGCATAGATGGCTGAGGACTAGACACTGGTGGCTGCATCTTTTCAAGGCAGCTGAGCTCTTGGTGCGACTCTGGATGCAAGATACAGGGATCAGAAGTGGCTCACTTTTAGCCCCCAACTTCGGTGGCTGTGTCAGCAGAACGCCCGTGAAGAGAGGGGCCTGTTGCCTAGGGTGGGTGGCATTGCTATCTTTTGGCGTGTTCTCGTAGATCTATTTGAGCGGTGTCTGTCGCTCAGAGGGTGCATTCTTTCGTGCCAAGAACTTTCATCTTTCTCCACCCATCACACTCAACAACACGACCCAGATCATTATGGACAATCTGGGGAACGAGCACCTGATAAGGTACAAGGTCAAGTACATCGGTAAAGGAGGAGGCGATGTTATTCTCGATAAGAACCCAAACTTTGTCCCCAACGCAGAAGAGCCACCCATTTTTGAGCATATCGACGTTCGACTGTCAAGCCTGAGCACCATCTCTGACAAGGTTGACCTCGATACCCTTGCCAAAACCGAGGTTGCATCCGGACATTGCTACATCAACCTCTTTTCACCGGTTGTTGCCGAAGCCCTGCGATGCGTTGTTGACTACTTCCCGGGCGTCTACCTGTCGGAGAGTGTCATCAGAGTCCCTGAGCCGTACAACATCTTTGTCTTTTTCGAGAAGCAGCTCACGGAGTACCGAGAGAGACTCGAAAAGGCTGCCGAGACGGACCCATTGACCTGTGCGAACCGTTTCGCCAGCAAGCACATCGCCATTGTCCAGGAATTTGTCAAGAAAAGAATCCAGGCACAGGTCGACGCAGAGAGAGAGCGCCATGCCAGAGGATACGTCAGCTTTGACATGCTCTGGCTTCTCTACCAGCCGGGAGCCGACATGTACTTTGACCGCTGGAACATCAACGAACACGAGCCCTTTGTCATGACGGGCGTCGAGTTTACTTTCATCAACGACGCTGCCGACTTTTACAAGGTTCGGCTCTGGAACATGGATGCCGACTTTGACAGAGTTGGACCCGCGCCTTGGGAGTTCAAGGTGGATCGCTTTCCTGGAGAGAGAAAGATTGTCGACCTGCCTGCTTTCCCCTGCGAGTATCTTCACTTCTCAGAGGATGTCGAAAGCGAAAGCATTCCTGCCATCAAGGAGCATCTCGTCAACCGCGGAAAGAAGTGGTACAGCCTTAGACGCGAGGTTCGCCCTTATCACTTTGATGGCTTCACAACCACTTTCCCCCGCAAATCCTTCAACGACCTCGCCATCGTGGACAGCCGCCCGTTCCCCAGGCATCCAGGAGACCGCAAGATACTCATCGACTCCATCGCCCACCCTTCAAGCCCGCTCAAGATCTGCAGCTGCGACAAATGCGAGGAGCGTATTTATCGCCATGCGGTCAAGCCAAAGTTTGTTGGCTACTCCAACATCAACCCCCAGAACGTGGAGACCTTGACAGAGCATCAGTATTTCCTCTGCGACTCCATCGTCGAGGCCTTCTTGTTCAAGGCAAAGTCATGGCGTGAGTTATCCTACTTGCGAGGAGAATCCAGGATGCTAATAGTAGTACATAGGTAACCTTCACGTTGATGGGTTTCAAGACGCTTCCTTTGACGGCCCTCTCTTTGATGACCTGGTCCTGAAGGATTCCTCAAAGATGTACATCCAAGACCTCGCGAAGCCTTATATCAGAGGCGCCCAGGAGAACAAGCCACAGAAGCAGCTTCGCTCCGGCCTTGGCCAAATTCACAAACCCCCTAAGCAGAAACAGCCATGGTCACCCGAGGCTACTACGATCAAGGGTGACGGACTGACAATGCTCCTCCATGGGCGACCTGGAGTTGGAAAGTCTTACACGGCAGGTTAGTATTCAAAGGGCAGCAGAAATATGAGTTCAAGGCTAACAGATCTTAGAATGCATCGCCCAGTACACAAGACGGCCTTTACTTTCACTGGATACTTCAGACCTGGGCCCCAGACCAGACAGGAAAGACGAAAGCCTCGTAAGATGGTTCAAGCTCGCCGAGAAATGGGGAGCCATTGTTCTCATCGATGATGCCGAAATCTTTCTCGACTTTGGCCGCACTGATCTTGTCGCCAACTTTCTCCGAGCCGCGAGCTACTTCAAGGGCATCTTGATTCTCACGACCAACCGACTCAGGGCATTTGACCACGTCATCATGTCACATGTCCATGCCCAGATCCTGTATCCTCAATTTGGTGATGAGGAACGTACGAAGCTTTGGGGGCATTTCTTCAAGAAGTTGGAAGCCGACACTGACGTGAACATGAGTGTCCTGGAAGAGGTCAAGGCCTATGTCGAGTCCGAGGAGATCCAGGCTCTGGAATGGAATGGCAGAGAGATCCAAAGCGGTACGCAACCATTCACCAAGAAACATAATCAATGACACTGACATTGAAATAGCCTTCCAAGTCGCTGTCAAGCTAGCCGAGGCAAAGGGCGAGAAGGATGATCAAGGACGCACCCTCGTCACCGTTGACAACCTCAAGCCCACGATACAAAATGCACTCAGCCTTCGGGAGTACATCTTGAGTGAGAGACATCGCGATTGGCGCCCACAACGTCCGTTGAGAGAGCATAGCTATGATGCGGTTGAAAGGGAAGAGGTCCGCTCGCAACCTGAGCATTGAGACAAGGATGAGGACCAGGGTGTTCAGGGTTATGATCTTGCCAAGATTGGAACATTACGAAGCAACGAAGATTTAATACGAGCGGTGACAGGTCGAAATATTTTGTTATAGTTTTCTTTTTTTTTCATCTGAAATAGCCGCCTTATGAATCACGATCACCACACACTTTTGTCTCACCCTTGTTTCTCACTCCCCGTGACAACCGTGGGATCATTTTAGAGCTAGTTTGATTGGCTCATTCGGACTAAGGCATCGGACCCATAAAAGGAGCCGTTAAATTCCTCACACAAGTTGTTACCTACCATCCATCTCTCAACCTGTCTCCTTTATCTATGTCTTATCTCGCCTTGATCTGGGCCCATCAACCTCAAGATCAACTTTCCTCTGTTTACCATGGACTCCTTGCCTGACGAAATATGGCGCGACATCTTTGCCAACTTCGAAGGCCATCTCCCATCTGACAAATGGTGGATGTACGGAGTTGAAATCGACACTTCACCCATCAAGACCCTCCTATCGATATCTCGCGTGTGCAAAAAATTCCATCGCATCGCTGAGCCTCTGCTTTACCGCACGATCCTGATTGGGGCGCATGAGAATGAGAATAAGGAATGCTTCGTTCAGTTGACCAAAAGACTGGTCTCTAACCCACAGCTGGGACATGACATTCGTAGCATTACGCTGGACAACGACTTTGAACATGGACATGACGACGTTCGGAAAGTCCTGAGGTCAACTTGGCTGTCTTTAGATGCACCTATCTCCTTCAAGAAACAGCTTGGGAAGGAAATTGCCGACTACAAAATGCCAGGGATAGCGCCTCTCATCTTGGCCCTGTCACCTCAGGTGCGGTTGGTTGACTTTACCTTTGACAACGCATCGCCGTGTACCTCTTGGATCTTGAGTGGACGTCCAGACTTGGAAATAATTGTCAAGGAAGACTATTACGGCAGTAACATTGAGCTGACCGAGGAAGACGAGCAAGCCTTGAAGGAATATGAACTTGGGCGAGGAGATACTCATGCAAACTATGGCCTGCCGCATCTGGAGGAGGTACGCATTAGGCATTCAGACTGCACCGACAGTCACACCCCTATCGATTATCTCGAGCCAGTCCTGCTCCATCCCAACCTCAAGACGCTGCGTCTACTTGGGATTGGCTGGCTATCGAGCCCGATCAGCAACTTCAAGTTCCCAAACGAGCCATGCAACTTGGAAACTCTTGAGCTTAAGGAATGTCTCTTTGATGATTTGAGTTTGAAAAACATCCTTACCCGTTGCAAGAAACTGAAGTGGCTCTCTATGGAAACAGCAGACGCTCGAAGAGACGACAGGCATCTTCACGACGAAGAGTGGGATGTCGACCTGAGCAGGATCGGAAATGTCCTCAGGAGTCATGGTCACAACCTGGAATACTTTAGTCTTCACACCATCGAGTACGACAACTGGGGTTTCTGCAACGGACGTCTCGGGTCCCTTCGTAACCTCAAATCACTCCGACACCTCAAAGTCATTCTGAACAGCTTCACCGGCCGTGTCAGAGCTCCCTGGGAGACTGACCAAGAACAAGAGATACCACTGGCTGAAGCACTACCCCCGACGATTGAGACGCTGCACCTGCACTGGGACGACGAGTACTACAGCCACCATGAGTACAAGGGCTTCTGCGACAAACATAACGGGGCCGTGTTCAAGCTTCTCATGGCAGCGGATAGCTTTCCTAATTTGCGCAAGATTAGTATGGAGAGGTATGGAGGGAAAAGAGAGAAGGGAGAGTCTGAGTGGGATAAGAGTGTTGATGGGTGGGAGGTTGAGGTGACACAGGAGCATTTGTGGCAGAGATATAGTTCGACTGGGTGCACGCGGACTCTTATTTACCTCACAAAGACGAGTTAGAAAAGAGAAGCTACGCGAGGTCTTTGCTACCGTAAATAGATAAACAACCGACGTTCACGGTGAGCAGCTCGCCAAGAGTTGTTGGTTCCTTAGTGTCTCTCAGACGAGCCATGACCTGACAGCCCGCCAAAACCCTTGTCCATTCAGGCAACAGCACTCCACTACGGTCGCTATTAAATTAACGGTATCCCGCGCTGTTTCACGCTGTCCTTTCATCTTCATCTCAACTCCAGAGCCAGTCTTGGAGTTATTTCTCCCTCTGAATACCTCCAAGTAATCTCGCCTTCAACCTCGGTTTTTCACCATGCCACAATCAGTCAAGACGGCGGATGAGTACGACATTGTGGAGCATGAAGAAACCGCCGTAAGCCCCGAGATCCTCGCCAAGATCCGTGAATGGCTCCAACCCACCGATTATCTCGCCGACTCTGGTGAGTTCCGACGTCATCTTGCCTCTCAAGCTCCTGGCACAGGACTCTGGATATGTGAGACGGATGAATACCGAAAATGGCACGACTCTCCCAACCATGGCAGCCTCTGGATCAAGGGCGTTCCAGGTGCTGGCAAGTCCGTCATGGCAGCGTCCATCATCCACCATTTGAAGGCGACTGAGAACTGTCCTGTTCTATTCTTCTTCTTCAGAAACATTGTCGCGGCCAATTTCTCTCCTCGCGCTCTCATTCAAGACTGGCTGGCCCAGCTTCTGCCACACTCTCCAAAGCTGCAATTCGCCCTCCAATCTCGGCTCAACACCAAGCTGGAGGAGACCTCGGATAATGATCTCATCGACATCTTCCTCAATGGAGCTTCTCATGTTCCGAAACTCTACTGTGTTGGAGATGCCCTCGATGAGATGACGACTGAGAACAGACCTTTCCTCGACAAGCTCAACAGTCTCGCGACTCACCGCCCTCAATCATTGAAGCTTCTCATCACCAGCAGACCCAAGCAATATCTCCAGAGTGCGTTGCGCGACTCTTCAATCGTCCATATCAGCCTTCAGCAACTTCTTGTGGATGCTGACATCAACTCGTATCTTCGCCATCGATTTGATACGGCTGTCATGTCCGAGGACAAACTCCAGATCAAAGAGCAGCTTATCGACATGGTTGCTAAAAGGTCTGAAGGCCTGTTTCTCTATGCCAAACTCACCATGGACCAAATTGAAGCTGCTCTTGCCGACGATGGTCCGGGGGACATCAATGCACTCGAGCAATCCCTTCCTATTGGCTTGGAGCAGACATATACCAACATGTTGGCAAAACAGCGTCAAGAGAAGGGCATCAGTACAGATCTTCAAGTGTTTGTTCTTGAGGCTGTTACCCATTCATCCCGACCTCTCCGCTTGAGCGAGCTAGCAAGCCTGGTCAAGTTCATCCGTCCGGATTTAGACGCTCCCGCTGGCTTCAAAGACCTTGTTGCTACCTGCTGCGGACCGCTGATCGAAGTCCTGGAGGACGAGACCCTGCAAGTCATTCATCACTCTTTTACTGAGTTTCTCCGTGGTGATACTCGTGCCGTTTCAAAGGACGAGGCATCCTCAAACTTTCCAGTCATCAACTCTCTCGAGGCGCACAAGATGATGGCCATCAACTGTCTTCAGTACCTCCAGTCCGGAACTCTCCTGCTCCCTGGCGAATCTGCCGTCATTCAAAATCAAGACATGCTGGCAGATGAATTCGAGCAGCACATGTATCAGATGGCAGTATTCGAATTGTTCTCTACCCAGTACACGAGGGCGCTGAATTATGGAGAGGAGGAAGATAGCTTCGACTACCGAGAAGCTCGCTTGCACCATCCATTCCTGGGCTATGCCGTGGAGAACTGGGCATATCACGCTAGCCATTACGACGTGAAAGACCAAGAGTTTTTCAATACCATCCAAGACTTTATCAGGCTTGATAGCTTAGGGTTTCGAAGATGGCTCCCTATTCAGTGGGGTCTAATGCCCTGGAAGAAAGGGGTCGTCGTCGACATTCCCAAGGCCCTTCACATCGCCGCCTTTGCTGGCATGTCTGAGTTCGTGTCAGATTTGATAGGACAAAGAGAATTTGTGTCCTCACTTGATGAGCAATGGCGTATTCCACTTCATTGGGCCGCCGCGAACGGCCATGCAAAGGTGGCGTCACTGCTTATCCAGCATGGATCTGATCCCAATGCCGTGGACAGAAGTGGTCTGAGGCCGATTCATCTTGCGGCCAAGAAGAACCATGCGTCGGTGGTCAAAGTCCTGCTGGAGGCAGGAGTTGATCCTAGTACACCCAGGCTAAGCCTACGTGGGGGTTCTTCGTATTCCCTGGATCATAGCCGAGCCATCGAGGGTGAGAATGCACTTCTGTACACCAGTGAAGCCGGCCACACAGAGACGATTGAAGCAATGATCCCTTTTTGCGGTAAAGAAGCACTCGAGCAACTTCTATGCGAGTGCTGCCGGTTCTCACGGACCGACTCCGTCCTGTCTATCCTCGACAAGACAGATGTCTCTGTCAACGTCTTGCATCGTGGAGGGTCTCCTCTGCACTATGCCTGCATTTCGGCCAATTTCAATTGCGCCAAGGCCCTCATCAAGCGAGGCGCGGATCTCCATAAATTGGCCAGATCGAAGCTCCCCGAGGCAGGCCTCCAGGCTTATGGCACAGACACGACGACATTGCTAACACCGTTGAATGAGCTGATGCGTGTATGGAAGAAGAGTAACGACGCCGCCTGTCGCTCCATCCTGAAGCTGCTCGTCAAGGCCGGTGTTGATCTCGAGCAAACCGACAGCAGAGGCAGCACTGCCTTGTCTAGATTGGTTCAACCCTTCCCAAAGATGTCTGGTGGCCTTTATGTACCTGCTCTCGAGGCCTTGTTGGAGGCAGGAGCCAATGCAAAGGTGATGAGCCCGCACCATGGCGGCAACAGCCCTTTGCATACAGTTGTTGCGGCAAATCGGAGTCTCAGGGCAGTGCAACTCCTCATCAACCACGGAGCTGATCCAAATCAACGAGACGAAGTTGGATTTACACCTTTCCACTCATTGATCCACTCGCTATATTACTACAGGGAAAAGAAAGATCTTGAGATGACAAAGCCCATCATCAAATTGTTCCTTGACAACGGCGCTGACCCGGAGATTCGAAACAAATACGGGCATACCCCAATGAGCGGCCGCCCTACACAGTACGGGCCCGAGACCTTTTCCCTGCTATTCTCAAAGTGCAAATCCGATTCTGTTAGGAGAGAATGCTGGTTCGAGTTGCACAAGGAGTGGGACAATGCCAACTTCACTAGCATTCTCGAGGCCATGCTTGCTGCGGGAATGGACATTGATCAAAGAGACCAGACTGGTCGTACCCTTTACCTTCACTGTCTCACTGATTCTGAGAAACGACGTATTCTTAAAGAACATGGTGCTACAACCGGTCTCTCTGACAATCAAGGCAACAATGCCATTCATCTTCTTTCGCCCCCAGACCGACAAGATCGCGCAAAACTGGAATGCCTTTTCGCCGAAGGCCTGGATCCTCTCAGTACAAACGACAACGGAGACACGCTTCTTCATCATTGCGCCTCTAATAGAACTAGGAATAAGGAGTATGTGCGGTGGCTACTCGGCCTCGGCATACCCGTCAACGCTGTCAACAGGCAGGGCCACACTGCACTCCATGTGTTTCTCAAGATCTCTTGTCAGAAACATGGCTCTTCTGGAGAAAGAGCAGATTTTATTGATCTCATCAAGGAGACAATGAATGCTGACTTTGAGATCCGAGACGGCGATGGCTTGACCCCCTTGCACTTGGCAGCCACGAACTCCAGGAAGCAAGTGGCCCGACTGATGGCCGCTGGAGCGGATCTGGGAGCCTTGACAAGAGACTTTCAAAATGTCTTGCATCTCGCCTGTCGAGCTCGAAAGACTGACCTTGTTGCCCAGATCCTTGGTCATCTAGGCAACATTGATGTGAACCAAGCTGACAGCTTTGGCAGAACGCCACTTCACTATGCTTGCGCCTCAGGAGAAGCAGAATCTGTGGCACTCCTCCTCAAGCATGGTGGCAACGTCAATGCCGTTGACTCGAAGGGATGTACCCTTCTTCACGCCTGCGCAGAGTCAACAATGGAGCAGAAGATCTGGGACATTCAAGACCTGCCGCCATCTGAATGGATGCGAATCCCACAGGATCCTCTTCGGCCAAAAGGGTCCGTCAAATACTCTCGAAAACGCAACTGGAGCGTAGGTGAATACACTCAGAAGCGAGCACCAGCCCCAGCTGTTGTGACCATCTTGAAGATGCTCCTAGATGCCAAGTTGGACCCTTCTGTTATCGATCGTTCAGACCGCACGGGCCTGGACATTGCCATCCTAGAGGGCTGCGTAGAATTTGTCGACTTCTTCTATCGAGATGAGGAACTGCTCAACGCAACGACAAAACATCTGAAAGAGGTTCGCCGAATCTCTCGTGAAACAGACCGTGTTTGGGTAGCTATGAAAGCTCAAATGGCCATGATGAGGCCAAGATCTTGGCTGGAGACATTGGAGCAGGACAAATCTCTCTTTGAGCACATGATGACGACTCCATCCCAATTCTTGGAGCTCGTACCTCATGACGATATTGTCAAGCTGATCAACCAGGGTTTTGAAGCTGATCCAGAGAACCCTCTATACTACGATTTTGTGGAGGAACTCATGAAGCCCGGACATCTCGAGCTCATCGAAAAACTACCCCATTTGGTCTCTTACTACAGTACTCATGAGTCAATCAAAGGGGTGCTGTGGAGACAGGAGGAAATCGATGACGACGGTTCTGACAAGTTGACTCCCCTGCAAATGGCGTGTCGTGAATCAGGATGCAACATGCTCACGATTCAACATCTCGTGGAGAAGCTCCAGGTCGATATCAATGTTCATTGCGCGCATACGGAAAGAGAAGACCGCTGTTTTGGAGGAGATGGTGAGCCGGTTTCAGGAGGTACAGCACTCCATGTCCTTGCATCAGGGGATGGCTACTGGCAGTTGGAGGCGCTAAAGTACCTTATCGCCCACGGAGCCGATATTAACGCCGTCGATGAAAAGGGTCGACCTCCGATTCACATTGCTACGAGTGCCGAGGGATTCTGGAGGTCAGAGGTTCTGGACTTCCTTCTCGAGCATGGTGCCGATCTCAACATTGTGGACCAGGAAGGTCAATCGCTTCTTCACATGGCGGCTGATTCAGAAGAGGCCACGAGACGACTTCTTCAAAGAGGAGCAGACCCCACTGTGGGAGAGAAAAGCCCATTGTTCGCAGCCATTCACGAGCAGAATGTTGGAGCTCTAAACGTGCTTCTTGACCACGGCATTAGTGTGGACATTATCGACGAAGATTACCACGGCAGATATGACAACAGTTTCACGGGGAAGCTGGGACGCAAGGGTTATGCGGTTGTGATCGCTGCCATTGCCCCAAGGCTAGGTGGCTACCTCAAACAGTCGATGACGGTGCTTCGTGCTCTCGTGGAGAGAGGAGCAGATTTGTATCTGCCGTTGAACGAAAAGGAGACCATTGCCCACTATCTCTTTGAGATTCCATCCCCGTTCGACACTGCGAATGATCTGCTAAAGGAACCATGCGTCTCGCGGATCGACTTTAGCCACCGCGATCAGCTTGGTCGAACCGTCTTGATGGCTGCGTGTTGTTGGCATGGCTTGATCCCTGGATACTATGAAATCGGAAGAACGGTCCCGAAGGCTCGAGGTGCCCCCCTACAAATCTTGGACCACGGAGCGGATGCCACATTGGTAGACCATAGTGGAAAGACAGCACTTCATCATATTCTCGACAATCTTACCCTACCAGATGAAATTGTCCTCGAGTTTATCAACAGAGAAGAAGTTGCCCCTACTCTCTGGTTGAAAGACAACGACGGCTTTACACCATTCCAACACGCCCTCCGCTCGCTTCGTCCTGCAGCCTGCAACATACTCCTCGACAGAGGTGCACCAGCCTCTGAACCCGATCCCGAGGGTCTCACACCGCTGCATCACATCGCAGCTCAGTGCTTGAAAACCGACATACCGTCCCGTGGCAGATCGTCCCCTCAGCAGGTTCCAAAAGATTACTTTGATCAATGTTTGGCCCTCTGGCAAAGAATCATTGCACAAGGATGCTCTATCAACGCTACCGATAAAGCTGGAAATACACCGCTACACACGTACCTGTCAGTCCCCGAGAGGACCACCAACCCACGCCGAGATCCAACAATATGCCACGTTGCGCACTTTGACAAGCTATTCCCCCTGGACAGCAACGTTGATGTTTCGGCTGTGAATGACGCGGGCGAGACAGCGCTACACATTATCGCTGCACGAAAGAAGCCGAGTTCCGGCAGGCCCGATCACGACAAGATACTCTTTGAGATGTTGCTTGCTAGAGGAGTCGACCCTCTGAGGGAGGATGCAAAGGGGAGGAGCGCTTTGGATGTTGCGAGTGCTTGTGGTAATGATGAAGTTGTAGGGATTCTGAGTAGGAAGTAACTTATGGGGGAACTTTTGCACGGTGAAGACTAGAATAGAAATTCATTAAAGGAAATTTGACATCTTTTGCCTTTAGAAGGCTCGTGGGTGTCATTTCAGAATGCCCAAACGCGTTTACGAAAGCACGGGTGTCTTCATATCGCCGTTGCCCTTGAATAATCGGTAGCCGGATGGAAGTTGCTGTAATTATCTTTTCAGTGCTGTTCCTTCTTACTCCTGTTGGAGAATGCAGTCTCGCTCGGACGCCTATCTACAACCGAGCACGCCCATTCAAAGAATACTCAGCTACAATCTTCTCTGCTGCGAGCATGCCGACTTGGTAAGCCGTCGACTGTGTATGGCAACTGTTTTAAGTTAGTACCCCGAGCATGTAACATTCGTTTTGACATACCTTGCAATGATGGGCATGACGCTCAAATCAGCAATCCTCAATCCGCTCACGCCAAAGACCCTAAACCCAGTGTCCACGACTGCGCCATCCTTTTCACTACGTCCCATGCTGCATGTACCACTCATATGCCAGGTGCTGGTGCAGTTCCTGCGCCAAAAGTCGAGGATATCCTCGTCACTGTCGCTCGCAGGGACGTCAAAGTTGGCTTGCGTAGGATGAGCGTCCTTCTGGAACTCCGGACTCCTCGAAACCTTCATCACTTCCTTGGTTGCCTCAATGATGACTCGCTTGTCATACGGGTGCGAGGCGAATGAAGGGTTGAAGATCAGCGGTTTTGCGGGATCTGCAGATGCCAGCTGTACGTTTCCGACACCCTGCGAGTTGTGGACAAAGACCATAATTGGCAACAGAGGCGGCACCGTATGAGGATCTGTGTAGTACTCCTGCGCAATGCCTGCCGTTGCGATCTCATAAGTTGGTATGGTAGGTCGTTGAAGTCGTTTCTTCTCACCCGCCGGGAGGTCCTCAAACTCCTTGCTCTGGAGCACAGCATCGCTCTTGAAGAAGCCCATATTCATGCTTGTCCCTGCCGTGACGTAAGGACCGGTCCGATATAGCTCCCACTCACGCTTGGCAGCGTCTTGAAGCGCCTTGCTGCGGAAGAAAGCCGTGATGTTGTCGGTGTGCTCAGCTCGGCCGAACTTGAGTGCAACATGGTAATGGTCCTTGTAGTTCTGACCGACGTTCGGATTCTCGAGAATCTGCTGAATGCCAAACCTTTCCAACTGGTCTCTGGGTCCAATACCAGAGTGCATCAAAATCTTGGGAGTGTCGAGGCTGCCGGCTGAGAAGATGATCTCCTTCGTTGCCCTGAGAATAGTTCCATCCAGTAGAGAAATCCCAACAGCTTTCTTGTCCTCAAAAATGATGCGATGAACCGGCGAGTCTGTCTTGATATGCAGGTTGCCTGGAGTAGGATATAGCAAGTCGGCAGCCGTGGCTCTGGTTCCTCTATACATGGTCTTTGGGGCGACGGAGATACCCAAGCATTCGCCGTTGCCGGTGTCAGTGCTGATATCATAGCCATTCGCCTTCCAAATATCTATAGAAGAAGTGGCATAGCTATCCCACTTATCCTCGAAACCGACGTGTAAGGGTCCCTGGTAGCCGTGGTCGTCGCTCTTTGGGTCTAGGTATTTCTTGACTCCATCAGGCACCTCGGGAACCTTGTCGTGGTACGTCTCGAGCTTCTTGAATCGTTCCTTGGCGTTGGCCCAGCTCCAAGCAGAATCACCGGTGATCTCGGCCATCGTGTCCCAGTCATCGCGAGGCCCTGTTGTCCATGTAGTAAAGTTGACAGTTGATGAGCCCCCCAAACCTTTGCCTCTCATGAGGTCAATCTCGCGGCCAGCGAGGTGTTCTTGGGGGCTGCTCTTGTATGGGTTTGCCAAAGTTGGTTCCATCATTTGAACAAAAAGGTTCCCCATGACTCGGTGGTTAACATCGCTGTTCTCACCGCCAGCTTCAACTAACAGCACTGAGGGACGGGTTGTGGCATGTGCAAGGCCTCTCGCAACGCTGCAGCCAGCGGGACCAGCACCAACAACGATAAAGTCATACTGCTGTTTTGAAGTCGCCATTTTTGCAGAGATTGGTAAAAAATAGATCACCGAGTTCCGACTGGGATCATCGTTCGCACCTCCGAGAGGCACCCCCTCTTTTGTACCCCAACTCCGAATCCCAGCCAAGAAGCGCCCCCTCGGGATCGGCTTTCGCCGCGGCAAACACCACCGGCATTTCAATTTGGCATCCAATGACACACCGTTATCACAATTCTACACGCGCCGTAGGAAGCTTAGGTTCAACTAGGAACATAAATGTCTTACTATGTGAGACAATCGCGTTACTGAACCAACCAAAGAGCAGCGGGCTTGGCCATTTCCGCAGTGAAACATTTTAGACCTACCGCGGTGATGAAAAGTGGGCGGAACTATCGTTCCGATGTGGGTGCTTTGTGACAAATTGGCATTTTCTTTTACATTGCCTGGGGTACAGACTGAAATCGTCTTAGCTTGTACCCTCTTTCAGCTCGCTCATGGCATGGGAGGCAATGGAATTCGCAACCAGGCCAGATAACCTCATCACACTGACTATCCACGAAAGCCAGTGCTCGGGAACAAAACTCCAGAGTGGAAAGGCATGACAGATACTTGAGCTAGACTACCAAGTTAATCTACCTTCACTCTGGCCCTTTCCAGTTGGTTCTTGCCAGCCATTCTTCAAACGTGCTCGCCCTAACCCCAAGATCTTGCCAGGAAGTATCCTCCTCGGGATCCATGGTTCCATAGCAAATCTTTTCCTCTGGTGTCTCGGCGATCCACTGCATCATCTGCTTGATGTCCTCTCTATACCCTTCACCCACAGTCGCGGCAACTGTGTCTCCCCATTGGTCAATGGTTGTCGATTTGAAGGAAGATGGTGTCGAGGTTGTCTTTGTGAAGATGTCGGAAAAGTCAGAAAACTGGACCTTGGGGCTCACAACGGGATATGTTTTTGACTTGGTTTTTTCCGGTCCAGCTGCGAATACCTCTGTCATTGATTTAGCCTTTCCTCGATCGGTATCACGTCAGATGGATAGTTCGCTTACCTGCTGCGAAGACCCCAATATCATATGCTGGATCGACCCAATCCGCAAGTGTATGGCCGGGAACGGGGGCACAAAATCGCACAGTCCCATCTTCTAAAACCAAGGCATTAGCAAAAGTTCCCCAGCTAGTTTTGTCGAGAGTTTCACACCTTCTTTACGGCAGTACTGCGGCCATAGCATGTTGCTATAGAAGAGACCTGATACAACCAATCAGTCTATTAACATCAAGACCTCATGTCGTAGAGTATCCTACCGGGAAGTAGAGCAGTGACGGCGGGTAAACGCTGCCGAGCCCACTGCTCGATCTGGTGCTTGTAGTCAAAGTGATAGACCTTGGTAAAGCGTCCACCACTAGCTTTGGTCAAGTTTGGTAGGCTGCTCACTACAAAATGCTGTATCTTGCAAATTTCTGCTGCATCGACAATGTTTTTGCCTGCCTGAAGCTCATGCTTCATGTCGTCTTCAGTATCGACGGTTCCGCCCGCAATTCGGTTCTGGGTAACGGCAAAGACGCCGTAGGCATCTTTGAATGCTGAGTGTAAGCTCTGGGCGTCGTATACATCTCCTTTGACGAGACGCAGTCGATCTGTTGATCCAAACTCGGTCACCAATCGTTTCGCGCTCGAGCCCTCGATATCTCGTGTCACCGCCCGGACATCGAATGCTGGAGAAGTCTTTTGGAGTAGAGCCCTGACTACTCCTCTACCTTGGTTCCCGGTGGCCCCAAGGACAACGATGGTACGAGCTTGCTGCGTAGACGCCATGGGGATTGCGGTTTCTGACATGAAGCAGCAGAGTTCGTCATCAATCGTCAACGTGCGAACGGAACCCTTTTAAAGCTTGGCGCCCATATCCACGGATTACATCATGAATCGCACCAGACACTATAATTGGTTCCCAGCAGGCTTCGAGTTTGATATCGGTTCATTTCAATGTCTTTCTTCTCCGACATTTCATGCAGGACAGCGGGCTTCCGGATATAGACGCCTAATGGATCCACAAATCGGAGATACGGATTTACCCTGCATCAAGAGCCATCTGACCGAGGTCGTAGGGCTGCATTCAATGCTTATGGTGCAATGAACTAAGTTTAAATGCTCGCAAAAAAATGACCAACTGAAGGAAGGATGCCAAGGGCCGTTGCGAACTGTAACGAGGATCTGTTGCGAGGGGGCCTTGTCTGCTGATCGGCACACACGCACCACATTTCTCGTCTGACGTGTACCGAACCCAAAAGGCAAAGTTGGACTTGGCTATGCAAGAATCAGCAAAAACTCATTGGACCGTTGTTGGGAAAAATACACTTTACTAGGATCCAAAGCACCACCCTCCTGTTTCAGCCTACGGCCAGGTATCTGAAGCCCAGAGAGCACTGGAAGAAGGATGTCAGCCTGCATGAAACGTTCTGCCCAGCTGTCGTGTCTACAAGTTGTCGGAGTATATATCTAGGTACTCGGGTCTCATCCCGTCACATCTAACCTTAATCTATTCCATTCTTTCTCATTCGGATAGGTGATCTCATCATGGCCTCTGTAGTTGAGACTCACCCTTCTGCTCCCAACCTCACCAATCTCATCTCATCATACTCTATTCTGACAACGCTCTCATCATGGATCTCGACCCTCGACCTATATCATCTCGCCCTCACTAATCGCACTCATCGTTCATTCATCCTAGCCTCACCACAAATCTTCAAAGTCCTCACTCGTCAATCTCTCTGTGATGGACGAGGACTAGCGGACCGGCAAGAATTCCGCGGCCTGTATAAAATCTACGACTTCGACAAGGGGTGTGGATTAATTCGACGCGATGAACAGGTTGAGGTTCGTCTCTACAACCTCAAGTGCGACGAAGCCGGTGCCCTTCCCTGCGTCAAGTGCGGCATCAACGTCTGCGAGGAATGCAGGTACTATCCTCGGACCTCGCCCGCAGGGAAAGGAAGAGACCCCAAAAGAAGGCCTCACCTCAATGCTTCATTTCAAATCGGAGCCATCATGTGCCTATGCCCTTCTTGCGATGCTGCGATGGAAAACGAGGTCAAAGGGAAATTCCTCAATGAGCTCTGCGACTGTGACGCCTTGAGATACTGGATATGCTCCAAATGTAGGCAAGAGGTGGACGACTTTACAGGGGATTACCGGGGAGAGCACACCGCCATGGAAGGAGAAATTGAAGGCTTTGGTCCTTTACCGACCAAATTTATCGACGATGCAGGCTGGATAAGGGCTGTGAGTTCTATCTCCATCTTGGGACCGAAAAGAAACTAACGAGTCTTGTCTAGGTGTGGTGCATGTGTGGTGCAAGTGTTCCTCGGCATACAAGGATGAGGTGCACTTGGTGCAAGCGACGCCATCTGCCAGAGTCGGAGTGGTTTGATGAGTTCGAGAGAATAGGGTCCAAGATGCCTTGGTTTGATGATGTATGTTTGCTAAACTGTCTTATGTTTCCCTTAACTAAATTGTGTATAGGATCCCGACTATCCGCACTGGCAGACTGACGATCATGGGATATATCCGATACCATATCCAAGACTGGGATATAAGCGACCTGGAGACAGGTACTAAAAGTGCATGCGTTGATGTCAAATACTCATAACGAGTCATCTACTACGCTGGGGAAGATAAGTTCCGAGAGTGCTCGGGGTTTACTGTAGAAGCCGACAGGTCTCGGATATGAGACAGCAGGGAACATTTGAAGATGCCAGCGATTCTGCTTCAAGATAAAGGCAGTGTTCACGCTTATCATGCTGGACTCACAGAACGTCTCGCATAAAGCCGTGAGTTGGATACTCATAAAGGGCCTTTTCACTATGAGAGCTCACTCATGAGCTGACTCATTTTTCATACAAAAGCTGATAAATCTCAGTGAGCACATTTCGCGTTGTGACCAACCTCGTGATGTGATGAGATAAATGTGGGGCTGAGTCAATTGTGCGGTTTTGCTTTGGCGCGTGAAAAAAACATCATCTTATCTTTACCATTACGATACTGTCACCGTCTCTGATTCTTCTTATTTAGCGTCTTTCCCTGTGCTTTATGTTGTCTTTGAAAGAAACATGAACGGAATTACCCACAGCACCCGCCTTTGCGGGTCTAGGCTACTCTCACGTTCACTTCAAATCAACGCCGCTGCTTTTATCAACGCGCCCTCAATAGGCTTGAGTTTGCAGAAGAAATGGACAAGCAGTCAGTCATGCGGCAAGAAAACACCCTGTCAAAAGTCTGCTCCTCTCTCCGCGACATCCGCTGCCTTCTGGAGCTCTAGACCGACATGGAATCGAGCTTCTGTCAACACGTTGCGCTGTCTCGTTGGCTGCACGCTGGGTGACTTTACAGCGATGTGGCTGTTACAAGCCTACTATCCAGACCTTAGCATGGGCGTTGTGATGCCTATATCTAGTAAGGAACATCTCATTCACACTGCATCTTTGTCCTTCTAACGAGAGCAGTGGCTTCTGGCATCTCCAGCTCTATCCTCTTGGAGACCGTCATGCTCCGTATCGGTCGTGATGGATTATCATGGCTCACAGCTGCAAAGACGGCCATCGGCATGAGTTTCATATCCATGATCACAATGGAGGCAGCCGAGAATGCAGTTGACTATTACCTCACCGGCGGAACTGTATCCCTCAACGATCCTGCGTTCTGGCTTGCTGCTGGCCTGTCCATAATTGCTGGATTCTTTGCCCCTCTTCCATACAACTACATACGTCTGCGTAAGTATGGCAAGGCCTGTCACTGATTGGGTCTTTGATTTGGCCGTTACTGGTAGTGTCGGGCTTCGGTACACCCATCCTCACTCCTGTACAATAATCAATGTCATAATAAATCAAGTAGAATTAACGCTATCATGTGCTTCTCATACAAACTTCCTTTAATGCTTCATGCAGAAACTCTCCCTTATTCCCGTGCCGTCTACTTCCTCCTCTGGATACCCAGGCACTCAAGGAAGGGTCCGTCGTGACAGGCCACCAGATAAGCCTTTTCTGTTGAAGACTCGTTGATGTGCTTGATCTTGCACCACGAAGGAATGGCAAAAGTGTCACGAGCCTCCCATTTGAAGACCATCTTCTCGCCTGATGGAGCCTCAACCTCTGTTCGGCCAGTTCCCTCGTAGCAGTGGTAGAGGTAGGACTGGCTCTCTTGCGACCCCACGGACGCACCGGGGTTCAAACGCTCGGCTTGGACGGTGAGAATGTTTGATAGAGGCTTTCCATTAGAAAGAGTGTAGTGATAGATAGCGTAGTCGTCCTTGCTAGTGTTGAGGGCTTTCTCTACTGGGCCCCAAGGGAAACGCCACTCGCAAGGGTCGCAGTGTCTATGAGTGGGTTAGCTAACGGCAATACAAAGCATAGAAGATACAAGGAAGAAACTTACTCGCTAGGGTAACGAGGGTCAGAGTAACCCTCAGCAAAGTGCACTGGAGCGAAGCGGAAGAGGGGCAGGTTCAGCATGTCTAGCCAAACCACAGGCTTATCACTCTCGTTGCCATGGTCATGCCAGTGCCAGATGGGTGTGACAACGACATCTCCTCGAACAAGAGGCATCTTCTTTCCCTCGACAGCAGTGAAGCCTTCACCATCCATGATGAAGCGGCAGGCAAAGGCAAGATGCCTGTGAGCTGGGGCAGTCTCGCCTGGGTTGACAATTTGCAAACCGCCATAGATAGTATCTGTAGTATAGGGAGCCTCTAGGAGTAGTGTGAGTATGAGGTCAAAAATCCGCAATGACTATGTTGGGGGGGCTTACGCATGCTGGGGTTGACTAGCATCAGGACTCTCCTCTCGGCCTTCTCCTCGGGTACCAACCGAGCAGCTGTTTCCAGATGCGGAAGAGCGTCTCGGTATTTCCACATGTGAGGCTTGGTAGTAGGGTTAGGTGTGGGAGGCACCATCATGTTCATCTGCGACCACAGGGGGTCGAGGTGTTGTGCGGGGAGAGCACTGAGGTACGACTTCATCTCCTCTGTCTCGCCGTCGGCGGCGCCGGCGCTCACGGTGCTGGTATAGTTTCCCATTGTGATAGATGTCGTCTAAATGTGTGATTCCGTGAAGACTGGCTGTTGTCTGGAGCTAGTCGGTCTTGATTCTTTATAATATTACCCAAGTCGTAGGCATCGAACGATTAACCAGATACCGGTATCACTGCCGTATCTCAAGAATGGAGAAAGGATGAAGGTCGGGGAAGTCAAGCAAACACGGACTGATCACAAGTCTCCCAATGCTGAGCCACGCTTAGGGGAGAACGATTTGCAGCCCGGAACAAAGTCCGCCGAGCACAACCGAAGCGATTCCGAAATCCCGGAAGCTCCGTCCAAGATCCGCATTCCGATCGGACCGCGACGTGGTTGGCTCCCCACGTGGATCCTCTCCCATGACGCTTTTCGGTAATCTATTGTACAATTACCTTCCACTAGACATTGCTTAAGGAGGGGTTTAAAATCAAGACTCAAACCATCAGAAGCTGAGAAATGCGTCACCTTACCAGTAAACTCGCTTCACTATCACGCAACATGTCTACCGCTTCTTGGACACGTCTTATCCGCTTTGTCGATGACAACGGCAACGAGACTTTTGGCGAGCCAATCATTCAGGATGACAAGGAATTCTCTGATCGTCTAGCCAAGAATGATCTTTGGGCTGTTGAGTACAAGGGCACAAGTCCTGTAGCTGAACTCACCAAGGGCGAGAAGATCCATGTCAAGACTGTTCGGGAACTTCTCCGACCATCGGATGTGCCGATTATTCGATGCATTGGCCTTAACTACATCAAGCACAGTATGTTACAAATTCCCCGTGGAGAAATGAATTACTAACACGAATTCAGTCAAGGAGGGTGGCCGAACACCGCCCCCATACCCCTCAGTCTTCATCAAGCCCGCGACTTGTGTTACTGGCTTCAACGATGATGTTCCTATTCCCAAGATTGCCCAAGACGGCACAGTAGACTACGAGGGAGAACTGGTAAGTTGCCATTTGTCTCTTTGGTAAACCACGCTAATGACCATGCAGGGTATTGTCATTGGCAAGACCGGCAAGAATATCCCCAAGGAGTCTGCACTCTCCCACATTGCTGGATACGTCGTCTCCAACGATGTCTCCGCCCGAGCATGGCAGCGCGACCCCAAGAAGGCCGGTGGTGTTCCCCAGTGGTGCTTCAGCAAGGGTTTCGACAAGTTCGCCCCTCTTGGTCCCCTTCTCGTCTCTCCCGCTGTCGTCGGAAACGCCTCCACCCTCAATTTGAGGACAACCGTCAACGGCGAGGAGAGGCAAAACTCCGGCACTGGTGATCTTCTCTTTGGTGTTGAGGAGATTGTCAGCTTCATCAGCCAGGGAACTACCCTCGAGGCTGGTACCGTTGTTCTCACTGGCACACCGTCTGGAGTTGCCATGGGTATGAAGGAGCCCAAGTACCTCAACGATGGAGATATTGTGGAGGTTAGCATTACTGGGCTGGGAAGCGTGAAGAACAAGATGGTTTTTGAGTAGACATAGAACCCAGAGATGGAATAATAAAAGTACATTTAGACCTAAAGATCTCACATAAATCGTGCTGGGTATTGTCTTGAACTCGTGCATTTTGCTAGTTACTCATTAAGCAGTTCCCAAACCCCCTGCATATCGTTCAACCATGACATGTCATTTACATCAAAATTGAAATCAGCCAGATCCTGATACGAAAGATCCGGCATTGGCGTCTCAAACTCATCAGCCAACTGCTGCACCAAGTCAGGCAACTCGATATCAGCTGGAATATCAGGCCCTCCCCCAGTTTGACTCCCTTCGCTGGTTCGACAAGAAGTCCTCTTGCTTCCACCTTCGTGCCCTGGCAAGCCTCCGGGCACAGCCTGCAATATCTTGGATGAAAGAATATGCAACGCCGCCACGCATCTTCGTGCTGATTGGCCAAATTTCTCGTGAGCCTTCAGTACTGAAATGGCCTGGCCCCAAGAGCGCCCAATTTCAACCGCAGGAAAGACATCTGGTCTTAACTTTGCAGCGATTAGGACTGTAGCAGCTGAGTACACATAGTACACACGGTACCACCACGCTGGTAGAAGGCCAACAGTGCTGTCAAGAGTCTGGTGCGTAAGAAGTGTGGTGATGATATTCTGGGCAGTGGCAACGCAAAACATTGCTCCTTGCTGGATGACACGGATCTGTAAAGTGTCGTCGGCCAGACTATTTTCTGCCGGTGATTGTGTCAGGCAGAATCGTGACAACAGCGGTCGGAGTAGTAGAATCCGGGCATGAAGAAAGCTATCTCTCCCGTTAGCCTTGTGCATCCAAAATCCCTTCGAGGTACTTACCGCATCCGGAGAATCACAGCCTGACGACGTAATATCTCATCCTTGTTTGCCTCCAGCATGTTCCACTTTAGGTGATCCGGAAGTCTTTTCTCCCATTTACTAAGCGAACGGTCCAGTTGAACAACCTTGTCGAGATCTTCGTCATCGTTATCTGAACTGTCGTGGTCGGGGCCGTGATACTCTTTTGCTTTGCATCGTCCACTGTGAGAGCCTCCGTAGAGCGCTATCATGGTTTGGTGAATTATCTCATAGAGTCTGACTGACTCTACAAAGAAGCTGTAGTATCCTGTGTCTCTTCCTGATGTAACATCTCTCGCGTCAACAGGTGGTGATTTATTAGGTAAGGGGACGGCCATCGCAGGGCGTTTCGAAATCATGGCAGGACGTCCATGAGTCACGGACACCATCCTACTTGCATCAGCTATGCCTGAGAAGAACTCATATCCCTCGCACATACCTATCCATAAGAATACATCCATACCATATCCGACGTAACAGTTCTCGCTCTCCGGGATCAGATCGATCAGCTGACGTTTCCGGTAGGTGAAGTCCCAACCCTTGAGCCATTCTTATTGCCGAGCCAACAACCATCCACGTCTGATGTGGATTGTAAGTGCTCTGAAGATACTGACTCGTAACCAACAGACACTGCACTAGCTCAAGAGATCCGGAGTCCCAAGGGCTCATTGGTAATAAGTCTTGGGCTCGGCGGAAGTAGGTCTCGCTTGATTGTTCTCGTTGCTCTAGAGACTGAGACTCAAGTAGTTGTGTGGAAAGAGCAAAGATGATATTGAGGGTAGCAACAAAAATTCGTTCGTTGAAATCAATGACTGTACCGGCAAAGATGGCATTGTATGCATTGGTCCAACGTTTCCGATCAAGGAAGGGATATAAAGGGTCTACATAGAACCAATAAAGTTCCATGAGATGGTCTGCTTGCCGACGTGGAGGCAGGACGTAGGAAAGCTCAGGGGCTGGTGCATCACCGGCACCTGTGACTCCGAGAACCGAACGCGAAGTGGCCGGAACACTGTTTGAAGGACCGGTTCCGGGCTTTCCCAGACGTATATCGATAGCTTTCTTGATTTGAGCTGTGAAGGAACCAGCACTACTGATTCCAAAGAACTCTCCAGTGTTGGTCCCTTCGTCAACGACAGCCGTCATGGAGTCGATGACAGACGGGCTGGTTGAACATGCTGATGCCCCAAGTTGCCCACGACCTTGTGCTTCGTGTCTACTCCCGGGAGTCGTTCCGGCAGGGGACGAATGTTGTTGCTGAGGCTGTGGGTTAGACATGGCTTGCACTCTTATCTGGGTTTCAGACATGTGTGCTACACGTCCTAAGTCAGGGCTTCTTGCAGAGCCAACATTTGGGAGAGCTTGAGGATTTGCTCCCTGTGGTACGATATTGTTGGTATCACGACTCAATCTGATCGACGGGCCTTCTGAGTCGCGAACACGGACAAGACTGCCTGCGCTATATTTGCATTGGTCTCGCAGACTCAGCTTGCGTGAACACGATCCACAGACTATACAATGTCGTCAGTTAATGCTCTTTTTCAGATTGGTCAAATTGTTATGAATAGTAACGGTATTCTTCATCCATCCTCAACATTCCTGTCATTCCACAACACTGAGCTATCAGGTGATGACTTGCCTGGACGTACACCATCGCATTTGACCTTTTTCGCACGACAGTTATCGCAAGCAACGTCGATCTTGAGTCGCTTCGACCCACTTTGCCTACTTCCAGGACCCTCGACAACTCTCTGGGGAGGCTCCATCTGTTGCTGTGCCGCCGTCTCCCTTCAGTGAGCAGCTCCGGACGGGACCGGAACAGGTGCACGTGACTTAACGTGATCCGGTTGGAATGAGAGACCAAGAGATAAGCAGGCTGCAATGAGACGTGTGGAGTTGTCCCGGAGGATCAGGGCCTTGATGAGCGAGAAATCCGGGGTCGGAGGACGTGGATAAGGAAAGATTTCGGAAGCAGATGAGGTTGAGTTCCGAGGTTGAGTTTGTCCCGAAAGTTCGTTCCGAACCAATCGGAAGCCATGTTTATTCATAAGCTAATTACTCCGCATCTCAGTCACAGTGTGTGATGTGATGACTCCCCTGTCCATCAACTCCTCCTCCGCAAATTCTTACTTTCTCATCTCTTCCCACTGGCCGACGCCCTCAACCGGCTCCATCCATTTCGGCCGGTTCTTGACAAAGATCTCGTTTGCCGGTTTGAAGTTTAGCCTAAACACAAGTCAGCTGGCTGTTACCGAGTGCACGGTAACGCCTCCACTTACCCTCCGTCCAGGAGTGGCAGTCGGATGAGATGAAATGTTCCTTTGGCTGCGGCCGGGATCGTCCATAATGTGCATCCACATGTTCGGCAAAAGTGCTTTTCTTTCTTATTTCCGCTGGCTGTATCAGAGAGGATGAACTCGCCGATAGCGTCGTCGGTGGCCGTTATTTGGACGTCCTTTGTAGCAAACTTGCCAATCTATATCTGAGATTAGAGAATTCCCTCTGATTCTGATATGCTCTCTCAGTTCTTACCAACTGATGGGCTCCTCCAGCTCCTTTGCTACAATGCTCGCAGAAGCATGATAGCACTGTAACTGGCTCTGATGAGATGCTGAACTTGACAGCGGCACAGAGGCACTGTCCGGAATATGGAGCTGGCATCGCGATTGTGGATTTCTCCGTGATTTAGATACGGATATGTCTAGTAAAGAACCTTGATGGCATCATCGTTTATATGAGTATTTCAACTTATGTATAGGTATGTAGTCAACTTAGAAACCTACACCACTCGATGTGGTGGTTGGAGCACCAAATCCACAGCTTTAGCATTCTCGGAACCGGAACGTCTTCCTGGACAGGCTCCGGCCGACCAAAGCCGCCGACCCAGTGACACATCTTCCGAAGGCCCGGGATCATGTCTACTACAGCTCCACCCTCAAGTATCCGTCCTCGGGTCTGAGCCAGAAACGGCCATACCCTGAACGCGTCTATGGGGCGGCGAGAGCGGTACCCGATACCTGATCTCCATCTATTTAGAATGTAAACGTAGTGAGTTGAGTTTCATAGATCAGGGTGTGAAACATCAACGCTGGCTGCTTGACGTAAAGGTGCTAACAGCCAGAGTTGCAGATTGTACCTAGACAATGAGGATCTGCATAGGTCGGGTATGTAGTTACCCATATCTTGTCATAATCCATTTTTCTAATTCCTACTCCTGATCATGCAATTCTATCTAATATCTATGGATCAAAAGTCAACTTCTCCGATTTCACAACGACCTCTCCCACGATATCAGCTGCCGAAGAACCCAAAGAAACCCGATATTCTCCTTCATCAACCACCCACTTCTGAAGGCCAGTGTCATAGTACGCCAAATCTCTATCCTTGACTGATAGTTGCACCGTCTTCTTCTCGCCAGGCTGCAGTTGGACCTTGTTAAAGGCCACGAGAGCCTTGATTGGGTGGTCTGCACTGGAAGAAGCTCGTCCGGCGTAAACTTGCGCCAACGAACCTCCGGCCTTGTTTCCTGTGTTGGAGATTTCGGCTGTGACAGCCCAAGCTCCATCCTCTCTCGTGACGTTCTTCAGGTCATATGCAAAAGTTGTGTAAGACAAGCCGTGACCAAAGGGGAAGTTGACCTTGTCTTTTTCAAGGCGATCAAAGTGGCGATATCCAATAAAGACTCCTTCCTCATACTTGACCTTGAGTTGATCATTGACGTACTCGCCGGGGAAGTTCCCGTGCGCTGGGCAATCCTCAAGACGATTGGGGAAGCTAACTGGCAGTCGGCCTTCGGGGTTGACGGCTCCAGTGAGAACGTCGGCGATGGAGTGACCGCACTCTTGGCCGGGGAACCAGGCTTGCATGACGGCAAATACCTGGTCAAGCCAGGGCATGGCGATAGCAACGCCAGTGGAGTTCACCACAATCGTGTTCTTGTTGGCAGCCGCAACAGTCGATACCATGGCATCCTGAGTTCCCTTGCGAGGCAGGTTGAAAGAATCCTGATCGCGGCCCTCAGTCTCCCATTGGGGGTCATGGCCAGTAAAGACAATAGCGTAGTCAGCATTCTTGGCAACCTCGGAAGCTTCTCCAAGAAGATCAGCATCGTGGTCTGACTCGAGCGAGAAGCCAAGACGAACACCACTGCGACCTTCAAGAATGGTCAGGCCAATCTTTGTTGGAGGGTCACTGCAGATACGTAGACGGTATGTCTTGCCAGCCTCGAAACTGTAGCGGAACTCGGGCTCCGGAGCTGCCAAGAATAGCGAGCCCATGGGATCCGAGCAGTTGCCCTTTTGCTCAAAGATGAGGTCGTCGCCGACAAAGACACGAGTAGGTCCCAGTCCAGAGCAGGCGATGTAATGTGTGCCTGTCTCAGCTGGTGTAAAGTCTCCAACAATCTCGAGTCTTCGCCAAAGTGACTCTTGAGATCCTAGAGGCGAATACACCGAGGTTGGTTGAGAGATGACCGACACAGGTTCAGTCTTGCCGCTCTCGAACAGTTGTCGGCTGAAACCCGGTTGTCCATCAAGGCCGACCACAGCACCACAAGAGCCATCCTTGCTAATCGCTGGAAGAAGACGCTCACGATGGGCTCCCTTGGCAAAGGTAAACTCGACATCGTCTCCAAGAGCTTCATGAAGGGCGTCCCAAGGCGTGACTTTTCGGTAGGCGTTGACAGCAGCACTACCACCACCGTGGGCCATGGCATCCTTAGCAAAGCCAATGAGGGCAATTTTCTTCTTGCTAACCTTGTCCTTCGACAGGGGCAAAAGGTTTCCCTCATTCTTCAGCAGCACGATACCTCGTGCGCCGGCTTCTCGAATCATGCTCCGGAGTTCGGGGCTATCAGTGGATTGTCCGAGAACAGCAGGATCCGCCTCATCCTCGAGGGCCTTGAGCTTCAGGGCAAACTGAATCACAGACTTGGCCCGCTCGTTGATGACCTCTTCTGTGACCTCTCCCTTCTTAAGTGCTTCGATAACGTCGGCCTCCTTGCGAAGTCGTGGAGGTCCAGGCATCTCCAAATCTAGTCCAGCGTTGAGGGCGGAAGCAACCGAGTTTGTGCCACCCCAGTCACTCATGACGAGACCATTCCAGCCCCAGTTTCCGCGAAGGACGTCCTTCAAAAGCCAGTTATGTTCATCGCAGTGGACTCCGTTGACATGGTTGTATGCTGTCATGATTGCCCAGGGCTTGGCCTCCTTGATAGCAATCTCGAAGGGGCGTAGATAAATCTCACGGAGAGCCCGCTCATCAATAGTCTCATCAACCGTCGTTCGGGCCGTCTCTTGCTCATTGGCCACGAAATGCTTAATTGTCGCTGACACACCAACACTCTGCAGACCCTGAATGACTCGAGAAGACATCTTTCCCGCGAGGAAAGGATCTTCACTGAAACTCTCAAAGTTACGTCCTCCAAGCGGATGTCGATGAATGCAAACTGTAGGTCCTAGGATGCAGTGGGCTCTCTTACCCCTTGCCTCCTTGGCAAGAGCCTGGCCGAATCTCTCGGCGAGCTCTGTGTCGAAGCTCGCTGCGAGATTGCATGCTGCTGGGAAACAGGCGGATTTGATGCTGAGGTCTGTGGCTGCCGAACGGACTCCATTAGGGCCATCAGCTGTCTAGGGGTATGTTAGTGTGTGTTGAATAATAGAAACTTGGATGTTACCTTGATTGCTGGGACTCCCTTTTCGGGCAGACCGACAGTCTCGGAGAAGTTCTGGCCTGCGAGCAGGGATATCTGAAAATAACGATATTAGCTCCAAGACAAGGGCATGTCTGGACTGCCGAGGCATACCTTCTCCTCCAACGTCAGCGACTTGATGATCGCATCAATATCAGTATTTTTGGCCATCTTGTAATCTGGTTACCTCAGAATAGCTAGTTTTAGACTTGATCGAGAATCACGAGTGATTAACACAACACCAGCTCACTTTATCAACGTGCTCCGTTCAGCTATGGGTCAAGGCTAGAGTGAGAGCTAGACACAACAGCCAATCATGTCCAGATCCGAGATCCTTTCCGGAGGGTCCAACTCCACCCGGATGAGGAGTTGGTGATTCTCGGCTAAGAAGTTCGGCTATTACGACATCGAATATTACGCGATCAAGGTACTTGAGGTCTGTCTTGATGTTGGAGAGATCAATTCCCATGCTGGTGACTGCCATTCCCATCGTACTTTTATACCGCCTTGTGTGAACAAAATGGCTGCAAAATGACGGCTAGCAAAGTGCGGAGATCCCTGCAGGTCTATGGGTTGCTAGGGTGGGTGTTGACCGAAAGCTCCAGTGAAGTCAATAATTGCTTCTTATTGCTCGGCATCCGGAACTACGAATTACGGTACGGAGTATATAGATAGCATCTGACATGATGCAGTGGGGACTTCGGAGCCGAGGAGGGAAAGAAGACTGGTGTCCATGACTCCCTACGACGCAAGTCCTCTTCAACCTACCCCGGTAGCCGATGTTATGTGAGGCTCAGTGCTGGCAGAACCGGTTTCTGACATCCAGAAGCCTCTTTAGCCTAGTGAATACTCTTTTTCCAAGTTTCTAATTTCGTATGTCCATGGCGCAACTCATGTTTACAAGCTAGACGTTGCACAGCGACCGATATCTCACAAAAAAGTTCAAGATGGGATCCAAAAGATCAATTGTCTAGCCAAGGCCTGGATCCTCTTCCTAGATTACACTATATAAGCTTGAAAGTTCTAAAGTAATCAAGCTCGTCAGGGGAGAGTAAAATTAAGCAAGCTCAACCTGATCAACCTTGTCCTTCTTGTTCTCCTTCTCCAAATCTCCACCCTCGATATCCGCAAGCTTTCCAGCGTGGAGAGCACCATTCTTGCCCTCAAACACTTCTTGGATCTCCTCAAGCGTGTGACCCTTGGTCTCTGGGAAAAGGAACCAGATGACAACAATGAGCATGGCCAAGATGCAGCAGAAGACGATGTAGTACTTCCAGCCAATCTTGCCCATGGCGATGGGGTTGACCTGGTTTCCGACCACCAAGCCGACAAAGGTGCTGATGTACATGATGGAAACACCACGACCGCGAAGAGTGTAGGGGTAAATCTCGACGATGTAAGCCTGAAGCAGAGGAGCCCACGCAATGGCGTAGAAGAAGAAAGTAATGAAGACGAAACCAACAATAGCTCGGCCAGTTTCCTCACTCCTTGTCGAAGCAAAGTGAGAGCTAAGAGCGGTCCAGATGATGTATGAGACGCACATTCCACATGTCGAGGTGAGGAACAGGGTTCGGCGTCCGAGACGATCGACCAACATGGCACCAACGAAGATGGCAGCCAACCAGTTGGAGATTTGCAGCAGACCGTTGATGAGAGTCTGGTCCTTGACCTCGGTGATGCCGATAGTGTTGAGAACGAGGACGAGGTAGTAGCTTCGTATGGTTAGCATGTTGTCAACAATGGAGGAGGATGTCAAACTGACCTGACAAGGTTGATGCCGTTCCACTGAGCGAACCAACCAACAATAACAGCGATAAGAGTACGTCTGCGGTTCGCAGGTGTACGGACAAGCTCGAGCCAAGAGTTCTGCGACATGGCATCGGCCTCGTGCGTCAAAGCACCCTCAATCTCTGCCATCTCAAAGTGGACAAGAGGGGCATCGTAGTCACCTCCAGCATGGTATTCGGCCAGGATTTTTCGAGCTTCTTCCCTTCGACCGTGTGCGACGAGCCATCGAGGCGATTCGGGGAGGAAGTAGATCGTGAGAAGCTGAAGAGCGGGGAGAGCTCCTTGCAGAAGAGAGGGGATTCTCCAGCTCCACGTCGTGTCGAGCTTGAATGTTCCGAAGGTGCACCACGCGGCAATGATACCACCCAGGTACTGTGACCCTCCAAGTCAGTTGACGCGTTCCCTTATTCCATCGAAGGGCTTAAGACTCACGAAAGAAGTGTTGTAGAGGGCTGTCAGCTTGCCACGATGCGTCGGGTACGCAAGCTCTGTAATGAGGATAGGGCTAGGCTGAGCTAGGAAACTGGTGAAAAATCCGAGGATAGCTCTCGCGGCAATGAACGTGTGAAGGTTCTGCGACACAGCCTGCATGATGGCAAATGCAACACATGTCAAGGCGCCAATCGCCATGGCAGTCTTTCTACCAAATCGATCGCAGACGTAGGTGACGAGGAAGAGGGCAACTACTTTGCCGGCAGGGTAGACCGAGTTCATGGCTCCGAGCATGGCACCTTGAGGGTTGCCAAAATATTGTCGCCATTGAGGGAGTGTTTGAAGACCGTTCATCATGGATCCTGAGATGTCAGCGACCGCAAAGCGCAATTGAGGTTGTAGAGCTCACCATCGTAGCCAATTGCGCCGGATGACACGAGAGGGATCAAGAGGAGGAGGTTGAGCTTGAGAAGATGAGGCGTGCGATACCATGGTCGAGGATCGTTGGGAAGCACCTAAGATGGTCAGCACTCGTGATAATCAAGTCAATTGCAATGTTTGACTCACTGCAGCAAGCTCACGGCCGACGACTGCGGCCGCCCCCTTTCTCTCCTTGTGCGATGAAGAACCCATGATGTCGTCAAGGGTGAATGAAGCGATTCCAAGACAAGGATTGAACAGACACCTTTGGCTCAGACAAAGATCGATGGATGCAACGCAAACACCAAGGATGCAGACGTCGATTCTCTTATATCTTTGGAGATGCAGCAAAAAAAGAAAGAAAGGATCAAGATTTCCCCCCAACCCCACACATTTTCTATGAGGAGTGACCCCACGGGGGAGGGATAGTTCGGGGGATGGCCTGTCAAAGGGTGGAGTTTGACCGTCAAAATCTGGACAAGGATCCGACGCTACCGTTTAAGCCTTGGTCTCTTCCGAGTTTTCGGACCAGACTCTTATTGGTTCTTGGATTTTAGTTCCGATAATGACGGCTTGTGATTTGACAGTGTCTGACTCGTGACCTACGCGTCAAGGGCCAAGGCCTTACGGGAGATGCCCATTTTTAGCGGCCAAATTCCGAGGCTGTTTTCCACGTGGGCATCAAGATTCTTTGAGGCTGAATGAATCTCCTAAGACCGGTTAAATAACGAATCCATACATAAGCTGGAACTAATATCGCTACGCGGACCGACAGCTCGGTTGAACGGGGTCAAGCATTGAGATCTAGAACTTCAACGTTGCCGAAGAGAACCGAGATGGCGAAAATCGCCCGGTTTTCTTCACGTCCACTGTTCAAGGACAGTTGCCTTCATTGCGGAAGGTATCAATGCCACATACTTCTTTCACTTATCTCCCAATGGTAGAAAACACTTGCGCCTGCAATGCTTTGTTGCCGGACAAAAAATTAAAGTTCTCCATATCTGCTGCAGGTCTCTAGGGTAGGCTGGCCTGGTGAAACAACATGAAGCTGGCATGAACATAGGTAGGGAGGTAGTGATGCCATGTAACAAGACCTCTCAGAATGCAGGTAGGTGTGAGTCTTCTACTTCTGGCTGTTAAAAACCGTAAAAAAAAACGTGAGGCTGCTGCGTTAACATTGAGACATGATGCTAAGAAATGATGATGTCGTGTTCTTCACTGCACTTGGAGCACGGCCCTTGATGCGCAAACTGAACCCATAGCCAAGCAACAAGAAGTCAAACTCTTAGCAGCACATGAGACTAATGCTTTGACTTAACGATTAATAGACTCATGTCATCCTCGGTATCAGTATGAAAACTTGCAAGTTCGCGGGTCATGTGATGTGCCAACTCTATCCTCAGGCAGGACTACCAAAGAAGTCACTGCTTGAATAGTAATCATCGGAAACCCGACAAATTCGCCCGTCTCTCTAGAACAAATAACCCATACGAATTTCTGCATTTGGATCTGCCTGTTATAATTGCTCCTCCTGCTGACAAAACTTTACTACCCAATGTCCGATTGACCACCCAACACTTAGCCAAGCACCTCCGTGCATTGGTACGCCTTTGACCGAACAACCTCGGAGGTTATGACACTCAACCAGCAGCACCACCACAATTGGATAGTAATCTTGATTATCGTGCATCATTTGAAACCATTGGCTGATTACTCATGATTACAATGATAGAGGTGACGTAACGGAAAGCCTTCCATCCATAGCACCCGACCCCTCCGATGCTGGGCATGTGAAGAAGAAGCTTTCATAAAAGCCTCTCAGCTGGACTAGCATTTGCCTGTTGCGATTTCCTGGCATACAGAACTATCAAAGCTCTGAAGAAGCTAAACCCTGAACTATGTCGTCTCAAAACAATAACCTTCCTATCGTCTTTGTCGTTGGTGCAACCGGCGCACAAGGCATTCCAGTTGTTCGCGACCTTGTCAAAGATGGCGCTTACAAAGTCCGCTTTCTAACGCGCGACGCCAATTCCCCACGAGCAAAAGCCCTCACCGCCCTCGGGAATGTCGAGCCTCTTGTTGGGACCTTTGCCAGCGAGGAAGACCTCCGAAAGGGCTTCCGCGGCGCCCAGTACGCATTCGTCAACATCGACGGGTTCAATTGTGGAGAGAAGACGGAGACATTCTGGGCCATACGAAGCTATGAGCTTGCTCTCGAAGAAGGTATCAAGTTCTTCGTCTATGGTAATCTCGACTTTTCATACAAGAAGAGTGGATATGACCCCAAGTTCCGGACTGGCCATTATGACGGCAAAGGTCGAATCGCCGAATGGATCTTGCAGCAAAACAAGGATCCGAAGAACGCGGCACGAATGGGCGCTGCCATTTTTACTACTGGGCCTTATATGACAATGGCAATTGCTGCGCATACTCCCATGAGTCCTCGGATTGAGGATGGAGTTGTCACATGGAGAGTCCCTCTCGGAGATGGCGCTGTTTGTCACGTTGATCTGGATGATTGTGGATACTATGTCCGTTGGCTGTTTGAGCACCAGAAGAGAGCCAACGGAATGGATCTCGAGGTCGCGATTGATCTCATTAGCTATAACGACCTGGCCAAGGCTTTCGAGAAGGTGTCTGGCCACCCAGCCCGATATATCGACACAGACCTCGACACCTATTGGACTTCAGGTCCTCTTGGAGATGGAACTCCAAGCAGCGGATACAACTCTGACCTCAATGATCCCGCCGCAATGACAATCCGCCAGAACTTTACCGGGTTTTGGAACATTTGGAAGGCGTCTGGAGGAAACAAGGGTTTGGTCCAGCGAGACTTTAAACTTTTGGATGAGATTCACCCTGGAAGAGTCAAGTCGGCTGAAGAGTGGTTCAGGAAGGAAGAGAAGAAGGGAATTGAGCATGGCTTGGGAGATCTCTGGGATAGGGTCAACAATCTTAGGCCTGTGTTGAAGCTTGTCGAGGATCGACGGAAGGGTCGTCTATGAGTATCTGGCAAAGGTCAGCAATGCACTTGATGTGTGAGAGCAGCGAACGCCCCCTTGTTCACTCTTCTGATTGAGATATCTGGTATATTATCCCACTTTTTGCTGAGATCGATCTCCTGAAATCTCCCTCCTAGCACCCTGACGTGAGTTGGAACCTTGACGACCTTCACTATTGAGATATTCACTTCACAATTGCATCATTTGAAGCAAGGTGATGCTATGTTGACCAATCGAACTACTCCATCCTATCAAACCCAAACAATAAGGCACATGACTCACAGACTCAACCTGGCTAGAACAGTCGGCGTAACTGCAGGGGATGATTAAGCCACAACACCCATTGGTCCAGACTCTGTGGAGCACACGTGGGAATACGCCATTGTTTCGGAGGTTGATTAGTTCCCCGAGCAGGGCTGAAGTCGACCTGCGAAGCTGTTCAACAAGGTCACGGAGTGTAAAGTAGGCTCCGTTAAAGTCCATCGCCGACAGCTGGCAGCTTTCTTCTCCTCACATCGGACATATTTCGAGTTTGGCTAAGCGTTGAAGGTGTTGGAGAAGGATGGGTAAGGGATTTTGTTGACGCTGGGTAGGCCAACTCCCCATTGCTTGTATGCTTACCCCTACGCTTACCCTGGCGCCAGAGCTAAGCATTACGCTACCAAAGAGCTGGTCGTACAAGGCTTCGGGAACACCTGGAACACATGAAACACCAGTATAGAAGAGCTCTTCAAAATCTCAAAGAAAGAGTCTTGATGATACTGTCCAACAACACATCCATGGCCTCGGTGCAATGCCGAGAAACACGGTTCGATCCTCGCCCGCAAAACCTGGGGTTACATGAACCACCAATCTCAACCTCACCCACGCCATCCTCCCCATACCCGTTCTCATAGCGGGTCCCTAGCGTCTCCTGCCGGTCAAAAGCCATGCATCTCCCCCGCAAATGAGACAATATCGTCGCATCTCGCGCGACAACAAACCTTCGGAGCCTACTTCTGAAGCCGATATCCCCCATCTTCGCGTTCATTTCCCCAGGTTTTAGTGCCGTTTTCCCCGCTCTCGGCTTTTCCCTTGCTGCCCACAAGGGAGATCTTGCCCTATTCCGGGGTTGAGGTCATCTGGTCAGCCAGTTCGAGGGACATAAATACAAAGCATTGACCTTGTGAAGTTTTAATTTTTTGCAAAGTCAGGGCTCCAGTGAGATCAGCATTGACTTGAGAGACACACTTCAATTCCTTTTCAACATGACAGCCGCGCAAGACAATCGTCAGCTCGCTGACTCCAAGGAGACGCCAGACTTTGCGCATGTCAACAGTGTGCTTGAAGATGAGAAGCCCTCGGCGGTAGAAGAGCGAGACTATACTGGCACCGCGAAGAAGACAGATCCTGAGGAGATTCGTCTCGTGAGGAAACTCGATCTCTGGATCATGGTAAGTAGCATTGAGCGTCTACACTTGATCATAGCTAACATTCGACAGCCTTGTCTTTGCCTCATGTATTTCCTCAACTACGTCGATCGAAATGCCATCGCCCAAGCCCGACTGAACAACCTCGAGGAAGATCTCAACATGACTGGCACCGAGTTCAACACAACCGTTTCGATGTACGTTGAATCGTTGAATATGAGACTTCTCAGGCTGACACAGTTCGCAGTCTGTTCGTCGGCTACGTCTTGATGCAGGTCCCTAGCAACATGTTGATCACCAAGGTCAGACCTGGTATCTACATGAGCGCATGGATGTTGATCTGGGCAGTTGTTTCTGGTAAGTCTATCCCTGCAAGATCGAGCTTGGCTGCTTGGCATCAGATCTCTAACCCCATTGCAGGATGCACAGCACTTGTCAAGAACTATCAGGGTCTCTTGGTTTGCCGATTCTTCCTCGGTATCACTGAAGCGCCCGTGAGTACCCAATTCTTTGATGCCGCGACCTTTTATTGACTTGAGCAGTTCTACCCAGGAGCTACCTACATCCTGTCCATTTTCTACACCAGAAAAGGTATGTGGGACGTGCTTTAAGGAAACGCAAAGACTAACCAGTAGCCGAAACAGAGGTCGCCTCTCGAATCGCCCTTCTCTACTGTGCCCAGATCCTTGCTACCGGCTTCTCTGGACTCATCGCCGCTGGTATCTTTGCCGGTATGGACGGTCTCAAGGGAATCGCGGGATGGAGATGGTACGTCCCCAACGCCAAGCACACAGCCCCAAACTAACCCCATACCAGGCTCTTCATCGTCGAGGGTGCCGCGACCGGTCTCGTGTCTCTCATTGGCTTTGCTCTTCTCCCCAACACTCCCCTCACGACCCACTGGCTCAACGAGCGCGAGAAGCAGCTTGCGCACTCCCGCATGGAGAAGGATAAGCTGTCTGATGCTTCTGATGAGAAGGCTTCTTCTTGGGAGGGTCTCAAGCAGGCTTGCTCTGATAAGAGGACTTGGCTCTTCTGTCTTATGCAGAACTTCCATCTGTCGGCTTGCTCGTTCAACTCTTTCTTCCCTACGTGAGCCCACCCCTCTACTCCATAGAAGCGAGTTCAAACGCTGACTTTTTCGTCCACTAGTGTCGTCAAGACCCTCGGCTTCAACACAACCATCACCCTTGTCATGACCTGCCCTCCCTTCATCTTCGCTGGTGCTGCTGGTATTGGCTTTGGATGGAGTTCTGGTCGCTTCCACGAGCGCACATGGCACATCACTGCCGGTCTTACCATTGCCATCGCTGGTTTTGCCCTTGCTGCTGCGACCTTGAACACAGCTGCTCGCTACGTGGCTTGCTTCATCTTCCCCGTTGGCGCTTATGCTGTCAACTCTGTCATTATCGGATGGGCCGCGTCTACTCTGTCTCAGACAAAGGAGAAGAAGGCTGTAAGTCTACCATTGATACACAAACCCCAGAGAATATTGACACTGACTATCTTAGGTTGTTCTGGCAATGACCAATGTCGGTGGCCAGATCGGTTATATCTATGGTGCCTACCTCTGGCCCAAGAGCGACGGACCCCGATATGGCATTGGTTTCGGTGCCTCCGCCGGTTTTGCCTTCTGCTCAATCATCTGTGCTTGGTGCATCCGCATTCTCTTGATTCGGGAGAACCGAAGAATCCGTGCTTCCACTACCGAGCATATCAACCTTTACGGATACTAAAAGGCTGGGAGACATCAGCCTCTGGATCATGACTACCTGGGACGTGGTGGGCTCAGGTGTCTTTATCTCTAGTTTTATGACGATCAAAGGTGAATGGTTTGCAGCACTGAGAGAGGGGTTTGATGATATTATGAATAGGGTCTTGTTCATTTGGGATAAGGAATAGGTCGGAGAAGGCATTGGGAAATGAGTGGTCGCTGTCACATACAGAAGCCAAGGACATGTTAGGTTCAACAGTAACTGGAAGATATGAGGGCAGTTAAATATCATGTGAAGCTACAAAGACCCAACCAACAAGCCAGACTCCTAGTGTACATTATCCCAAACAAGCCATCCCGCTTAAGCAATATTCACACGAATTGTGCTTCCATCAATCTTGAAATCGGACACAATATCCGCAGGCCACTTGGGCAAGGCCACGAAGTGATCCTCCCACACCTGCTTATTGGGACCCCGTCTCGCCATCGCCACCTCGTCCTGTCGCGTCTTGCGCGCCGCAAGAGTGACCTTGGAAAGGCTGCGATAAGCATGTGCACGCCGAGCAAGATCCCGGAGGGCAGTTTGGGAAGCTCTCAGCTGAATTGGCTTTGTTTCTTTGCCATCCAGCCACTTGTTGCCCTTGGCCCACTCCTTCCCACTCGCCTTGAATTCTGCATAAAGCTCTGCGTGATCCTTGCTGAAAGACTTGACGTCTTTAGGCTGGATAGTGACCTCGATATAGTCACCATGAACCTTTGGTAGAATCTTTGGATCCAGCGAAGCGAGATAGCACTCAAGGAATCCTGGTCTGACGCCCCGGCTTTCGTTGAAGATGCCCTGGAAGACTGCCAAGATCTTGGCCTCGTCGAATGTGCCCCGGCGCCACTCAGAGCGATTTCGCAGAAACAGCTTGCAAAGAGTGTCCGAGTGCTCGTAAAGAGATCGAGAAAGATCAATCGACTGCAGGGTCTCGTGCAAGCTCGCTTGCAAATCGGTGAGGAATATTCCTTTCCCAAACAAAGACGACATCTTCGAGTCCACATCATCGTGAGATTCCAGAACGTGTCCCTTTTCAATAAGACCACGCATTCGAGAGGAAAGCGGCAGAAGGGAGGAGACAGACTGGAAGCTGAGATGATAGCAACAGGTCAAGAGCTTGTATGTCTTGGCTTCGCTGGTCTCTCTGAGAATCAAGAATGTGCAAGAAGAGTTTCCCTCATCCAAGACGAAGAGGTGGTCGATTCCAGGCTTGACAAACTTATCAAGTCGGAAGTTGGCCGTGAGGTACATGGTAACCGGGCGACTAGACATGGTGGCCTTTGGACTCTTGACCCTAAAGAGCCACAGGCCGCCTAGCTCTTGAACAAACTCGGGAGTGGAAGGAATAGCGAGAAGGTGAATCAAGTTGATACCCAGCGCACCCGTAGCGGAATGGACCGTAGAACCGAGATGCCAAGGTCGCTCAACGTGAGCGATGCAGCTCTCGGGGAGTGCGCTCCAGGTGAACCTCCCCGGCATCAAATCAAGCTTTGGGAAACGATCGGGCTCCTTTTCGATCTCCTCGGATGTCTTCCATCTTGCAGTGCGAGCACTAACGTTCAAAAACACGGTGCCCTTTCGGTCCTTGAGTTTCGCCCACCACTCTTCAAAGGTAAAGTATTCCCATTTGGACATGTTTACCTCTGGGGTCTTGAAGATCCAGTCTGGACTTGTTGACATCCAGTTAGGCACCCAAGATGGAGACTTGCCCCAGAAATCCATTCCAGCAGCATTTCGCAGGACGTCGACCTTTCTCATCTTAAGTAGGGCGTGTGCAAAGACACCCATGAAGGTGTGCTGGCACGACAATCCGTAGTTTGCCTGGAACCCAGATTTCGGCGAAAGTTCGTTCTCAATCAACGCCAGAACTCCAAAGATCTTATCGCGAGGGTCGGTGCATTGCGACTTGGAGATGGCCCGAAGAGTCTTGAACAAGCCCTGGTCTAGGAATGTCTGCTGACCCAGGTACTCAAGCCAGGGAGCCTTTGTACGATCCCACTTGATGGAGTAACGAGAGGTTAGTGACTTGATGGTGGAAGAATTCATCCAGAACTCGACGTCGCCAAGCTGGAAAACCGCTTGTCGTGAAAGGATAAGCTCTTGAATCACCCAGATACGACTAAAGTAGCGGTATTGGAGAAGACTGGTCAAGTCAACGGCACCTGCCGTCTTTGGAGCCTTAGCATCGGCTAATTGGAGTTGACGTCGTAGAGGGTATGGCTGGTTGGTGGGCTGAGCGCCAAGATATAGGTACACCGATCGACAGGACGTGTAGATCTGCGACATCTTGGAGACTTGGGCATCACGTTCCTTAACGTCGCTCTGGTTGATGCAAACAGCGTCTACCCAGATCATACGGCATCCTCTCATGGGCCGCATCAGCCGAAGCATTGACCAGCAATTCTTCGTCTGTATCAAGACATCCCACCAAGGACCGACATAGATCGGCATGGAAAAGGAGCCATCTCCATTCTCCCCAGCCCAAGTGTAAGATGTCGCCTCGTATTCGGGACATCGCTCGTTCTTGTAGACTTCAAGATCGATGTGGATGGGGTCGTCGAAACTGATGGGTGCAGAGAGGGAAATTAAGCGAAACTCATCCAGGGCCAGCCTGGATGGGTAAACTGGCGAGACTGGCACTTTGCTATTGCTCGCTGGGGCAGTTGGCTTGGGGATAGGCTTTGGAGCATTAGCAGGCCCCGTGACATATGGGACCGTGCTAGGCCAGGAAAGGTTCAACTGTCCCAACGGTTCATCGCGTGGTGGTGGCGTAAACGGGCCGGCGGCCTTTTGCTGCAGGAGGAGACTTTTGAGATCTGGTGCAGCACCACAAGTCTTGCACCAGGGAGTCCCCTTCTGGACCACAATAAGTGGTGCCTTGCATGTGGGTTTATGCCAACGGGTCATGGTGTGATAAGGATGGAGAAGGGGGATAATTTGTGCACATTACAACCGAGATTACAAGCGATCTACCGCAATTCTTAAGTACTCACCAGAGAAATTCTCAGCATCAGATTGCATGGTCGTATCGGCGCCAAAGTGTCAGACGGCAGTTCTTGGCTCCAGGCATACTGAACGTGTTATTGGTCTCATTGGGAGAGCAATGCATGCATAAGCGCCCTGATGGAGATAGCGGGCCGATGCGGGTTTGGCGGGAGCATCCGCAATAATTACGAAACGAACTGCGCCTCACGCAATATTATCCCAGTCCCTACCGTTAAAAAGTACTTGGATTAGATACTAGTGAACATACTGTCCAAAGTAGCTCCTATCGGACCTTTCTTGTCCTTCCAACCAACAGACGCACCCTTTTCTTCAGTCTGTCTCACGGCTGAAGGGAAGCGGATTCATCATGCCATCGAGGCGCTTACTGTGCATCGGGGCGCCTACGAATTCGGCATTAGGCGCGATGTCAAGACAATCATTGGATTGATCGATTAAGGGTCCCTTGTGGCAGTAAGCAAAAGTCTTTCAGCCCTCCTGGGCTGCAATAGCTAAAAATGTACTTGACGGCTTGACAGACGTCCAACACATGACACTACGCATGTGTCGGCATATCATGTGGTGGGAAGTCTCTTGGCAAGACATGACCTTAGCAACGAAAGGGGGGGGGTATGCTCTACCTTTATTATAGGGAACGAAATCCCCTGTCCACGTGAGGCAGCAAGCTTTATGTATTCCTCTACACATACGAGTTCTTAGGGCCCCGGACGGACGGTGGCAGAGCTGGGGAAAAAAAGACAAAAGTTTGAAAATAAAGTTCCATCAATTCGTTATATCTAGTTCAACTCCTGCCATGTAGCTATGTTCTGCTATCTCTATAATTTTTGTAATTTTTTCACAACATCTCATGTCCGTACCTGGGAGAGCCCTACCTACCTGTTAACTACAAACATGCTCCCCGAAACCTACCATAGGCAGCATCCTACCTACCTGGGCAACTTGCTTCAGAGAAATAACTAGGCAATTCGAAATCGCCTACATAAAGCCCCAACACTTTCATCCGCCGCTTAGAGCACCTGAGGAAAAGAATATACTGGCAGTCCGATGGTCGGAGGCGGCCCCCACAGATTACCCTAGGCCGACACCGGACCTTCTTATCTCGGTGCCCTCTTCCCCGATGACGAATGCCGCGACCAACAGCACTTGACATTCAACCAACAGATGTCGACGGGCTTCTGGCATGAAAGCTTCAAGAGCTTTTGCGATGCTGGTTATTCTTGCTTTAAATTATGCTAGTCGCCGCCATCCTATCATGGTGAATCTTCAAGACTACGGGTGAACTAGCGCTCTAGGCCGGTCGCACCGGATGCAGTGCACTATGGTTCAAGCAAGCCCTTACGAATCTTTATGAGTTCTTGATCTTGGGATGTACTGGGTATTGGATGCCTTGGCTACTTCTTGTATAGTTTGGGGCATGAAAGCCAAGTAATACCCCAAATCGCCAAGACGTTGGAGTTGGCTGCTAATATCGCTAAGAGCAGGTGCGGAGTCTATCATTCTTAAATGCCCTCTGTAGTCTCGCCCCTGTTAGAAGGTTTCCCATTCCAAGCCAGCCTCGCCAAAACTCCTGCTCTTTAGCTATTTTAGCTCTAATAGTCTTATAGCAATACTCATATTTGCGCTTCATCTTCCCGGAAAGTGCTGCTATATAATCATTAATACAACACTCAGCAGATCATTGGATTATAGCGTAGTGCCATCATCACTTGAACATCATTTACAGAGTTGAGGAGCGGGACCCGGGAACAGAAGCAAGTATATTCTCAATCAGAATTTTTGGCAGCAAGCATTATACAACTTTCTAGGCATCCTGAAGATGTAAAGATAAGGTTCGGATGTTTTCGGAAAGATAGGAGCTCGAGGCCAGTCTCGAGAACTAGGATTAAACCTCAGGCAGGGATGCCAACAGCCAAAGTCCCGCGCCAACTAAGAAGTTCAAGTCACGTCACACTATTTCTAGCTGTGCAGTGGACACGCGCTCGGCACAATGGGCCCCGGTTTCTTGGCATGCTTGAAGCAAGGCAGATTTCTGTGAACTAAAGCTCCACCAACCAAGAGTCCGACGCTTAAGCATTAAACAAAACGTCAGGGAGAAGCTAGTATGTAATATGCAAGGTGACTTTGACAGATTATCTCGCCACTTCTTTCGTCCATCACCCGCACTCCGCGGACTCCGAGGCCAGGGACTTTGGACGATGCAGGAGTGCGGCAATCCGTTCCGTATGGTTCGACCTGTACTTATAGACGCTCTTCTAAGTTTTAGGACCAATGATACAATGGGCCGCCGAGACAGATGAAACAGTCACAGCTTACTAGAATGGAAATATTAAGCTTGAAAGAGCTTGGATGATATGCTAGCCAAAAAGAGGAGTGCTTGTTACTGAAGTTGTATTGAAAGTGGCGACAACGGTGCATAATGGCCTTCAGCAAAAGCTTGACTGGGCCTTAAGAATTGAGAAAATCAGATGATCATGTATGTTGACAACCAGAAGCGGAATGTGACAGACGCATGTAAGAAGCCAAGATCAGCAGCATGGTTGGTCGGAGCCTGAGGAGTTCCTAGCAGAAAGGGACTTTGGGAGTCCACTGAAACCAGGCCCATGGAAACGTGGTCCATTTGTAAGCCAGGGTTCTTCAATATAGCCGACCCAGTTTTGACAACCATGAGGAGCTAGGATCTGAACTATGGGATAGGTTAGAATGGTGGAGTTTCAGCTGAGGACTTGGAAAGATCTTGTTGCACATTAAGTGATAGATGAGGTATCTCGAATCCAATTCGATATTCTAGACGGTTTTGTTAGTTCGGAAATGTTGGAATTAACCCAAAAGTGTTTGGGTTAATTCCAAACATTGACAGTGCAGATTACGGACGTGTGCGGTTAGCTGAGACGCAGTCAGCATCCTTCGCCCACATTCCTGGATTCCAATCCCGTAGCGAGGCTGACGCAGCATTAAAAAGTGACATGCTTCTCGGACTTTGTTGGGAGGCGAGTCCGAGGTTCCTGACATCACGCTATCGCTGTCCCTGGGTGTTTGTTTGGCCACTTTATTGGGTTGTCAGTGATCACCATAGGGCTTTACCCAATGGAATAAACTCCAGTCCGGTAAAATCTCGTAATAGTACCGATACAAAACAACATTTGAGCCTAGTGTTTCCCACCTGGGGCTCATTTTGCAATCAAGATGTGATATGTGAACCATGATCATGCCGATACCACTACTTCCCCTCCTCCTATCTCCGTCAGCTGCATCAAACGCATTTCATGGACCTAAGAATAGATGCAAGATCTTGTGTTCACTGTCCGTCCAGCCGACAGGTATATCTTGGCGTGGTTCTCCCCATCTTTTGACCTAACCTACCTTCATCTCAGACACAGCGCATTCATACCTACCCAGAAATACAACGTTCCACGCCCTCGCCATCTCTACAGCTACACATCACTCAACCTATAAAGCCATCAAGACCCGAGGAGCGCAAATTCCGGCTTGACAGACGGTCATTGACCAGGCACAACTGAATTGTCACCTGGACTCGAGTCTTACAGCGACGACCACCCGAAAGCCAGCACAACAACCACACAATCAGAAAAATGCCATCCGCAACACGTAGTGGCAGAAGCAGCTTCAGGGACAAGCTGAATCGATCTCTCGAGGAGAAGAGGAGAGAAAGGGAAGCTGCCGCTGCCGCTGCCGCCACCGAGGAAGAAGAAGAGGAGGAGGAGGAGGAGGGTGAGGGAGAAGAAGACGAAGAGAACGAGGACGGCGAGGAAGAAGAGGATGAAGGCGAGGAGGAGGAAGAGGAAGAGGATGAAGAAGAATATGATGAAGAATAGGAGAAACAACACGGATAATTCCTCAAACACCAGAAGAGTTCTTTGATACCCATATCAGCCATCCCGTCAATGCAAAACCTCCCCTTGCGATATCAAGTCTATCAATTCGCGCCATTCCTTGCCTTCCTCCTTCGTCTTAGCTCACCAATAGGCGCATCGCCTTAGTCAGCCAATAAAAATATTTCTTATCTCGTGTTCAACCACATGTTTCTTTATCATTCACCTCATCAACTTTACTTAAACGCTCACCAATGGCAGTCACCGAATCAGTCAGCACTGGCCGCGTAGTCGGCGCCTTGGCTTGCCAGTCGGACTCGTATCTTAAGACTCTTGATACCGAGGTCGTTTCGTGCGTCAAGGCGCCAGCAGAACCTAGCAAGGGTTCCAAGAAGAAGAAACAGGAGGCTGCTCCTCAAGATGAGTGGTTAATTGAATGTGCCGATTCTGTTTTGTTTCCTGAAGGTGCGCAACCCCATCCTCAATAAGCTGTAAAATTGAGAGTAACGTGGTATTTCAGGTGGCGGCCAACCTTCGGACCACGGCACTATCACTCTCTTATCTGGTTCTGACCAGACCCCAATCTCCATCAAAAACGTTCAAAGGCATGGCCTGCGATGCGTCATCTACTCTCCTCAACCTCTATCCCCAGGCGATAAAATTCGTCAAGAGGTAGACTGGGCTCGCCGATGGGATCACATGCAGCAACATACTGGCCAACATCTTCTCTCCGCCATCATGATGAACGACCATGGCCTCAAGACGCTCGGTTGGGGCATGGGTGCTGCTGGAACTATGAATTATGTGGACATTCCTCGAAAACCAACCGAGGAAGAGATGCAAAGCATTCAATCCCGGTGCAGCGAGTTGATCCGTGACAATCTGTCCATCAAAGTCGAAACCCCTGATGACGCCAAACACGAGAAACTTCCTGGAGATTACGACAAGTCCGAAGGCGTGGTTCGGGTAATCCACATCGGCGATATTGATATCAACACGTACGTATTTATTCCCCAGTCTACCTCTTTATCTTGGTACTGATCATTATCAATAGCTGCTGTGGCACCCATCTCTCCCAAACTTCTCATGTCTCGCTCGTCATACTCGGCTCTACCCAGTCAGTGCACGGAAAGAACTGCCGTCTCTCGTTCATGACTGGAGATAGGGCCGTATCACTCGCCAATGCATCAGTTGGCGCCGTCGGCTCCATTGCGAAGCTCATGTCATCCAGCAGTGTGCCGACTGAAGTTCTTGCAAAGACTTCAACAATGTGCGATACTGTGACAGAGCTACGAAGGGTCGAGAGAAAGCTCATGCTTGAAATTGCAAAATACGAGAGTGATCGAGTCAACGCAGTGATCCGCGGTGGAAAGAATGCGTATGTCTACCGTTCCGATGGCGGAATGGACTTCATCAACAAGATTGTAGGTGAGACGAAGGAAGCGGCTCAGGGAACTGGCCATGTTGTTGTCTTTGCCATAGGCGAGTCCAAGAGCACTGGCCCAGTGGTCATTGTGGGCGATAAGGAAGCCGTAGAGGACATGGCAACTAAAGTCAAGGGTATGGTCAAAGACATTAAGGGCGGAGGTGGCGCCGGTAAATGGCAAGGCAAGGTTAAGGAATGGCAAAAGTCTGAGCTGGCGGCGTTGAAAGAGCTGGTAGAATATTGAATAGAATTTGACTAGACAGTAGAAATATACACACGATTTGATACACAATATCATGAACAGGGAAATGGAAGAGCAGTCTTAAGTTGTGTCTGTTCCCTTGGAAAGTTGTTCATTCTCACTAGCCATTCGGCCAACCATCCACAAATGGCGAGGTACCTAACTTACACAACATTATAACACGTTCATGCTCGCTATTTCCACCATATCATCAAACTATCGCAAACTCTTCATCCTTGACTTGTCCATTTTGTTCCCACGTCCTTTGCTCCTCGAAATCCTCCAAAGCTTCTCCATCCATCTTTCCATGCACATACGCTTCGCCAATCAATGCCATGTAAGGACCGGAGCCAGACTCTCTCATCACCACAGGTACGGAGCAGCCGTACAGGATACAAACAAAGTCGCCCTCTCTGGACTTTGGTGGGCAAAGCCCAAAAAGAGGCCACTCGGTCTCCTGAGAAGTCGCTGTGAAGAACCGTCTGTTCCACGTCACGTTTCGAACACGTGTGAGATACTTGCGGAGCATCTCAGAGTGCCCTTGCAGGATTTCTCCAATGTTGAGATCCCCGTTGTTGAAGACATCGGCAATCTCCAGGCACCGCAAACAGGCTCTCTGATACCATGACGGTGGTACTTGGCCGTTGTGGTTTCTGTCGGCGACTAGAGTCCTCCAGATAGGGTCCGGGACACTATCCGTGTCTTTTCCAAACCCGGGCCACTTGCCCATATCCAGAGACTCTTTCGTGATAACTCCTCCGGTGTTTCGTGCCGAGACATCCTCGATCTTGGCCAGTCTGAATCCTCGCGCGAAAAGTACTTCTCTCCGTGCAGGCCCATTGACTCCTTTGTCCCCTGTGCTTGTATCTTGGGGCTCGCGGCCAAATCGTACGCTGCATGGCTCTTGAGAGGAGGCCGCGTAGTTTGGCTGGCCAGCGGGACCAACCAATACCTCTCCGTTCTTACGGCCACTGTAAATCTCATCAGGAAGACCAAACTCAGAGCTCGATAAGAGAGGGATCCAAGAGGGCAGCGCCTTTCCTCCCTTCACTGGCATCGCCCAAGGACGGCAGATGATGTCCAGCGAGTTGGAAGACCTGACACAGAACTCGGTAAAGTCCTTGTATACTTCGATCTCGCTCTTGGAGTAGTCAGCAGGAAGATCGTCGCGACCACCTTTGTCGTATTGCCACAGATGCCTGGATGTATCGCTGGCAATGCATTTCAGGCTGTATATGAGGTCTCTTTGGTCGCTAGTGTCGAATGTCTTGAGAGAGGTCACGAGTGACTCGATGGACTTGATAGGTCTCTTGATCTCCCCGTTGTGCTTCCTCAGAAAGAGATTGTTTGTTGCTTCAAGAAGAATGGAAGCTCCAAATGCTTCGATGTCTCCAAGGGTGTTGGGACCTTCTCGCCAGTCCGAAAAGTCAAACAGAGATTTGATGGTCTCCTGGTTCGAGACCAAGAGGGAGGCGGCATCAGCAAAGTCAGACCAACGCACAATAGCTCCTCCACAGTGTACTGTCGCGTCCTTGGCCAGGGCAATCTCCTGGACGATCCACCGTCTAGAGAACCAACGGTCTCTCATCAGCTCTCCCAAGGCATACCACTTTCTCGCCTGCTTCCGGTCGTTGGCATGCCTGTCAAACACCGCAAAGTCCATCAGAGTAGGTATAAACGCCATGGCCTCATCGCTTCTCTTGTCACGGTCACTCTCACCCAACCAAATGCAGACGTTGCTCGCGTTGTTGTAAATGTTGACCATCCGAGACAGCTGCCGAGTTTTCTCAACCGAGTTTTCTTGGTTGATGCATAAGAAATCGACCCAAAGAGCCACCTTTTGAGCTCCTTTCCCATGACTTCGTAGACGTAGTAAAGCTCGGAACAGGTTGTTGCGGATGCGCACGGATGTCGCTCTCCTTGCCGCTGAACCCCATCGATCTGGGTTGGACACGCCTGGCTCATCGTCGTTGTCTCCGAGGAAATAAATGCGCCCATTGTGACCGTCCGAGCCCCAGAAGTACGAAAGAGCCGCGTATTGACGCGTGTCTCCGCGGTCGTTCAAGGGCCAGGTATCCAGTTTGCAGATCAGGGGGTAGTAAGGCTCAGGCGCTGGTAGCAGGATCAATACTCGGAAGCTTTCACCCTCGAGGTCCTTATAGGTGATCTTATCTGTGACCCGTTCGCCTGAGAGGTGATTGTGCTTCAGCGAGTCCGAGCAGCTACCACCAGTTTCCAAAGTGCTGTGAGCCTTGACATGGTCAATCCATCTCCTCTCCAACCTCATCTCTGACTGGAATATCTGCTTCATGTCTCCCGCTCGGCTCATCTTTTCCCGATGCTCCAGGATCATTCTGATCTGGGCTTCGAGATCTTCAGTTCCTTTGATCATCAATTCCAACAACTCCAAGAATCTTTGGCGAGAAGGATCCTCGGCCTCATCATTAGTCGAGTCCGAGTCATCGGGTTCAAGAAACTCGCGCATGCCTCTTGGTAAGGCATCAAAGCCTTGCAGGCGGTCCGTACGACCAAGGACTGAAACGGGTCTCCTTTCTCGTACCCGCCGTGCTACCCCCAGCCGATGTTCTCGTTCCTCGCGACGGAACGCAGGATGGGGAGCTCGCTTGGAGAGAACCAAGTCCCTCACCTCTCGGAGTTCCTTTTCTCTCACATCTTGCTCGACCATCTCCTCAAACTCTTGCGTATCCTTCCGCTTCAGGATCTCACCATCGTTCTCGACTTGACTCTCCTCATCTTTGTCGTCTTTCTTCTTGTCCTGTTCCCTTTTCAGCTCATTGAGCTCCTTCTCCAGACGCTTTATCTCACGGTGCTGCGTCGATATTTCGAGCTGGCATCTCTCCTCCTTGAACCTCTCGGTATCCAGCTTCGTTGAGACCTCGTTTATCTTCTTGAGCCTCTCAACTTTGTGCAGTTCTGCCTCTTTCTTCTCGAGTCTCTGCCGTTGCTTGCGACTGTCCTTTTTGACCTGTTCCAGTTTTGCTGCCTCCTTTTGTTGCTCTTGTTGATATTTGAGCTCTTGACTTGCCTCATCCGTCACATCCACTTTTGTCGCATCTTTTTCAGGTTCTTCGTGCTCAACTAGTACTTCATCTTCCGCCATCTTTTCCCTCGCATCATAAGCTACATCTTCCGTGTCAACCCCCTCGTTGGCTTGAGGGCCCTTTTCGTGTCCTTCGTCCCCTCCCTTCGCGCTTCCCTTCGCACTTTTCTCGTCACCAATCTCCAAATCCCTATCTGGGCTTATTGGTCGGCTGCGGCTGCTAGCCCACGAGTCTGAGTCGCTTGATTCTTCCTCGGGCTGGTTGGGAGCGTTGAGGGCCTTCAGCTCCGCCTCCAGTTGCTTCACGCTTTGCGTGATAATCGCTTTCTTTTGCGTCAACTCCTCTTTGTTCCTTTTCCTTTGTGACAATTTCTTCTGGACCACGAGAGGACTCTGCTTCCCTGGTTCTTGCCATATCTCCTTCATCTTTTGGTGAATCTCGCCGACTTCAAGTCTGTCAAGAATGAGCTTCAGCGCAGACTCTGTCTCTTTGAACCTGTCAGCGAGATTGCGTTGGAGACCGCCAATATCCGGATCATTGGCCTTTTTGAGCTGTTGTTGAATGGCCCTATTCCTCGAAATGGCGTCATCTCGTTCCTTGCCGGCGATGTTCGATATCTCATCTTGCTTTCTCTTCAAGATTTCTTCCTCCTCTTCCAAGGCTTTGATCTCGGCCTGGAGGGCTTTGATCCTCTCGTCGGCGACATCGCTACCCTGCTCTCGGAATCCCAAATGATCCCATCGGGGTCTAGCCTTGGATGGCAATTTGGGCAGCATGGTGGTGGAAACTCATGGGATGGTGAAAATTGTGAGGAATAGCAGGAGGTGCCCGAAGATATGATGTATGCAAACGAATGGTCACCAGAACAATGGTGGGAATTCAAGAGTTGATGTTTGCTAGGTTCTTGAAAGAGGGGAACACCATCATCACAATCAAGAGCTCGCCATCCGCGTTTCTCAGCCGGCATTTCCGTCGTCAACACCAGCTGCATGTCAGCAGCCACTCAATATCCAGTGACCCCACTCCAGTTCATTAGTGTATTTAAATACCACGAATCAAGACCGACAAACAGGAAGCCTGCTTTTCCCCTCTGCTGCTGCTGTCTGCAGTGGTAGCCAAACCAGAGCTGAAAACAAGGGGCTGCATCTGACGAATGACGCTCCTCCAACGAATCACCCCCACAAAGTTTACAAGGTAGCATCCGGACATCCGCTGCATGCAGATGTCAGTGAGAATTTGGACTATTTACGCACCTGTGCGGTTGTGTGCTAGCAAGGGGGTTGAAATGTCGATCTACCAGTTTTTATCAGCTCTTCTCTCATTGCTTTCCTCTTGCCTATTGCCGTTTGGTTGAGACAATTGAAAGCATTTGTAAATCCTTGAATTGATATGCATTGCTTGATATGAATGACGGATTGCCCATCCCATTCACAGATACCTTATCGTTGCTGCATGGTAAAACATCCCACAGTTCTTTGCAGCCACGGGCTCGCACAATGCCCCCAGATAGCTACCCTCCAATAGAATCAGCTGAGACCATGCATTTGCACTTGCAGATACGACAAGTCAGCCGCTCTAGCTAGGGGGTTTGGTAAACAATGCCGTGCTGAATAATTGAAGGGCATGCCATATCGACCGGTCTCCATGTCAGATCAAATCCCACACTCGCTTCGAACTGACAGTACGTTTCGGTACTCTAAAGACCCTTCCAAACGCTTGAGTTACTCACACGACCGCATTTTATCCCTGTATTGGATTATACTATCCTTGAACCTGAGGGTTATAGGTTTCGTTCCTATGTGAGCAAATGTGAAACCATGTACGTCCCGTCCGACGTAAAAGTAGGTGCTTCTCTGCGCTTTATGTCGATCATTCTTTCTGACAGTCAATGGGCATTCTAGCGCTCTGTTGGGATCCCTCTTCTCCCAAGCACACCCAATGTGTCTCTCGATGCCGCCGGCCTAGTCGCCTTGGCCGATCTCACCACCATTCAAGAACGAACGGTCCTCACTGGGACAGCTACCTTCCTAGACGCGTTCATCATATGTCCTGGGATACATATGCAGCAAAAGTCGACGAACTTGAACGGCGGAGAGCATCCCGTCTCTGCGAACATGAACACAGGAGACGTCTTTCGAATCGAGAACCCCGCCACAGTCTTTTACCTTCAGCAAGTCAGCAAAACCGGTCACCTTACGAACTTGGCAGTGTCAGAACTTGAAGGTGATTGGTGGTCCAAGGTCTTGTCCATATTCTTCACGGCTCAGAATGCATCAGTGGCTTCTACCCTGGCTTATGGGACAGCAGTTCTGTGGACCATCTCGGTCGTTATCCTCCTAGCTTGTTCATACGATTGGTGGGGCCTCATTATCGTCCTTGTGCTTATGGCTGCACGCCTTTGCAATGTCATTGTCGTTCGCCGAAGGGCTACGCCAGGCTGGTCCGGAGCCAAGGAAGGATTCGTGGCAGGCGACCTTCTTGTCTTGCTTAGCCAGGACCGTTGGGTGAGGATCCAAGGCAAAGTTGATCATCTGAAAGCTGTTACGTCCGGTCAGTGGCTACGAGATCAGAAAGATGTCGAAGGTTGGATGACAGCTCTGGCAACATTGGCCGTCTATCTCGCCGCAGCTCTGGTCAGTAACGCAACTCAGTTTGGGAAGATCTTGATCTTGGTCCATCTGGGGGCCTCTGCTGGATTATTGGCTGCTGCAAACTCGACCACCAAGAATATCCTGGTGATGCACGGCCATACTCTTGCAGTTCAGGGCAGCAGGTCCAGGTATCAGAGGCGTAAGGAGCTAATTCTTGAGTTGATCAAGGAAACGGGTCGCTACGATTGGGCGCTATCGATGGACGTGATCAAGGAGGAGGATATCCGGAAGCTCTCGGCGGAAGAACCAAAAGTGGACCATCATGAAGTGAGCACGTTGCGAAATTATACGTCATCAATGGGGGTTTAATGTCAAGATTGTATCAAAGAGTATGCTTGTTTGCTGGTTTGCCTAACACTCGATCTACTGTCGTAGTTGGAATCACAGATGGTTACGCCGCTATCGACCAATTCTTAATTTCTTGGCTCGGCCAACGTTCATTACCAACGAAGAATATCATCTGCAACTAGGTCCCGTACAGTAGGTAACCAAGATAGAAAGTTTGAGAAGAAGAGATAATCCATCCCGAGAGCGGGGGAACAGGTCCTGACGTAATCAGCTTTCTCTTGCCGAGCCAGATCTATGATATCACGCGTTCTGGATATAACATCATTCGACCAGCATTCAACGTCGCTCAACCTTCAATAGTTCTACCTTTCCCCAACTCAACTTTTCGACGGCTCAAGATGGTTCGCGTCTTCATCACAGGCTCAAGCGACGGAATTGGCCAAGCAGCCGCCAAACTTTTAGCCGAGCAGGGTCACCAAGTCACACTTCACGCTCGGAATGCAGACCGAGCTGCGTCTGCTCAAGCCGCCATACCGAAAGCAAAGGCAGTTCTCATCGGCGACCTTTCATCCATCGCAGAGACAAAAAAGCTCGCCCAAGAAGCAAATGCCGCGGGGCCCTTTGACGCCATCATCCACAATGCAGGCATCGGCTACGGCGCTACATCGTCCCGGCAGATTACCCCTGACAAAATCTCGGCAGTCTTTGCAGTCAACACGCTGGCGCCGTACATCTTGACATGCCTCATGGACAAACCTACGTCGAGGCTGCTCTTTATGAGTTCCGATAGTCATTACAGCGGTGATGAGACGCTACGAAACGCTACGCAATCCCACTCGTATGGCGACAGCAAACTCCACGACGTCATGCTCGGCAAAGCTTTTGCCCGACGCTGGGGGGACATCCAGGTCCTGAGCATGCACCCTGGATGGGTCAGGACGAAAATGGGCGGCAGGGCTGCACCAGGGGGGACCGATAGGCCGGCAGTGGCCCTGGCGGACTGGGCGGCTGGCGAGGGCGTCTTGGCAAAGATAAAGTCGGGCGCGTTCGTGTCGACGAGCAGGGAGTCTACGTCGCATCCAGGGGCTGATGTCGTGAGTAAACAAGAGGAGCTTCTCGACATTTGCAAGCAAGTTTCTGGAGTCTCTGTTCCAGGGGAATAAGGGGAAGATCATCAACGCCTCAGGTACCGATAATTAGATGACAAATCAACCCAATCATCGGGTCTAGTAATTTCCCCATTCGGGGGTACGTACTTGTGATTGTGTGCTTGTGCTCCCAACGCGCATATTCTATCAGAACCTCACATGGGTCCAACAGCCATTGCAAGATGTCAAGGCCTCCATTGAGGAAGAATGTCCTCTATTGCTTCACCATCAAGAGAGATTACAAGGTCGTAATAGGCCCGCCACGTCAGCACTTAACAGGACTAACGTTAGTTGATGCCTACCAAGACACGGATAAACACTTTTTGCATGACCCGCTCCCTAGTCCGAAACAAGTCTCCCGCGATCCTTCCAAGGAGGAACTCATCCATCGACAATAACTACCAGCTTCCTTGGCAGCTCCGTCTCTCCAGAAGCCGATATACGGCCAAGTAGCTCTCTATAGACGGTAGACAGATACAATGCTCTAGCCATGACTGATCTACCTCTTCGTCCTTCAAGGTAGGCTCCGAGTATCAGCTCAAAACAAGACCCCAGTCCCTCAAGGCTCATCCCTGCAGATCACCGCCAGAGGGCAGCAACAAGCCAAAGCTCTCTCGCACAAGCACGCAAAAGGTGCGGACTGGCTGCATCACGTGCAAGAAGCGACATATCAAGTGTGACGAGAAGAAGCCCACCTGTGGCAACTGTCTCAAGAACAGGCGCCGCTGCGAGGGTTACATTGAGCAGCAATCCAAGACAAAGAGTCCTCCCGGCGTCATTCAGTTTCGTCTCGACTCAAAACAGGCTACACGTTCCGCTCCGTCCCTTAGCCAAATCCGCATCAGTCAAGACCCCCTGGATGTGCGAGACGCAAAGAGTGTCTTGTACTTTCACGAGTTTATCAGCTTGGTTCAGGGGCCTTGGTTCTCAACTGGATCCAATGGGGACCTTTGGACTGCGACGTTGCCTCAGTTGGCTCATAGCAACAGCACTATTCGTCATGCCGCGATAGCCATTGGGGCGCTAAGCAAATGGCTCACTAACTCCAGCCACGACACACTACGAGACGCATCAGTACCAGTTCAACCTATCACTGAAGGCGATACGCATTACTTCAGAGCCGTGTCTCACTACTGTCATTCTCTCAAACTTCAGAGCCAGCAACAATCGATGCAAGATGCAGTCTTTCTCTCAGTCTTGTTTCTATGCTTCGAGACACTACGAGGTCACAGCAAGGCAGCATTGGATCATGTCAACCACGGCTTGGCTGTCTTACTTGCTCTGTTGACAGACCGAGACTCAACTCGCCATATCAATGCCCTGGCTCCCAACCCCAAACCCCTCATAGCAACAGTCGGGGACATCTTTACTCAGCTGGTAACCCAGGCCCGGTTCATTCTTCGAGGCAGCCTCGGCACCAGCCAACCGTTGCCGCACTTTACCAAGGGGCTTCGAGATAAGAAGCACACGTTCGAGTCCTTTATGACTCTAATAAGCCAATTACCACGTGGACCTGCAACCAAGGGGAACATTCCCGCTCAATTCAACACTCTGGACGAATTCGAACTGTACCTGATCAACGCTCGACGGATAAGGCCTGAAGTGGGCATCATAACGATTGATATTGTGCAGAAGTCGGGGATCCTTTATTCAAATGACCCATTCATCATCACCGCCTTCTGGAGCGCTCTCACAAGCGATCCTCGAATCAAGAAGGTCTGCGATGAGCTGTCCGCCGAGATGCGGGACTTGGATGCCGCCTACAAGCCTCTATTCAACCAAATCATCATGTCCAATCAAGACTCTCCGACTTATCTGAGAGCCATTCATCTACGGTTACAGTTCCTCGATATCTACACATTTGAAAATCCAACTCACTACCACGACCTCGACATATTACAAACTCAGACCCCGTTATTCCGAGAGTATCTTTCCCTGGCAAACATAGCTCTACGCATTGCGAGACAGGACTTGAAGAACCCAGCACAGAGGCTTTCGCTACAATGCGGTCTGTCATGGCACCTACTCCTCGTGGTCTTCTTCTGTCGTGACCCTCTACTGCGTGACGAGGCCATCTGGATGCTCAAGAGTTACCCAGGTCAGGACGGGCTTTGGAACGCGCAGTCCATGTATGTGTTGGCCCTGAGGACCAGGGAGTTGGAGCGAACCAATGCTGTTGAGGGAACCCCTACAGAACAATGGGAACGCCTTTGGAGACGAGAATACCTCTTTGAAGAGGGTGGAGAGCGTGTTGTATTCTGCTTCCTCGACAAGAACAAGACAACTGGCGAGTGGGAAGTTGTTGAAGAGGTGGCCGAGGTTCGCGGAGACCTTGACAATGTGCCCTGGAAGAGGCGGCCCCTTACATCATCTGGGAGGCTGCTTATATCAGATATCATTGTTCTTTGAGCATTTCCGAGGTCATGGGCCCTTGGCTGCCTCTCGCGCTTTATTGTTCATATTACTCTTCGGATACACACAAGACGTTGCATGCAGATATAGAAATGGGTAGAAGGAACTGTTTGCGGGCAAAGTAAAATTAATTCACCAGGAAGGGTAACATTGCAGGCAATGCTGATTTATATTAAAGGAAAATCAAAAAGATAAACAGTCTTGTGAATTGAGCTTCTGAGCCTCACCTTTATGGGACCCTGGCTCCGTCCATCTCTATCGCCGCCGTGTTATAGCCTCTACTGGTCCAATGCCTGACTTTGACACTGCAAGGAGTTAGCATGAGCACACCGTTATTTGACGTACAACTCACCATTTCGAAGTAAACGCCCTGCTTGTTGATAAGCTCCGTATGAGTGCCCTTTTCAACCACCCTCCCCTGATCAAACACGAAAATGACATCGGCATTCTGAATAGTCGAAAGCCGATGAGCCACGGCGATCATTGTCCGTCCCTTGCGAGCCTTTTCAAAAGCAGCCTGAACAATCTTTTCGGACTCAGAGTCAAGAGCCGAGGTCGCTTCGTCAAGCAGCAAAATCTTGGGGTCTCGGATCAAGGCACGGGCGATGGCGATTCGCTGCTTCTGACCTCCAGACATGGAAACGCCTCTGTTGCCGACATCGGTGTTGTAGCCTTCGGGGAGGGAAACAATAAAGTCGTGGATGAAGGCGTCGCGGCAGACTTCGTGGATTCTTTCGTCGGAGATGGAGCTTGGGTCAGTAATACCGAAGAGGATGTTGTCTCTAATAGTACCTCTGAACATGGTTGGCTCTTGAGGGACGAGGGACAGGTTGTCTCGGTACTCGTAGACGTTGAGGTCGTTGATGTTGGTGCCGTTGCAAAGAAGAGCGCCCTTGTTGGGTTCCAGGTCGTAGAAACGCTCGAGAAGAGAAATAATGGTGGTCTTTCCGCATCCAGACGGACCGACAAAGGCTGCGTACTGTCCCTTCTCGATGGTCAAGCTCAGAGACTTGAATACGGCAACATCGCGCGTGGGATACTTGAACGAAACGTTCTTCAGTTCAATCTTGACGCCACCTTCTGTGTCAGTGATACCACCCTTGCGACCTTTGGCACGAGATTCTTCGACATCTGCTGACTGGTGAACATCGATAATACGGTTAGCTGCAGCCTTTGCCTGCGCTGCATTGGGTGCCATGGCGAATCCGTAACTGGCAGCCTCGGCACCCTGAATGATGGCGATGAAACAGACAAAGAAAGCCTCCATAGAATACTCTCCCTTGGCCATGAGGTTACCGCCGTACCAAAAGATCAAAGCTTGACATCCAAGACCAGCACTGTCCGCAAACCCAAAGATGGCCGAAGTCCAGCGAGCCTTGATGTTGGCAGCCTTGACATGACCATCCAAGAGCTGTCGATACCGGTTGTTGATAGAGTCTTCCATGGTGAGGGCCGAAACTGTTCGGATAGCTCCAATAGCCTCGGTAGCAAACTGCGAACTTTCCGCAAAAACGGCCGAGTTCATCTGGTCGAATTGCACTTCATGTCTGAACTTCCAGAAACCGGCTCCAAGCATGACGGGCAGGGCTACAAACATGGCAATCAGACCAAGCTTCCAGCCAAAGATGAGTGCAATGATGATGCAACCTGTGACGTTGAAGATGGCCGAGATCAGGAAGGCGAGATTCAGGCCGAGAAGCTCCTCCAGCTGCTTCGCGTCGCCCGAGATGCGAGAGCTCAGGGAGCCATGGGAGTTGTCGTCGTCGTCAAAATAGGCTAGTTTCTGGTATAGCATGTCGTGGAGGTACTGCGCCTTGTAGGCTGCGCTGACGCAGTACTGCACGCGGAAGCCAATCCATCCTTCACAAAAGTATGAGAGACCAACTCCGCCAGCTAGAGCAAACCACATGAGACCCCAGAAGTTGCTCTCACTTTTGATATCTCCACCCTCGATAAGGAAGACGCCCAGGACCTTGGCAAAGAGCCAGGCTTGAAGGGGGGTTCCTGCAGCCACAGCCATGGCGGAGAAGACGATGCCGATGTACAAGGGGAACTGTTCTCGCCGTTCGTATAGAAGCCTTCCAAAGCTACGAGCCAAGCTTCGAGGTTCCACTGGCTCATGAACTTGGCTCTCCTCAGCAGCTGTGGGAACCCGGTTTATATCGCCCAGATGCTCCATCTTCTCTGATTCAGCGTCAGACACCACCGGAGTCTCGGCTTCTTGCTTATCACCGAATCGCAGGGACTGAGCCTGGACCAAGGCACTGTACACACCCGACAACTCCATGAGACTTGAGTGCGTGCCCTCTTCCACAGCTCGACCCTTCTGAAGAACGATGATGTTGTCGGCCTTTTTGATGGTAGACAGTCGATGGGCAATGGTGATGGATGTACGGTTTTGAGTGATTCTGTCGAGGGCAGCTTGCACAATCTTTTCACTCTTGGCGTCAATGGCGCTGGTGGCTTCGTCGAGGATGATGATTTGAGGCTTCTTGATGATGCTTCTGGCGATGGCGAGACGTTGCTTTTGACCTCCAGACATCTTGGCACCGCCGTCACCAACCTTGGTGTCGTATCCCTAGAAAGTCAGAATATTTCACGGGCTATGGGAGTTCAACTTACATCAGGCAGGCGGTTGATAAACTCATCGGCGTAGGCTTCTTGGCATGCTTCCTTGACCAGTTCTCGCTTCTTCTCCTCGGGTGCATCTTCAAACTCGGTTCCGACGAGTCCGTTGGCGACGTTCTTGAAGATGGTGTCGTTGAAAAGGAAGGGCTCTTGCTGAACCAGGCCGATCTGAGTTCTCCACCACTTGAGGTTAAGCTCCTCGATGTTGTGACCACCAACAGTGACTACACCAGCCATAGTTGGGTTGGCGGGGCCTTCTTGCTTCTCATTGTCTTCTTGCTTGTCCTTTTGTTCACCCTTGCTGTCTTTCTTGGCTTCGATGACTTGGGGTAGAACCTGGTGGTTGCTCAAAGAATACCATCGCTCCAGCAAACCTACAACTGTACTCTTTCCAGATCCCGAGGGTCCAACAAGAGCAGTATTCTGTCCCGATCGAATGCGAAGCTTGAGTCCATCCAAGATCCTGACGCCGGGTCGGCTGGGATACTCAAAGGTGACGTTGTCAAAAACGAGGTCTTCAGATGTGATGTCGGGCTTGAGGTCTCCAGAAGCAGGGAGGGGTGCGTCGATGACGGCAAAGAACTCGCATGCAGCCACCATGGCCTTGCTGACGGCCATAAGAGGAGTTGAGATTCGTTCCATGGCGGTGAGGACCAACATGACAGACATGAGCACGATGATGACGGGAGCAGGACTGCTCATCGCACCGGCGGCATATCGTTGAGTACCGTACCAGAAGGCGAGACCAAAGGCCCCAAAGACGCCAAAGAACTATGTTGCGTTAGCGCTCCTCTCTCCTTTTCGTGCCAGGGACTAACATACCACCAGTCCAAGCTGAAGACCTGCAACTGGGGCGAGCTTGTGGCCCTCCTTCATAGCCTTTTCCACCCACTCCCTGTAACGAGAGATGATGCGTGACTGAGCACCACAAGCCATGACCAGACGAATACGTTCAAGTGCTTCACTCGCGACAGCCGTACCTTCAGCATCGGCCGCAGAAGTAGCAGATTGTCCCTTGACGATCAATGGAAGAACAACCGCCAACACAATGAGAATGTACAGGACCAGTGAAGACGTCACCAATGTAAGGTCCCAGCTCCAGACAAAGGCGATGATCAGCGACGCCCAGATAGTACCGTTATACTCCAGAAAAGTTCCAAGGCGTTCGGAAACACCGACCTGGAGAGTGTTTGATGTTGAAGTAATGGCTGTGGCAGGGGCACCTGCGGGCATCGAGTCGATAGCGTGAATAGACTGGGCAAAGAGCGAGCGGATGTAGTGAAGACGAATGCCAGATGAAAGACGGATACCTATCATCCTGAAGCAGTACTTGTTGATGGTGTTCAAAGTCCAACGACCCAAGAAGAGCGCCATAATGTATAGAGCTTGCCTGTTGAGAATACTCTTGAACTTGTCCGGCGACATGGTAGATGAGTCTCTAAAGTAGTCCGTAAACTGACCCACGAGCTGGCCAAAGACAATGTTCATGAGGGGCATGGTGATACCAGCGCCGATGGACGCCACCGAGGCGATGGCATAGACGCAAAAGTCCCATTTCGTCGCGTAGGTGAAGACTCGAAAGTAGTCCGAGATGGCTGGCGTTCGTTGCAGTCGAGAGTCTGCTTCTGTGGTTTCGTTGGTGAGGATTGGTACCTCTGTGCTTCCCTCGCGTCCATCTAGAGTGTGGGACTCGGGAGATGGAGGTGCGACGGCCATGTTGGTGGCTTGATGCTATGACTCGACTGTTTGGAGAAGATGGTGAGCTTGGTCGTGGTGTTGCAAAGAGGGCTCCTCTGACAGGAGGAACAACAACTCACGATTACCGGAGCCCAAATCCCTTCTCAATGGTATTGACAACGAGTATTGTCTCGACACTGAAACCAATACTCTCAATCATGCAAGGGAAAGGAGAAGAGGGAATGGCAAGTAAGGAGTGTGCAGAAGTGAACAAAGATGCGAGCAGAGGACTCGACAGAAGGGGACAGCCAACAAAACAAGGAGAAGAAGAGCAGAAGAAGAGAGCTTTTCAAACGCAGGAGAGACAGACATGTCATCAATCAATCCATATTGATACAAATGATTACCTGCGAAGCTATCCCTGCCTCGTTCGGTCCCGCACATCTCGTAAACTCGATTTCCTCTTTGGGGTTGTTACGAACGCAAGGATCACCCGACCCACCATTTTCGCGAAACAGTCTCGGACTCGAGTACAAGCCGTTTGGCCTGCTTACGCACACAAACACAAGTACCCTTTCTGTCGGGCGCGGGGTTTACAACGGACCCGGCAATCGCTTGGTATTACGCATATTGAGATGGAAGTTCTTGTCCAATGAGAGAGGGCGTGAAAGAAGCCAAGCACGCGTATCTGCCCCTAAGAGGTTATTTTGCGCTGAGCAACGCGAGCGACGTTTGGCATATGATGACCAACAGGTGGCACAGGTTGCGGGGTCCGTCAAGTGTCCGCCTTCCCGTCATTAAACCCATGGTGAGACGGGACGGTGACGAGGAGCGGCCCGTTGGTGGAGTGTCGATGTGGCAGTGGCAGTGACATTGCTGTCGATGGCGAAGATGGTGGCATAAGATGGTCATCTTGCTGACCATATGAGCATGTGGCAAAGTCAGTGAAGCCAATTTCTCATACTCCAGTCGACGTCAAGCATGGAATCAATACGTGACGACAAAAAAGAGGAGCAAAAAATCAGCCAAAAAGACAAAAGAAAAGGGTCTGGCCGGGGATTGAACCCGGGACCTCTCGCAAGCTTGCTTTCGGGTTTGCCCTAAGCGAGAATCATACCACTAGACCACCAGACCTGATAAGCGTCTTGAGCTCTTGTTGATGCCGGCCGGTGTCAAATTGTGCCCCTTGAGGCGGAGGGAGACGGGGGCCATCACTTCGTACCTAGATCAGGCATCCGCTTCCATCTCCAACCTTTAAGGGATAACGACGTGAGCGCATCCATGGAGCATGGTAGACGAAGGTGATAGATTCGAGGAACGTATTCTAAGATATCGATAATAAAGATCTTCTAAAAGAATGGGAAATGTCCAGGTAACGCAAGGGAACCCCTCAATCACGTTCCAACAGTTGATGCCTCAGGCACACGCGTTGCGACGTGGATCACTCAAGCTGAGGAGATGAGGTTGACATCTCAGCATCACATCGAGTATTTACTATCTGATTATTGAGGCATTGTGACTGGGCACAAGTTGAAGTTTAATTTTTGACGTAGTTGCATGTCATTCTGAGTTTTGGGGCTTTCTCGTCGCTCAGTCCAAGTTGCTCCCAATGCTTCCTCATGGTGCAGAATTTTGACATGATCAATAAGCTAAACCTGCACAACATCGATGGAATCTTCTCCTGAAAACAATATGAACAAGACTCTAGATATTAATACAGAATAAAAACAATCTCTTTCGCATTTATTGTATTAATTGCATGCTGGTGAAGTAAAATCCGTTGCTCCTAATTTAATGAAGTTACCCTAGAGAAATACGTGCTTTGACAATAAGACCTTAACATGGCCGCTGCAAAAAGCGTGATGTGAGAGCTAGTGAACTAGCATAGGGGCAGGCCTCTGTGCTGGCAACGACCTATGTCACGTGAAAATCAATGCGCCACAGCCACAGCAACCACAAGGTCCCAGCCCCTCAGCCCCTAAGCCCCCACCCCTGGATACAGACGATCTTTGCATGGACCTCCACTTTGCCTTACCCGCCCCTTGACTAGCGCCTTGTGATCGCTTCACACGCGCTATCAGATCAAAGATATCCGAAGGTCGCTGAACGTGGTGATCACAACTCACATGCGCTTATGATCGAACATCTAGCCTGAACTGCATCCATAACCTCACTCCCATCGAGGTGTTTAATGTCATCCGGAGAGAGAAAATCGGTTTGATGAGGATTGACAATTATCGCGCTGATGGTGGTGGTTTAAGCGACGCGGGGATCCTTTCACTCATGCTCGGGACCGCAACAAGTACGACACAAACAAACTTCGAGAATAATCTTTTGATACGAATCTTTCAACTCCCAACCTCGACCAACCACCTGGACTCCTAACCACATCGCCACCTGAATTTTACCCACCACTTTTTAACCCTTCAAGAATCCCACCCTCATATGTCCATTGCCCCCTCGGTTGGCTCTGAAGTAATATGGCACAAAGGTTATCTCCCGCTCATCTCCAATCTCCTGATCAGCTGCAGCCATCCCGGGTCCTTCACCACGAGGCTTGGAGTCCCAATTCGTCAATTGCCTCTGCCAACACTTTGACTTGAGCACAATGTACTCTTCACCAGTCTGCTCGCTCACCCGGTTCTCTTCGGTGACTGGAGTATCTCGCTTGAGAATAGTGTCCTTGAAGTGATTCTTCTCCCAATCATTGTCGACGTCTTCTGCACAGTATATGATGGGTCCACGAGCCAAGGTCAAGGTGTTCTGGTTGGTATGAGGGTGTGGTGAGATGTATCGTGGCTCAAAGTTGCCAATCTCAAGGGTGAAAGAGGGGTTGGCCGAGACGTAAGCAGGGCTGAGGGTGATGTATCCCTTGGAGTTGCTGACTTGCCCTGCACTTGGGCTTGGTGTCAGCGTGTATTGGCCTTGGGCCCACGCGGGTAGACGAAGACGGATAGTGGTTTTAGTCTCGGGCGCCGAAAGCTGGAATTTGATCTTTCCATCAAGAGGCCAGTTGGATTCCTGCTCAAGAGTAACAGGTTTTCCGTCAATCTCAAATGCCAACTTGGCAGACGTATACAGATGAACGTTGACGTAAGCCCCACCATCTTGGGCTCCGTAGTCCCAGAGGTAACCTCCCAAGCTGCCGTACAATCTCGCCAAGTTTGGAGGACAACAGGCACACCAGAACCAGTCGTATCGAACACTCTTATCGGCCTCTGAGCTGGCGAGTTGGTTGACGTATGTAAACTCCTTGCCGTTCAGGCTCATGGCTGTCATGACCACATTGTAGAGACTGAGCTCGAGGATATCACCGTAGCGCCCATCGAGATCAATATGAAGCAGTCGCTCTGCCAGCATCATGACGGCGATAGAGGCACAAGTTTCAGAGTAACAACCTCCTTCATCGGTGGACTGGGGAAGGTAGTGATCAACACTGAAGCCCTCCCACTGCTTGATGGAACCGATTCCACCAGTCAGATACATCTTTTGATCGACCATGTTATCCCAAAGACGGGACAGAGCCTCAGTCCACTCCTTGGGAGCGGAAATCTGTTGGCTCTTGATCTGATGGTTGTAGATGAGATCTGCCACAGCAACCAAGAGGTACACAGCACGAACACTGTGCCCTTCGATGGTCTTTTGTTCGAGAATTGGGAGATGAGCCTGATTAACCCAATACGAGTCATGCTCAGGATAAGAATCAGGCCGAGCCCAAAAGTTATCCTTTCGCTGCTCAGTCTCCCACACGTAGTAGTGCTTCCCGTCTTGACCCTTGGAGTTGCCTCGTTCCTCAAGGAAGTACTTGGCGAGGTTGTAGGCCTGCTGGCTGCCGGTGGCACTGTATAGCCGGAAGAGGGCGAGTTCGATTTCTGAGTGTCCGGGATAGGCGTGAAGTTGGTTATCAGCAGGGCCAAATGTCTTGTCGATGTGGTTGATGTATTTGAGGATTGGTTCCATTAGGAGGTCATTCTTGTAGTAGCTCTTGTGGGCAAGGGCAGCTTCAAGAAGATGACCAGCGTTGTAACTGCGATAAACGTTAACATTGTAGTTGAGACTTTGCCAAGTTTACTTACAGTTCGTGCATATCCTTGACGTTGGTCCATCGCTTGTCAGGCTCAACAACAGTATAATGAACATTGAGGTAGCCATCATCATGCTGGGCACTGCGAATCATCTCGACCAGTTCCTGGACAGCCTTGTCGATTTCCTCGTCATATTTTTCCCCCAACCAGTAACAGGCTGCCTCAATCCACTTGGCAATATCACTATCCCAGAAGAGGTGGAAGGGAACAGGCCACATGGCGTGGTCATCATAGATGGGGTGCCATTTCAGCTTGAAGCAGTCATAACGTCCAGTTGTCTTCAACTGTTCAAGCTGAGTATGGATAGAAGTCTTGCGGATCGTGTCTCTCCTGACAGACAACAAGGTCTTGCCGGTAAAGGCAGACTGAGAAAAGACTGACTGAGGATGGGACATAACGAAGGGGTAAGCTCAGGTCTCGGTAAAGATTCAGATCAGTATGGAGGAGATTAGATGCTACGGAGCAACGGATAGCTAAACACAGATCTCGACCTGACAACGTATCATGGACTTATATCCAGCTGAGGCTATCATGGACCCACGACTCGTGCCTGAAGCCCCAACAGCCCCCCGCGGCTTCCAGCTCATCTTCCGCATCTAGAAGTACCAGCTTGATAAGCGGAGAGGCCAATGAGCTCAGGTCGGTGCCCTTCCACCGGTCGGATGAAGCAGCCGATGCGGGGGTCGGGGTGTGTCACCGATGGCCGGGAATAGCGCCCTTGCAACTTGGTAATAAGCGGCGGCTCGTTATTGGGCATGCCGTGTCACAAGGGGCCACCCGGACAGTTTAACCTGCCCACTAGCAGCTATCATGAACTAAGTTGGTTGACTCGCGATAGTGGCCCACTAACCAAGCCAGCCCCTTGTTGGCTTCAAGGAAGGCCATCCAACCTTCACCGTGTGTTGGACGTGAAGCATTCTATCTCAGGGCTTGTTTTAGTGTGGATAGCGGCATCAGTCCCCATTGGAGCGCATAGATCAACAGAGATTATGATGTAGTTCTCTCCCCATTTGTCCTTGTTCCATGCCGGTGCAAAAGGTCCACATCCGTATCTCCAAATTCTCCCCCGCAAACCCAACCTTGCATGGGTTTATCCACTTCCCCGGAATCTGCCAAGACTGCGCTGGATAAGAGAGTTGCTCCAAGAGGTGTTCAAGGGCCATCCGAGTATATATATCCCGGGCGTTGCCTCGGGTTGAAGGTCTTGATCAACCGCGACACCTTCAGCACCATCCTCACAAGCTACGCCTCCTCCTGACTCTCACTGCAAAGTCAACTTGAACATCATGGCGCCTCCCGAGAAAGTCGTCCCGACCGAGGTCGAGCTTGAACAGCTGGACTTGGATGATCAGCATACTCAAGACCTCATCCAGCGAGCTCAAGCCAGTGATGCGGCTGACAGACAATTGACAGTGCGACAGGCACTGAAGAAGTATAAGAAGGCTGTTGCCTGGGCTCTTTTCCTGTCCACCAGTCTTATCATGGAGGGTTACGACCTTGTCATTGTTAGTTACCCCAAATCTGATATATGACGAGACTTGACACTGACATGTGGCAAAGATCACCTCATTCTACGGCCAGACACAGTTCAGAGAGAGATTTGGTGTCTATGATCCCAGGACTGAGCAGAAGCAGATCACGCCTGCTTGGCAATCTGGTCTGTCCAACTCGGCCTTGGTTGGTCAGCTTGCTGGTCTCGTCGCCAACGCGTTCTGTCAGGATAGGTTTGGTGCTCGATACACCATGATGTTCTTCTTGGCTTGGATGGCCGTCATGATTGCTATTCCCTGCTTTGCGCCCTCACTGCCTGTTCTTGCATGGGGTGAAGCGATGTGTGGTGTCTCTTGGGGTGTTTTCCAGGTGAGTTGTCGAATTTCATCAGTTTATTATTTGTCAAAGACTTGAAGCTCACAGGTGTGTGTTCACAGACTCTCTCCACCACTTACGCCTCCGAAGTTGTCCCAACAGTCCTCCGACCTTATGTCACCGCCTACGTCTGCATGTGTTGGGGCGCCGGTATCCTTCTCTCCGGTGGTGTCGTCCGTGCTGTAGCCGGCATCGAGGGCGACATGGGCTGGCGACTCCCCTTCCTCCTCCAGTGGATTTGGCCCCTTCCTCTCTTCATTGGAGCTTACTATGCCCCTGAGTCTCCCTGGAACGCCGTCCGACGAAATAAGCTTGATGTGGCAAAGAACAGTTTGATGCGGCTTCACGAGGCCAATGCTGAGAGGGAGGCCGAGGTCGAGGCCACGCTGGCTTATATCCGTCATACCACTGCTCTGGAGAAGGCTGAGACGCACGAGGCTAGCTTCCTGGACTGCTTCCGTGGAACCAACCTTTGGAGAACCGAGATTGTGAGTAAACTTCAGTCTCGATGTTTGCGCAAATGGCTAACCTTGAGCAGAACTGTGTCGTCTGGGCTGCTCAGATTCTCGGTGGCAACGCCCTCGTCGCTTATGGAGTCACCTTCCTTCAGTCCGCAGGATTCTCCGAGATTGCCTCCCTGAACCTCAACATCTCTCTATCCGCTTGCTACGTTGTCGGTGGTATCATCTCCTGGTTCCTCTTCCCCCACCTTGGCCGAGCGACTCTCTACATGAGCGGTTTGACATTTCTCTTTTTTGCGAACCTCGTAATTGGCGGTCTTGGCTTCGCCAAGAGTGACGGGGCCCAGATGGCTATTGGTATCATTCTGGTGGTTTCCAACTTGGTCAATATGGTCACTGTTGGGCCTGTCTGTTACCCCATCGTCGCTGAGACTCCCTCTGGACGTCTCCGTTACAAGACCATCGTTATTGGGCGATTCGTGTACAACCTCACTGGTCTTGTTGAGCATACCATAACTCCTCGAATGATCTCCCCTCTTGGTAAGCCCCTCCTCAATCGATGCTGTATAACAAAGATGTGCTTACAATCTCTAGGCTGGAACTGGGGAGCCAAGGCTGGTCTCTTCTACGCTGGCACCAACCTCCTCTGCAACACCTGGTGCTACTTCCGACTTCCTGAGACCAAGGACCGCACATTTGGTGAGCTCGATGTTCTCTTCGAGAACAAGATTCCTGCCCGCAAGTTCAAGTACACTGCTGTCGACCGTGAGTATATGCCTCTCCCACTGAATATGCGGCATAAACTGACTCGCGATACAGAATTCGCCCAGTCGCACGATGTCAAGGGCGAGGATGCCGCTTAATTGTTTATTGACCTATGGTTCTGGCCATGGTGTTACGGGCTAACATGTCGCGAAAGATGGGACCTACATTGCTGCTTTATATACAGTCATGTAGACAAAAGACCGAGTCCCTTATCTTCAATCTGATTCATCCGTGATTCTAACTTGCTCAGTTCCAGACTCAGCTGCTGAGTGGCTGAGAACGGCGTGAACTAGTCATCTTAGCCTTGAAGCAATCGCCAGCCACGGCATAAACTAGCGTTGACTGGGCTGAAACTGACTCGGATTTCATCCGCGAAGAAAAAACGGTTGTTGGGGGTCTCGGGGATTCTCCGCATGCACAAGAGCAGGGCCACCCCTGTCTCCCTTGACAGAAGGGGAATATTTATACGAGCAAGCCCGGATCAACTGGAGGTGGTGTCAACCCCTGTAGATGAGAAGGTGACTCGCCTGGAAAGGATGTCTTTTATGTAAATCCCTCCCTTGACCGCGTGATTGAGGCCGGGTTGGGCATTTCCCGAGTATTTCCCCAGTCGGAAGCTCCAGTGGAAACTGCGGGGTTGGGCTTCGTGACATACCCGATGCTTGAAGCCGAGTTGGGCCACTGGGTTTGTTTGGTGGCCAGAGTCGGCATCGATTTACGCATGAAACCCATGGTTATCACGAGGAGCTTTGTTGATCAAAGCTTGGCATTGGGCAATGAACTTGGATGTGTTTCTGCCCTCGGAGTAGTCATTTAGATACCCGATAAACTGTATCGTTTCCTTATCTGTCAAACATGATATGATATCGCCTGACTGATGTTGACTCTCTTGAATACAAGGCAGCACAGAAAGTTCAAGTTGCATCCAAGACCTCCAGCCCGCTACCCTGCGCCTCTTGACTCGCAAGACTTTGCGGATTTGCTTCATCGCCAACTCCTTTTCCTTTGCCGCTTAAAACATTGAAATTTTGATCTTACGACCATTCATAGGGAGCCGCAAGAGGCGCTCATAGCACGAGTCGTCTGGAGCATTGCGCGACCCGACCTAGTTTTGGCAGCGAATCGTCTCCAGATCTGCTTTCTTGTCGCCTTGTCTAGCTCAGGGTAGTGCAGTATCAAGTGAATACCGCTCTGAAAAGCTGGATCTATGCGACAGTCACGATCCGAAGTCATGATCAAGAGGCCGCGGTAGTATTCGAGGTCCCTCATCACTTGATTAGCTATGAGCTTAGGACTAGGGGATACAGATACTGACCGAAGAAACCCGGTAATAATCCATTATGTGTCAGCTCGCTCGAGGACCCCTCCTGCAGGAAGACGTCGCACTCGCCAGGCAGGACTATGGCATCCCAACTTTTGGTCATTTTAAAGACTTCAGTTAGCCTAAACTCGACACTGCCTGATTGCTGACCGAGTCCTCCCGCACTGAAAGGTAAAGTGGTTTGCGGACCTCCTCAGCTGGGGCTTCAGCTGTGAGGGTTTTGCCAATGCCCGGACTGTCGAGCAATAATGTAATCATGCCGAGCCCCTTGCCCTCAAAAATGCCGTCGAATGCGACTTCGTTGACGGGATGGGCTTTTACGAAGTAGATCATTAGATTCTTGTAGACTGGCGGAAGCAAGAGCTTCGAAATGACCTCGTTGTTCCAGGTTATGTCAGACAGGTGGCTGACGTCGAGTTCCCGCCAGAGCATTGGTTTGAGTCGTTATCCTAGCACTTTTGAGTTGCAAAGAAGAAAGTGGTCATCGTAGAGATGGCCTAATATAGAAGCCACCTATAGAGGGACTCTGTCTGTTGACGGCCCACCGGAATCCGCTCCATGTTGAACCTGGGCATCGAGATAGAGTTCCTCCTCCAAGAAGGTCGGCCAATCTATGCGAGTGTTGTCCTTGATATAGATCTGAGTTATACTAGATAGACCCGGGAAATTAAAGTTTACAGCGTTTATGCGAGCGGGAGTCTAAATATGCCATAGAACGCAGAGATAAAACTTGAGCATACCGAATTCCATTTCTATTTCTAAAGCTAATTTAATTTTTCCTACCCTCCGTATCCCCCATCTCTACTTCTGGCTGGGTCTGCCGCTCTGAGAGTGTGGGATTATGCAGGCATAATCCAAGTATGAACATCGGTACGATAATGCATATCGCAACAATAGTCAAAATCCGTTGAATATACCGATAACTGATGATTGCATCTCTCTCGGGTGTCCCGATGGGATATTCCGGTACCACATACAGAGGGGCAGCGTAGATGGCTGGGGCTAGGGTCTCGTTGCTGAACAACCCAAGGTTCTTGTTAAGCTCTTCGAACAGAGTCTGTGTCCAGATTGCGCCTGAGACACAATTACCAAAGGCCTGGCCGATAGAATTGACGGTGAAAATGAGTGAGATCAAGATGCCGATATACTCATGATGTGCCGTGGTTTGTATCAGTACATAGGTCGGCCAAGAGAAAAAGCCGGCAGCAGTGCCGATAACGATCTCCCCGCCGATGACTCCAGCTTTGGAACCTGTACCGCCGCGGTAGTGGTAGATCAGCCCGCCTCCAACAAACCAAAGAAGGATGCCTGCCAGAATGAGCTCTTTCAGTCGACGAATTTTGATGACGACGAGGCCTAGAAGAGATCCCACCACGGTTGCGCAGAAACTGTACAGTGACGCCACGCGAGTAGCACCCTCAACTGAGAAGTTGTACGAGACTACGAGTAGGGTGAAGAGATAGTTTCCGTGCACCATGAAAGCAAAGGGGAAAAGGCAACTGATGCCAAGACAGCCCCAGACGGTTCGATGCTTGACAAAACGAAAGGGAAGCATGGGATGAGATGCCGTCCTTTCCCACATGACAAAGATGGGGAAAAGTAGAAACCCGATAATAATCGGGGTCAGGATGCCAGCATCTCGCCATTTCGTGCTCTGCCCGCCTGCTAAAGTGAGGGGTATAAGGGTCATGGCCAGAGCGGCTGTCAAGAGCAATGCACCGATAACGTCGAGCTCCCAGAAGAGTGTCTTGAGAGAGCTAACTCGAGACGAAGAAGGCGACTCCTCTTGATCTTGGCTTGACACTTTTGCCTGATGCCCGAGAATAAACATCAGGACGATGAGAGGCAGGGCACAGATGGGGTTTATAATCGCAAACATGCCGACCCCCCAATTCCACGAAGTGACTGAAAGAACCGCCGAAGTGACGTTCCCGCTGATCCAGGTATTGACGAGGAAGGGCCAGTTCGGCACAAAGGCAAAGAACAACCGTGTTCTCATAGACGTGAAATCGGCAATCATGATCTCGATTGTCAGGACCGAAAGCGTATATCCGAGCTGATGTAACACAGCACCTCCCGCAAAGCCCTGGACATTAACAGAAAATGTCTCAATGATTGTGCCGGCCATGTTTAGCAACACGGCGGCGGTGAAGATCTCGATACGGCCGAATACGTCAGTCAATCTGGCGACCGAGGGCTGGACTGCGGCAGCCACGACTCCGCGGATGACGTTGATTGTCGATAGCAGGGAATGGTTCGCGAACGAGGAGGTGGCGTAGGGAACATAGGTATTGCGCACGAGAAAGTCGAGACCGAGCGCGTAGCTGACGAAAAAGATACTGGTGAAGAAGATCCATTTCTTGACGGTTGTCAGCTGGGCAGCCGCAGCCTCCATGCGGACCACGCCTGGGTAGTTCTCATAATGCCTATGTGGCGAAGGTGAACCATCTTTTTGGTCAAGATTTAGATTGCTTGGCTTGTTGTCTATACTTGACTCTTGAACCATGTTTGCGTCTGAGTGTGTTTTTATGGGAAGGGGATTAATCTTTGTACATGTAAGGAACTGTGTAAGTAATGGATGGATGCTTGATAAAAGGACGCATCGCTCTTATATCTAGTATCCCCTTAATAAGGAGGCTTCCCATACCTCCCGAAGTCGGCTTGTGGGGGTTCTCTTGGCACGCATGAGTGAGAGCGAGACCGAAGCCTATTGCGTCGTATGACCCCATTAAGATTATCTCATTAGATTTCATTGATTCGCTCAATGGACAGGTCAAGGGTTGGCATCGGGGCCTAACTTCCCTTCAGGGTTAGCATAGGCCTCTATTGGTAATTCGTGTAACGTGCATGATAAACCTCCGGCCAGTGCATCTGGCCGCCTTATGGATCAAATGTTGACAGTTTTGGTAATGGTGTAAATGGAGTAGTGGCAGAGTTAAAGCTTGTCTCACGGACAAGAGACCTAGGAACAATACACAGAGCACAAGGTGAGGTTCACGCTTCAACATAGCGGAGCAAACTTGGTTCGGAGGATAAGTGTTGGGTTGCTATTAGAGACACGAGGCTAACGTTGGTAGACGGTACCGGGCAGGCCAAGGCGAGATCAGATATCCTCTAATATACAACTATCCTTTAGTTTAGTCGTAAGCCCGTCTAGTGATATCCGCGATCATCGATACGTGATTAGTAGAGGTTGAGCATGGCGAACACTACGGCAAAGATGGCAGTGTCGAAGCTGAAATGCTTAGCACCGGCGCTGATGATGACGGAAGGGGTGGAAGCAGTCTGCAGAACAAGTTAGTTCATGTCACCATGGAAATGCACACTGAGGGAATACGTACAGGTACAGGAACACCACCAGTTCCAACTGATCCGACAGAAGTCAGGGTGGTGGAAGGGTAGGTGGGATGCTCGTTCGAGGCAGCAGACTTGCTGGCTGAGCCTGAAGCAGAGGTCTCAGTCTTCTCAGGAGAGGCGGAAGTCCCAGTGGGCTTGGAAGGAACCTTGGTGCTCTCAGATACCTCATGTGCGGCGGAGCTGGAAGCAGGGGAAGAGCCACTGGTGGTAGTCTCGGACGCAGAAGTGGTGTCCTCCGTAGCAGTGGTAGTCTCCTCGGACGCAGAAGTGGCGTCCTCTGAAGCCGTGATAGACGCCTCCGAAGAAGCAGTGGTAGTCCCCTCGGAGGCTACAGAGGTGGTCTCCTCGTTATCTGAGGTGGCGGACGCCTCCGCAGAAGCAGTGGTGGAATCCTCAGCAGCAGAGGTGGCGTCCTCTGAAGCCGTGACAGACGCCTCTGCAGGAGCGGTGGTAGTCTCCTCAGAGGATACAGAGGTGGGTTCCTCAGAAGCAGAGGTGGTAGAAACCTCCTCAGGAGCAGTGGTGGAATCCTCAGCAGCAGCAGAGGTGGTAGGAGGCACCTCCTCGGGAACAGTAGTGGTGACGGAAACCTCGGCGGGAGAAGTGGTGGTGGGAGCCTCGACAGGAGCCGAGGTAGTAGGAACCTCCCCAGGAACGGCGGAAGTCTCCTCAGAAAGCGTGGAGGTGGAGGGGGTCCAGCCAGATGGGCTGGGATTGGGAGTAAGACCGCAGGCTTCGGCGAGAGCGGTGATGCTGCGTCCGTACCATTGCCAAATGTCAAAGGTAAGGGAGCATTGCATGCACAGGTCGTATCTCTCGTCCCACTCCGGGTTCTCGCAGTATCCTTCCTGACGGCCAAGAGTAATCAGGTTGCCTAGCCCATCCACGGTTAGTTATGGGTTGCATGATTGATCCGAGGACAGACTCAAGACATACCACAGTTGTCGTGACAATCATACAGGGGGGTGCCAGGCTCCTGGCGCCTGTGGATGGCGGGGACGCTGTCGGGGAACTCCAGACCAACGCTGATGGCGGCCGCAGCGGCGGTCGAGGCCAGGAGGGCTTGAGTAACGAATGAACGCATCTTGATGGCGATGAAAACGAAAGTGGGCCGTCAGATGATTTGAATTGATGGACAGAGATACTTGTTGTCTGAGAGAGCTGACTGGGGACAAAGTCGAGAAGTGTGGTGCCAGGAGACGCAGGCTCTTATATACCCGAAATTGAAATGGCCCTTGGATTCCAAGGTGAGATGCCTCTACTAGACGCCAAACCCCGAAGGATTCTGGCCACGCGTCAAGCTTGCAGGCCGAACTCGCAAGACTGTTGGCAACCGGAAATTAGGCTGCGGGAATTCACTCCTTGGGACCTTTACCTGATGCGACTCTAGCTGTGCATCGCCAAGCATCCGGCCAGGGCCACCAGAGCTGGTTCCTCCCGGTGAACGATCCGCTTTCGGTAGAGAAGCAAAAGGTCTAAGCTTATATGGGTCGGCCACGAGGTCGGCCAACGCTCGATCTGATAAGCACGCGCTCAGACAGGTGGAAACGGTGGGGGGATGTCACTTGGCATCTAATCTTATCTGATCATCAGATAACGAGCCGAGTCCCATCATCCGCGTTGGGGCATGCTGCCCGGGTGCCAAGCCGCTATGATGAGCGAATTATCGGTGTTGGTTGCATCGGACGTACGATCAAGGGCCTTTCTTGGTCCCGGCCATTGAATTTTTCTTGGTCCGAACAGCGACCTGCCATCGATGCCGGATCTTGGCGGTTGGCATGCAATGTCCTGCAGTATATCTTGACCATGATTGCCGCCCTGCTGTTGGCTTCTGCCCCTTACCATTGCCTCCAACCTCATTTCCCATATCCCCCTTGTCGCTGACTCCGATCCTTCCGCCAACATGTTGAAGAGCCTTGTGATCCTGACCGTGGCGTCATTCGTCGCCGCCCAGTCAGATGACAGCCCTTCCAGCGCCAGTGTAACCGACGATGAGATGGGCCCGGCTGCCTTCATGTGGCCCCCGGACAGAGTCTGGTCTGGGGATGTAGACAATCGCTCTCCCTGTGGGTCCCGTGCCTCCGCCGGCAACAGAACCGAGTTCCCTCTGTGTAAGTGTTTCATACCATGACATGCATCCTACGTAGGGCAGAAGCTCTCTTGGACAATGCTCTTCCCGCTCTGTCGACGCCCGTCACTAACACCTCGGTTCCAGCTGGGGGCGCCGTCGCTCTTGTCGCCCAGGATGATTACTACAATTCAAAGCTCAGCATCGCCTACTCCGACGGTTAGTAGCCAACAGCCCTTCATCAAGAGTGCCAGGGGAAGCTCCTGACCAGGTGGTGCTGCGTGAATTCCAATGTCCAAAGGCTGAATGTTACGACCTGCAGACCCTACCTCGAACGACGACTTCACCACGTTGATTGAGGAGCATAGCATCTCTGACCTCGACCCCGGCCACACTTGCGTTGACTTGTCCGACCTGCCTGGTAGCGTTTCCGCCGGCGATAATGCCACTCTGCAGATCATCTACCGTGCCGACTGGGATGCCCCCCACAACCAGACCTTCTATGCCTGCGCCGACATTGTCTTTGTCGAAGCGTCCGAGTTTACCTTTAATATCCCTTGCTTCAACGCCACAGAGCCCGGCGAGGATGATATTGAGGCTGGTGCGACGGCCAGCGCCAAGCCAACTGCCACCCACAAGTCTACATCCGGCGGCTCTAGCAGCTCCAATGATTCCGACGACTCTGAAGACTCCAGCAACTCCGGTGATTCCAAGAAGCTCAGCGGTGGTGCTATCGCTGGTATCGTCGTCGGCTCCGTTGTCGGCGTTATTTTGATGGCTGTGGGAGCGCTACTTCTGTGGCGTCGCAAGAAGCAGCAGAGGCGCAGCCAGCACATCACCCGCCTGGAGAACGAGCGCCGTAACGAGATACCATTGGGGAAGGTCTCAACTTCGCAGTCCAGTGCTGCTTAGGTAATGAACGGAACGTCTGACGCTATGAGTTATGATTTGATGTGCTGCTGCAGAGGAGGTGCCAAACAGGGTTTATTGAGATGCTCCAAGACATGGGTCGAGCATCTGTTGGATAGTTTGTTTGCCTAAGGCACAACTTTGTTGGGGAATAGAGCTATAGTAGAAAATATGATACTGATGAACTTGGCTACCCTTTACTAGTCCGTTGAATATGACACAGGCCTATCTCCTGAGGGCACAGCACAGCCTGGAATCTTGGCCGTGAGGCTTCAGAACGAAGTAGCCTTGCCCAGCCATCGAGTTAGATAAGTATCCCAGGCCATTGTTGGGCTCGACCTCAACCCACCTCGTCATTAATAAGCGGAAGCCCCGAGCGAACCATGCTGAAAGCACACACCATGCCATTCCTTTCTCGATAACCTGCCGGCACCCTCCCTGGTACATGAGGTTGCTGACCCGGCCAGAGAGGCGTATGGCCAATAGCGTCAGTTGATGTCCCATCTCGAGCATGGGACCCTCCCCTGACCGCCAAGCCTTGCTAACCTAGAATGTAAATTGCGTTGAGAGGGACTGGAAGCCACTTGTCCACTGTCAGGAGACACATCAGCAGCAAATACCGGTAGTATGGTTCATAGAACGGCTTCCGCCGTTACGGCGTGAGTCGCATCGCTTGCCCTAGAGGAAATCCACATCCATTTGATCACATCACCGCATCGACCCAAGCCGCGCAGGTCATGAGGTAGCTGATTCCACCGTGCCTTGAGCACTGATACATACCTACCATACCCTTCGACGTCAGCCCACCACACAGTCGCCGGGGTCTGTCAAGGGCATGCAAATGCCAGGGAGCAACAAACTTGAGCTGGTAAGGTCGATCCTCATCCTGGACCCATGCTGCTAGCCAGGATCTAAAGTGTGGTACTTGCTATGTAAGTCGGGGCGTGGAGGCGTGTGAACAGAATCTTTACTTCCGTACTTCCATATAGCCGGCCAAATATCCTCCTCCCCATGGGCCTGAGAGCAAGGGAGGTTGGTCCAAGAAGTTGGCCTGTCTTGGACCAACCCACACTGTACAATCTGATAGGTATGACCCAGGCCCAGATTCTGGCGAATGCGCCTTCTTCCTTTAGGTTGGATGACGAGACCAGGGTCTTGACCGTCTTGAGCAGAGTGGATTTTGCCAAGTCGATAACGCAGTCCCCGTCGAACTCCGGCACATTAGGAGGTACATACCCGGGGTTGTTGTAAGAAATCATCAATCGCCCATCTGCTGGCTGATGACGAGAACGCGGAGCTTGACGCAGTGATGCCCGTCCTTTGGATAGGCTCGACTGTTCCGAGAGTCATGGCTTGAAGTGATTGCTCAGTGAAGTCTGGCATTCTTGAGCTGAACAGATCCACAAGATGGGGGACCACTAGTGCCACTCTGAAAGCTAAAGGTTGGGCTAGATATCTCTCTGTCTTGGCATCGCTAAGTCGGAGTGTGATGTCTTGGAAGGAATAAACCGCTCAACCGCGTGGAGAATTCACAAACTTCAGTTCAGCAAGTAAAATCTCAACTAAGGGTCACGCGAGTTCCAACTCGAGAAATTCGACTCGAGGGAACCAGACCTGGAGCTGTTTCAACTGAAGACTCTTTGAACGGCTACTGGTTTAGGCCCGTAAGATGCGCTTGATATGATCATCCGGCATATTGCCACGCTACTATTGGCGGGGTTTCGGGGGAACCTTCTGGAGAAACCCAAGGCTAAGGCCAAGATCACAACATCAGGAGACCAGGACGTGCATGGCCCCTGCTGGATTCCATACTGTCATGGGTGTGCCATCCGGGACCAATATCCAGTCACATGCTAGAGGGCCATCGAGTACTCCGTAGATATGTACCTATTTCTCACCTTGGGCCCCCTTCGCACAGGAGAGAATTCCAGAGCTGGCAGGCAAAGGAGCTCGGACTCAAAGATGCCGGCAATCGAGCCCACGGTGGCTATCGGCCCGTTGGAGTTGGGAGGAGGCGGTTCGCAGATGGATAACTCTGTACGACTAAAGGCAAGATTGATACCAGATTGGAAGTGAAATCCCGGCAAGGACGCACGACTTCTCGTCGAACCTCCCGCCCGACGGGTGTGGACCCTGCAAGAGAGGTTGCTTTCAACCCGACTTCTTTCTGTATCCGCTGTCGAGATGGAATGGGTCTGTAAAGACACCACATTCTGCGAGTGCGGCTTGAGGCTGAACCATCGACGCTAGTTTGGTTGGACGCCGCTTGGCCAGATAACAAAGGCCGCGGATGCCTTCAACCTCTGGCACAAGGTGGTTGAGAACTACACCAAGAGAAACTTTGCCCTCCGAAGGGATAAGCTTCCAGTGATATCTGCGATAGCTGCGGTGATACAGCAAGGGATAGGCTCGGACTTTGTCATCCAAAAGCTCGGCGAGTAGCGAGGTCGCAATACCTTTTTGGGCACCTATCCCGATTGTGTTAAGGGGATTGATGAATGATATGTGGTTATTGGGATGAGGTTTGTTCGGACCTTTCCCCTGGCAACACGTTAACATAAGGGGTTCATTTTTATCTGACTACCTACTATCTGGCTACGTGCACGGTATTATTAATGGTGAAGTCATCCAGGAAATTCGAGACCAAGGGAAAAGGATGAAAAACTTTAAGATATTCAAGACTGTTTAGATTGTAAAATGATTGACTAGGAATCCGACCGTTAACTCTTCGCTTCACGTGCTCACCCAAGTGTGATTCCTGCCTGTCACGCCCTCGATTCTACGTGATTCCATATAATCCGCAAAGGCAATCAAACTGCCTTGCGGGTAGCGAATTGACGCTGAAGCTGATTGTAATCGCTCATTTAATTCGTCCGGCTCGCAGGTAAGGCAGACTGGCGAACCATTTACGCGCCCAACGTACTGATCAAGGCCTAAAAAATCCTCATGCGTGGATATTCTTCTTGAGGCATGAAACAGAAGTGACAGAGCACATCTCACCTTGTAGATCTTCAAAGTGGTTTCCAAAACATCCCAACGATGAATCCGATATCAGTGTTTGGCGCTGCAGACGGTGCTCTGCGGCTTCTAGACTACTCAAGCAACATCATCAAGGCCGCATTGAAATCGATCGAATCCCCGGACGGAGTGCCCGTTAGTATGATTGAAATGGAAACGGTAGCCGAAGGTCTCGCCGAATCAATCAAGCAACTATACAGAGATGCTGGCCAGGAATGTGATAAAACTCTCATGGCTATTTGTCGTTTATCTTGCAATATCGCCCAATTCTTCTTGACGGTGGCTGGAGCTTTCAAGCAAAGTGTACTAGGCGGTGAGCGGAAAATGGTCTCAGACGTCCTCCGGGAAGTTGGATGGGAACGGAGTATGAAAGCCCTTCAAGGAAGATTTTCTGAACTACAGCTTCGATTCAAACGCCAGGTCGAAATGGAGTCACAGTAAGTGAGGATTTAAACTTCCATAGAAAAGCAATGATAGGATCGTCTAATTCAAGCCAGGAATTGCAACCACCATTCGCAAGTGGCCTTGGCCTCTATGGCTGCAAAGGTCATCAGTGCTGAAGACAAGATGGATTCTAATGGGGCTTGTGCTAGAAGCGCAACCTCTATTATGGATAAAGTCGGCGGAGTAGGTTCGATGAAGTGGCTACTCCCTAAAGCTCTACGAACCATAATTTGTTAGACCCCCTCGAATACAATGATGCTATCTTGGACTCTGGAAACAAGTCCATCAAGACAGCTGGTAAAGGAGAACGCTCAAATACTCCATGAGGCGATGGAAAAGCCTCGCACTGCAACACATATTGATGCATTCTCTATTCAGATGTTATTGATACGGCAAAAGTTGTCTTCAAAACATGGATATTTGTTTGATGGGAAGGTTGAATAGTATCAAGTAGTCATGACGTTGATATATAAAGTCTTAGATTGAAGAGGTAGATGCGTAGAGCCCATCAACCTGTCCCATAGCTCAATCTAAATACATCCATGACTTGCCACAGCATCGCTGTCTCTTTAGCTTCAGAAGCTGCAATTAAAAATACTATTGGCTATCTTAAGCCCACATAAAGCAGCGGCACCTGTCCTTTGATCAAGGTTACCGAATTAAGAGTCCTTGCGGTAGAAAGCGACCACCTTGCCCCAGAAAGTCTTGGGCTGGTCGACATTCTCGTCTCGTCGGGGAACATCAACCCGCTCACCGTCGAGACCAGTGCTGGTGACAGCGTTCTGCTGCTTGCCGAGGTAAAAGTCGGGCATGAAGAAGGTAGCGATCAGAGGCACGGCAGCGAGGACAAGCGCACAGGTAGCGATGTGGCCATTGATAGCGGAATAGGCACGAATGGCGCCCTGGCGGACAGGGTCGTTGAAGGCGTAGTCGCCGCGGAGAGACGTGATATCGTTGTAGAGCAACATAACCTTTTCTTGGCTAAGGTCAGGTAGCTCCTTGTACATGCGGTCAAGCATCTCGTTGGTCCAGATGGCGGATGACACGGCACTTCCAATGGAAGAGCCAAGGGTAGACCACAGAGTGAGCAGAGAGATCATGGTGGCCATGTCTTCATGGGGTACTGAGGCTTGACTACCAACACGAACACCCACAACGTTGAATGAACCCAGACAAAAGATCAGCTGAGCAAGGACCAGACGGGCCGTGTCCTGAACCATGCTGCCGTTGGGCTTGACCAACAGTCCATAGGCAAGCAGTCTCGCCGCGGCACCAAAGAGCATCAAACTCTTGTATCGGTGAGTCTTTCGCTGGATGAGACCGACGATGGGGCCAATAAGACTCAGTCCCATGGTGGTGATACCCAGGAAGATGATCCATTGGTAGTTGGTCCAGTTCTTGATGATGAGAATGTACGACGAGAAGTAGGTGTTGCGGACGGACGAAGCCATCTGGTTGAAGGTGTAGATGGTGACGGCAGCGAGGAACGTGCGGTTCTTGATAATTCGCTTCGTCATGAGAGGCTTCTTGGCGACATACATCTCAAAGAGGACAAAGACGATGAGCAAGACGAAGCCGACGACAAGCATGGCAATGATGCTCGCGTTACCCCAGCCGCCCTTAGCCGTCTTGGCGAGGGTAAAGGGTAGAAGGATGAGCGAAAAGGCAAAGCCGAGGATGATGAGGCCACAGATGTCGATGTCAATGAGGCCCTGGTAGAGGAGCTTGGCCCAGTAGCCGAAACCCCTAGAGGCAGTCTCGTCCACGCCAGTTCGAACACGCGCCGAGTCGGCCATGGTGACCATGCCGAGCTTCTCTCCACGTCGCTGCATGGAGTACAGAGTGAAGATGGCGGGCATGAGTAGCACAGGCACAATGATGGCAAACATACCCAGACCCCACCTCCAGTTGTCGTAAAAGCCATCGGCGATGAAGCCATTGACGGGGACAGTAACAACAAAGGGCAGAGCCAGAGCTGCACCGAAGAAGCCTCGCCACTCAAGAGGGGTCAAATCTCCAACAATGATATCGCTCAGAAGATCGAGGCCGGACTTTCCGACCGACGTGAAAGAGACACCGATCGTGTAGGCGGCAAAGGTGTTGGCGCTGGCTGCGACGATAAAGCCGACAACGTAGAAGACGAGAATGACAACGTAGGTGGTCGGTCGAGAGGTGATGTCGGCCAACTTGCCGATGAAAGGCTTGCTGATAGCTCGAATGATCTGACTGGCAGTGCTGACAGCGGCGAGAGAGCTGTGCGTTCCAAAGGTCGAAGAAGCAAGGACGTTGAAGACGGAAGTGGTGATACCCTGATCGAGAGCGTAGGCGAACATGGTAAGACCAATTGACACGCCCAGAAGCCAAAGCAAGATCTTGCCAGACTTGCCAGACTGGTAAAGGACCTTGTTGAAGGCTTCGACCTTGCTCACACCAACTTCAGTGTGACCTTCAGAGTCTGAGGCTGGGTTGGGCTTCGAGTCTTCCCGGGAGAGGACGGTGCCGACGGGGCCGCCATCTTTTCCGGCGGCATTGGCGTCAATCTGCGATGAGCCCGCGGCGTTGACATCGGGCTGACCAGCGTCTGGAGCAGCTGGCTTCGACATGATGGCTTATGTTGAGCTCTCTCGAGTCAAGTCCAAAATTGAGGGATGAGAAGGAAGAATCTGGAATATTCACGCAGATCCCGAGGAGACACGAAAAGAAATACCAAAAAAATTGTGGTACAAAAGTTCGCCTCCACCCCCCATGCTTCCATTTTATCTGATCAAGGATGATCCGTACCAATCCAGGTTAACACAAGTCCCCACGCCGTAACCAACGTTGGGGACCAGTCACAGAGAATGTAACGTTCAAGAACCAACAGTTCGACGCTAATCCCACGCATCACCCACGCTGTTTCCAACAAATAGTCATGCCGAGAACTTGCGGGGCCACACGTTCGGATGTGGTGACTGCCCCGAGAAGAGATTATCAAGGATCTGATAAAAAAGAGAGTTTTTTTTTTCCTGAGGTGTGGGTAATACCGACGTCGGCTCTGTACGCGAACTAAAACTTGTCAGATGGGGGCTTCTAGTGCTGATCCTGCCCCTGCTCGGTAACGGGCGAGTTTTTTGTTCGCGTGCTTGGCATGCCCACATGGTTCGTTACTTCTTTCGACCAGGAGGGATGTAACCCCGGTTAAAAGGGTGAAGAATTGGATGGTTCACGGGACGGACCTGTTCGGAGACGCTGTCCGGTGGAATAAGGGCCAAGATCGGTCTTGACAGGAGAATATCGGACCATTTCTCACCATTACTGGGCAAATTCATAGTGCTTACCTTACCCAGTTTTTCAGTAATTATGTATTTATTAGTAATAAGCGAGAGTCTTGATCGACTGACTGATCATGCACGTTATCGGGAGGAGTTTGATCCCAGTTCTGCACTGCTACTGTAGTGGATGTCTCATCTTGACACGAGAGGTGTTGCCATCCTCGGCGATCTCAGTCCACCGTTATTAAAACTTGAGTTATTAGACTACCACTACTAAATGGGTGCACTCTTTGGCTTGAGTACACTATAGATATTGATGCTGAAGCTTTGACTCTATCTGGTTACGTCTTAGTATGGAAAGGAATTATATGTGTCAACAACCACGCCTCTCGTCTACGCCCCTCGAACAGTAATCTTGGCGGCATCGCAGAGGACCCTGAATAAACTGTCTGGCCTGGAATAGAGCGCCGGGATAGTGTCAAACTCAGCGACTCTGCCACTGTCCATCACAACTACCCTATCACACGTGGAAATGATGGTGTCCAGTCTATGAGCCACAGTCAGAACTGTAGCATCACCCATTACCTCGTTCAGCATCACTTGAAGCTCCATGTCAGTCCTGCCGTCAATAGACGCCGTGGCTTCGTCAAGAATGACAATCTTTGATCGCCGCACAAGCGCCCGGGCAATTGAGATCAAGGACCGTTGACCATGAGAGATGTTGGCACCGTTCTCCTTGACCTCCGAGTCTAGAGTTAGACTCGGGCTGGCGCTGATGAGCTCGGACTCAGGGTTCTTCTCACAATCACTCCCCTGTTCAGCGATTGAACTAGAGTCTGGTTGGTCAAGTCCAACTCTCCTCAAGCATTGGCGGAGCCAGTCATCGTCATACTGCTGGAATGGATCCAGATTGTACCGGATTGTCCCGGCTAGGAGGATAGCGTCTTGGCTGATGACTGACAGGCTTGATCGAAGTAGATGAAGGCCGACCGTGTGAATGTCCACTCCGTCAATGAGAATTCTGCCACTTGTGGGCTCAGTGATCCTCAGCAACGCAGTAATCACTGTTTGATGGTTAGTTTTTGCTTGGGACATACAGCCTCGATGAAAAAAGCTATGGGGATAATGCTTACAAGTTGTCTTTCCTGCTCCGGTGCGACCGACGATGCCAACCTTTTCGCCTGGCTTTATATCCAGAGTCACATCTCTGAGTGCAGGTTCCAGGCCAGGGCGATGGCTCAGCGTCAGGGACTGGAATTGGACATGCCCATCACAGGGCCATTCGCCACTCTTCAGGCCCTTGTCCACATCTTTGACCTCGTGCGCAGGCTCTTGCTGAATGTCAAACACATAGTGAAGCATTCTCTCGACCGAATTCATGTTGTTTTCAATCTCGGCACTCTGTCGAATCATGTTGCCAAAGACGGCTTGCGCTGTGACAACGTAGGACAACACTACACCTCCCGATGATGGAGGAATCGTGTCTCGAAGTCCTACGACAAGCAGGCCAGCGACGAGCACAAGTGTCGCGCCGCAAAGATCTAGACGGAGATTGAGCCAGCGCTGACACGCCACCGAGAGCCAGTAAGCCGTGTTCTCAGTGTCAATCTTGCGTGAGTTGTCCGCGACGAAGCGCGACACGGCGCCGAAAGCCTTGAGGGTGGGCAGACCGGATAGGGACTCGCCGAAATGTTCGTAGATGCGGCTGCGTAGCAGATTGTTTAGACGGCGCAGCTCTCGCGACGAGGGTCGGAAGTACATGCCAGTCCAGGTGTAGGCAAGTAGGAGCGCAGCTGCGATGGCTATGAAGGGCGGCAGAATAATGGTCACAACAATAATGGTGCCAATTGCTTGTACCGAAGTCGAGATGAAGAGTCGCAGCGTCTCGCCCACAACATTATCCACAGCGTCGACATCCTTGCTAAACCGGTGCGTGATACGTCCCTGGGGCGTCGTATCGAAGAAAGCCACTGGCGCACGGAGTACGCTCGACATGGCCGCACGGTGAAGATTGTTGGAGCACCAGAAGCAGAAGAGAGCAAAGGTAGCGTTCATGAAGAATAAACCCAGAGACTGTCCAATACCAAACGCCGCGTAGCCTCCCATGTATTCGTCCTCAGAGATGGACTTGTACTTGGTGTCTTGCCACCAGCTCAACCACAGCGGTGAGACGATGCTTGAGCCTTGATAGATGAAGATGGACGTGATGAAGAAGGGAACCGTGAGGAAGGCGTTGCCGAATTGTACGTAGCGGACGTAGGTTCTACCGCTGACAGAGCCGACAAGTCTCTCCTCGCTCTGCATGATCTCGTTGCCTCGGCCCTTGGGCTTCTCTTTTGGCTTCTCCGTGAGGGTGTCCTCCTCCTTGGCCTTGATTTTCAAGTCCTCTGGTTGCTCAGAGTCACCACCAGACTGAGTTGACTCAGAGTCTGAGTCAGGGGCTCCTGCAAAGCGAGAAAAGGGACCACCTAGACTTGAAAGAAGCTCATACGAGCCCTGTTCCACGATGCGGCCGCCTTCCATGTAGACAATATGATCCGCCTGTCGAGCAAACACCATAGAATGTGTCACCAGAACAATAGTACCCTCACTGTTTCTCCGGGCTTGGTTGATCACCATGTCGAACACCCGAGATCCAACATGCGCATCCAGAGCAGAGAAACAGTCGTCGAGAAAGAGTAGTGGACTCTTTCCGTAGATGGCCCTAGCAAGACTCACACGCTGCTTCTGGCCGCCTGATAAAGAGACACCCATCTCGCCGACGACTGTCATGTCGCCGTCGGGAAGTCTCTCCAAGTCCTGGTGTAAACAGCACCGCCTGAGAACTTCGTTGTACCAAGCCAGATCCAGTGGTCTGCCGAAGATGATGTTCTCTCTCACCGTCTCGCTGAGCAACCAGGCTGTCTGCGAGGCATAAGAAAGCTGGGAAGATGGAGACGAGGTTTCAAGGTTGAGCTGGCACGAGCGCGCCTGGACAAGTTGCATGTCTCCTAGTAACGCTTTGAGAACCGAAGTCTTGCCTGATGCAACAGGGCCAACGATACAGACAAGCTGGTTCTTCTTGACCACGAGTGAATCAAGGCGTAGTCTTTGGCTTTGGCTCCTGTTCTCATTGACTTGCCCAGATTTCTCATTTGCGTCGTCTGCCAGGAGTTCCTCGTCATCGTGATACGCAAAAGTGGCATCCTCGACTTGAATCACCACGTCGGCTGATGATCCCTCACCACAGCCTGAACGAATTCCAGAGTCATTCTTCGGGGCCACATCAGACGCGAGCATAAATGCAGATAGACGTTCAAGTGCCGCCCGAGCATCCGCTATAGCCGAAAGTGCAACAGGTAGAGCCTGCAGTGGTGTCCTCAGAAGCAAGAAGAAAGCGAGCGCAGAAAAGACGACACTTGGTTCCATGCCATTCTTGCTCGTTGCTCCATAGCACACGATGCTAACGACAGAGGCGAGTGTGGGGGCAGTGTATGAGACGGCGATGTTGAGAGCTCGGAGAAGCATCCTCTTGCGGATGTAGACAACCTCGTCAGACCTCAACTTTCCGACCTTTTCGAGTAGGCTATTTTCATAAGCGTTGGTTTTGACAAGGCGGATAGTTGAAACCGCTTCGACAACAGCCTTGACTCGCGCATCGGTAAAGGGCATGCTACCTCGACGCAGGCGTAGTAGCATCCCCATCATGTAAGTCTGCAGCGGGTATAGCAGTGCCAGAAGGCCGAATCCAGGGAGTGCGCTGTAGCCCAGTGACCACACCGTCAGGGCGAAGCAGAGAAGAATCTGGAGGATGCTGGTCCACGCAGAGTGAAAGAAGCCGCAACAAAAGTCCACGCGTGTGACGTCGGCGCTCATCAAGCTCATCAGCTTTCCCGTGCCAAGACCATTCTTTAGCTTGGCTCTCTCAGTGAGTTTCGTCGTTGCCCTGCGATAAATGGTATGCATGAGGGCGCCTCTCAGGAGAATGCCCGTCGTGTATGAGCGGTAGAAGCCATGAACGTTGGCCGTGACAGAGAAGACGAGCAGAAGAAACAGCCCAACTGCGTATCCAAAGCCTGAGCGTAAAGCTGATTGTGATGGATCTTTCAATGTGGCGATGAGAAATCTGATGAGAACAGGAGAGACCATTTGCGACAAGTCGCCGCATAACTTGAAGAAACCTCCTATCCAGAACCACCGGAAGCAAACGTCGTTGAGAGCCATGGTCAAGACGGTGGCGTCAGTCGTTCGCCTCGCCCAGAAAGGTCTCCATGAAAACAGCCCAGAGGGAACTTTTTGGTTGCTGTTCCTCTCAAGCCTCTCAGACCAGCATTTTTCGAGTTTATCCGCATGATCTTCCGCCAATCTGTTGCCGGGCATGTCATACAGGTCGTCGGTTTGAAGAGGCCTGGTGTATCCCGTTCTCAAAAGAGGAGCCAGCCAGCCGAATAACAATATCGACAGCCAGTTTGCCGTCGACTCTGGCAACGCTGTCTTTTCCCTGCTCCCAGCATCTTCTGTGCTTGAAGATGAATGCGAATACCGTTCCGTCAGTGGTGTCTTAATAGGCTTTGTCGACAGAAACGGTACTCGTCTGTACCATTTCCTCGGTGGGAAGCTTTTCCCATCGTTTGTCGCCATATCGGATGGTGTTGAGAATGTCGGACTTGTCGCTCATGGAACTCCGTCGAAGCACATCCATAAACGTGTCGATAACCCACATCTCACTGATTTTTTCGATAAGAAAGGAGAAACTCTCGGATCTCTCCGATCACGGAGCCACGGCACATGGGAGGTACAGGCCAGGTAGTGCATTACGCTAAGTGTGATGAAATCCTCCATGTTGGCTCAGCGCTGCAACCGAGGCTTGGCATTAGTCAAGGGATCCAGTGTACCAAGTTGTCAGCATTATATAAAGCGATGATCTGCGGATCACGCTACAGGCTATTGACCAGTTCGGGAAGGTGTCCGGCGGGTGAGAGAATTGTGGTCAAGAGTGACATTCAAAGGAACCTCTCGTTCGTCCCACAAATTCTTTCGTATTCATCAAGGCATGGGGGTACCCTCTTGGCCGCGGTGAATAATGCGACAGTGTCCAATAGCAACCGGCAATAACGAGACGGGGACAGGGGCCCTTGTCGAGTGACGTCGACACTGCCGGCTTGAGTTAATTTATGCTTAATACGCCACCCTCCAGGGGCGCAGCCAAGTGCCGAAAGCTTGACTTTGTGACATTGCGGAGTACATACGCACTGTGAGCACCTCGCTTGCACAACTGAGCAGTGCAGAGAGGACGTTGACCACTCGCATCGGGGTAATAGCAAAGCCGTGTCATTGTGAATTGTAGAGTTGAATAAGTAGTCATGTTTTAGTTACTTTAGATGGACTGGTTTCCTGTCCAAGAAATATTACTTTGATCTATCGCAAGCATCCCGTCCATCATCATTGTGATCTGTAAGTATTTCTTTGGTTAATTCATGATAACCCGGCACCCATATCAACCCCCAGGTTACCCGAGACCTTGATGCAATTTACTGACAGTGCTTACACAGGTCCTTAACTCTCGAAAATGGGCATGTATATCGACGACTCCAAGTCTCACGTCGAGACGCTTCTCAACAAGTCTGAGAAGATATCCTTCACACTCCCCGACGGCAAGACCGAAATATGGCTTCAGACCGCCAAGAATAATACTGGAACCGACCATGTCGTCGGATCTGGAGATCGAGCCTTGGCTCGTTGGACTACGGATGGCACAAAGACGAGAATCTCCCCAGCCATGGTCAACGACGACAGGGCCGAGTTTGATCTAGTCTTTTCGTTGGAGCTACTGAGCTTTGATGAAGGCTATTCTCGATCGCCGTTTGCTTCTGAGGGTCAGCAGCAAGATCTCGCGTTGGCCTGGGCATCAGTATATGCCCTGTGGCTGCACCCTGACCACAGAGAAGACGACCTGATCGCGGTCTCTGTGGACAGCGAGCGAGTGGGTGAATACCTTCGATGCACCGGCTTGGGAGTTCAATCACCATTCTCCCCAAGCACAGCACCCAAGGACGCCATCTATTGGATCTCTCGAGACGTCTTCTGGCAGGGTGCCGGTGCTCCAGACTCGCAGCACTGGCTCCGTTCCCGGCCCGAAGTGACGAGCTTCCCAGGCTTCAACGGGACCATGGGTGTCTTTGCCAACCAGATGGGCTTCACTCGCAAAGGCAACGTTTGCACCGTCCACCCAGTGCGGCCAGCAAAGCCCAAGCCTGGCACCGTCATCTACTCGCGCTACATCGTGGAGCTCGGCCAGTTGCTGCAGATCCGGCATATCGATGCCGAAAACCCTGTCCATTTTGAAACGTACAAGCGGTGGCAGAACTCGGACCGCGTTAATGCGTCATGGAAGGAGCGCGGACCGGACGAACATCATCGAAAATATCTGGCCGAGCAGCTTGCCGATCCGCATACAATGTCATGCGTGTTTGAGTGGGACGGCGAACTGGCTGGGTACACGGAGCTGGGGTGGGCCAAGGAAGACAACGCAGCCTGCTTCTTCAACTCCAACTGCAACATCACCGTCGGAGACCATGATCAAAACTCACACATCATTGTGGGTGAAGAGAAATTCCGTGGGGGTAAGCGGTACCAGGCTGTGGCGACGTCGATCAAGCACTGCTGTTTCCTTCGCGACCCACGAACAAGGCAGGTCATTGCCGAGCCTCGATACGACTTGAGCCATGTTCATATCCAGAACAAGTATTTGCCGCAGGAGAGGAAGAAGAGGTTCCATCTTCCGCACAAGACGGCGGTTCTATTCGCTCTGCAGCGGGAGAGATTCTTTCAAGAAGGACACTTTGTCTAGCTAGTTAGCTTGATGCAGTATGTGGATAGCAAGTAGTCATCGTGTGGATCATCAATGTCAGGAACTTGAATATCGAATTGAAGAAGCTGAGCAAAGCCGTTGGGATCGTCGAGTCGGAGTGAAATTGATCCGATAAATATCTGAATCTGGAGTAAAATGCGTAAACTGCCCCATTTGGCAGGTCACCAGTAAGGTTCACTAGCATCGGCCGAGTAGTAAAAAACCCGCCAAGTCGATCCCCGTGTCGGGTAGAGGAAAAGGGGAAGTGATATTCCTTCAATGTAACACTCCCATTTTTATTGGAGCGCAACAGGGTTTTGATCAAATTTTCATCTCCGGGTGATTATCAATCAGGCAAATCAGGATAATCTAATCAGATGATCACTTCAATTGCCTCATCTCACAAAACAACAAGGGATTCACCCCGCCCCCACGAACCATGACGGACTTGATGGAAAGTACCGAGGGCGATGAGGTAATATGGATGGATGGATTCATGGGGAATACTTGGAGGCAAGTATACGACGGGTACCTCGATTGTTCCACTGTGTGACCGATCGCGGCACTTGCTCGGTAGTGATTGAATATGTAGTAGGGCATAATACACCAAAGAGTAGAATTTTTCAATGATTATGCACTCTCTAGATAGTTGCAAGATCAACAGCAACATGAACGACATGGCATCTAAACCCCACCCACCAGTCACGCGACTCCGGCCACTGCATTCGCTCCAACAGCCGGGTACCCTATACTCAGAAACATCTGGTGATGAGCCTGAACTCCTGCATTGGACAAGTTCTCTCGAGGAAATTCCCGACGGGAAGACAGCCGTCAAAGCCTTTGTAGAGCTCGTATCACGTGTAGTAGTGCTTGACGACGATGAGCAATACTGCATTCAGGATTCTACACGAGGTGGTTTCATCTTGGCTCGCTTCAGCCATGATGGAAGTCAAACGTTTGAGTTCATTGAATCTACTGAAATCAATGACATCCCGACCGACTTTTCGATTGGCGAGGGAAAGGTTCGTTGATGCAACAAATGCTGGTAGAATATGTTGTTAACACACCCGTTAGGCCTTGCAGCTGCACAGAGATGCAGCAACTGGTCAAGTAGCATTGACCGCGCAGGCCAATCTCATACCTGCTGCAGCTCTTGATGCCCTGGGCAGAATCTTGGATGACCTCATCCTTGGCCTGACAGGAGAATGGACACAGCCTTCTGTGCTCAACTTTCCACCAAAGTCTAGACCACTGCCTTTGTGTCCCGAGGAGTCAGATGAGCCTGCTTTACTTCATCTGTGGTTCGAGCAGCGAGCTGCAGAATATCCCGATAGAACGGCTCTGGACTTTCTCGTCAGCCTCGAAAGTGGCAAGAGAATCCAGTATACCTACCAGCAGGTTGAGAATGCTGCCAACGCGCTAGCGGTGGATTTGGTTGCACAGTCACAACCATCTGCCAAGACAGTTGCCGTCCTCATAGGACCCTGCCCAGAGCTGTACATCAGCTACTTGGCTGTTCTCAAGGCTGGCATGACTTTCTGTCCTATTCCAGCAGACGCCCCTGAAGAGAGAAAGGCTGCTCTGCTGGAGGATCTGAAACCAGCCGCAGTTCTGAGTACGTCGGCGCAATCAGTGTCTGCCAGCATTCCCACGATCAATGTCACTCCATACCTCGCAGCATGCGATACAATTTCAGCAAGACAACCATCCTCATCTATCAAGGAGACTGATGCCGCCTACATCCTATACACTTCTGGAACCACTGGCAAGCCAAAGGGTGTTGTTGTCAGTCATATTTCGGCAGCATGTACCATCTCCGCCCTGAGCGCCCACTACGCGTTTCCCTCCCCGGCATCACCAGAGCCCATCAGATGGTTCCAAGGCGCGGCTCCTACCTTTGACATTTCCCTCTTCGAGATCTTTTGGACACTCAGCTCAGGCTCAACTCTCTGCTCCGCCCCTCGCGAGTTTACTCTGCAAGACGTTGACAAGACTGTCACAACTCTCGAAGCAGACATCACCAACATCACTCCTTCTTTTGCCAACTTGCTGGACCCAGCGTCGCTCCAAGGGCTTATGGTCGGCGGAGAGACTCTGAACGCACGCCTACTACAAGACTTTGCAGTCCATAATCCAACTGAAAAGCACGGCTCTAAACCCCGCGGCATTTACAACGGATACGGGCCTACAGAGACGGCCATCTACTGCATCGCCCAGGCCCATGTGCCAGCAGACCAACGAGGCTCCGTCCTAGGAACGCCTCTAGCTACGTGTGGCACCCTGATCGTTGATGAGCAGTCGACATCCCTGAATCCTGTGCCTATGGGTGCGATAGGAGAACTCGTCATCACCGGTCCCCAAGTGAGCAGAGAGGGATACCTCAACCGCCCCGACGAGTCAAGCCGCGCCTTCGTCGATGACGAGAGATGGGGCAGAGCGTATAGAACTGGCGATCGAGCTAGAGTCGTTTGGGACCCTAACGGCGAGCCTGTGGTTGAATTTCTGGGAAGAATCTCAAATGATCAAGTCAAGCTGAGTGGAAGACGCGTTGAGCTAGGCGAGATCGACAGCGTCCTGGCCAGCAGAGTCGAGAACGTGCGAGAGGTACTATCTTGTGTCTGGAAGTCAGAGACTTCTAGAACTGGCTCAGAAAGGGTTGTGAGCCTCGTCGCCTGTTCCGAATCTGACTTCGAACCTGTCTGCGAAAAATGTCTCGTGGCTGCGGAACGATACCTCCCTGACTACATGAGGCCTTTCAAGATTCTTAGAGTCGATGCACTACCAAAGTCTGCATCTGGCAAGGCTGACCGCAAAGCTGCTTTGACATACGTCCGAGAGACTCTGAAACAAGGCCACGTCTCGCATCAGCCAGAATTTGATCCAGAAGAACCCCTTTCCGATCCGGAAGACGCCCAGTTGGAGCAGGAGCTGCTGGCTATCGTGTCTGACATTCTCATTGACAACTCGGTCACTATCACGGCCACCACTCCGCTCGCCGATGTTGGCATGGACAGTCTCCGCGCGATGAGGCTGTTACGTGATATCAGGAAGAAGTGGCCCAGCTCCGGATCTACAGAACGGCTTCAGCCATCTTTGGCCTTACTTCTAGACTCTGGAGCTAGCATCCGCTCCGTATTCTTCCCCTCCCAGCGAGATTCAGATGGCTTGGCCAAGGTGCAGCGTCAACTTGCCGACTTCTCCTCAAGACACATGATCGAGGTCCTCGAAAAGCTCAACATGACCACTGAGGCCGATGTTGAGATGGTCTTGCCCGCAACATGCACACAGAGTCAACTGGCTGTGAGCATGGCAATGGATAAACGCAGTTACATCAGCCATTCTGTTCTGAAGCTCAAGCCGGACACTTCGGTCGAGGCTCTGAAAAGAGCTGTCGAGACGGTGATGACGGAACAGGCCATCTATCGATGTGCAATGCTTCCTTGTGATGATCCACTATCACCGTTTGCCCAGGTTATCCTATCACCCGAGGCATGGCAGCGATTGGACAGCAACTCGAACCGGGTCGTCCACAGGAGAGACAGTATTGGCGATGTTAAGACCTGGCTCGACTTGGCTGAAGAGAAGATCTCCCTCGATTCTCAGAAACTGTACCACGCGCAGATCATTGAGCCTGGGTCCGGCACTGGCCTCTTGATCATCAGTGTTGCTCACTGCATTTGCGACGGCGCATCACTTGAGGCCCTCATGGGTGACATCGCCAGGCGGTATGCTGGATTGGAACCTCTCCCAAGACAGGGCATCTACGAAGCGGTGTTAGACTGGGTATCCAACGTTGATACTGAGACGGACAACATTTGGCAAGAGTCACTAAAGGACTGGGAAACCGAGAGTTTTGATGCTTTGAGCGGCAACGGCGCCAAGGCATCAGACTCTGAGCATAGCATGGTTCAACATGCCAGCGATCTCTCGTGGCAAGCTTTGGAAAACAAGAGCAGGGCTTTGAGAACGTCTCCTCTGTCCATCCTTCAAGCCTCTTGGTCTTTACTCTTGCAACTGTTCTCCGAAGCAGACACGGGGGATGTTGTCTTTGGCAGCGTCATATCAGCCTCTCATCTGCCTGCCCACGCACCCACCTTTTCTGTGGTTCCCTGCCGCGTAGCCCTACCTGAGACGCAAACCATCAGCGAACTTGTCAGAAACCTTGCATCCTCCTCGAGGTTGGCGCAGAGTCATCGACACACATCATTTGGCATCTTCAAGACCCTGCCGTACAGCACTGCCCTGGCCTTGCAAGCATACCCTCAATCTGATAATGAGCTAGTCCCTGTCCCTTGGACTGAGATCCAGAATCCAGCCATCCGTTACGACTTTGCCATGTTTGCCGAGGTCTTGCCTTACTCTCGGGGCAAAGTTGATAACATGACGTTCAAGCTCACATACCGTGGGGACGCCCTCTCAGCGCCCTCGGCGACATGTATCGTGAGGCAGTTTGCAGCACTTACGGAAACCATACTCGGTTCACTCCCTGAGGAAATGGTTCAGAAACTGCCGGCACGCCTGCCCAGGAGCTTGCTTTCTGCGGAAGGAACAGTTCCGGTTGCAAAGCCAGAAGGGGTCAAGGATCGAGCAGAGCTACTACACTCCCAATTCGAGGACCAAGCCGTGTCAACTCCTGACCGTTTGGCCTTGAGCTTCCACACGTCCCTAGATACGCCTCCAGTGGAGATGAGCTACGCAGAGCTAGACGCTAGAGCCAATGGCTTAGCAAACATCTTGCGCGAGGAAGACATTGACATCATCCCCATCTGTCTCCAACGCAGCGTTGAACTCTACGTCGCCATCTTGGCCATCTTGAAGGCTGGCTTGGCCTGGTGCCCAATTGATGATACGTCCCCTGTGCAGAGGAGGACTTCGCTGATCGCTCGGACCCAGAGCAAGGTATTGCTCACAACCACTGACTCATTGCATTTGGTCCAGCCTTGCCTCGACCACGAAAGTCTTGAAGGCATGCGTGTCATTCTCCTCGACCGGTATGCCGATCACAAGTCCTCAACAAGACCCGAGCCACGCCGCAGCGTCATGTCTTCCGGCGGCCTCAGCGGCAAAGATTTGGCCTATCTTCTGTGGACATCAGGCACCACTGGCGAACCAAAGGGAGTCATGATTCAGCATTCTGCGGCGGCAGAAGCCATGCGCGACCTTCAAGTCCAAGTTGAGCATGACGAAAACACCGAGCAAGTACGCACGCTGCAATTCTGTGCCTACAGCTTCGACGTCTTTGTGCAGGACCTCTTCTACACCTGGGGTCTGGCAGGCAGCGTCATCAGTGGCACAAGAGAACTGATGCTTGGAACGTTTGTCGAGTTCATCTGGAAATCCTGTCCCACTCATGCTCATCTCACCCCGTCCTTTGGTGCGAGCATCGATGTTGAAGAGATCAGGGGATCGACTTTACAATATGTCACCTTCATTGGCGAGAAGCTTACAGAAGACGTCGCCGAGGCATGGGCGGCCCCTGGTATCACTACTCGCGCGTACAATACCTACGGCCCAGCCGAAAATGCTGTCGTTTCTACCCTGAGACGCTTCTATGGTAGGAGCAGGGATCAGGCCAAGGCTGCCAATGTTGGCTTCCCTCTCACAAACTGCACGGCCTACGTCGTTCGCGAGGTTGACAACCGCTGGGAACTCGTCCCTCGATACGGAGTCGGCGAGTTAGCTCTGGGCGGCGCGCAGGTCGCAAAGGGATATCTAGCAAACGAAGCCAAAACGACAAAGGCCTTTATCCAGGGAGGTCCCGGCATTGACGAGCGCATCTACCTCACAGGAGACATGGTGCGTCTCAACGACCACGGCTTCGAGTTTCTGGGAAGAAACGATGACTTGATCAAGATCACTGGCGTCCGCATTGAGCTGAGTGAGATCGGCGCTGCCTGTGCGAGCGTGAAAGACGAGGAGGCGGCTGTCGAGCACGTCGAGACGCTGTATCTCCCGCGACCAGGTGACAACAGCAACAATAAAGTTGTCGTCACCTTTGTCTCTGTCAAGAAAGCTGCTGTCGACACAAACAGCATCATGACACAGGTCTTCCAGCGGGCCAGAGATTTGCTGCCTACGTACATGGTACCTGGACACGTCGTGGTGCTCGAAACCACGATGCCGAGGACAGCCTCCAACAAGGTCGACCGCAAGGCTCTGCAAAAGATTTACGAGGAGTCGGACCCAAGTACTTTGGTTGCAAGAGATGGCTCTGCGGAGTCTGACGGTCAGCATACAAAACTGCAATGGACCGAGGTGCAACTCTCTGTTCTCCAGATCATCGCCGACCATTTCCAGGTGGCAGCCGAGTCATTGGCTCCAGATGATAGCTTGGCCTCATTGGGTTTCAGCTCTCTGCAAGTCACCAAGCTGGCGTGGTCTCTGAGGCGACAGCTGAATCGCATGATCGGGGTTCTAGATCTAATGCGGTGCCGATATCTCGGCGAATTGGTCAACGTTGTTGTCGGCAAGCAGCCACATCAGCCGGAGCAGCCTAACGGTGTGTTGACACCAGAAGCTCCCTCCTGGATAGCTTCTATCAAGGACAAGTTGACCAGCAATCTCCGCGGTGATATGCGGCCTCAAGACACGCTGTACATCCTACCAGCGACCCCAGTGCAGGAATCACTCATCGTGGAGACGATGCTCGAGCCTAAAGCGTACTGGGCCCATCGTGTGTTTGATCTGAGCCACCTGGGCGAGATTGATGGCGATCGATTGAAGAAGGCATGGACCGAAGCAGCCCGGCAATTCGACATTCTTCGAACCATTTTCGTTCCTCTCACATCGCTGAAGACAGAGGATCATGCAAACACCGTCACGTGGTCCTCTCAAATCGGCCTCCAGTCCACGATCCTGCAAATTGTTCGGCGCGAGCCAACTGTGGGCTGGACTTGGCTATCTAAGGACAAAGACCAGGATCTGGCCAGCTGGGCCGAGAAGCTGCAGATGGAGCTCACGCCGACAAGAACAATTCAGCCCCCTTGGTCTGTCACATTCACTGAGGGCAGTGGCAAGTTGATGCTGAGCATGCATCATGCGCTCTATGATGCTGTGGCTTCAGAGATCCTCCTCGACACTGTCGCGAAGCTTTACGAGGAGCAAGTTCAGGACATCTCGGACAGCGTCTTACAACTTGAGAGGGGTATGGAGCTAGGTCTTCTACCAACCGCTTTCCAGCGGAACGAGGCTTCTTCATTGTGGAACAGCCATCTAGCCAACCTCAGGCAGTCGGTTGGAGCCTTGAACGCCCCGTTCCCCGACCTGACGCAATCTCGGCAGAAGCAAGCACAGAGAATCCTCAGCTCCAAGAGGCAAATCCCTCATGCATTTACATCTGCTTCACCAGCCCTCCCAACGTTGCTTCAATCCGCATTCGGATGCATTCTTGCTTCATACTTGGAGCTCAAGGCCGTCATGTTCGGCCAGGTCGTGTCGCAGAGGATCCTACACCCAGATCTCGCCCGCGTCATGGGCCCTGCTATGGTTACCATTCCCGTCGTGATTCGAGGCAACGCCTCTTCAGCCGAGGAGCTCTGGAACGAGATGGCGCGCGACTCGTCCAAGCTCTTCCGGAGCGCACATGCCCTGCATCCCGTGGACATCAAGAAGATGCTCAATGAGAGCAGTGGTAGTAGCAACGCCCCCTTCCCAGGCCTCTTTGTGTACCACCCGACTACTGAGGACAATACCACGCAAAACATGTTCCGGGAGGAAGGGCAAGCTCTGTCGCTGAACGTGGAACATCCCCTTGCCCTGAACATCTTCGAGGCCGACGGCACCATTGAACTCACCGGCGACGGGCGTCGCATCTCGCAAGCACAGCTTGATCTGATGATGGATCAGATCTTCGGCCAGGCACAGGCTATGCTGGAGTTACCCCAGCTGCCTCTCGAAGAACTCCAGAATAAAATGGATCGCAGTCTCATTTCCATCAGTGGTCAAGCCACCTCGGATTACGTCGATACGCTCAACCCAACCGAGAGACTCTCTCTGCATGCATCGCAGCATCCTGAATGGATCGCTGCCGAAGAGGTCATTTTCCAAGAGTCGGACGAAGATCAAGATGAGATCGTGACCAAGACTATCACCTACGCCCAGCTGGACACTCTCACCAACGCCATTGTCTCCAAGCTCGCATCTCACGAGTCCCGTCTTCAACCCGACGACGTTGTTGCTCTGTACATGAGCAGAGATCTCGAGTCGCTTGCAGCAACCCTGGCCATCTTCAGGGCTGGCTATATCTATCTCCCCGTTGATGAGGAGTTGCCTTTGGAGCGAAAGAGGCTCCTCATCCGCGACGCCAACGCAAAGCTCATTGTTACCACGGAGGAACTAGTCGGGGGCCTGGACTTGAACCTCGACAGCGATCCAGCGGCGTTGCTGATCCCAGACCTCGACGCAATACTCTCTTGGCCCGTTTCTCAGATACAGCTTGAACAAACCGGCGACGGTGGCTACCTTCTCTATACATCGGGTTCCACGGGCCGTCCCAAGGGCGTTCGCGTTTCCAACAAGAGCCTTTGTCACTTCATTGCCTCTTTCAGCGCCCGCTTGATCGAGTCATCACCTAGCACGGCCAACCTCGGAGGCGCCGGCAAGTATCTCAACCTCACGTCCCGAGCTTTCGACCCCCACCTTACACAACTCTTCGTACCCTGGAACCTGGGCTATCGCGTCGTCATTGGCAAGGACCGTACAGCCATGATAGGTAGCATGAAAGAGGTCATCAGCCAGCTGGGAATTACGCACTTTGGCTCTGTGCCCTCCGTCTTGACTCAACTTGGACTTCGGCCCGAGCAGGTACCTTCAGTCAAAGTGATGACCACCGGCGGAGAAAAGGCTTCCAGCGAGCTTCTAGACCTGTGGTCGAGTCACGAAGAGGGACAACAACAGGAACCTGTTCTCTTCAACTTCTACGGACCAACTGAAGTCACCATCGGCTGCTTGGGCCACGCTGTGAACCCCGACTCTAACGCCCGCAATCTCGGACTTCCGCTCCAGGGCCTTGAAGCTCTGCTCTTGTGTCCTGACACTGGGGACAGACAGGTCATTGCCAAGAGAGGACAGCCCGGCGAACTCTGCATCGCCGGCCCGCAGGTCGCCATGGGCTATCTGGATAGACCTGCCGAGAACGCCAAGAGCTTCCAGACCACCACGCTACTGGGTGGTGGTGAGAAGAGAATGTACAGAACAGGCGACATGATGAGGATGATGCACGACGGCACCCTCGAGTTCCTAGGTAGAGCGGACCAACAGGCCAAGATCCGTGGTCAAAGACTCGAACTCGACGAGGTCGTCTCTTTCCTGAAGCAAGCTGCTGCAGGCGAGGGTGATCTTGACTTTGCCGCTACCGTGGCTGGTAATGGTACTGACAGCTCGCAGCAGCTGTTGGGATTCGTGGCCCGGAAGGCGACAAGCCTTCTAAAGGGCGAGATTGAAGCCGAGGTCGAGGGCTTGAGGAACCAAAGCCAGGCGATGGCGGCACTTTTGGAGAGGATACAAAAGAAGTGTGAGGAAGGTCTCCCAGCCTTTATGGTGCCTGCGTTGCACTGGGTCTCGAGGATTCCCTACTTGGCCGCCTCGGGGAAGGTCGACACCAAGCAGCTGGCCAAGTTGGCAACTGAAATCCTCAATTTCCACGAAGAACCCGCGTCTACATACACTGAGGACACTCTTAGTCCTAGAGAGTTGGCCGTCGTGGATGCCGTGGAGGAGGCTGTGGGCGTTAATGTCAAGGCCACGGCAACAAGCAGCATTCATCGCCTGGGCATCGACAGTCTCTCAGCTGTTCATCTGCTATCCCTTCTGAGAGTCCGAGGCTTTCCCAATCTCAAAATGGCAGAGATTCTGTCATCTTCGAGCACAGTGAGATCCCTAGCTCGGCTTGCCGACCAAGACTCGAGCAGCACATGGCCAACGGTAGACGCGCCGCAAGAGGTCAACACAGCCACGACAGTGGATCTTGGCCCACTTCCTGCCGGTCTCAGTACTGAAGACATCGAAGCTGTCTTGCCCTGCTTGCCTCTGCAATCCGCCCTTGTCGCCCGGTCTCTGGTTTGGCTAAGTGCCAACAGCGTGGACGACGAGGACAAGGACGTGCCGTACGTGGCACAGTTCCAATACCGTCTCTCCCGCGGCACAGATGTCGCTAGATGGAAGGAAGCAGCAGAGCGAATCATTGCATCTGAGGCCATGCTGAGAACCTGCTTCGTTCAGCGAGAAGATGATGTTCGGATCCTGCAAGTTGTCCTCAAATCGCCTCCCTCACCGTTCGACGGCGGAGAAGATCTAGCCGACATCGTGGCCCAGATGAACGTACGACCACCAATCAGGCTACAAATTGGAGCCTCAGATGATTCCGGCGAAACGGTCGTCTCACTGAAGATCCACCACGCCTTGTTCGATGGAGTGGCTATCGACGTGCTTCGGAAGAGACTGGAGCAGAGCTACAGCGGACAGGACACCATCGCTAGCACAAGTCTCAATGCATTGACGAGTCTTTCTACTCATTGCAATCTCTCGGATGCGCAGATGGAATCGACAAAGAGCTCGTGGCAGGCAAGGCTACACGGTTTGCGACCGTGCCGTGTTGGAGCCGACAACAACAACAACGGCGCCATGGCTCGTTCAAGTCTGTCTCTTGGCTACACAGTTTCTCAACTCAAGACCAAGCTACAGTCTCAAGCAACTGACATGCCCGTGTCAGTCTCTTCCGTCTTCCAGTTAGCGACTGCCCTCTGTCTAGCTCAGGTTACTCGGCAAACATCCATCATATACGGTTTCGTTTTGTCGCTGCGGCCTCTTCTCGACCATGTCGCCCCAGGTGTGGAAAGTTTCGTCGGTCCGTGCCTCAACACTTTGATCCAGACTCTCAATCTCCAAGGGAACGAGGCACTACCCGCGATTGCCAGGAGAGTCCACGAGGCACACATTTCCGCCTGCCAGGACGCGATGCCGCTTGTCGCTGTGGAGATGGTACAGCGCTGGTCTGGATCCGAAGATAAGCTGTTCGATAGCTTGCTCAGCATCAACGTTGTCCCTGAGCAGGAGGCGAAGCTTGAGCCAGGGCAGATGAGTCTTGTGCGTACCCAGAGCAAGAGTGATCTGGCGTTGGCCATTGATGTCGATCTACATGCCGATGGCAAGATCAGCCTGACGCTTTCATCGGGCGGTGCGCTCACAGAGTCACAACTGGATGACATTGGCCAGTTGTTCGAGAAGATCGTGGGCAGCTCTACCGGCGAGAATGCAAGAGTCGAGGACTTTGTCTCGGTGCAACTCGGGGCAAACGCGTCTACTCCCATTTCCTACGAGTCCCCTGCTGCAATTGTGTCAGAGCCAATTTCGACAGACAAAGGCTATCAAGAGTCCTTGGTCTGCGTGAAGGGAATTGCCAGTCGTCTCCTGCATCTGAACGCGGCAGACATATCGGACAAGACCTCGCTGTATCAGATTGGGCTGGACTCCATCACCATTCTTCCATTCGTCAAGCTCATCAACAGGGAAGAGAAGATCAAGCTCTCTCCTGATGCAGTCATCAAGGCTCGAACCATCCAAGGCACCGCAAGACTTGTTCAAGAAGCAAAGGCTGAGGCCATCCGCCCCGATGAGAGACAAGATGCGCAGGAGACACCTGAAAACAAGAGCGTCAGCGAGCAAGACGCGTACGACAAGACTCTACAACGACTGGCCAAGGACCTCATGTTCGTGGCGACGCCCCTCCAGGAGGGCATGCTCAGCGCATCATTGGCCATTGAGGACAAGGCTTACACTTACGTCCATACCATCCAACTCTCCGAGCGAGCCCTCGCTGCGGATACTCCCAGTCTGGACAACTTCTTCGCCGCATTCAATGATACGGTGCATGCCTGCGAGATTCTGAGGACGCGCTTCCTATTCACAGAGGACGACGAGGCACCATGGGTTGGTATCGTGTCCCCCACCGAACAGAGCGATCTTGTCAGTTGCGAGGTAGTCAAGACCGGCAGGGTGCAACTAAGGATTCACCATGCCCTGTACGACGCAACTTCGATCCAGGCTCTATGGTGTATCCTGGGCGACAACTATCGCAAGCGACTCCAGGGACATGATCAAGACGGTACACTGCATTTGTTCAGGCCCTTTGCACAGACGGTCGCCACCACTCAGCGAGCCTCGGTCGCCTTCTGGACCAACCTGGTTCAAGATTACAAATACACACCACTCGATTTCCCCGAAGACTCACTTCGGGCGTCATCCGCTTTTCATTTTACGCTAGGTGAGCAGGATCTGGCGCTTCTACAGAAAAGATGCAGGGAACATAGCGTCACGGTCAAGGCGGCGCTTCAGCTAGCTTGGGCCAAGGTTCTTTGTGAGTCCCTGTATCGACAGGGAGATGTCGTCTACGGAGAGGTCATCACCACTGGCGGCGGTTTCGCTGACGATGCAATGCTTGGCCCTACCATCAACACAGTGCCCATGAGGATCAACTTGGCGAATCAGGGGACCGCCGTTGGCGTTGCAGAGGCACTGACTCGAGTGCAAAGGCTGAACGACGAGGTGAAGGGTGACAACTCTATGGCGTCTCTCAGAAAGATCCAGACACTATGGAGGTCTTCAAGCCAAGATGCCGCTGCGACCTTGTTCCAGAGTCTGTTTGTGTTCGATGGTGTTGTGGGATCTGCAGAGACCGACGGCGACGAACCGTTGTTCAAGCCTGCTCAAACACAAGAAGAGGACAATGGACCAGCCTATGACGAATACCCTCTTATCGCCAGCTTCCAGATCAAGAACAGTGCCCTTCGTGGTAAACTGAGAGCCAAGATGGCACCAGAGGAAGTGAGAGCCTTGGGAAGTCGGCTCGAGGCTGCGGTGAGATACATCATTGCAGGTGAGCCAGAGAGGCTGGTGCTGGATATGAGCCTCGTGAAGGAGCACGCTAAGAAAGAGCCTGCTCCGAACGGAAGGAGTCCAAGCGACAAAGTTGATCTGAACGGCTTAGCCCCAACCGCCGATGCCGTTCTCGAGTTGGTCAAGAAGGTGCTCGATACAAGATGCAAAGGCAAACACATCGACTACGACACGAATCTGGTCAATGTCGGTCTTGACTCAATCTTGGCCATTCGCCTGTCAAAGCTCCTAAGGAAGAAGATGGGGATCGCCATGAGCGTCTTCGACATCATCAAAGGCGCCAGCGTCCGCGACATGGCCAAGAGAATGACCTCAACGCCGAAGGTCGCGGCACAGAAACCGAAACCGCAGTTGTTGGCCCAAGAGGAAGAACACAAGGAGTTGGTGGCGAAGCATCTCGGGATTACGAAGGAGAATATCAAGTCCGTCCTTCCAACTCTCACAGGGCAGCGTGCGCACTTGGAGCAGTGGCTACACAACGGCAAGAGATTCTTTGAGGCTCCTTGGGTATACCGAGTTGACGACACCATTGATGCACAGAGAGTTGCGGGCTGCTGGGCTGAACTTTGTCGAGTCCACGAAATTCTCCGGACGACATTCGTCTGGACAGGCAAGGCCTTGGTCCAAGTTACTCTGAATGAGCAGGAGGGACGGGGATTTGCAACACTCAAGGACATGTCAAAGACCATCCAAGCCTTGATCGAAGAACATGTCGGGGAGGAAAATGGCAAGCCGTCAGACTTCAGGCAGCCTCCTGCTCGTCTCTCATTCCTGGAGGCTTCAGACGGAAAGGCAGTTGTGCTTCGACTGCATCACGCGCTGTACGACGGATGGAGTATCAAAATGATTGAAAAGGACTTGAATGACCTCTTGGACGTTGGCAAGGCGGTGGAGACTCGCATGTCTCTCGGGGACGCAGTTGGTCAAATCAGAGACATCAGACAAGCTGATGCTGAACATGCGTACTGGAGAAATCACCTCTCGCACGCTCAAGACACTGTCCTCGCCGGCGATACATCGACATCAGAGCAGAAGTCGCCGTTTGGCAGGCACTTCAAAGCCAGCTATTCCGATGTCATCCCCAGGAAGGTCATCAAGCGCAATGCACGCACATCAGCCGCCATTCTCCTTGCCTACGCAAAGGCACTGGGTCATCTCACAGAGCGCTCCCATCCCACATTCGGCCTGAACCATGCTTCGCGATCTCTTTCTTCCGCAGACGGGATGCAAACTCTCGACTTGACAGGCGCGAGCGCGCCGACTCTGTCCGTTACGCCGTGTTGCGTGGATCTGGAGTCTGAGAACCCGCTAGACTCTGTGCAGGATTATTTGGCGCAGCTCACCAAGTTTTCACAGGCAGATGGGGTGCAGAGATTTTGCCCAAAGTTCAACTCGTACCTCAACATCATCTACACTGGAGAAAACGCCAAGAATGTGCACGAAGCCCAGGCACTCAGAAGGCTTAGGCTCAGCGAACCCCTGGCTTCGGATTACTTCACTGTCACGGAGCCGTCGTTATCCACTGTATCGACGATCGAGGGTCTCGAGACGTCCCACCTATGTCCGCACCAGTTCTTCTTCACTGTCATTGTTGGTCAGGATCAGGATGCCAAAGTATCAGTCACTGGTGTTGACGTGGGAGACCGGGCCATGGTCAATAAATTAGTGCTACATTTCGGAGCTGAGTTGGAAAAAAACGATTGAGGGTGGAGATGCAGATGGAAGGTGGGAATAACCTGGAAGGCGGAATAAAGAACAAGACGCAAGGGAGTGGTATTTGGGTGGATCACGTTAAGTATCACGTGACTATCATGTACTGTAGTGGATCAGCTGGCGCGTGAACCAAAGACGTGACCCTTGGCCAGTTGATATTGTGGACCGGGATTTCTCACCCGAATTATCTCACTGTGGAGATGTAGGGTAGCAAGGAACGAAACAGCAGAATTGCCAGAATGCGAGGCTTTAGTCTTAGGTGATTCTTTAAGGTTACAGCGGTTACGATATTATTATTTTTATAAATTTATTGCCACACAGTAAAAAAAAACACTTTCAACAGAGAAACACGGGCTTTTTTGTAGACCCAGTCTTTCACTCATACTGAAGAAATAGCGCGTCACTAGTGCCCCCTGCCCGTTGATCTGGAGCATGAAGGGCAGCCATGAGAAGAGCCCTCCAGCAGCATTGACGAAGGAGATTGTTATTAATACCTGCTAACACTAACATCTATGTAAAAAGAACAGGATAAATGAAACTATTATGAAGGCATCATAGAAACGAAAAAGATGTGGGGCATCGAAGTAGTCAAAGCACGGGAGGCTAGTCTACTCAGACTTGAAGGATCCCAGGTTGGCTTGGCAGCTTAGGGTCCTTGCGCCCCCAAGGTAGTCTTGTACATGTATCATTCCATCAACGTGACATGTCTCTACAAGAAATCTCTCCATTGGAAGCATGTTGGCATAGGTTGTCACTACCTTGGCGGTAACACCTTGGGGCATGTCAACGTTAAGCAAGTGGAGACCATGAAGCACCTCTTGTGACATTTGAGTTCGGTGTGGCTCGGACCGTTCGGTGACGGGACCTGACGGAGGTCTGTTGATGTAGGAATGGTTGGGCTCCGGATCCTTGACTTGCGGGGAAGAGAGTGAGTCAAGATGGGATGACATCGGTGCGGTGGGACTAATAGAAGAAACCTGTTAGAACGGTCAAAGAAGAAGAAAGTGGTACATGGGCTTGACTCCAGAGTGCTGGTGGTAGAGAGCCAAAAGGATGATTACCAGTGGGTAGGAGAGATAGGTTACGAACGAATTGGTATTGCTTGGTATGGTTTTAACGTTGGCTTGGTACTGACTCTTAGAATCAGCGGGGGGTGCCATATTTACGGCAAGGTGTCCGAGCAGCAGGAAGGAAATTGTGTATGCTCAGTAGCTTTTATAGAAGGTCCCAACGGGAGCTTGAGAGTAAATCGGGGAAAGACAACGAGCATGGTAGGATTGTGAAAATTGGAGGGGAAGATACGGCTCATTTATGTTTCCTTGATGGTAAAGAAGACTGTTTTCAGGAGAATGGGCACGAGAGTTGAGTTTTTGAGGTAGAAGTACACGGGGCGTCGCCAAGCCACCTTGTGTGTACGATTGTGGAAAAGCAAAGAGCAAAGTGCAACTTTTATGCCGACAATTCTATATAGTATAAGCGATGATGGTAGGCGGGTAAGATTTAACTAAACTTGCATTTTGCAGGTTTGGATCTGCGTTAATTGCAAGATGCAGATTCGAAGGTGCAAGGTGCAAAAATTGATATTATTTTTCTGCGTCATGCGGTCCACCTGAGTGACGTGGGCCGTCTCACTACAGAACTGCAGTTTGCAGCTTACCAGCAGAACATGCAACTTTACTACCATCGGCACCTAACCGCTCTCCCAGCTTTGACTGGCTGCAGACCCTGCCCGCCCTGCCTTGACCTGGGTCGTCATCTTGGCCCGTGCGTCAAGCGCTGGTCGCTGATGGAGGAATGCGGAGTTGATACTTGCACTGCTTTTCAGCTCATCGTCAACAGAGGGGCATTTGATGCTGAAGGAATTCCACAGCGAGGATAGAAATTAAGATACTAGGAAGAGAATTAAGTCAAAAACCCAGAACGCAGGATCTTGCGCATGAACTAATTACTCTCTTTTTCCTGAACAAAAACTTGGGTTTTCTACAGCCTCTAACCGCCCAAAGAGGGATATGCTGGGTAATCGAATATTGGGGGCGTGGCCGCTGTTGGTATTAAGGACCAGGCTCTGCCAGCAGTGTCAGAAGATTGACGCTCTTTTTTTTGTGTTTCCACAGACACAGCCAGTTGTGGGACTTCCCTTGCATATCCTTTGTCTCAAACATCCTTATCGCATGATGACAAAGAATTGGGAGCCCCTTCATGAGGAAATCCGGAGACTCTATCATTCGGACGGTAAACCACTAGCCGAGGTCATGCGCCTCATCCAGGGCAAGCATGGCTTCATCGCATCGTGAGTCCGAGCCGCCCTTCCTGTAGCGCATCTTGACGCACCGCTAACGCTTGATATCAGTGAGCGTGCCTATCGAACCCAGCTCAAAAAATGGGGTTACATGAAGAATCGCACTCAGGCCCATCCAAGGCCTAGGAAGAGAGCACAACTACCGGGCCGCTCAAGTGAAGGTCTTGCGACAGAGTCGAATCCACAAGGGCTCACCATTTTTCCGGGTGAAGACAGCTTTCCAGTGAGCCTGCCTGCATTCTCTGCACTTGATGGTGGCCAGAATAACTTGTACTTGGAACAACCACCCCATCTTTCGTCGGCACCGGTCCCCGAGTCTGGACTAGACGATTTTGGCCATGATACTCAGGGGTTCCAGTTTGGTCAGCATGCCCAAGATGCGCAAGGTAGGACCCAGTTACATCGAGCCGCTTTGGATGGCGATGTCGACCAAGTGCGCTCTCTGCTCGAAGCCGGGGCTGCTGTTAATACCCAAGATGTCACTGGAAATACACCGCTTCACTCTGGCGTCACGGGTCAAAACGTTGAAATCGTTGACCTCATTCTTCGATTTGGAGCTGACGCAGATGCAATAAACCACCTGGGGCGTGCTCCTCTTCACCTGGCAATTTCTCGTTCTGGCCTGGTCAATGTACTTCTCAAACATTACGCGGACGCATCTATCCAAGACAGCCATGGTGACACGCCATTACATCTCGCGATATCCACTTACACATGGGGAGATCAGGCAGCCGAAGCCCCAGTAGTCGACGCATTGCTCGAATCAGGGGCAAATACTAACAGAGAGAACAGAAGACGTCTAACCCCTTTCCATAAGCTTTTGCAACAGACAAATTATACAGTCAAAGTACTAAGAACTATCCAATCTTTCTTACGGGAAGGTGCTTCCGTTTTCGGGGGTCTGCCAGACGGTAGGACACCTTTACAAGTTTTCTTTGCGCGGTCGAAAACAAAAGGATTCTTCAACTGGGATTCTAACGAGAAGCTTGAAAATGACATATTGAGATGCTTCCTTGCCAAAGGCGCCTCTGTCATGACACCAACGCCGTCCGGGGAGCCTCTCATTTCGGCATTCTGCAACCACGATAGTAATCGTTGGGGGAGAGACAGGAAACTTGGAAAAGAAATTTTCAGCCGCATCATCCCTGATGAAGTCTCCGAGATCGGCAATTCACTTCTTCTCGATCTAGTATCCAACCACTTGCAACGAAATGAAAACGCTGCAGAACTCGTAGCAACTCTTCTTCAAAAGGGCGCAGACCCTAATCACGAGGACCACTCGGGAAAAACTTCGCTTCTTCTCCTATTCCAACACCAAAAAGGCAGGCCCGCGGTCATCGGGGGGTCACTGCCTCCCCTCCTCGAGCATGGTGCCAACCCTTGGCATCGGGACTTTGCTGGACGATGTGCGCTGTTTGAGGCAGCAGAAATGTTGCCTAAAGAGAAGCTAGTGTGGATGATGCTCGAAGCAGACCTCCGGAAACATGATGGTACTGATAGCCCGAGGCGTGGGGATCGTGAGGCCGCAAAGAGCGAGCATTGGGATGGATGGCACCGAGCAGCTCGAGCAGTGGACTGGAACGAGTCGAAAGAGCTCATACTCCGTGAGCACAAGTTTCCTTCGAACAAGATAAGGAACATGATGAGAGAGAGCGCGCTTGGTGTTTTGGCGGAAAAGCACATACACCTCGCCAAGAGCGACCCCACTGAGACGCAACTTCGTCGTAAATATGTGGCGGGAATTATTCGGGATTGTAGAGATCGTGGAATTACTCTTGACGGCAGTTGTACGGACTGTTTGGTAGAGCTTTGTTTATAAGACGGAGATCTTACAATCGTTGAGCGGTCAACGGCGTTGTATGGGACTCTGAGTGGATGTAATCAACGTGTTTAATATGTTCCTCTTTCATATCTCATAGTTGAATATCTTCTATTACAAGACGGTAGAGTAGAAAATAAGAAATACCATTCGCATTGTCTGTTTCATCCCTCATCGATATACTCACCACCGCAGGCTGGGGCCGAACCCTACTCCGGTGGATTACATTGCATGATCCTCCATGAACCACATCTCCTCATCACCTGCTTTAAACGGACTACTCTCATTGAAATACTCAGTTGTGTCATCTGAGCGATTACTGCTTAAAAAGGTTTAGTATGTAACGTCCTGCGTTTTCCCTTACGACGCCTAAGGCGCTCTCTCTTCTTGTTTTGTACCCAGTTGTCGTCATCTCATGTAGTCAGGCTGTCTTGGAGTGGGTAAACGGCCCTGGCCGCGCCAGACCTCTATTTAGCCAGAATGTTGAAATAAGCACTTGACAAATCAGGCAAATCGACCCGTATGACCTTACGCAGCTCTGGCGTGTCGTTTGAGATCAAAAACGTCGATCCCCCGCACTTTTGCGGCATCACTGTTCCTCCAACTCTTCAGATATTATCGCACACAAGGCTTGTGAAAAAATGGCGACCGACGCAACTCATGAACTTTCCCAAGTGATATCTCAAGGGCGTACAAGTCCTGTGCAGTTGGCGACGCCTATCGAGCAGCTCGAGGTCCAAGAGGCGGAGGATGTGCAGAGTGAGATTGTTTATCCCAAAGGATGGAAGCTGTGGTCGACGATGGCCTCGCTCTGCATCGCGTGTTTTCTTAGCGGTCTTGTGAGTATTTGAGCCCATCTGACTACAATGGGTCTTGAATAGCCTCATTCGTTTGATTTGCTAACGAGTCTTGCAGGACCTCACCATTGTCGCAGTTACTGTCCCAAGTCTCACTGATCAGTTCCAGACGATATCAGATATTGGATGGTACTCGGCTGCATAGTGAGATGCCTAATCATCTGTAATAGCGTTGTTCTAACCTGAAATCTAGTGGAATGACCATGAGCGCCTTCGTTTTCTTGTATGACCTCTCCGTTTGTATATAGCGGAACCATCTTCTAACCCGTTTGCAGCATCGGACAAGTCTATACCCTCTTCTCCGTGAAGCCCATCTTTCTCATCGGCCTCGTGGTTTTTGAGATCGGTTCTCTCATCTGTACCCTCGCCCCGAGCTCTGCCGTCTTCATTTTCGGCCGTGCCATCAGCGGACTTGGTCGCGGCGCAATCAACGGCGGCCTCTTCAAGCTTTTGCGTCACTGCTTTCCCCTTTCTCAGCAGGCTCTTATGCACAGCGTCGTTGGTGCATTTCAGAGCGCGGGACTGGTTTCTGCGCCTACGATTGGCGGTGCCTTGATCGATGCTTTTTCCTGGAGAGCCTGCTTTGGCATCAATGTCCCACTTGGAGTCGCTTGTATCGTTTTGACGGCTGTTGGAATTCATGATCCTGCTGGCAACCAGAACGAGGGACTAACTCTCAAGCAAAAGCTCAAGAAGATCAATCTCATGGGAACTATCCTCATTGTACCCGCCATCACTTGCCTTCTCATGGCCCTACAGTGGGGAGGATCAAAGTACGGCTGGGGCAATTGGCGAATCATCTTGCTCCTCGTCCTTTGCGCAGTCCTTTTTGCCGGATTTGGCTATCTGCAGCATCGCCAGAAAGAAGAAGGAATTTTGCCTCCTCGAATCTGGAAGCAGAGAAGCATTCTTGCGGGAACTTGGTACTCGGCATGCGCGGAAGGTGTCCTCGCCGTGACCGAGTACTACATGTCCATATACTTCCAGGGTGTACGAGGTTACTCGCCGACTCAGTCAGGTCTTTTTGCTCTTCCTATGATCGGTGGTCTGGCGGTGGCTATGATTATCTCTGGTGTTGGCGCAACCATGTTTGGATATTATTACCGTAAGCCATCCTTTGACCACTTATCAGCCCAATACTGACATCCAATAGCTTTCATGTTGGCGTCGAGCGTCCTAGCCCCTATCGCTTCCGGGCTCCTTACAACTCTCAACCTGGAAGAACACGTTGCTAAAGGCGTTGCTCTTCTAGGTTTTCTGGGCGCAGCAGTCGGTCTAGGCCTCCAAGGTCCGCAAGTTGCACTGCAAGCCGTGCTACCTATTGACGACGTCTCCCTGGGCGGAGCATTTATCAACTTTGGATCAGGCATGGGCTCAGCTTTGTGGATCTGTGCTTCGGCAACAATGTTCCAAAGTCGCCTCATTGATGAAATCCATTCTTCTTCGCCCGGCACTAATGCCACTGACATCAAAGACGCCGGCCTCACAGGACTACGGGAACGCATCGGCCCCGACAGATTGGAAAGTGTTCTAGCCGGATATGAGAATGCGGTTGTGCAGACGCTGTATATCCCCTTGGCGCTAGCGATATTAACCATCGCTGGCTCGCTTGCCATGGAGCGAAAATCTCTCAAGAAGAAGCAATCTTGAGGATTTGCTTCATTGCTCTCAGATTTCGAATTCACACGAGTACTGGAAAGTTAGATACAGAACCTGAGATTGGTCCTGAATGTCTGGCCCTGGTGTTAGGTTTGGCCTCGGCAGGATATCTACAAGGAAAAGAAGTACAAGATCTATCAATCAGATGATACCGGGTGATACAAATATTCTCGATTTCTACATAGTTAAGCTCTTTGCAAAGTTATTATTCTTTCTCCCTATTTCTTGATTTTTCCATACTATCTAATCCTGTCTTGTGTTCTTGATGATCTCGACTCATCTGTCGTTGCTTAATGAAAAGACTTGCCACCAGCCCAAGCCCTGCAAAGACGGCAAACATGATGTACATTGCCTTTAATGCTGTAAGGAAAGCCCCTCTGGCAATCCTTCCTTGCTCGCCCTGTAGCTCGGCTACCGTGAACACGTTTGATGACGCACTAGACCCTGATAGCATCTTGGCCAGTTTTGGACCCAATGCCTTTCTTAGCTTGCCCTGCTGTGCCTGCATTTTGTTGTTGAATACCACACCGCCAATCACGATAGATATGGCGCTAGCCAACTGTCGGATGAACCCATAGGTCGAAGTGGCAGATCCAATATCGTGTGGCTCGACGTTGTTTTGCAAGGCGATAAGTGGTGACTGATAGTTGGGTCCAACGCCAATGCCCGCAACGAGCTGATAGAGAATAATCTTTGTAAAGTCCTTGTCGAGGGGAAGATCGACGAAGAGCCCGAACCCGACGGTAGCGATCGCCATGCCGGCGCTGATAACGTAGAAATAGTTGCCGGTGAGGCGGATGATGAAGCCGGACGCGGCTGACATGATACACGTTGCCAGGAGGTAGGGGAGGATATAAACCCCTGACATGAGAGAAGATGCAGCGATAACGCCTTGGAAGTAGAGAGGCAGCCAGTATGACGCTGAGAGAGCTATAAGAGCATGGCAGAAGCATGTGGCAAATGCTCCAATGTTTGAGCGGTCGGAAAACAGCCGTAGAGGAACAATTGGGTACTTGGCGTGCTTGGACTCGACGAGAACAAAGAGACATGCCATCAAGATGCCAAAGATGATGAGGCAGATGGTTGTTGGTGATTTCCAAGGAAATATGACACCTCCCAACTCCAAGCCCAATAGCAGAAGAACAGTTCCGCCAACAACAGTCAGACTTCCAAGCCAGTCAAGAGCCTTGAGTCCGTCTACCATTGGAGTGCGAGGGTTGTGGAGTTTGAGGACAAAGTAGAGAATAACTATACCGACGCCAGATATTGGCAGGTTGATGTAGAAGCACCATCTCCATGAGGCCCGGTAAGAAAAGGCGCCGCCGATGACTGGCCCCAAGGCGCTTGATACTCCCCAGACGGCACCCACTAGCCCGTAGTAGAAACCTCTCTCGCGAACTGAGAAGAGGTCTCCGATGCAAATATTGACAAGTGTGTTGACTCCCCCACCACCAATGCCTTGAACGGCACGACCAACAATGAGCATGGTCATGTTGACAGCAGCGCCGCACAACAAAGACCCAACCCAAAAGATGATGAGTGTAGCCAAGAGAATTGACTTGCGGCCCCATATATCGGACAATGTTCCCCATGTCGGGGCGCAAGCAGCATTGGCCAGGACATAGGATGCACCAATCCAGACGTACCCGGAACTAGATTGTAGGTCCTCTGAGATGGTCGGTATGGCGGTGGCGACAATGGTGACGTCGAGAGCCGCGAGGAATAGGGCGGCCAGAAGTGAGGTCGTAATAACTGTGTTTTCGAGCTTGCTTCGTTGAGTTTGAGGCGGCTCGGAAGGAGGAGAGTCGGAACTTCTTTGCTCCACATCCCCAACGCTTGAATGTCTTGATTGAGTGTTGGCCTGAATCTCATCTTCTTCTGTGATGCCTGCCATTCTGAATAATTGTTGTCATCGGGCAATACAATAATGTAGTTCAATTCGACTGGAAAGCCTCTTGTTGTGGCTACAAAAGAGTCAGCGAAGATGACGAACGGGGGCAAACACGCAAGTGGGATTTCCGAAGAATCGCGCCATCTCGGTCCGCTGAGAGCCGTTCTCGGAGAGAAGCACCAGATCCGTCCCCGAGACCCCGATCAGAAGATGTGAAAAACGATCATCTGACGTCTTCTCGTATTGGGCCAAGACTGCGGGGACGGCAGCGGGTAAAGTCATCCTTGGCTAGCGTTGCAATGCTTGCGTTCCGAGGTGGGTTGGAGAACTGAGGCGCTTGTGGCTATTGGCCACCAGATCGTGACGTGTACTGGCTTGACTCGAATAGAGATCAGGTTATGGTAGAGTTAGATATCATCCAGCAATTTCTAGAACAAAAGAATGCATCTAGATCAGTTGCAGGGCCTCACAGACGTCAATTGGATGATAGAGTAGTTATGCATCCTCTACACAAATGGCACTAATTCTGTCCGATTGTAAAGCCACAGTAACAACGCATCTGGATAGAATAGTGACTGATAATTGATCTTAAGTCTTATGAGACGACATTCCTGCTTCCTCCACGAAGATACTCTTTCAAGTTCTGGACAATGATTTCCTGCATATTAACAGTCGTTTGATCCGCGCACCAAGCCAGATGAGGAGTGAGGGTTAAGTTGAGATCCTTTGCCTCCTCGCTGAGCAAAACACTGTCATGATCGCTACCAGCAGGCTCATGCTCAAACACATCAGTCGCCGCTCCATGGATGAGTCTCTGTCGGAGAGCTTGTACCAGTGCTTTCTCGTCCACCAAGCCTCCACGGCCAACATTAATCAGCACTGCATCGTGTCTCATACTCTGAAGTTCCTCTGATCCAATCGTGTTTCGGGTTTGCGGCGTGAGGGGGAGTGTGATGAACAGGACAGTAGCTCGGCGCAAGACTTCATCAAAGGCAATTCGTTGACTGTCACCCGAGTTGGAGCCAGGACCAATTCCAGCTTCTTTCCTTGCGGCGACGAGAACCTTCATTCCCAAGGCTTCACAAAGACGGGCTATACGCTGTCCTAACGCGCCGAAACCAAGAATACCGACAGTCTCATTGCCACAAGTGTGGGGTGGCTGGCCTTGAGTGTCTTTCAATATGTTGGACATGCTGCCAGAATTTGCCCAGGCATTAGGAGAATCGGCGAACAACGTGTTGTGGAGACGAACGAAAGATCGTCTGACTGAAAAGTACTGTTACTGTTAGAAACCATCTGTTTCTTATAGAGAACAAAACTCACAAGCCCGAGAGCATGCTCGGACACGGCTTCAGTCGCCGCGTGTGGTGAGAACATGACGGTGATATTTCGTTTCTTGCACTCTTCCAGATCAATATGATTGGTTCCAGTCGTCTCGGATATCACGCATTTCCTTCTCTCCAATCAGCACCTTGTCCCTTGGTGGGAGACGGATCTTACAGGTACGGCGCCTCGCCCAACGTCTCTGCGTTGATAGGAACCGTTGTGAGCGTCACAATACTTGCGTCGTGAATCCTCGCAGCGATGAGAGCTTTGGCAGCCGGCGGAGTGTACTCGTATGTGATGAGCTCATGCGTGAGCGGTGAAAGGTCAATTGCAGGTGCGGGGACATGGATGGTTTCCAGCTTGACAATAACATGGTGAGTATTATCTGGTAGTCTCGAGGGACTCTGTACTTTTTCCGCAGCTTGACTGGCCATTTTGGTGACAATTAGGGTTGTGAGTTGGAATGTTACGTGGGGATGGAGGTGAGGGGTTTGTAGAGGCTAACAAATGATAAGGCGGAGGTTGACGGAGAGATAAGTTTTGTGGATTCTACCAGAGTGGAAACGCCACTACATTTTAGCTCTATCAGCTTTTTATCACATAAGAGCAGCTCCATAGAAAGATAGGATGCAGTACCCAGTCAATAGCTCAGTAACAAGATCTACATTTCGCTCCTGCCAGCCCATTGCGCAGAGATCAGTCAGGATATTCGGGATTGATCCCGGGGTTAAAGCCTTAGTGATAACCTCACCTGTTAGGGAACTATAGCAGAGGTACTTAGCTGTCAGGTAAAACTCAGTGATAGTTAAAGCATCCCTCATATAAATGGATGTGATTAACTTAATATCCCTGTCGTGACCTAGTTGGAGGTCATTGCTAGCTTAAGAGGCAGTCGTCCCGCCAGATTCAGACTGCACGTCCGAGAATGCGGCTTTGGCCGCCACAGGGAGAGTCTCTTCGAGTCTCTGGAGGAGAGCAGGATCAAGGCTAATTTGGGGAAAGCCAAATTTTGTCTCTGGCATATTGAAATAATTGGAGAATTGATGATGGGGCAAAATGCTGGGCGAGATTGCCCGACGGAACAGCCGGGTGGCCATCTCCGGAGAAAGGTGGGTCGCATCCGATAGATTGCCGGAGAGAAGTGGATACCCAGGTCTCGGGTCCACGCTTCGCCTGTTACTGTAACCGGACAAATGTGGTTCTTCACCACGGACTCATGGGATACGATAAGGCTTACAAATGTCGAGATTGTCACAAGGTCCTGGTGCGAGAGGAGAATCGCCGCAGGAAAACCGAATATAAAATACATACAAAGGCCGATGTCAAATGGGTAAAACGATCCATATTACATTTATCCATCGTCCCTAAATCTCAACCATCCTACCATGTCGAAGCTGGTCTCAGTTATCGGTGCCACTGGCATCCAGGGCGGCTCCGTCGTTAGAGCCCTTCTCGACGACAACACCTACAGTGTGAGAGCTATCACAAGAGACAAGACGAGCGCTGCGGCTCAAAAGCTAGCTGACAGCGGAGCTGAGGTAATTGAGGCTGACCTCGATGACCTTTCCTCCCTGGAGCGTGCTTTTGCCGGGTCCTACGCCATCTTCGCCGCAACAAACTTCTTTGAGTCCTTCCCAGCCATTAGCGAAAACGAGGCGATTGAGAAAGAAGCCATCCAGGGTATCAATCTGGCCAACGCCGCCATGGCTACTCCTACCCTTCAACATTTCGTCTGGTCGACCCTTCCTAACGCCGGCCGAATCAGCAATGGAAGATGCCATGTCCCGCACTACGTTGGGAAGAACAAGATCGACGATTACATCAAGTCTAAAACGGAGCTGTTTGCTAAAACTACGTTTCTTTGGGTCAGCTACTATGCTTCAAACATGCTGTATCCATTTTTCAAACCATTCCCTGTTACCACAACCGACCCAAGGAAGTACATTCAACTCCTCCCAGTCCCGTCGTCGACGCCCATGACATTGATCGGAGACGCAACGACAAATGTCGGTATCTTTGTCCGTGCTATTTTGGATCAGCCGGAAAAGTCTCTCCCGGCCAAGTTCGTCCTCGGCGCTACAGACAGGATGACTACTGGGGACCTACTCTCGCTGTGGGCGGAGGTGAATGGTGCAGAGGCAGAGTATGTCATGGCAGAAAGGAAGACGTATTATAAGCTGTGGCCTGGATGGGCTGAGGTAATGGACGCGGCCCTTGTGTACTGGGGTCTTGTTCAAGAGAGGGACTACTCAGGCGAAGATGAGATATTGACTGCAGAAAACCTGGGAGTCATTGGGTTGGTCAACACGGCTACGGCTCTGGGCAAGATGAGAGAATAAGTAGTTGAATTGGGACATGATCACAGGTTCCAGGCATATACAAACTTTGATAAGGTGGTGGCTATCAGAGGAAGAGAAATCCAATCCAATTCAATCTTATGTGATCTTGTGACTCAACTCTTGAAAGGGTGTTCAACCAAAGACAGAACTCTCCTTGGGTCTCGGTTTAATTTATCCACGCCATTATCGATTTGGTAGTCGATGGCGCTTCCTCCCACTTGTTTGCCACCGAACAAAATAATCTCTCTCCTTCAGCAAATTAAACCACGTGATCCGCGCATAGCAGGCTATGGATTTAAGAAGCAGCTTGCTAAGCCCAGGGCCCCAATTGCGCTTGAGGCCCTGAAGGCCCTGAAATATAGACCCTGAATGCGCTGAAGGCCTCCCGACTAATTCACTTCAGGCAGCTTACAACCGGCCTCCAAAAGCAGCTTGCAACGGCTCTCAAAGGCAGCTTACAAAGGCAGCTTGCAACCCTACAATCGGCTCAAGGTCCTATGGCTAAGTGTGGCTCTGGTGGCTGAGTTAAGCTAGCTTCTTATTGGCTGTACTATGGGCTTTGTAATCAGATTCATAAATGCACAGCCGTTATATCTTCTTGGCCTTTCAACTCTCCCTCCCCACGTCAACCTAACTCGACGTCTTGCCACCGAATCAAGCATGTCGCTCCGGAAAACATCGTGTGCTGCCTGTGTTTCAGCCAAGTGCCGCTGCGACCGCGACTTGCCGCTATGTCGTCGTTGCAGGCAAAAGTCTCTGCCGTGCGAATACCCATACCCGCCTGCGGGTCAGTCGGATTTAACAAATCAGGAAGAGCCTATGCCATCAGACACGGCGTTTTCCGGGCTTGGAAATATAGGCAGCCTGGATGTCACCGAGTTCCTTGACTTTGACCTCACCGAAATAGACGGTCCTTCGGTTGCTGATGCGTGGGAATCTGTCGGCTCACAGATAGCCGCTAACTTCGAGCATTTGCCTGTGCCCGAGTCAGACGAGGCGCTGCATTCGCTCCTCTGGCCCTTTCCAGATGACAATGCCACCAATTCAGACGCACATCGAGCAACCGACCACTCAAGACGTCACCGAAAGCAACGCCGTCGGGCCTTTCAACAAGCTAGGCAAACTAGTATCGCACCACCGCTGCAAGGCATATGGCCACGTGGGTGCGAGGTCGAAACCTGGAACTTCTGCGCCAAAGAGCTCCTCTCTTTCGTCACACTGTTTGCCACGACAGCAACCAGCCCCTTCATCCTACAACCAACTGACAACGGGCTTCACGCATCACTCCAGAGAGCCCTTGGTGTTTGCGCCGCATCCTGCACACTAAGAGAGCCACAATTTGGCCAGCTCTTCGAAGCCGAGATGCAGCATCTCATCAACACTTCTGTTGTTGGCGATATGTCCGTCGTGCCGGAGGATGCTTACAGCCAGGCTCTCTCCGCCTTCCGGCAGAACCTTGCCCGCTTACAGGCAATGGTGTTATATCAAATCATTGGCCTTTTTAGCACCAGCCATGTCCAACGGCATCGCGCCAAGCAGAATGAGGCCTTGATGGCGTCCTGGACGAGAGAGTTACTGCTGTGCATACAGTTGCTGGAGCTCAAATCGAAAGTGAAGATGTGGATGTTTCCGCGCTCCAACCTCAACAACCCCCAATCCGTGAGAGAAGAGACATCAGTGCTTTCGTCGTCGCATGACATGCCTCTACAAAAAGAGGAGATTGAAAGTGCTTACAGAGCTATCCTCGTATCATATCTCGCCCGGTGCGTTCACTCTCTTCTCAGTGATCAGAAGGGAAATTTAATACCGGAACTTGGCTTGATGCCAGTTCTTGTACCTCCGCAACAAGGAACTATAGTAAGTTGGACATTGTGAGCAGCGTTTTCTGAACGCATAAGCTAACGACACAAGGTGGAGACACATGATTTCCTAGATAAGGAGATTCACACAATGTCTTATAACGATTTTGCCGACCTTTGGGGCCAGCAGAAGAGCATGCCAGGACTGGACATTCACGATCGTTTTATTTTACTTTTAATAGTAGCGTGTAAGGGCGTTAATATTATAAACTCAAGCAGTCACATATACGCATCAGGCTCGATAGGATGGAGTAGCTGGTAGTTTAGTATCAAGATTTTCACTTAGCTCCTACCGACCTATCGCTTAGAGATTGATCGGGATAGTCGTCATTAATCCCGGGGTTAGATCACTGCTGTTATAATGGCCTAAATACCTATTATTTTCTTACACTTGATAAAATTAGCACTTGCCAGAGATAGACGCAGACGCGGTTGCATTTCTACAACAGTTACGGAGGTCCAAGCTGGGGTCATGGGGAGGCAGGGCTAAGCCTGTTTACGGCTTACACAGGTCGCCTTCTCGAGGGCGCGGCCAAGTTGCACATTAGGTGGGTAGATCATGGTTAAGAAGACAAAATTCGTAGCGTCAAACTCTTAATTCATTTTAATTTCAAAATGCTCATTATCTCATTAATTCCGCTGCCTAAGCTAGGTCCATAAAAGCACGTATTAAGGGCATCTACTTGCCAAACGAGATCAACTCCAAATCGCCACTCTCCGCAGCAACCCGCAAGACATTTTGCCTGGGCTCATTGCAACGAAAGTCCCCGCATCAGTTCCTTCTTCAACTCCGTATTGTGCTGAGCTCTTGTTACCAACCGCCGCACGAGGGGCTTACACCCTGCACCAGATGCTACACATAGCAGTTCCACAGCCCACCGCTCTCGAACCGAGATATCCAGCACGAAGTCAACGTGGTCAAACACTTGGTCCCAGTCTTTGAACTGTGTGGAGAAAGCAGACCATCGTTTGATAATGAGTCGAAAGAAATCAAGGTTCTGAAGCTGGTGGCCATGTTTGCTTTCGAGAAGTATCTTGACCCGGGCAAAATCACCCCATTGAAGAATCTGACTGGCTGCCCCGATCAATGGGTTGGGGAGAAACTTGTCCTTGTCAAAGTCGGAATTCTCAAGCATTCCACGAAGCATGTCTTCCGAGCCGTATAGTGAGGTGATACTGAGGGGGTCGTATAGACTGCTGTCGAATTCAAACCTCGGCTGGATTGCGCAATCCGGGCGGCAATTCTGCTGAACCCAGTTATCAAGCCGCGTTGAGCCTGCTCGGCATAGGTTCTCTATGCTGGTCAAGCTTGGAAGAGGATGGTTCGTGACAGCGGAGAAGTGATCCATCCAATAACATGATGCGTAAACAAAGAACTCCCCAAAACCACGGTCAACAGGGTCATAGCGGACCATGCCTCGCTCCCAGTCTTCCCATGAACAGCCTGGCTTGTAATCAGCCAGCAGGGCATCGTCGCTGAACAGATCGACATCCCGTGGCAGCGCCTCCATGGCCACTTGCTCTTCGGGAAATATCTCAGTGGTTCCAATTTCGCCGAGTTGGAGATAGTTGACACAAATCTCAAGAAGAAGCCCTTCCAGACTCTCGGTGCGCTGTTGCAGAGTCACTCCATCGGTTGATGCTGAGGTAACTGGGCTTTGCAGCTGATCCGCCCTGTGCTCCAAGATAAACGCCTTCACAGACTGGTGGATGAGGCGAACTTGACGCTTCTTTAAGTCGCTGAAATCCAACCGGCCAACGAATGGGTGAATGAAGCTCATCAGCCTTTGGTGGTCTACCAAATCACTGAGAGCAGCCACGGTGGTCACCTCTGGCGGAGCGGTCCCCATAGCAACTGCCCAAGCAAGTTCTAGTATGCTAAGCGGTCGACGGGCAATCGCAAGAATTGCTAATGCCATGTTGGCATGACGCTCATTGTCGGAGTCGTTGGAAGTGTGTCGCGACAGCAGCACAGAATAGAGTTCTGAGAGCTGGGTTGGTAATGGGACTTGTCCCAGAAAGAGTCGCATCGGGCCAAGCGCCATGATTCCACGGGTTTGGATGAGTTCGATCACCATCTTGGTCCATATGGCACTCCCTTGAGCCAGATGAGACACTCTCTCAATGACAAGTGCTTCGACGTCTTTGGGTAGATAGGATAGCTGCGTCTCGACTGCCTTCCTGACGATAAGGCTATCTCGCTTGTCGTTGCACCCGAGAGTGATCTTGGGCATTCCCTTGACCTGGCCCATGATCCCTTCTTGGGGGCGGAAGGATAGCAAGACTTTCAGCCTCGGCATCTTTTGCGATAAGGCTTCCAGGTATTCGAGTACAACGCCTCTGGAGGGCCGGTCACACTCATCGAGGCCATCAATGGCGAAGAAGACCTGGCGATCGATTGCGTCTAGGAGCTTTTGTAGAAACTCTCGCAGTTTGTTGGTGTCCGTAGCCGGTTCGAAATGCCCGGAAGCCTGAGCTTGCTTGTACCATTCATAGAACGTCTTCCTCAAGCCGGGAAGTTGCTCAAGTAGGGATAGAATGAGACAAGAGAGGATCTGAGCGGTTTGATCGGGACCTGCGTTTTGACAGTAGTAAAAGCACACCTTGGCCTGAGGAAGCTGTTGCCCACTCCTTCGCCTCAGCTCGTCGACAAGGAATCCCATGGCGACGGTCTTCCCGCTGCCCATTTCACCGAGAAGCACCAGGTGTTCGGAGGTTGGGCTGCGATACCAGTTGATAAAGCCTGGATCCTCCAGCAAGAACTCACAGGCCTGATCAGCCCGCAGATCCTGCAGGTTCGCGTGATATTGACTCTGCTGCCTCATGATGCTGCTGCCCAGCCATCGACCGACTGTGGTTGGGTAAGAAGACGCTAACTGAATCTGGGCAATGCGAACTTACTTTCTTGGTCGTATAACATGGCTTTGATGTCTTGAACAATCTCCAGTGTTGCTTTTTGCACGAGATTTCGAAGGGTATCGGCCTGTCTGAGGAAGTCTTGAACGATGCTTGGCAGATGACCGTTGTCCAAGATTAGACCCACGATCACGTTTGCGCCTTTTCTAGAGAGGATCTCGTATGAAGCGTTGTAGAACTCGAGGAGCTTCTTATACACTGAGACGAGTGCCTGTGACGTGTCAGGAAGAGCTTGCAGCATTGAATGTAAGTCGCATCGTTACCTTGTGAATGTCTTTCTTATCGGCTTTCTGGCCCAGCGTATCACAGTCATCAATGTAGGCAATCTGCTCTAGCATTTCCGCGATCTGTTGCGCGAACTGCAAGTCGGCAGTTGAGAAGCTGATGGCGACCTGCGTGGATACCTGTCAGATGAGGTCACGCCATGGTTGGGGGTTTAACTCACTGCCGTCACACTCCGAATCATACCAAAAACTGTCGATGTAGCTGGATCCAGGCTCGTCAGGGGGCTGGCAAGATCCAGGGCCAACTTGAACCTCTCGAGAGGTACTTGAATGGATTGCAAGTATCTCACCCCTCTCAGGAAAGCTGACTCTTGGGTTGCTTCATTGTCGATCTCTCCAAGTTCCCTGAAAAGCTGCTCAACATTTCTGCCCTTGAGAATGGCAATATCTATATCTTTTCCAAGACTTTCGACCGCCTCGCGATATGCTGCACTCCACAGGTCTAGAGAAACGTCGTCCACTCGCTCAACAAGGACTGAAGGGTCGGGAGAAAGGGTCTCTGGAAAGTTGACCTGACGAGAAGTATCGTTCGTTTCCGCTTGAGCGCCTTCAGTATCAGCGTCGGGTGTACCGTCGTCTGCCGGAATGGAATACAACAAGCCTGCTGTAGATGGCCGGCTGCCTGAGGTTTGAGTTTCGCTGGTGAAAATCACTGATTAGCATAACATTGGTGATAGGAGAGAGAAGAACATTGACTCACAGGCATGTGTGCCTCTTACTTCTACGTGCAAATGGATTGCGGGACGTTGAAACCGCCTGTTTCAGTCGCACACAACACCGATGCACGAGGCCCTCACCTCGTGTTGGTGAAGACATGACGGGTGGTGAGCACTGTTGAGTCTTTTCCCTAGAGCTTGGGCAGTTGCTAGCCATTCAACGACTTGACTTAATCACTCTACACCATGAGACATTGGGAAGGTATATGAATAGATAGGAAGGTGGCCAGTTCAACAACAGAGACGAGAGATGGGAGCATCTGTGATACCTATGCCTCAGGCATCCAGGTCAAGATCCCCAGGCCTGGTGGACCGCGCACCCCTGACTAGCCTAAGAGCTAAGAAATGATGGATCAGAAGGTGGGACGGATCACGTGAAAGCACGCCTGCCTATTGGCTTAGCAGCCCTGCTAAACGGAGTAGGCCCACACCGGTTCCACTTGGTGCCCTTGTCAAGCAGGCACGATCTGGGAGATCCAATTCTCCACTTGCACCTAAAACACGGCCATTATTCCCATCATTCACCATCGCATTTAAGCTGCATCACGACCTGTTTCTTGAGCTTTTCTTGGGCTTTCTCTTGCAGACCCGCCGTGATTTGAGGGGAGGGGCGCATAATCACCTCCGTCACCTGTCTTGGATACCCCCGGATCAGTTACGCCGAACCTCAGAGGCACACGCCTACAAACTACCACTCCGCCATCTCCACAACAAAGACATCCTTAGCCGACCGTTTCATCGTCTGCATCATCAGGCTTGACGAAGAGCACCCGATCGCAATTTCGTTCCAGCGGATCTTCTTACCTGGCTCTCCGCTGCCAGAAGTACTCTCTTTCAAAGGCTCAGAGTATTGAGAGTCCTGCACAACCCTTGTTTGTTCGTTGCTACCCTAAGCTCATGGCACGTCTTTGGTAAATCCACCCTAACATTAAGCGATCGGCAAACTCAACTGACTTTTCTCCTCCTCTAGCGATACGAGACCCTGAACGACAAAACCACCATCGACGTTAACGATCGCGCCTCAACATGGGCTATCAAGCGAAAGACCCGTACCCCGCACCAGGGCTAACATCCGACAAAGGCTCCCAACCAGTAACGGTTGGCTTTTTGGACCTGCCTGGACCGGTGCGCGAGGGCATTTACAAACACGTGCTCACCATCAAACATCCCGTCTATCTTTTCCAAGATTTCGGACGACGTGTCGAGGCCTTTGCCCCCGACCAACCCAAGTGGTGGATTGCGCTACTGTACACCAACCGACAAATCTCCAGCGAGGCCAAGGCTGTCCTCTATGATAACAACAATTTCCATTTGATGGACAACCCTCAGAAGCACGGCGCCCTTTTGCAATCTTTCCTGGGTAGCATTGGCTCCCATAATGCTAATGTCTTATCCCGTCTCTGCATCGGCTTCCCGGTCGCGGAGAAGGCGCAGGGTCAACCTCACACAGTAACCATCAGACAGGACAGCCTTCAGAGTTTGAGCCTTATTCGAGGACAGTGCACCAGACTCAAGACTTTGGAAATGCAAATGTGCAAAGAAAACTCCAAGCTCCTGGCTGGGGCGCGCGAGGAAGATGCCCAGCTTGTTCGCGACGCGTTGCTGCGAGTTGATGCGCAGTTGAAGACCATTTCCTCGCTCAAGAATGTCGTCGTTAGACTCTCCATCAAGGGTGTGCCCTCTCTGGTGGTTGATACGATGCGAGGCCTTGCGTGGGTCGTCCTTGATGGCTAATGCGGCTGCTGGACAAGTCATCCATCGCATGCCTATACATCGATCCGGGTAAGCACCGTGGTGGTTACGGTGTTTTACAGTACTGGATTTCCGTCTAGCCATGTGTCGATGACTTTGGTCTCTGTTCTTGTGTCTGGTGATATCCTTTAGAGATGCGATCGAGGACAACAATTCACAGTTGCAAGGGCTTCCTGTGGTGTCTATTGGGTGCGGAAAATTGTCTCTTGCTGGTTTTGGGTTGAGGAGATACCACGACAACATTGGCATTTCAGGGAAAACTGGATAGCATTGATCGTCTAAAACTGGTGTTGGCCACACTGCCGATTCCAAAAGCTGGAATGATGCGCATCATCCGTAGGGGGGTTGCAACGTGAACATGCTGCCTGATGGCAGCTAGCCTCCCCTTAAACGGCAGCTTCTCTTGTCGATTATTGTAGTCCAAGCCCAAAAGATGAATCGGTGTGCTGACGACCTGAATAGCAGCTGGCATGATCATCTGCGCCGTTCGCAAGCTTGCCTCCTCCGAGCTGACAAGCGAGGATAGTGGGCCATTTACGGGAAGTTGATGTAGCTTGGGCGCGATGATGCTTGGCATGTTGAATGATGCAAAGACGGTAACGGCGTCTCTTGCCGTAAATAGAGCAAAGCTCCGGCGTGGAACAGCTGCTTTAAGGGCCGAAGTTCCAAGAAGATTCGCAAAATATCCATCCTTGTAGACGCAAAGTCCTGTGCTGACGGCGGTTGTGGCAAGGAACTTGGGCATGGTGGAGGATATTGTGGTAATGTCCAGGTCGTTTGAGGCGGCGTATATGGAATCACACAAGTTGGCAGTCGAGTATGTTCCAAAGTAGACGAGGAATGGAATGATGATTCCTCCAACTGGTGGCATCTTAGGTCTGGAAAGAAAGGACCGTATGGTTGTGCCTAGTGAAGCTCCTGTAGCCGCCTTGCGCACCACGACGCTATTCAAGTGAGTTAGCAATGATGAAGTAGAGATTTCCAGTTGCATGAGTACTCACATGTCAATTGCCGTGACCCATGGTGAGACGAGGGCCGAGGCGCATGTAGCGGAGAGGAGATCCACGCCAAAGATTGCCCAGATCGGGCGTTTCTGGGCATCAGCAGCCGGGACCGTAGCCATGATTCCCTCTGAGTTATCGGAGAAGTATAATTTTGACAACAAGTCAAAAGGCTTGGACACCTGGATATCGGAAGTGAAAGAGCTCAGGTGAAGTCTTGAAGATGATACGTTCAAACGGAAGAAGAAAGTGAGAGTTTGGTGCGATAACCTTGGATGGTTCCGCTAATAAAGTCAGCCACCATCGTCGGCTACGCTAACCTTGTTGTAAGCCGCTCTCCCCAGTTTCTGCCAATGTGGGGAAGGTTCATGACCAATAGCGAGGTTCGAGGCCCCTCTCTTCAAGACAAACTTCCGCCACAAACCAGGACCTATTTCAAGACGGTATTTGACGGTATAAGAGGTGAATAGATCGCCAAGTTGACAATGTTCCTCTCGTTAAGTTAGACGCTTCTCTCTCGAAGGAGCAAAGAATGCAGGCCACATGTCATATTCCCTCCTCTTGTCCATACTCTGATGCATCCACAAACTCATCATCAGAACCACCAGACTCTTGACCGTCATTTTCACTCGAGTTAGAGGCAACCACTTCCAGCAATGGATAAAACGCCGCCTTCACTTCTTCCGTCACAGGCTGTTCTCGTGTTTCAAACTCTTCTCTAGCCGTCAACCCATTCTTATCTCTAGCCTCCACATCCAAACCCTTCAGACCAAAGCTCGCCAGCGTCTCGAGAGTTTTTCATCACCAGATTCGGCAGCAGCATGAAGAACAGTGGTTCCCTGACTATCACGCAAATAATCTGCGCCTAGCCGTAGAAGCATGGCTTGTCCTTGATGAGCGTTAAAACCAACAGCCATTAGAAGCGGCGTCATGCCGTTGTTCTGTGAAGCATTTATATCTGCTCCTCCCTCGTACAACAGCTGAAGCACATCGACGGCGTTGTAGCGGGCCGCAAATGCAAGAGGCGTCGCTGGTATTTTAGCAGTTTGAGGATCAATCTTGGCGCCAGCCGCCAACAACCTCTTGATGGCTGATGCATTGTTTCTCTCCGCAGCAAAGTGCATGAAATTTCTGCCCTGCCTCTCATCGACCATGTCAATATCTGTCCCAGCCTCGAGGAACAGATCAACCAGCTCTAGACACGTCGACTCTGGCATGTCTGAGCCGAGCGCAAACCCCAGCGCTGAGCTTCCTCCTGACGACTTGATGTTGACGTCGGCGCCGGCCTTGACAAGGGCTCGTGCCTTGGGTAGATCGCCCCGTTCGGCCGCGTACATCAGGGGAGTGTGACCTGATCCGTCCTTTGCGTCGAGTTGGGTGAGGATCTCTTGGCTTTGACTTTCGAGGATCGGGACGAGATCGACGTGGCAATGCCCAACAACAATCTTGTGGAGGAATGTCAAACCCAGGTCGTCTATGCAGCCAGAAAGTGGAAAGATCTTTTCCAGTTCGTCAAGGTACTCCAGTGGTTCATCTCTTGACAGGAGCATCCTGCCCACTTGGTGTCTCGCCGAAGTGCCAAACATGTCTTCCTGATCGGGGTCAGCGCCGGAAATTAGCAGGAGCTTGATGATTTCGAGTTTTGTAGTCCAGGGCAAGGGCCCAACTAATGCTAGATGCAGCACTGAACGGTCATCTCCATAGTAGACTTCGATGACTGCCGACTTGTTGACTTGAAGAATATGTCGGATGTTTTCCACAGTGCCTACTTGCACTTGGTATAGGATATTCATTGGAGATAAGTAGTATTCCATACGACGGCGAGGCACGACGGCCAGCGTGAACCTCTCCGTGGTGTCGACGAGTCCATGGATGGCATAGTTGAGGAACCAGAGTGGAAAGGCATATGTGAACCTCAGCCGGACGTATCTGCCATTCGAGCATGAGGACAAGTTACAGGGAGGTCTTGATACTGGACATCCCGTGTATCCAACAAAAAGAGAGCCGATAACGGACCGAAGAACCCTAGGTAGCCGAAGCGAGAGACCTTGATTTGACGTGGCGTGACATTTGCATCGGCAGTTGCTCAAACATCGAGTGCCCATGAGTCGGAGGGAAAAGAACAATACCGAGTTCAGAAACTCTGGGCGGTAGGTTGAAACCGGTGTTGGTCTATTAATCATTGGATCAACTTGGCTTGCACGTAGTGTTTGCTGGGCCAAGACATTGGAGACTAGTCTTCGCACGATAGCAATTCGTTCTCTAGCCTCTTGATCCAGCAGTGACGATTCTGGATGCCGTGTCTTGTCCTCAGTTTGAGTTGCTGAAGCCTGGTGGTCTCGCTGTTCGAGTGATCCAGAGGTGTGGTCCGTGATGGCCGCGTCTAGGACACCCTGCTCGGTGCCCACCGGCGCATGAGAATGAGAATTTCCGAGCCGACTGCCATCCGGTCTGTTTTCCTTGAGCCTCTGTACTATCACAGTCTGACTATGGTGGACATCAAGACGAACATCCCGCAGCTCTAGCAAAATCCTAGTCGACATGGAACTATGCTGAAGTTAGATATGGACCTTCCAAAATGTAGTGGGATCACTTACGTATTATGGGCCACCAGCAGCTCGTTGATCTTCAGCCGAACCTCTTTTAGTCTAGTTTGAAGCTCCGAGGCGCGTGATTTTTTGAGACACCATTTGACTCTCTTATGCGTCATCTTCTCCCCAAGAAGTTTCTGCGCCAGCGCATCCAGGTCAGTCAAGATAGACTCGGCCTTTAAGAGCTGCGCTTCCAAATCTTGGAGGGCGGCCACGCCATCTGGTGTGTCGAGTCCGGTAGCTTCAGCAGTTCTTCTCACATCGTCAACGCGCGCCAGTACAGCCTTGAGATCCGCAGCCTCGTTAGAAAGCGCTCGAACAAGATCAGGGGCGTTCCTGAGTTGAGTCTGCAGGTTGCGAAGAGCACTGAATGCCCGGGTAGCGACATCAAGCAGTCCAGCCACCGAGGCAATCAGCGAGATTGGCTCCGCCATGTTCGCGATGCAGAGTGACTTTTTGATATTCCAAGAAAGGCGATCATGCGATCGAGTTGAGTCCTGCCTTGAAACTTCCCCTCTTCTACCCTGGGTCAGCCTCACGCTTGAAGTCTGCCTTGGGTCTAGTTGCTTCAGCTCAGCTGCATCTCGACGCCCACTATTGGCATTGACAGCCAATAACCAGACGCGGTAGCCCTCCATTTCAAAAGAAGGATGGAACACAGTAAACAGGTTTGCGGATAGCAAAAGTGGAAGATACCTCTTACTCATACGGGGATAATTTAGGGCGTTTATGCTGCTTGACAAGAAAAAAGAAGAAGAAAAGAGCAAGTTTTCTCAGCAAGTCGCGGCCGTAACACGGTCCCGATAATGTTATTGACTGCCAACGTATGCGTACATTGGCTGTAGTCCCTGTGCTCCCAACCGATTTCCCACAACTCCCTCCTGGCTAGTAGACAAAGGCAGTGCAAGGATCCTTAGGGAGCCTAGCTCCCCCATGAGTTGTCCTAGGGCTTTACTACTTTACTCTGCCTTGGTGTGAATCTGTTAGAACCCCCAAGTCTTCTGTTTATCGTTGAGAGACCAGGGCTAGATATGCGCTAATAGAGAGTGTTTCTACTGCTTCGGCCATCCTGTCGCCCAGGCACCCCTGCCTCTGTCCTGCACGGAGCCGATAGCACTCGGTGCATGAGGGATAACTCAAAGATTCCAAGATGCGCGGGCTCGAAGCCTGGCCACTTGAGCTCCTGATAGGCTCTCGGACATTTTCTACCCACGGCAATTCTCCAAAGTCCGAAAGGCCGGCCATCGGGTTCCATTACTGTACCCGTGGCGGCTGGATTGGGGCCCATTCGGCCGAGGACACTGACATGCCAACGCCTGACAGGGACTAAGTGTTGGCGGTGGGGAGGAACCACTAAACATGTGGCCAGACCCCTGCGGTTGAGTCAGGTCTATTCAGTCTGATTCCTTTCTAACGACATCGGCTATGGACAGCTGGGGCGTATAACCTATTCCGTCCGATGGGTAACTTGAACAGAGTTACTCATCAGCATAACTATTTGCGAATGACACAGGCTACAGCCATGCAAGAAACTTAACAGGATGTGACAATGAGTAACAGAACCAATTTGAAGCGCTGACAGGTCTAGAATGATTCGAGTAGGCGAGCCAGGAACGGGAGGACAGACGGGCACTAACAATCACGAAAGCTATTCCTGGAATACTGCTTTCACCTTTTCAAGCTGAGGTTAGCGGGACCATGGCTGAGACAACAGGGACCTACCTAGCACTAAAGCAAGCTACCTAAGAAATAATAAGGATGGGACTTTGCTGTGGTTGCAGTTTCAGGGGGTTTAGAGTGGATGTATGAGTCGAATAGATCATCAGCTTTCGCATTTTAAGTTAACATCCGCGCCGCCCCCAAAAATTACTACCACTTCCCCTACGTCTTGGTGAGCTTTCCAAGCTCACCAGGTCTGACAAGACGGAGTGCTCTCCACCGCCAAGCTATCTAGATCTGTCTCCACTCGAAATGAGAGGCAAACTGCAACTTCGGGCTTTTGTTCAGCCCTCCGCCAAGAATCTCCTTAGTCCTCCTTCTCTGACGGGGGTGATGAGCTGCCTGCTTCCCCCTTCGCTTCAATCGTGGCCACGGAGCCTCTAGCGTCACGGCAGCGCTTCTTCACCGACAAAAAAGCCGTCCCATGCAGAACCAGCCACCAGGCAAAAAGGACCGGCAGGGCCTCCTTGACGGGGTTGGCACACCCAGACCAAGCATAGATCAACAAGGAGTAGAGATGACGCGAGGGCATTGCCCACCCAATTCGGTAGAAGCCGGCCATGACTTCAAAAGGAAAGACGGAGCTGCTCACGTTTATGATGATCCATGTGACCAGGAAGTAGGGCATGTACTTCATGGGGACAAAGGTGCCAGTAGAGGACTCTAGTAGCTGCCATTGCACGTCCAGGTACAAGAGATAGATTCCGAACGACTTGCCGTAGACTACCGAGCCAACGATCCAGTCACCTCGGAAAGCCCAAATGTATCCTGTAACAACTATGCTGAGGATGGCACAGTATGTCTTGCCAACAATGAAGCGGAACAGGTAGACATCTCTGACCTTGACCTCTCTGAAGAAGCCGCTCATCTGACCCCCTACGTTCATGCCCAAACAGAGGAAGAACTGAACGAGAGTCGGTATAACCATATTGACCGTGTTGTAGAAGACGCGGGACGGCTGAGTGGTGGGTAGAATAAGGTCGGGGAGTAGCGCTAGCGGGTTGAGAAAGGCGGTTTCTGATGCCTGTGTCGCGTTTTCAAACAGGGTGATATTGTTCATGAGGAGAGATTTCTGGATCGCGTCCCGTGATACTGCGTGGATTTGGCGGATGCTGCTGAGTAGGACAGAGTCCGCGATAGTAGGATAGCGCGCCTGATTGTAGGTATAGTAAATGGCGCTAGTATCGGACGAGTCTTGCAGGGCGTTTGCCAAGTCAGCCGAAGCGTTGGCGGGGACAGTGACGGCAGCCCAGTAATCTGTGTGACAAACTGCCTCTTTGACTTTGGCCGTACTATCAAATTGGCCAACTTGTCCGATCTCGATCGAGGGAAATTTGCTTGATCCCAGACTGGCAGCGACCTGTGTGACTGCCCTGCCGACTTGGCCGCCGTCGAGATCCACGATGAGCATCTTTAGGGCATGATATCGGTCTGCTTGGTGGTGTGACGTCCCGAAGAGGTACGACATGACGCCGAGAAGCATCAGCATGAGCTGGATCGCGGTTTGGGCTGTTGGTACGATGGTAGCTTGCCATCGCGGACGCCACTGGCCGAGCCCTACTCGCTGGGAGCTGACTTCAGGAGATGGAGTGAGGACGGACGCCATTGCTAGTGAAATTAAGGCTGGTACGACGGTTCTGATCGATGTAGAGGGCAGTGTCTGGATGTTTCGTAGAAGCGTTGGAGATCTGGGACGGCAACCCTTTGGGTTTGAAGGCACAGGGGAGAGAGAAAGGCGGCAGATTCTCACTATATCGGGGGTCCCAGTGAGACTCCACCAAGTTGTGGTTACCAGGGTAGGAAGCCATGGAAAACGATCGCATAGTGCCGGCCGGCAAATAGTGGTTAACAACACGAGGGCACAACTCAGGCCCACGACGTTGTCGTGTAACCCACCGCCTCTGGAGCACTTATACCTGATTGGCCCGCGACTTCGGCTTTCCAAGTTGGTCGCGAGCCGCGAGCGGGACGGGAGGTCTCGAGGTTGATCGCCCATCGCCCCTTTTTCTAGGGAGTTGCGTTGTCTTTATTCTAATTAGATTGGCTCGTGTTAGTGGGGGAGAAGCAGGCAACGCTACCTTGGCAAAGTTTCATAGATTTAGCGTCTTACCATTTCCAACGCTGAGTGGGCTCGCTGTATGTCGCAGCCTTGCAACCACAGCGTCCAACCCGCCCCGTTGCTGGAGAGCTCAGGCCTTTCTACCGTTTGAGTAGCCGCCTCATGCAGGCCGCCGTGGGACTCTATGCAGCAGTTGACGTCATGCTTCACAGCCCGTGCTCTGCGGATTCGCTGGTCCTCTCGAGATGATTCATCAAGTTGTGACCACTTCACGGCCGTTGTTAGACTCCGGGACACCGGCGAATAGTGAGGGCCGGGGTAAAAGGAAGGATGCGATGTCTCCGACATAGCTTTGGGCTACGAATGGACATAAATGAAGGTGATTCTGACACCAAGAATTCCAGGCACACTCATCCCAGCCCATCCAACCCACAATCATTTCATCTACCGCTTGTATCTTCTCTCCTCGCCATAATCTCGTTTCAAGTACCCCAAAGAGCCACTCTATACACCATCAAACATGTCTGGAAAGTTCCTCATTACCGGTGGCTACGTTGCTTCCTTGGATGACTCCCTGGGAGACTTTGCCAGCGGCGCCGTGCTCGTCGAGGACGGCGTTATTAAAGCTGTTGGCAGAGCGGAGAATATCTCTGCCCCTGACGCCGAAGTTATCGATGCCTCTGAAGGCGTCATTGTTCCCGGCATGATTGACACCCATCGGCATGTTTCTATGAGCTTGACACGAGGTATCGGGGTGGACCAACATCTTTGGCACTTCCTCTCCAACACTTACCTCCGTTGGCTGCCATCAACTAGTGTCGAGGATATGCGCACGTCTGCCCTCGTCGGTGCGCTAGAAGCATTAGACAGTGGAGTGACGACCATCATGGACACCTGTGAGTCGTTCCACTCAGCCGAGCATGCGGACGCCGAGTTGCAGGGCTTGAAGGATTCTGGTATCCGGGCCTTCTTCTGCTATGGAATGAGCGCGGATCAATATGGCGACATCCCTGAAGGAAGACCGGGGTGGGAAGCGCGAATGTCGCATGTCAAGCAGATGGTCCTTGATGAGCGAAACGAACAGCGCGACGTCCTCGTGCGGATCGCTCTCCAACTCAGTCAGTCTGGGACAACCCCGTTCTCGTGGATGGGAGATGAGCTGGCCCTGGCTAAGGAATATGGGTTACTCTGCTGCTCGCACTCGACTGCATTCCCCAACTCCAACTTGACCAACGATGTTGAGACCCGGGCAGACTTTGGTTTCATGCACCCTGGACATGTATACATTCACAGCACCAACCTCACCGATCACGAGATGGGCCTCATTGCCAAGAGTGGAGGCAAGATTGCACTCTCGACTGACACGGATGTACAAATGGGCATGGGCTACCCTCCCCTCCGCCTGGCTCTCCAGCACGGCCTGCGACCATCCCTTAGCATCGACACATCGAGCTTCTCCCCGCCAGACTTGTTGTCGCAAATTCGCTTGCAGCTGCAGGTGCAGCGTGGACTAGACCACGAAGCCGAACACAGAGCCCGCCGACCAGCCATGAAGATGGATTTCACTGCCAAAGATGGGCTGATCTGGGCCACGCGGAACGGCGCAGAAGCAGTTGGGTTGGAGGATAAGATTGGTACCCTGACACCTGGGAAACGGGCTGACATTGTCATTCTGACCAACAAGCGTTCCCTTAGCGGATCGGCCAACCCCTTCGGGACTGCTGTCATGCACTCTACTCCGGCGGATGTAGATTTCGTCATGGTGGACGGCAAGATCATGAAGCGTGACGGGCAGCTCGTCAACGTCGACGTCCCCGCCATACGCAAGAAGGCCCGGGAAGGGCTCCAGCGAATCCTAGAGAACTTGAAGACGGCTCGACCAGAGCTGACCCAGGATGAGATTGAAAATTTCTTTCGCATGGGAGAAAAGTCCCACCGCGCCAACGTGGCGGAAGCATATGCACATGGAGCAGAGGTAGGGGACTACCTTAGGAACTAGAGTCGGTAGTGAAGGCCCTCGTAGGAATTGGCTGCTCAGCAGTAAAAACCTGCTATGATTGAGTGTAGGGTGGATAAGGGACTAAGAGATTGAATTGGGACGGGCCCTACCTTTGACCAAATCTAAATAGAATAGAACATTTAGTTGGAGTGTTGTTAATGAGGCTTTAGACGTAACCTTGTGAGACATGAGAGCTGGATGATGTGGTATAATCACTGCACAGACTAGCTTTCATCACATCTATTCTTGATGCTCAACGCCCGCCTACTTCAGGCAATAGAACAGTAAGAAAGAGCCCAATGTTTTGGTATTGGGATATGATGCTCTGTTTTGTTGAGATGTTATTCTTTGTTCTATAGTTGAGCCCCGGCCCTCGATGCGATAATGCGGTCAGAAGACAGAATGCTTGCCCTCGATGGGACAACTACGCCAGAAGATATCTTTATACTAACCGTAATCTCTTGCGAGCCTCATCAGGAACCCAATTTTAAAAGGCATGGCAGTTGCAATGATTGTTTGGGCTGGGCATTTCCAGCAGGAGACGGTTTGCTTATTTACCAAGCCGATCAAGCAGACATTCACAGGATAAATTGATATTTGCGAGAGTCAAGAGAAGAGATTGTATTTAACTTTCTACACCCAGTTGCAAGAATAAAAAACAACAAGTTATGCATCTACAGTTTGAGGAGCCTGTGAGTCATATCAAGACTGATGTGGTTCACAACTCGTTCGCATCCCCATTTTGCGAGTGAATTCGTGAAGGATCAGGTTTAGTAACAGCATTATTATCAGCATCCTTGACGCGTTCCCAGAAACGCTCTCCACTCTCAGGATCGTCGGCAAAGAGCGTGTCAACGACTTGTCGCTTTGGCGTCTCTCCCATCCATCGAAAGAGAGAAATATCACGGAACTCATCCGCACGAAAGACCTCGAGCATCTCGACAGGTTCGTCACCGATATTCTCAACAAAGTGGCCCATGTTCCGAGGTGTGATTCCCACGTCGCCGGGGAGAAAGTCAAAGGTGCGAGCCTCGCCTTGCGCAGCAAAGATGGTTACGCGTGCTCGACCTTTGATGAAGAATGACCACTCGTCGGCGTTGGGATGCCAGTGCATCTCGCGGATTGCCCCTGGCTGGATAATAACATGCGCGGCAGCAATGGTTTTGGAGATGGGAAATGTCCTTGAGTCGACAATCCTGACCTCACCGCCGGACTGCCGATCTGGCTCTTGGTCAAGCATCTTATACGTGAAGTTGTATCGAGATTTCTTGACCCTTTTCCCTCTAGGAGCTTCCTCTTCAATAGACCCCGGCTTGCTTCCTTGGAAGATGTATTTCTCGCTAGCTGGAACGTGGGCGAAGACTTCAGGTGCGAGGTTAAAGTTTTTGGCGATGACTGACTTGGGGGTGTGGGCTATTTCAAGGTGAGCAAAGAGCGGCTGTTGAAGAAATTGTGCAAGTAGACTTACCAAACCAGTCAGTGAGGATAAAAGTTGACTCTTCAGAGAAGTGACCATCGTCAAAGATGAGAAGGAATTCGGTCCCATTCTCACTCAGTCCTTGCAGAGAATGAGGTACTCCGCTGGGGAAATACTGAACCATGTCAACTCTGCCGCGCGCATTTCAAGAATTCAAACCTACCCATAAATCACCCTTCTTCAAATCATCGATAAAGTTGCCGCCCTCGTAGTCAAGCGCGGTTACACGTACCTCGCCATCTAGGACATAGGCCCACTCGGCCTCCTTGTGCCAGTGAAGTTCCCGGATGACGCCCTCTCCAAGGCGCATGTTGACGCTAGCAAGTTCAACACTTGTAGGCAACTCACGGATAGTCGTCTGTCGGGTCCAGCCTCCTTCCTACCAGTATCTCGTCAGGTTGAGTTGTTGGTTGACAAGGCTCAGACAGCAGAAACCCATCTGTCCATGAACTAGGGATGCTTACCTCGATGCGAATATGGGAATCGGCAAAGCTCCAACGCATATTGGCCACGTCACCGCGATCGGTGCTTGGCGGTCGTACTAGATCGGGATTCTGTCGAGAACGGTCTCTGTTCCAAGGACCTAACACGGAAGCCCCCAAGCCATTTCGCCACGGAAGCGGGTCTAGCTCATCGCCAACGGCGTCGATAGCGTTATCCAAGGGGTCTCTGTGGCCAGGCGTGAAGGGAATACGGCCACCTCCGGTAACGCTGCGGTAAGTCGAAGATAGACCAAGTCCATCCAACAGACGCTGACGGGGACCATCCTGCACAGGGACCCCGGTACAGGGGCAAAGGAGAAGTGCAAGACCCAACACTGTGAAAAGACTGAGCATGATGAGGAGAAGGATGTGACAAAAGCTAAAGGCGATGGGAGGTATGAGGCCCTGATGGAGAGGTCACAGGATGATTTCAAGCATTTGAAGCCATCGCTTGCACGGCGAATATTTGCTTGCCGAGTTTAAGATTAAGATGCTCAAAGGTATGCCATGAAGGTTCACGCAACTTTCGGCTGTCCTGCAGATCAGGGGTTATCGGTGCCGACAGGGGAGGCAGCTCGGCCGCGGGACGACGGTCAGCCCGAGAGTCAAGTTGGGTGCTCTACCCGTGAAGCTCGGCTCGGGGGCGCGGCCCGTGTGCTGCACTGATGAGTGATGGAGATGACTCACGGTTTGGAAGCCGCTTTTTACTTGGAATGCTTTCGATACTCGAAGGCTATCCTTTCATGACCTTCTACCTCATCCACTTCTATTCTAGAGGCTCCTCACAAATCGTTGTTTCCAAAGACATTAACGCAGTGCCATGGTAAATCCGTCGTCTACCGCCGTCAGCGGTGCAGCATGCCTTGACAGGGAGACACAGCCACTCCTCGGCCGGCAAATGGTGACTGAATCCTGGGTACAGAGGAGGATGGTGACAAGTGTGAGCCGGGATTGGGCTGACCTCGTCCTTTTGTCCTGCTATGTCATTACCGGGATGCTCGACAGCATCTCCATCTCAACATGGGGAGCGTTTGTATCCATGCAGACTGGTATGTATCGCACCCAAGGGGGTCCAGCCGGTCATCTGAACCGGGACTGACTTTGATGGTAGGGAATACCGTCTATCTTGGTCTAGGGCCGACTGCTGGGACAGACCGTTGGAAGAAATCTGGCACATCGATCCTCTCATTCTGTGTCGGATCTTTCTTTTTTAGCCGCCTACACAGACATTTTTCTCCCTCGCCCAAAAGCAGATACATCCTTTGCACGTCTTTCACCATACAAGCCTCCTTGATTGCAGCCGCTGCTGCGGTTATCAAATGGGGTCCCCAGGGTGGCGCTGATGGTAGCCCATGGCACGTCTTGATGCCTATCGCCATGGTGGCATTCCAGAGTTGCGGGCAGGCTATTACAAGCCGTGCTCTACAATACAACGCTCTTACAAGTGTAGTTTTAACGAGCATTTATTGCGACTTGTTTTCTGATGCTCAGTTGTTTCAGAGCATTCTCATCAATGCTGAACGGAACAGGAGGATGGCTGCACCGGCTCTACTTCTGACTGGAGCCTTGCTAGGCGGATTCCTTGCCAACAGCGCTGTGGGCGCTGCAGGTGCCTTATGGGTAGCGGGTGGACTCAAGCTTATGGTTGCTTTTACTTGGGGCTTATGGCCAGTTGAACAATCGGCAGTATGAGGGTGTAAGTCGGCTAGGCGAGTAATAGAATACACAAATTCAGACATTCCCTGCGAAACACATTCTCTGTGACTACCGGTACCTAGCCTGCAGCTCAATTCTATTATCCTGGAAGGTAGGGTGACGACCTTGATCTCGAAAATTAAGACGGAGACAGTTGACCAGGATGAGCCTTCTCAACATCAATGGTCAATATTTCCCCTTTGATGGAAGCGGGAAATGACCCAACCTCATGCTGATTCTGTTTCGCATTGAAGGTTCGTGTGTCAAACCTCCGACTAACTTACTTGCCTAACCGAAAGCGTACATTCTACCCCGGACTTGGCTACCGATCCGATCCGAGATGAGTGCCAGGGAAGCCTCGGACAAGGTGGGTCGCCTCGGCCCCGTGCTCGGGATCTACTGCTGGCCTGACCCGCCTTGAGCTTGATCCGATCGTGTTCTGCTGGCTGAAGATTGAATGAGGTGGGTGATCCAGTTTGCCCTATTGCCTCCTCCTTGACTAGACTTTGAAGTGGCTGGATTAGACGTCGATTTGAGAGCTGATCTTGTTACCCTCTTTACACCAATCTATGCTGCGACTGAACACGACCAGGTCGCAAAGAGAAAGAAAACAAAAATGGTGGTCCAGGAGAAATTACCCGTCATAGTGGCTGGTGCTGGTCTTGTCGGTGTACTACTAGGCCAGTTACTGAAACAGAATGGAATCCCGTTCGAGATTTACGACCGTGATGAGGGCCTGGGTTCTCGATATGGAGGATGGGCAATCTCACTCCACTGGATCGAGGCCGAGTTGAAGAGAGCCCTCCCAGAGGATATGTATGAGCGTATCAAGGCTGGTCACGTTGACCCAGAGAGTTACGCCACAGGTGACTTGGCCTTTTCCTCATGTTGCATTGCCTAATCTAACGCTTTAGGCTCGATCCCATTCAAATATCTCGACTTGGAAACGGGAGAGCCAACCGTCTCCTTCACCGTCCCGAGCTACCTCCGTGTCTCCAGATTCCTTGTGCGCAGTGTCCTAGCCGATGGCCTGGACATCCAATGGGCCACAGCCGTACGCAGTTTTGAGTCGGTCGATGAAGGCGTCCTCGTCAGACTCTCCAACGGGAAAACGACAAGAGGCTCTATGCTTATTGCATGTGATGGCAAGAACAGCGTCCTCAAGCGGTCCATCATTGATCCCGAACAATTGGACTTTACCGACTTGCCCATCGAGCTTGTTGGCTGCAAAGTACGGCTCGATCCACCGAGTGCCAAGAAACTCTTGGCCGTGAATCCCATCATGTGGCAAGGGGCTCACCCGCGTACGAGGTCATTCTTCTTCTTCTCGCTAAACTCGACTCCTCGAACGAATGGAACCGCGGAGACAAGTGAGGAGTATTACGAGGCTCAGTTCAACTACAGCTGGATAGCCATTCAGGGAGAGGAACAGCCTAGCACTTCTGCCGTGAGGCTTCGTCGGCTGAAAGAGGTGGGCTCTACCTTCTTTCCTCCCCTCCGGGAAGCTATCGAGGCTATAAGAGATGACGTGCAACTGCTCGACATTAAGATTCAGGACTGGTTGCCGGTGGAATGGGACAATCAAGGTGGCAGAGTGACAATACTCGGGGACGCCGCGCACGCCATGACCATGTGTAAGTCTCCCGCTCAAATATTCATGAATGATCAGCCTAGGCTAACCGAGATGCAAATTCAGATCGAGGAGAAGGAGTCAACCATGGCATGTATGACGCCATTAAACTCGTGGAGCAGTTGAGGCTTTGGGAGGAAGGGGCCAAGTCCCTGGCAGAAGCGGTTGCGGCGTACGAGGGTGAGATGAGACCACGAGCTCGGGAAGGCGTGCTTCTCAGTAGACAGGCATGCTTGGATGCGCATTACGTCGAGAGGGTGCACTTGGGGCATCGGCTGTTTGGATATCGAGACCAGCTGTGATTAGACGAGTGGATAGAAACGTAGTTGGCATTAATCAGTAACCTCTCTAAGAAGACCTATCGGGTACAAAATGAAATAAAACGATGAGAGATAGGTTGTAAGACTTTTTTTTAACTATCCACCATGCTCTCACGTAGGCCGTCGACCATCGTTCTCTTGTTGCGTAGTGAACTGGACTGTTAGCTTCTCTGGAATAGTAGGCAAGTCTCCATCCTTGCCATCCCATCTACCGATCGAATCAACAAATACTGTCAGGTACATCAACCACGACGGATTGAGTTGGAAAACAGTTCTTCCTTGTATTATCAGAGTCAGATGTAGCGTCTTTGAAAAGTATCAGACTCTTAATTGGGGCCATAATTCCTAACTGAACATGAATTTGTTGAAGATCTGTTCTTTATTATAGTTACAGCCCGGCCCTCGATGGGTTAACTGAGCCCGAAGATCGAAAATGAAATTGATGTGCAAATGTCCTCCCACAACCTCGGATACACCAGGACAGCCTCCCCACCCATTAATGTATAATTGCCGTCTTCAGGGCATTTCCCTAAGCTTCAAGTGGACATGCAGACCTGACTGAACCACAAAGAACGTTGAGGAACGCTGAAGCGGTTGGTCAGGGTTGACGAGCTGCAGGTGGTATCTCCGAAACAGCTCGGGAAGCACCTTGGACATCTCCAACAGAGCCAAGTGGCGACCAAGACAGACGTGGGAACCACCGCCAAACTAAATCCATGGGTTAGCACCTTGTTCAATAATCACCCCGCAGTAGACTTGCCTGGTACATGGACCGCTCCATGACTCTCAGAGTATCCTTGTCGGCTTCTAGCCATCGCTCTGGCCTGAAATTGTCGGCGTCTTGGCCAAAGACTTGCTTGTCTCGGTGCACCACCCAGCCGTTCACGGCCACCTCGGTTCCGCCGGACAGCTTCAGCCCGCCGATCTCAGCGCCTGTGGGAGGCACCCTTCGGGAAATATTGAGCCCTACAGCGGGACTCACCCTCATGGCCTCCTTGAGGCACGCCTGGAAGTAATGCAGCTTCTGCGACTCGTCATACTGAACCATTTCACTCAGGCTGGCGGACATGATCTCTTTGGCTAAGGCGTTGTGCACGCGAGGTTGAGACAAGACGTGCCACATGAAACTCTGCATGGTCGAGGCAGTGCTATCACTGCCGGCAAAGATTGCCCCGTGCGCAATACCAAATACATCTCCATGACTGAGTGCCTCGGGATTCTGCTTCTGCGCCTGCATAGTCGAGTTGAGGAGGTCAGTAAACTTGGCGAACTTTTGATTGCCAGGCTTAACTCGACTCTCGAGCTGATCGAGGGCGATCCTGGTTATCAAGGGCATCTTGGAGGCAAAGTAAGAGATGTAGCCTCGGAGGGGGTTGCGGCGGAGGAACGGGTCTAGTCCTGGGATTTGACCAACAATACCGCTGTACCGGTTTGAACGGTTTATGGACTCCATCGCGCCTCCTACGTCGAACCCAGCCTCGAGGAACCCGAACCTTGTAGAAAAGGCAGCCTCGCCGAGGACGTCAAAGGCAAAGAAGTGCAACCAGTCTCCCAGATCGCACGTCTTGTTGCCATGGGCATACTCATCCAGCTTACACAGTAAAAGTCTCTCGGCTTCTTCGATGCGAGGCGTCGACTGTTGCATGGCCTGGAGGCTGAACCCGGGAGATGCGTACCGCTTTTTGACGCGATGGACGGACTCCCTCGCCTCTGTAAATATGTCTCGCTCGTATAGAGGAGGAAATACACCATAGAAGTCGGTCTTGTCAAGTCCCTTGCCTGTCTTGAATATGTCAAGAGCGGTCGTAGCGGACGAGAATGAGAGCTCGTTCGGGGCGGTACGTACGACGGGGCCTGACAAATGGTTACCTAGGGGATGAATAGAGGCTCAATGACGTAAAACGCACCGTATTTCCTGTGGGCTGATATGTAGTGCTCTTCGTTCTTGCCAGTCCAGACGCTCCAAACTGCACATGTCAGATGTGTCTCGCTCGGCCTTGATGAAAAAGCGCAAACCCACCTCTCCATAGACGTGAGACAGACGCCAACGGTGGCCCGGGAAAGTGTCGAAGGGGCAAAAAGTAACGTTTGTAAAGGCATCGAATCAAGATAAAAGCAATCAGACAGGCAAAGAGATGCTGTGTAGCAAAGGTCCGAGCCGTGGAGACAACGGAGAGCGTCACAGGAATATTACCGAGAAGCGCCATAGTTACGGTTGGAGATGATCAAGACGCAAAAAGATGTTATCCTGCATATGTATTACAAGGTCAAAGGGGCTACTCGATGGGACCAGCCGGTGTCTCTCACCCATGTCCGGGGTTGCTATGCTCGGGCCGCTTCAGTGTGTCCATCGGGCCGTTGGGGTCTGGTCCGAGTCAGCCCCAGCTCGGGATTTGAACCCTGCATCGGAACCTTCAGCTGCCACTCTCTGCTGTGAGGCGAGAGCCGTCCCGCGCCCTGGGGGCAAAAGTCGACGTTGGTACGAAGCTAGTTGCTCTCTGTGAGAACCGGCCTGCCTCGGGGGCTCACAAGCCCGGCTGTCTACTATCAAGGCCGGCAGGTCAAGTCAGGTCAATTTTGACTCGCCAAAACATTTGGCAGCCCAGCGCACGCTACCCACATTTCGGCTTGGACAACAATGGCAACAAAGCCCGCCTAGGAGTGCATATGGTAGAAAGCTATAGATCTTATAATTCTCCAAATACACGCCACAACTAAGTAAAGGCTTCGTTCTTATATTGCATTACAAACTCCCCAAGGGCGTCAAGCGAATCATGACCAAATCCATCCTGAAACAGGCAAGGTTCATACTTCAAGAGCAGACGCGCAAGCCAATGGTAACTATCGCCCAGCTGAGAGGCTGCGAGCTCGGTCGCATTCCATGGTTCAGCCTGTGAGTGTTTCAAGTCCCATAATCTCTTCCATCTAGCTAGAAGGCCGAGAAGAGGGCTCTGCTCCCCCTTTTGGTACAATGGATTGGCCTGAGATAAGAAGATCAAGTTGTGGAAGGCTATTGAGTAGTTAGTTGGAAACATGACGGTCATGATGGTCAAGGTTAAATACCACAGATGGCAAATAACAATGCACTGAATGGAATTGCTTCAGCTGTACTCTCGGAAATGTCCATGTCGCTGTCAGCCATGAGCTGCTGCATGAATGTTGCAAAAGAAGTGGCAGGAGGATCAACCAAGAACGGATCCATGAGGATCCAATCTTCGCAAGTTCGAGCTCTGAAGGCGGCCTCTCTTGACGGAATATCTAGAACCATTTCGTTGAGGTTTATCTTTGGTGTGGTGCGGAAAAGAATGCTAACTTGGCCGTCAAGAAGATAGATTGAGAATCCAGTTCTGATGAACAGTTATTAGCCAACAAGCTTTGCTATCTTGCATCCAACAACATACCTTATCATTCTCTCTGTCTTGACCCAGAGGTCCCAGGATGCAAAGAAGGAAGGCGAACAACTTTCAATACCGGCCTTACGGGTAGAGAAGAGAGACAACGATCGTGCGGCAGCGAGAACCATGGGGAAGTAAATATTCCATGTTCGCCAGAACTTTAATTTTCCTCTCATACCAAGCTGAAGATAGACAGCGATGACAGCCGCGTTCACAAGGTCCAGTTGCATATCTGAGACGTGTGCGCCTGAGCCCCCCGTGATGAGCATCTCAAGCTCTCTGCTCTCAAAGACCACATGCTCCAACGTGTCGAGGCAGCTGAATGCCACCAGTCTCAGTTCTCGGGGTAGCGTATATATGGACCCTGCCACTATTATGGCCAACAGTAAGTGCGGTGAGGCTTGGTCAATGTTGAATGATGGCTGGTGTATCCCGGCATGGTACGGATACAAACGTCTGAAAAAGGCATGTAGAGCTTTCTGCGCATTATCCAAAGTCATGATTTTTGAAAAGACAGGATTTCTCCGAGCTGACTGAGAGTGATGACAGCCTATAAAACGGCCGGTGCCGTCAGATTGAAGCAGTCGCGATAGATCAGGTATGCGACGTTGGAGAGACAAACGCTCCGGTATCCCACCATTTGCCGCAAGGAAGGCATCTCCCTGGAGGTCATCGTGGGGTATCGTGAATGGAAAACTGTTGTATGGTGCTCCACTGTCAAGAAAGAAAGGAAAGCCCGAGTCTTCACCAACCGATGCCTGTTGGCCGTCGGGCCCTGGTGAGGAGGCGGTGATGTCCGGAGGGATGCAGGTGTCGATTTCCAAGGCATCTCGAAGGTCAGATATTGTCTTGTTACTAGACAACGTGAACTGCAGTAGATACTTCGCACTTGGGTTACAGCTGATGGATTGCGGTGTTGAAGAAGGACTTGATCCATGGTCGACCGAAGCCTCACCTCCAGATGGATCCAATGTGGGCGACAAGTTGACTTCAGGAGCCGGAGTCTTTTCAACGCGTTTCCATGAGCACGATACATGACGAAGCAAGCATCCCTCGCAGGGATTGTCGCCGTCGCACGCCAGCTTTGCCCGGGCACAAGGGTCGCAAGCCTTGGGACCAGGCCCACGCTTTCGCCCGGCGGGCATCGGTCGGGTACCACGGCTGGGGCATACCCTGCAGTGTCTCAGAAGGGAGTCGCTATTCTTACAGTGAGTCGCATTCTGACCAAGGGAGAATGAAGGGGCCTACCGGCGAGAGAAGATGCTATCGCAGAAAGGGCACTGGTGGTGCGTCTTGGGTCTGTCTATGTGACTACGTCAGAGAGGAGCAGGAGCGGTGCCTTGGGATGCCTACGTGATTTGGGTTCGTTGAATTCATCACGAGCCCTCAGTTCTCGGCCACCAGTATCATATTCGGGTGGGCAGTGTTCAAGACTTTTGTCCATCAATTCTCTGGGCTCATCAATGTGAGTCAACGAGGTTCACATTGGTGACACTGGTAGCTTGGGTGAGGGGAAACACCGTGCCTCCTCACCCGGACTAAATAAGGTTCCATCGATAAGATAAGATGACTAAACATGCGTTGGCTAATACAAGTCAACTAGGAAATACTCGGTTGACGTAGAATAAACACGCGAGTAGTGAGTACCAGGTGCCCCTGAGATTTAAAGCAAACGCATGCAACCCATCGACCTTGAAAGTTCCATTTATTGGTATGTTTACTATTTGATGGTCTACATCGCTCAACCAGTACGTAAATCTAAGCTATAGTCCATCTGCAAGTCTCCTGACAGCTCCACCAGAATCTCATCCTTGGCAATGCCCAAACTCGTGAGGGGATCAAGTTCAGACAGGGTGTCCGGAATCGACCACTCGAAACAGTCATCATACTCTAGACCTACCAAGTTTTCCAGCAGCATTCGCGACTCGGTTGGCCCGGGTTGAGTTGAGCCAATCGTGGCCAGCTGATCCACGTATTGCAAAGCTGCGCGACGCCTCTCGTCCGCCTGTTGCTCTTGTTGGCGGTTGATGGCATCCTTAAAGGTGCGCATAGCATTGTACATCTGGCTACTGGCTTGTTTTGGGTGCTCCGGCTGGGACAGAATATCGGTTGCATCATCGAAGCCATCCTTGAGATCCTGGCCAGCCTCTCCGGACAGGATCGCAAAGCCCAAGGTTAATCCGCCCATCAAAGACCAAAGTCTTGACCAGTCAGCGAGTCTAAGAATCTTAGGGGTACTTGGAGGACTCACTGAACAAGCCACAGGTTGGTAAACAGGTTATCGCATGCAGTAAGATTCTTGCATGCGGCCACCAGATACTTGGCCGAGACTACACAGGCTTGAGCAAGCCTAGGGATTCTCGAGTCGGACGAATGTTTTGAATCTTCCATTGGGGCGCCGTTTAGTCCATGTCCGAGTGTAAATATCAGGAACGGGCGTGTGACTAGGGTAACCCCGAGATAGTAGAGACATGACGCGTGGAACTTGGCCAAGTTGTCTTGTCTTGCCTCGGGAGTACAAGGTAGCTGGCCAAGCTCTCCGAGAGGATGCAGGTCACGAGAGACGTCTTTACCAAAGGCCTGAAGCTTTTCCAGGATTTCCTCAGCACCTGGAATTTCCATGCGCGTGCCCTGGCGCTGTCTCTGATTGAGTTCAGCCAACACACCACATCCTTTTAGGGTGATGTTGAAACCGATGTCACGAATCTTTGTGAAATCTTGTGTCTGGTCCATGGACTGTATCTCGAGGAGCCCTCCCGTGGTTCCGACGAGGCAATTGAGCAAAGTGTCAAGAATCTGAAGGCTCTTCCAGATCTGTCGACTTTGACGTGGCGAGAGTCAGTCAATACGGCATAGAGGTCATGGCCAGCAGACTCACATGGAAGGCTTTTTTGGCTCCCCAATGTCTTCTCGAATCCCCAGTTCGTGAAATCCCAACATCATGGCGGCCTTTGACGCGATACCCAAATACATCACGGCTGTGGTTTTTCGACAGGCTCCGAGCATATAGTAAGACATGAGTATAAACAATCTGACCGTGCTGGGTCTAGCATGCTGCAGCAGGCCTTCGAAGGCAATCTTTTGGCCGTTGGCCAAGAATGCGGCGGACAGGGCCTTGTTGGACTTTCCGAGTGCTTGAGCGCCAATAGCCATGGCCACAGAGGCTGCTGCAGTATCCTCACGTCTTGACTCACAGGGCTGTGACTGTGAGTCACTGTCGGTGATTTCAATGAACTCATCCAGAGTGAGAATATCAAGAATCCCGCTGGTCTGCTTTCAATTCAGCCAGTTTCCCGTGACCGAGGGCATCGACAACTTACCACTTCAAGAAAAGACGTAAAGAGGTCACGTTTTGCCGTCTTGTCTTGGTCAAGCTGCGCAGATTCATGCTCACCATAGTCTTCTTCTTCCAGCATGCTGTCAAAACCGTTGCCTTCGCTGAAGGGGGTGGGCCCGACGTGCCGCCTGACACTCTCTCTCAGAAAGTCGAGAAAGGAAGAAATGGTGCCGGAGCCAGTGTAAACTGCACCAATCAGTTCCCGATGGAAACGGAGTTAGGATGGAACATGAACAAACCTGCTTGGCCTTGTTGGTTGCACATGGCCCCCCGGTCAGGGGAAGGATAAGCCGCTGCAGGGTTGCCCATACTGGAACCTACTGCCGATATTGGAGAGATGGCTGACGCAACCGACGGAGGCTGCTCTGATGGCAGGTCACGGGCGTCCGAAGCTCTCTTTGCGCCCTGGACCCTCGGTGGGCGGTTCTGAGTTCCATGACCTTTGTGAGGGGGGAAGCGGTTGTTCCTGAAAGGGTCCCCATAAGTGCAGGTGTCAGTCCGGCCGCGTCTAACACACGACGTGCATGGCAACTCGGAGTCGCAGCGGATCTTGGACGTTTTGCACGACAAGCAAGCTCTCGCCGAACGTTGCCGTTCCTCGACCCTCATGTGTGCCCGGGGCATTGCCAAGGTAGCTGGATCTGAATGTGGGAAAGAGAATGGAGCACGTGAAGATGGATCACATACCGACGGAATCAAAGGAAGAAGAGGATCTGGCGGGGCAGGGGAGATTCTCATCCACTTATGCGACTTGATGTTGTGTGCTCCTGAGGTACAGGTGATACAGCCCCTTGACGCCTATCTACCCGCCCATGCACGTATGGATAGATACCGTATCTGCCTGCATGAACCCCGCATTTTAGTCCGCAGGCCGCTAGAATTAGCGTCAACATGGCTCTGGGACGGTCTTGACTCGTGCCCTGTTGTTCGTTGGTGGGTGAAAGACATGAAAAACATGGCAACGAGGCAGACGAGTGGCTAGTGATTCGCGAAGCCAAGGAGGTCATCTTCTGAGACCCAGCTGTGGTAAAATTGATACCACAATCAGATGAAGGGCCAAATCTTTACATGAGGCCTTTCTTCCACGTAATCAATACAATGCTGCTGTGCCGAGCCCCTGTCCTTATCGACGTCATCCGTCAATGTTGAGAGGTCCAGGCTTGTGGATTTCCTCCGACTAAGCCAAACTAGGGCGGCGGGAAACCTCCGACCAAGGTCCGAGTTTGGCTTAGCCTAGTTGCTTCAGATAGCTCAATCTCACTCGAATGGCAGAATGAGGCAACATGTTTGCGGGGAAGTGGCGCACAGGACGGTGCAGGTGTTATCTTGTCACTGACCTGGGGCTATGCGGTCCTTTCTTTTTGTGAGGGCTCGCTGGAGTAGACCGGCAGTCCGGAATGTCGTTTTGGCGTGTACACGTTCGGCGGTTATCACAGCTGACGGGATTTGACCAACGGTTTTGTTCACTTTCCACTGCCGGGTGACCAAGTCCATGAAATCAGAATTATGAGCCTCTATGATGTAACTACTCATATTGCTCGCTCAATATTAGCAGTCGAGTTCCCGGATACCTTTAATCCGGTCAGAAAGTCTCGTGCTCTTTCATCATTGCTTACCCCTGACTGGTGAGATCAGCCCACAGAAGCAACACCCCTTAGCGGCAAAGGGAAAGGGCGCGGCCCGCCGTCCAAACTCTTGATCCGACCCAGGCGCCCTTTGCAGACTTGGTATTCTTATCAATATATCTACAATTCAGCTTCGGGGATTTGAGGAGAATAGTGTGAAAAGCCGGGCTGCCAATGAGGTTCGCGGCTGGTATCTTCCTATCTTATGCACGGGTCAGTTCCCCAACACCCAAGCTGCACTTGAAACCTATCAAGGCTGCCGCCAGAGGAAGTCAATAATTAGATGACGGTGTTTTGAGGCAATGGGTTTAGATGCCGTCATATACTAATAACTGTCTCCTTTGCTGCTATGGCTGACACTCTTTCGCGGACTCGTAAGTGAAAGCAATCACAATGAAAACTGTCAAACTCCTCTACTACTTGCTCGTTTGTTTAAAAACATGGGCTGTTCGTGAAGCCCAAACCAGCCAGATTTTCGTCGCAGCAGCCCTTCTGTGGAGCCAGGAGATAGAGGGGGAAAAGCCAGTTAAGCATTTAAGAAATGAAACGACGAGCTCAAATTGCGGAACCAAGCTAGGTAGGGCTACAATGTTACTGGTTTGTTTGCCAATTCCTCAAGAACCACTCCCACAACCCTGTCAGCTTCATTCCGGTATCATCGCCACCCGGTAACCCAGGGCATGTCCTAAACACCTTTATCTCCCCTACAGCTATGCTGTCTCATTTGTGCTACGAGGAAGGCTAATGCTTACAAGGCGCATCAAATTCCCACCCTAACACATACCCGGAGACTTGCTCATAGCTCCTCGGCAAAGATTTGGTGGTCAGTGTATCCCATAGCCTTGACTGCAATCTTGGCACTCTGGAGCACTCGAGCCTTGAGGGTCATGGAATGATGAGGTTTCTCAACTGCAGAGTGTCAGCTGGACGAATTTACTATTAGTGCAGCGTCCACCTACAATTGTTCATCACCTTGGCCCAGACACCATACGTGGCCTTGAATTCAAAGGGCTTCAGCGATCTCCAGATTTGCAAAACAACATCTGGAGCCAAAGGAATGATGTTGGGAAAACTCCTGAGAAACTGATACGAGATGATGTCGGATCGTTTTCCGGGGTCAGGGTTGTGGCCTGACGCGACGATAAAGATTGTGTCGGTCACAAAGAGGCTCGGAAGATCAGTGTTGGGAACAGCCGAATGCATTACCATGCTACCGTCAAAGTGCCCCCCACAGATGGCCGTCGTAAGGCCAGGGAGGAGTTCTGTGTACTTGTCCGTGATGATCCTGAGCTCGGCTCCTGGGGCGTCTCTGCGGTTGATCCAAATGGAATCCGGTTCCGACACGTAAACGGGACATTTGAAGGTGCGGGACCAGTCTGCCCAGGTCCTGTGTGTTGTGTCGGGCTTTGAGCTGCTGAAAGACAAAGAGGATGACTTACGTATACATGTGAGGGTGCGAGATGACGATGAACTTGAGACCACCCAGTTCATTGATCTTGTCAGGGTCAGAATGTCGCTCGTCTTAGGGGGTTATTTTTAGCAAGTCATGACTGACCTTATTGACCGTGTCCTGGTCGAGAAAGGCAATGCAATCCCACATGACGTTTCCATGAGGCGTCTGGATGAAACACGAGCCTTGTCCAATGGCAAACTATCCCGAGCAAGAGCGGTCAGACACTGAATCCAGATATCAGAGGGGATCCATTTTACCTTTGGCTCGGTCCATATCTCTACCACCTTGGAGTCATTCTCCTGCCTTTCAAAGGCATTCTTGTGCCCCTTGGCCTTGAGTTCCTTCAGTGTCGTCCACGTCTGTCCAGCTGGAGTTATGCACTGTCGAGGATCTTCGCAGATGCGGCACTCGGGAAGATTTGACGTCTCAGCGTACTGGGTACCGCAGTTGGTGCAGATGAGGAGATCATCACTTGTTTGGAGTGTCATTGTTGCTTGCAATATAAGGTCGAACTTCTGTGTTGCCTGGTTCCGGTTGATGTTGAGGTTCGAGTTCAAACAAGTAACTAAATAATAATGTTCTTGCAAATGCACCTCCACGGGAAACGACATTGTCAGGTGAAACTACTCCAACGTGAGTTCCGGCGTGAGTTGGTCGGATAGCGGGCCGGAACTAGGGCTTTTCGGCTGATCATCACCTCCCGGCCGCCCGATCCCGGCCCCGACACCCCGGAAATCCATGGCCCGTTTTTCCTTGTTTGGGGGTTGTTGCCGACACCCCCCACACGGACTTGGTCACCTTTTGACTGCCCATATCAATGCCACATTCACAAGCTAGCAGATCCAGCATTACCCCCTCCGAGTTATTGACATTTTCCCTTTCGGCACTTCCGACCATGGCATCGCACACTGAATCCGACAGCCTCCTCGTTGACACACTGTCCGGGCCAGTGGTGGGCTTCATCGACACCTTCCCGCTGTCAGAGCGCTCGACGGCTAATTCTTCAGCACCTGGAAGTCGAGCCCCTGTTTCCAAGTGGTTGGGCATGTATGTCGCACAAACCCTATTAGACGTACTGCAGCTAAAACGCAGAGACCGTATGCAAAGGCCGGCAGGTGGGAGAGACCTTCGGACCCTGACGAGTGGAAATATGTGCTAGAGTGTACCGAGTTTGGGCCATCGTTTCCTCAGGGTCCGAGTCCCTTTGACAAGTTATACAAGGACAAGGAGGGCTGGCTGTCACGCGAGTTCCTTGGCCAGTCTGAGGAAGCATTCACTGTCAACGTCTTCGCACCTTCAGGGCAAAGGGAGAATCTTCCCGTTCTAGTAGGCGAGAATAGTATCTATCATGCAGTCTACACTGGCTAATGATGATTTCTGATTGCAGGTTTGGATCTAGCAAGTTCCTCACTTCCCTGTCGCGCCTTGGCTAGAATCAGCCACTAACCCCTGTGCTAGTGGTGGAAATTTCAACACGGGCACTGCCAACGCCCCAGTCCATGATCCAACAGAGTTTGTTCGTCACCAGGCTCGGATCGGGAACCCAGTCATGGTCGTTACCAGCAACTACAGGTATTCTTCCAACGTGTTGCTACGATAATCTTCTTGCTGACATGGCGGACAGAGTTGGGATACTAGGGTTTCTTGCTACGAAAGATCTTGTTGATGTTAACGGCCACGTCGGGAACTTTGGTTTGTCACTCTCCCCAGTGCTTGTGTTCACCGCTCATTGCCAAGGTTTACACGACTGTATCAAAATGTTTGAGTGGACTCGGAAGAACATTGCCGCTTTCGGCGGCAATCCCAACAATGTCACAGCAATTGGGGAGTCAGCTGGGGCGTTTGCCATCTCTATGCTGCTGCACTCGCAGAGAAGGTTATTCCAAAAGGTTATCCTAGAGTCTGGAAGCCAAATGGTCATGGTAAGTGTCTTGAGTCAGTCAAATGCGTAGAGGCTCTAACATGTAGGCCTACGGCAGTCTCAACGCAAGGAGCCCTTTTTCCCAGTCTATGACAAACTCCTCGAATCTGTGGGTGTCGACAATGCGTCCGATGGCTCAGGGCCAAAGGAACGAGTGGAAGCTCTGAAAAGAGTGTCAGCTGAGCGTCTCGTCAATGCGACATCCCGTCTATACTTTCGAGGCATCTGGGGAATCACCAGTGATCCCAACGAACCAGGTTGGGATGTTTCAATGTGGCACCAACTTGAACGAGGTGATACGCAGTCACCGACTCACTTTTCTATACTATGAAGCTTACTGGTGCTAATAGGTCATTACGATCCATGGATTACTGCGGCCATCATTAGTATCAACAAAGACGAAGGCACAATCTTCTGCGAAAAGGGAAAGGCGAGTCTCCTCCATACCAAACCAACCATATCACTAACCAACTGGTTAGTACTGGCAAGAGTCCAGTCTTGTTGATGCTCTCCAGACAAGGGGAGTGTATAGTAAAGACATGATGAAGAGATTCAGGCAGCTGTACTCTAAAGAGATGCTGTTGCCGGACAAGTCGAGCCTTTGCACGATAGGTGGAACGCTTTTCCATCGTGAGCTCATCGCAATCTCTACCGTTGAAATATGGGCTAATAAAGCATCTAGACGACCAGACACTCCTATCTCCGCTTCACCATTTTGCCATGTCACTGACTACCGTGCCCAATAGTCTTTCAGGCCGGAAGATGAAGGTCTATGCATGCCAGTTTGAAACGATACCTCAAAGATTGTTTGAGGGCAACGAGCATTTAGGAATACTTCACACCGGAGAGATCCCCTTTGTGTTCAACACTGCATCTCTCTGGGACTACGACGAGAATCATGCAGATACCAAGACTGCTCTTGCTGTAGGAATCAGATGGTCTAGCTTTGCACAGTCAGGAGATCCAGGTAAACGCCCTTTTTCCTTTGCCTGCTGCTCTGAAACGCTTGTACAGTCACTGACAGATCTTTCTGGGCAGGCTGGCCTGCATATACAGCCAAGAGGGGAGAAATGGTTGTGGTTAAACAAGGAGGCGCATTCTTGCCTGGTAACTTGAACGAGCTGCGCAAGGAGCATCGCGAATTCTGGGAACCCGTCAATTCGGAAGCCTCTCGTGCTTTTATTTAATCAGCGGCTTGTTCTCGGGAATCAGCTGCATAGAATAGATGCCAGAGGATCAATAAAAACACCTCCTTGCAAGCAATCATATCACAATCTTACGCCGCAGTTCATTGGATCGAGGAGGGATGGCCCTTCGACGACTTGCCTGATACTTCAAGTCAAGGTCATTCTTTTCCACAGGGGGCGTTTTCTATACCAGCATTATATTCAAGACCAGTTTCTGCAAATAAAAGAGACTTGAGCATTTCACAGGTCAGTGGAATCGAGCCTTGAGCAGTAACGCTGCCACTTGTCACTTTACTCCTACAAACGGATGCATCCAGGCAATTGGCAAAGGGATCAAAGTTCAGGGTAAATCAAATTCATCAATTGCCACTTTCATCTCCTTCTAAACTTTACAATCACTCCCTCTTGTTTCCCGAACCAGTAGCTTGTAACTCTCCACTCCGGCTCATCAGACGCCCACTCAAGTGTGTATCTCCGTAATGTCTGCGGGACAACCTTGCCGATCTCCATCAAAGCAATGTTCTTGCCCATGCAAGTTCGCGTTCCATATCCAAACTGCAGCAACCGATTCTTGTTAGCCCGTTGAGGCGATTAGAAGTGACAATCTCTTGAACTCACAGTAAAGAAGGCTCGTTCCATGGCCTTTATCTGCTCCGGGTCCGAATCGATCCATCTTTCAGGACGAAACGATTCAACGTCATCACCAAATGTTGCCTTGTCTCGATGGACGACGACGGTATCCATTGCGACAATCGTGCCTCCTGGTAGGTTCACACCACAAATAGTATCGCCCGTAGGTGGAACTACTCGCTCAAAGGGGAGTACGATGGAAGGGTTCAGTCTCATTGCTTCCTTTACCACGGCTTGACTAAATAGCAGATGGGTCAGTTGTTGTTGCACGTGGTAGTACTGGAGCGGACGTACAAGTATTCTAGCTTCTGGCTCTCCTCAAAAGCGATGTACTCAGACAACTGGCCTTTTGCTTGGGCATCGTCGATTTCCTGCTGCAGCTTGAGGTACTTGTTAGGATTCTTGATCAAGTGATAAAAGACGGCTCTCAGGGCCACGGCAGTTGTGTCGCTTCCAGCTAGACTATCCAAGTGTCAGCTAAGTGTTCTCAATCAAGCTTTCGAGGATGCATACAGGTTACTAGATATGTGGGTAAAGAGCTCTCGGGGACCTAGATCAGTGTTGCCCTTATTCATCTCCCCTTTGAGCCAGGCAAGGAGGTCGGCTCGGTCTTTGCCACCCTCGACGTCGTATCTTTTCATCTCCTCGCCGGTGATCTAAGCAAATAAGCTTTATACCTTGAATATGAAATCCCATAACGTACTAACCTGGAAGATATATCCAATCGCGTTGGCACTAGGCATCAGCCATCCTAAAATGGCCGTCGTCACATCATTGCCGAGGAGCAATCTGTGCAGCTCGGGAATTAGTCCGACCAAAGCACCGTAGGTTACAACTCCTTCTGTCGCCGGAATGAGATTCCGGACGTCTTTTCGTTCTTCCATGAAGCCAAATCTTCGCTGAAACGTCAACTGGGCTATCGCATCAAAGGTAAACCTACACAACAATCAGTCAATACGACACACGCCAGGTGCAGACATCAATGGTTAACTACCACTGTAGCCAGGTTGATAGGTCGATCTTTTGGCCGGCAAGATCATCCATTGCATCAAAGAAAACATCGATGCAGTCGTGAAACATGGGCTCTAAAGCGCGCAGGGCGGAGGCAGAAAACTTTTGTGAAACTGGTACTTTCAAGCGCTTGTGTGCCTCCGAGTCCTGCTGGGTGAATAAGTTATCCAGGGTCTTTCCTTCATACCGTCCAGCCATAGCCTTGTAAAAGTCGCTCTATGCGATGCAAGTTAGAGCTTGTGTCTTGTTCTAGCTTTGGACAAACCTACCTTGGCGTATCTGCCGCTGTAGGGATACACAATGGGAAGGGCTTTGGGGTCAGAGATGTAGACATGGTTCGGCCCAACTCGGACGATTGGTCCGTATGTTTTATGCAGACGAAGCAGTTTCCGAGGTCCGTCTCCATCCGCGAAGAGAAAAAAGCGATACAACCTGGTCCAGCGTGCGAAAGCCGGGCCCGGTAAGCCCCTCAGGCCCGGCCGCAGTGCGGAGCGGATAGCATCAAAGGCCAGCAGGATGAGAAATCCAAGAAAAATATAGCCGGTAAGCTCCCAAAGTTTAGGAGCTTCCCATTTCTCGAGTTGAAAGCGTTGGAGTTGGAGCTGAAAGGTATTCAAGAAGTCTGCCATGGTCGGTGGATGGCAAGTTGGTGTACCAGAAACAAACAATGGCACCTGATACCTGGATATTGGCTAGCTAATATGAACCTTTATGTTCTACATCTCGTTCCCTTGATCTACCATATCTGATAATCTGAGGCTGTGATCTTGATCCCGGCCATCTCGGATGTTGCATGCTGCTCCGGAGGGGGATCGGCAATCGGGCCGTGACCCCAACCACCTCCACTTCAATGGCATCAACCATGATTGGGAGTGGGCCTTGAGGTGTGTGCCGCCGTAGAATTAGACACAAAAAACGGCACCGTTTTCTCAAAGGGCTTGTCCGAGCCGATAGGAACATGTCAGCCGACCCGAGAAGTGACCAGTAAAGGCGCCGCTACCACATCGACAGTCGTTACTGCTTATCTCCATCTATACCTTCTCATGTCGTTCTACAGCTCAAGTAAAACCTCAAGTCAACAAGAGAAACAACCTATTCAAAGTCTCTGTACAAGACAATGGCGTTGAATGCTACAACTCACCCCATAGCCTCAGTCCGCAAGGTACCACTCGAGACCCTTCAACTCGGTATGTAAGCTAACTCTCCATGTGCAACAGGAGCTAGAACTCGATGAACCCTTTTCTCTCCCCAAATCCCGCTCTCAGAACGACATCGTAAAAGTCTCACTCGCACACTATGGGAGGTTGGCAACAAAACGGGGCTCCATGTGCACCAACCCCCTCGAGACGCCAGAAGAGCAACACCTCAGGACCAAGGAGTCTCTGAAAGTTCCCATCTTCGGAGCCCTCATTGAAAAAGAGGGTAAAAGCTACCTCTGGGATCTAGGCATCACAAAGGTAGCCCACAGCTCAGCTTCTGTCTAGTATCACTCGCTGACTTGCTATGGGTAGGATTATAAATACTTTTCAGGTCTGCTCAAGGCGTTCCTCGACGATGTGTTTACGCCCGTCGATCTAGTTCCCACCAGTTTCGCGCCTCGTCTAGTTGATGAAGCGGGGAAGGGCCCCATCGACGCCATCTTCGTCTCTCATGCCCACTCTGATCACTTTGGAGACCCGACTGCGTTCCCTGGCGACGTGCCCATTATTTACGGTCCAGGAACCGCCGCTTGGGTGCAAAGCGGCGCCCCCAATGTTCAACTCCCTCGGGAATACCTCCAACAACATCCGATCCTGGAGGTTGGAACTGGCGCCTTGGGCAACGGTAAGAGATGGCAAAGGATTGGACCGTTTGATAAAGGTTGGGACTTTTTCGGCGATGGGTCTCTTTGGCTTATTCAGGCTCCCGGGGTGAGTTGCCATACACCTTCTGGCAGTTTCGAAGACGAACGTCGTTATGAAGCTTCACTAACGTCAAATAAAGCATTGCTTGGGCTGTCAGGTCGCCCTGTGTCGCGTCACTGCATCACCAGACACTTATATCTTGCTTGCCGGGGACGCAGCTCATAGCCAAAGCCATTACGCCCCCGTCATGGCTGGGGGCACGTATGGGTTGCTCGGTAAGATAAGGCTTCCAGGAGAACCAGAAGATGTTCCAGCTTCGCACTACGCGTATGACGATTCAGATGCCGCTTATGAAACCATCAGCAAGCTCATCAGGCTGAACCGACTGGGAAACGTCATGACGGTTGCTGCTCATGAATATGAGATGGAAGCCGTCTTGGGGATGGAGCCGGGCGATTTAAGCAAGCCACTTACTCACTGGAAAGCGACCGGGCTAAAAGAGAAGAAGGCTAGACTTCATCTACTTCCTCAGAGAATACCTCGCGCGGGTTTGTTGTGAATGAGCCCTAAAGAGCCCACTTGCAGTCTCCCTAGGCAACAGAACATTATCTAGCAAAACATGAGCCCCAGACTCAGTTCCACATAGCATCACTCTTAGACTCAGTCATAAATCCACAAGAAGGATCGTGCGTCAGCAGCATCGCCATAACGACGCGAGCAATTCAATTCATCAAAAACTTTTCTGAAATACCAATGAACTTTTCCCAAACCCGTCTAGATCCCTTTTTTGTTCCCCATTTTCATCATTCGTTTCATGTTCCCAGAATTAAGATTAAGTAATAAAGTACCGGCCAATAGACCGGTGGGGGTTGAAGCAAAAAACAAAAGGCAGTACGTGACGCGTTCACATCTTGCACTTGAGAACAAAGAAGTTGCCGATGAGCAAGCCTCTTGCGACGACGAAGGAAATACCTGCTAGCACGATCATGCCGAGGTAGAAGCAGGCAAGAAGCTGGGAGCCGAGCTTCTCTAGCATCATTCCACTCAAGGGGATGGCGAGAAGCAGGGCAACAGCGACGCACATATTAGAAGAGCCTGTGATATGGTTAGTGAAGCTCATGGATATGAGGGGATAGAACATACCAAAGTATCGTGCGTAATCTTTAGGCTCGCAAGTTTTTCCAGTACATACTGCAACACGTTAGACCTAGCACAAAGCATTGCAAATAGGATACAAACATACCTGGAGAAAGGACGTAGAAAGATCCAGAAAAGTACCCCCAGAGTGCGGTAAAGATGTACAGCAGAGTGGCCGATGAAGTGGCAAAGGGAATGAAGAGCGATGCCATCAGAATGACGATTATAACCATAGTCGTAACCATGGCATTGAAGGGTCCGACCTTGTCGCCGATGAAACCTGTCGAGAAACGGCCAACACAAGAGCACGCGCCGAGGATGGAAATAAGCATGTAACCATCCTCAGTGGAAAAGCCGGCACCCGCAGAAATGGTAGGTAGAAGACCACCGATGCCGTAGACGACAAACTCGACAATGCAGACACCAATGGAAGTGGCGACGAATTTTGGGGACTTGAAAGCGGACAGATCCAGGCTGACACCTCCCTCCTTCTTGCTGGCCGACTGGCCCTCTGTGAGTCGACGGAATGGGAGGAAGCAAACCACACCAAGTGATGTGAAGCATGCGACGATGAGGGCAACGAGCCTCATGGACCAAGCCCAACCAAGGCTCTCAAAGGTAGCTCGGAGAGTCATTGGGTAAACGATGGATCCAAGGGACGTGCCCATCACGGCAATACCCATGGCGAGGCCACGGCGACGGATAAACAGCTTGCCAACGACACTAACTGCAGTGACGGCGCCAATGCTGGTACCAATGCTTCCAAAGACACCAAGGCAGAGCATGAACTGCCAGTAAGTCTTGCACTCAGCCAAGAGCAGGAATGTAGCGGTCGAGAAGAAGGCGGCGATGGTGCTGAGAAGCTGAGGGCCGTAACGGTCCAAAACAGAACCAATTTGAAAGTTGAAGATGAGGGAAAGGAACAGATACACTCCGTTGATCCATCCGACCTCACTGGTTGAAAAGTCACTCAATTGGTTGAGGCTCAGATGGGACTGGACTGTTCCAAGGGAGTTCATAAATCCTACACCGTGTTAGTGCGAACCACCACACACATGCACAAACACTTACCATAAGAGGAGATGAGGAAAAACATGGCTGCCAAGACACAGAGCCATGCTCCAATGTCTGACTCAATGTCCTTCTTTTCCAACTCCTTTTCAGAGTCAGAGTGCGAGTTGTCAGGCTCGGAGGGGGGAGCAGAAGGCATGGCGCTCTCGAGGTCCACGGTTGGGACCTTGTCGGTGAAGAGCATTGCAGTGGGAGACTGTGGTCGCTCCATTTTATTGTAAAGGGCTATTTGTATGAACAAATTGCTGTGATGTTTGTTGCCAATTTCCAAATCCATCACCAAGAGCACCCTGTATTTATATCACCTAGACAGATGCCTCTTCTCCCCCGGTCCCACAACATCATGATTTTCATTCCCGGCCGAGAAATCAATGTCACGACCAAAAAAACAATTAAGCTTGTTGACGATCGTATCGGGAAGAATTTGGTTCCACATCTCGAGACTCTGTTGGTCCCTGAGCAGGGAAGAGTTTTGGAACCAGTCATGAAAAATCTAATAATGGCCCAAGCTCGTGCGATCGGAGCGGCCAGACCCGCTCCATTGGGCTGGCACGTTGCGAGTTCTCTGGTCAGGCGGTAGGGTGAACCCGCTGAGGGGAGTCCACCTTGTGGGCCGTGTTGCCAGAAGATGCTCTCTTGTGACTGTCAAAGGCGGAACTTCGATGGTAATAGAATCCACGAGTACGTAGTGACGTCGCTACAAGGGGCCTCGGTGAGCTCACCATGGGCTGCCAGGTACCACTCGGCGCCAGGCACAGGCACCACGGTACATGACGGAGACGGCGGAGGTTCAAGACCGCCAAGTAAGCCCCTGTCAAGGGCCGACGCCACTCCCAGTTAAATCGAATGCCGGCGATCTGGCGTTGGATCGGTGTGTGCCGCAAAGGTTTCTTCAGCCGCAAAGATACAAGGATCACTCGCCTATGACTGTTTATTTCGTGATGTTTTCTGATGGCTCAGGAACCCTCATATTCACATCATCCACTTGGGACGTACCGTAGGCCCGAGTACCAACGCCACAGACCCATGGCAATTGCGCCCCGTGCAGAGTTTTTGCTTAGCTATTTGTAAACGGTCCCCAGCACGCCATCTCCCGGATCCTTCGCTTGTCCAGAAGATCGTATTTGTGTGACAGTTCAAAACAAGGTCTGAGCATTGACCGGTCTCTTCTCCGAGCACGGAGCCACGCGGCTCAGGATCATGGATCATCGGATCAATTGAAGTGGTCAAGATCGGAGGCTCGGAGTCATTGAACCCATGTTTTTCTTTTCTTTCCAGATGGAACAAGGGACACACCGAAATACGCCAAGCTTCGAGCCAAGATTCATGGTCCAATGCGCCCCCTTGTAGACCCTGTTGGGCCAGCCCAGTAGGAATTAATTGTTCGCATCCCGCCGGCAATTTGACGGTTGGTTCCTTTTACCCACGTCGTGAAAATCTTTTTAGATGGTCTCGACTTTGCTGACTCCCGCGTAACTCGGGCATTTCGCCTGGGTCAGATTTGAAACTTGGGTTACCGCTCCTGATCATCTTGTTGCTACACACGTTGGCAGATGGGCAGGCTTTGGCGGATATCTTTGAGTGCAAGCGCTTCTTGATGCAAAAATTCGCAGTGTTTGCATTGCAGTCACGAAGGTGTAATTGTGACGGGACTGGTCATACAGCGTCCCAGTGCAACTCAGCAGCGACACGTGGAAGGCGCAAGGCATTGATGTCCTCCCATCTCGTTACATGTGGGGGTCGCAAACCTGGTGTATAATGATTAATGACCACTTTAGCCTCTCCCTTTTCCATCAGCTAACCGAAAGGTAGGTGAGAGATTGGGCAGCTTTGACAGCCCAAGATCAGGCTCAGTCTCGGATCCGCGAAAACATGGCTCTCAAGGGCGTGGTGGCTGAACTTTTAGCCAGATAGTCCTGCTCTTCTTCCCCTTTTCCAGTGCCTCTCTGCTCGATATCAAGCGCACCGTGATGCTTGATCTACACGTTAGAGCATCGACTAGACGCATTAAAGAATATTTGGGCTACTTCAAATACAAAGTCTGCTCGTAGGATTCCACACAGATCAAATTTATCAAATGCTCGCAACGAGTCGTGCCAGGTCTCGTAGTCCACGTGCTCCTAGTGCTCGTCGTGCTCGTCGTTACTGATGCAAGTGCCGACAGCCCAGGTCGAGGCATGTTCAAATCGGGTTAATATTATGTGGAGCAGCCATGCATGGACTGGGTCTGTAGCCTGTGCCATTAATTTGTTATAGCTGTTGACTTTTTATCAAGATTATCGTTATCAATCAGCTGCCGCAGGGTAGGTGGCCCTCAGATGGCGGAAGAGGGCAAGCTTTACTGGCGCCTACAAAGTCGAAGTGATCCAATCTGCAGTGGGAGGGTTATCGGAGAAATAGACGTGTTTTAATCGAGATTTTTCGCCTCAGAAAAGGATAAACCTTATCCTTCATTTTTGCGGCCTTCGAGGATGCGGCTTGTTCCAGGACGAGATGATCTCTTGCGGACACATACAAGGGCCGAATAATGTAATTCTGTCTATGGCGGGCCTTGTAACCAGACAGAAGCTATGTATGATTTCATGTAAAAAGCCGTTTGTTGAGTTTCGCGTTATGGCTGAATTTGCAGCGTGTTTCACTGTCACGTGATAGTGATAAGTGATGAGGATCGAGGGGGGTTAAATTTGCAGTGAAATTTTCATCACAGCTTAGGTGATGTGGGGGACTGTTACACGGCAATAGCACGGGTAGTGTGCCCCGTGGAGAGCTGCAGGGGCGCGGCGGGTCGAAGAAATCACCACCGCTCTCACCATACAATTTTGGTGCTGGAACCGGCGGTGTTTTTTTCGACCCGCCAGGCCCGTAAAAAGACTCAACTTTTCACTGCAATTTCTTTTTACCTACCTACTATAGTGCATAGTAATAAAGATGAAGGTGCATTGAATTGATAGTACGTTACTTCTATTATAGCATATACCTATGTGACTGACAAATGTTCATAGGTTAGACTTCCTTATATGTTTTCACAGCGCCCCCTTCACTACTTGTCTAGATCTCGAGGACAGAGACTCTGGCTGGATGGGATTTGCACAAGCTTTAATGATTTCTGCGGTTAGCCCTGTTACTATATTAAATTCAACACCAAAATTAGACAAAGTAATAAAAATAGGTCCATTTAGCATGAATCAAAGGTAAATTTAATTTAACCAACTCAAGAACCTAACGTTTGGCTGTTACCTTTTTTCCACGGTTATCCTATCTCCAATCGTCGCAGGCTCATATACAGCGATCTTACAATCCATTACAAATTGTGGTAGACAGAAGTTATTTACCCTTGCGTGATGGTGATATCCGGCGGCAGACCTACTCGCCCTTGAGACCCAAGTTCCAACCCTCCAGCTCTGCGGTACTGTTGAATGCGGCCAGGTCAACGTAGTGAACCTGACGCTGACCTCCTCGACCAAACTCCTCTCCAGTAATATTCAGCAGAGCCAAAGAAGTCGTTGATGTCTTGGATGCGAGAAGCCCCGAGAATTTCTTGTCGATCAGGTTGAAAATCTCCTCCGGGGTGTAAAAGTCCTCTCCCTTTGACTCGATCTCATCTTTGAAGAATTTGACGTAATCACTGGAATGCTTCAGGTCGACTTTAGGCCCAAAGCCTTTCAGTGTCAAAGAATGTCCGAGAATGATTCTCTTCGGGGACAGACTTTCAACAAAGTGAAGTGTAGATAGCCAAGCCTCCGACAGGGTAGGGGAGAGTAGGTCGGCTAACCAGAGGTGAACTGTATGGCTGTAGACCGCGTCGCCAGCGATGAATGTAGAAATTGAAGGAATCCAGAAGAGTGTCTCATCTATGGTGTCAGCAACAAGAGGGCTGATGAGATGAATTGTGGTGGACTCGTCGCCGGGGAGCGTGAAGAAGGTAAAGTCGTAAGGAATCGGGATCACAGCTTTGTCGGCGACGGCGTCAGGCCCTAGAATACCCTTCCAGGTTGCAATCTGTGAAAGTAAGTTAGCGATCAACGACCACAAAGGATCCCTAGCACTGAATCCAACCTTTTGTTTAACCTCGTTCTCAATCAACGCAACTGCCCTGGAGTTGGCATAGAGCTTAGTCTCGGGGAACCGAGCGAGGAAAGCAGCCCCGCTAAGGTAATGATCAGGGTGGAAATGAGTTGAGAATGCTGCGACTAGGGGCTTGTCGGTAGTGTTCGCCAACCAATCCGCCAAAGCGACGGCCTGCGGAACTGCAAGAGGCAGATCAATGATCATTCCAGCCTCTGAGCCGATGACCAGAGATGACACCATATTTAGCGATGGACCTGGATTGATAAGTTCTCGACACGGAGCTTGGGTTTGCAGGTTGCCGAGGCAGCACCCAAGCAAGCCATGGCGAATAAAGTGAATTGCATCATGATGAAATGAGAAGATGAGAGATGTACTGAGATGGATGCTGCTTGTATTCAAAGCTGTTTCTTGCAGGGGGATATCCTTGAGTTTAATAACACTCCAGTAGTCGGAGATCTTACCTGTACAGCCCGAAATTTCATGAGTTTGTGAACTTTGAAAACATATCGGCATTGGGTGGGATGTCGTGAGGTGGGATCTTGAGGCGGGATGCTGATGTCACACTACAGTAAGTGGGATGGTACTGGTACCAGCGCCCCGGAAAGTTCGGTTTATGGTGGGATAATGACAGGCTAGAATATTACAAGATGTTCAGTAAGGATTTATTTCATTAGCAGGTCTGCTTTTTACCACCTATGATATTCGCCATGGACATGGACGGCCCGATTTACGTCGAGGTTAAGCAGGACGCCGCTCGCGACGCCAGTCAGTCGGATGTCCCGAACCTTGCAGGATCTTTGAATCGTCAAATCTAGAAGGGCGCGCTCATCAAAGGTTGCGCTGTATGTTCAGTAATCTCTCTCGGCCTGCTTGCTTTGAGGTTGGTGCCAACCACTAACCACCACGGAAACCTCCGTCGGGCCGACCCTCCCCAGCACGTACGCCTCGATTACAGCACCCAAATTATCATCATGTCCCTTTTCATGTACGCGTGTGGACTGGGTTCTGGGGCCTATTTCAATCCCCTGATCAGCTTGGCCACGCGCGCAGCTCGACTCTTGAGCCTCCCGAGGATCGTGTAATGTATTACCAATTTACTAGCCGGTGCGATGGGACCGTGGCATCGAATGACGCTATTAAGTAGTTTAACCTTATCTACAAGTACAGCAATATTTCGATGCGATGGTCACACCATTAAGAGCCGCCACCGATTTCCCCTGTCGAAACTCAACTGCTGAGCTAGGCTCCGGTTGGCTGCGTCAAAAGCTGCTATGCAACCACCTTCCATCTTGCGATGGCAACTTTTTCAAGATGAGTAGGCAGATAGGCAAGTTAATCCCTTGAGTTTCGCCGGAGCGATGAGACGCTACCTCGTCGTTGGCATGGAAAAAGACCTCGGCTGTCTTTGGACGACCTACCCGAATTGACCATTGTCACACAGCCTCGTCAAACACCAAAAACTTAAGAAATTTCAGGGCTAACAGTGATTATTTACTGGCTGATGTGAGATGGAATGCACGTTTGTTCGTTTATGTCCGTATCCCTCTGATGAAGGAATGGCGGGTGATTTAGGGGCGCATGCAAGGGCCTTGAAGCCCACTACGAGTCACTGATGCTTTACATGAGTTAAGCCATGACTGCTCGTTGGGCCTTATACTATGAGGGTAGTTGAGGGGGGTGGGGCCAAGCATCCAAGCTCACAGAATAAGTTACTCGTGAGACTGATTTGGGTATTGGTGGATAACATCGTATGGACGTAGGAGGGCTGAGGCCGCTCATTTTAGGAGGCAATTCCCGCCTGGACGGCCAAGCCGACATCAACAAGCTTTGGCGTGTGGTGATGGGTATCGTGAGCGATCTACAAACGCTTTGAGGGCGCAAGAATTCATCCCCATGCGAGCGTTGGGACTAATTTCAGTATGTAAATTTTCGACCCCGATAATGGCAGCAATGTGAAGGAGGGGCTCGCATATTGTTGTGGCACGGCAAATTTACCACCGTCAATTCCGTGCGGATCTTCACTGAAACTCGATTCATCCCCCAGCTTTTAGAACGAGCTGGAGGAGCGGTGAGCTAATTCTGCACTGCAAATTTAACCACCCTCGAGGCACATATAGATGCGGTTACAGAACCGTAACAGAGCGTGACTGTATGTTTAATTCCCTTTGATGTGAGGCCATCTTGACTTAAAATCTCACCAACATAACCTCTAACCCAGGAAGGGCATAGTGTGGCTGTGTCACCCTTCGCCCGGGCGAAGTGCGCACAGCGCGGAATCCCGCCCGACCTGTTCACTGCAAATTTAACCTCCTTCGGTGCTCATGGCTAGACAGCAACTTTCTCCTGTCACGTGATGGTGGCGCGGTGATTGTCTTGGGATCGAGGGGGGTTAAATTTGCAGTGCAACTACGCTACCAAGTCACCAAAAAATTATAAAAAGGAGACACCCCGTCCGAGAAACACCATATGCTGTGGGTGCCTGAGGCAACAAGACCCAGAGCAGCCTTGGGTAGGCACGAAGTAGTGAGCACACACACATCACATTTCACACACTCGGGCAGGAGTTGCTAACACTGCAACCACCAAACCCCCCATCTCAAGAAGTCTTGAGCAACTTCTCAAGATAGCTAGATCAGTCTGTGTAGACCAAATAAGAAATATACCTAATTGAATCATGATCCCCAAATCTTGAGACTCCTTTACTGCCTGTGTTAAAAAAAGACCTCGGCTCTCCTTACCAACCCCCAATTACCCCTGTAATGCAGCCCTGCCACAATTCAAACAATCACGCATCACCGTTTTATCAGATGAAGCAGCAAGCGCGCTGAATCAAGAACATTCTCCGCTTCGCCTTGTGGGCGTCTTCTCTAACCCCCGCATTACCGAGCGGCATGTTCCGCATCACAGCCGCAACCGCCTGTTTCGAGGGCGGATGTTGGTGGTGCCGACCTTGGCACGTCTCGACTGTCGTCTCAAGCTTACCGGTCAAGCTTAAATTCGGTCGCGATGTAACGCTGTGGAGGAAATGGTCAAACCGCCAAAGGTTAGAGGAGCCACCCCTTGTCACTCTGTTCCTGAATTGCGCGACCTCGTGGCGATTGTTTTTATTCCCGGTTAAAGACAAAAGTTCCTTTCATCTCTTCTTTTTTTTTCTTCGATTAACTTTGACTTTCTGTGTCCTTGTTCAATCCAACAGCCCTGGTGGCATTCTTTTCTCCGCCCAGGTGGCCTCTAATTTGTCTTAATTATTATTCTACTACCGTCAATCATGTCGATCGCATCTTGCCCCGTTTCTGGCTCGGCTGGTGGACAATGTCCCGTCAGTGGAACTTCACGCGCAGGTCAAATGCGCCGCGGATGCGCATTCTCAGGCATGGCGCAGCCTGGGGACATCCACGCCGCATTCGATGTATGTTTCGTCGAAACACTTACAAAGCAATTGCTAATCTTCTAGATTCCACGTGGCGTTGATGCTGAAGATTGGCTTCGCACAAGGTGAGTTACATCAACTTAACTAATAGACCCAAGCCAACACATCAACCAGGGAACAAAAGTCAATCAATGAACTGCTCTACACCAGCTACCCCTCCCGAAAGGAAGTCGATGGAGTCAAGAACCAGCTGGAACTCGACAACATGAACGCCGACGACCACCATCTTCTCGCCGTCGCCCTCGGAGCCCCAGCACGCCAAGTAATGCGACGCGCAGAGGAGATTGGACCCCAGACTGGATGGCGCGATGGATATCTCAGCGTCGAACACGGCTTCTGTCCTCCCGACTATGAGGAACCCGTCAGTGCTCTTGCGAGGTCACCAGGAAGGATATGGTCCGATTTGTGTGAGCGCATGCCGGGATGTTGCGCTCGAGGAAGAGTGAGGGAAGCGGTTGCTGCGCTGCCTCTGGTTGAAGGAACAGAAGAGTTCATTCCCGATCAAGCGCTTTGGGCTGCGGTTGTAGCTCTCGGTATGCTCTGTTCCATCTACCGATTCGAAGACAAGCACGACGGAAAGGATGGAGTCGCGATTCAAACCAGCACATCGACCAGGCCCCAATGTCCTATGGGTGATGATCTCTGCGAGGAACTGGTGGGTATTCCTCTCTGCATCGCTCTCCCATACTTCCAGATTTCACGAAGAATGGGCAGGATCTTGCCCCATCTCTCGTTTCCCGATCAGGCCTCATACAACCTCAAGATTCGAGACCCCAAGTCCAACTATCCGTATCTTGCAAGGTTCGAAAACACGGACCTCAGATGGCCAATGTTTGGAGAGAGAGCTGAGGTGGCGTTTCTTAAAGGATGCGCCGATACATCTGGTGAGTGCATAGGTTCCGACATAATACCACTACTAACGAGTTCCGAATAGCGTCGTTTCAACATGGCCCAGATGCAATTGCCGCGTGTCAAGAGCACGTCATGACCGGCAACATTGAGGGCCTTCTCCACGAGATGATCCGCCTCAAGGAGATTCTCGAGAGGATGCCCAATGCTTTCCACAGCATCTCGCCAAACCCCAATGCGGGAGACAACTACGTCTCTGCTGATCGATGGGTCAGATGGGGACTCTTTTCTGCGCCCTTGTCTAGGCGATGTCCGGCGGCTTCTGGTCTGCAGTTTCCCCCATACCTGATGATGGATGCATTCTTGGGCCGAAAGACGTAAGCCAACTCTGATTATTAACCTTGAAACCAACACTGACATACTTGTGCAGACACACATCCTTCCTCGGCGTCGAGGCCGTCCATCTCAGAGCATGGCTCCCCTCCAACCACCGCGCCTTTATCGCCGCTATCCAATATCACTACTCCATCCCCGAGTTCGTCCAAAGATCCGGTGATCCCCGTCTCATGGGCGTCCTCGAGGGCATAGTCGAAGCTTACGCCGGTGAACGCGGCTTCATGGGAGTCCACCGATACAAGGTTTTCGGCATCCTCGAAATCGCAGGCAAGACGGGACGCACGGCGACAAATGGTCTTTCTGGGGCTGCTGATGCGACGAGACCTTGGGAAGAGACTCATAAACAGTTCTCGGAGGCTATGAAGGAGCGACTTGAACCCTTTCGCGGAAAGCTCGATATCGAGCCTCATTCCATGCGTGGCACTTTCCAGGAGTGTCGATACGTGACCAAAGTGGCTGGTTGCTCTGCCATCGATAAAGATCCAAGCCGTTCGACTGCTCTGGTCACTCTTGATATCAGAGACACCGGTATCACCTTTGCACCTGGAGATCGCGTCGCTGTCATGCCTCTCAACAGCTGGGAAGAGTGCGCAAAGATGGTGGCAGCACTGGGCCTTGATCAGCATCTCGAAGAGCCAGTCGACACCACTGGCATGTGGTCACGGTTCGAACAACATTTGTCTTCTGTGAAGAGAAGCGCTCACAGACAACTGACGGTCATCGACATTCTCCGACGTGGTCACTTGGCTCCCATCACCAAAGAGCTAGCTGTCAAGGTGCATGAGTTGCTGCATGCTTCGTCCAATACGGTTCTGCAAATTCTAGCGACTGAAGAGTGGCCTGTTGGTGGTTCTCTGGGCGATCTTCTCCAGAAAGCCATCACAGACACACCGCCCCAAATCTGGGACAAGGCCTTTAGTCTCGACAACCTGGATTGGCTGGCCGAGCTTGTGCAGCTCGAAGTTCCTCGCACCTACTCCATCTCCAGCCACACCAACGAGTTGCTCCCAAACACAGTCGACTTGACCATTTCTCGCGCCGAGTACAAACTCTGCTCCATGTTTTCTCAAGGACAACATATTGCTCGGGCTGGCGTGTCGAGTGGCTTCTTCAATCCTCACCCGTCATCAGCCGAGAGCTCGATCCTGTCAGACGATGTCTTGCTCGGCGTGTCGAGGCCGGTTGCTTTCCAGCTACCCATCGATCATATGGCCCCCTGTGCATTCTTCGCCGGCGGTAGCGGTATCGCCCCCTTCCGAAGTTTCTGGCAGCACAGACTTCAAACCTCTGGTTTGTCCGGAGGCCGTAATCTGTTGTACCTCGGAGTTCAGTCTCGTGAGAGATTCTGCTACGAGAGTGAGCTTCGAAAGTTGGTCAACATGGGATTCATGGAGGTGCATCTTGCTTTCTCGCGTGATCCTCGGGGTCTAGCATACGATGATATCCTCCGAGATCTCGTGGAGAAGGAGACGCCTCCCCGCTACATCGACTCTTTGATCATCGAGCAAGGTGCGACAGTCTGCGACATGGTCATGTCCAAGAAGCAGGGCGGTCTCGGAGGCTACCTCTACGTCTGTGGCTCAGTATCAGTTTTTGACTCTGTTATGAGCGGCATTCGCAAGGCCATGTACACCTACCGCACTGCCACAATGGAGACTGTCGACCTCATCATCAACAAGGCATTTGCAGAGCGACGATTCATGCTCGACGTTTTCATGTCCCCCAAGGCCCTCCCCTGCAACCTCCCCACCATCTCCCTCTCCAACCTGGCTCTTCATACTGGCCATCGCCCAGGATCTCGCATGTGGATCGCCGTTCATGGAAGTGTCTACGATGTGACCGACTTCTGCCCTATGCACCCTGGAGGAACCCTCATCATCAAGTCGAATGCCGGTGTGGACTGCACCAAGTCGTTCGACAATCTCGCGCACACCAACAATCCCGAGGTATCGAGTCTCCTGACAAGGTACTTCATCGGTCACTTGTCTCCCAAGCCCGATTACCACGGCGACACTGAACTATCGACCCTTCATGATCTTTGGTCAGCTTACCTACGAGTCACCGTCGAGACCCTCGTGGCCCACCAATTCGAGATGCACGAGATCATGGGAGCTTCGATCGACTCGCCATCTGCTCATGACCCCAACGGCATCACCAACATCTGGCTTCGCGAGGGTCTTCCCAACATCATTGCTCTCCGAACCTTTTACGGCTACCAAAGCCGTCTCTTGCAAGGCGGCTTCGCAGCTCTCTTCGGACCCAAGTTGGAGGAGCTCGTCCTTCGTCTCTCCTTCAGCTTTGCCAGCGCCGGTGGACCGGGAGCTGCATACAAGCTACCTGACATCCTTGGCACGATTGCTCGAGCCAAGACAAGTCAAGACGCAGCTCACAGCACGAAGGAGATCAGTTCCCTCGGAGACTTCATCTGCGATCCAAGCTCTGAGTTGCGTTTCCAAGAGCGGGGAGTCTTTTCCTACGCCACGAAGAGTGTGCAGCTTGACATTGAACTTCTGGAGAATCTCCGACAAGAAGCTTGTAACGGCATGGACGCTTTTGAGAGCATCGCTTCGGTGCTTGACTCTCCCGACAAGTTTGATGCTGATTCCACTCCTATCGCTGCTTTGTCTGCCTTCCTCCTGCAGACTCTGGAGAGAATGGCGCATCGCTTATCCATGTACTACGCACAATTGGCTCGCCTCTCTGTTTACCAGCCTGAGCTTGAGCACAACCCTGCCCGTACGCGATGGGCTTTTGTCAGACGATGCATCCGCGATGGCACATTTTTCGTCCTCACTCAAGCTGTCGACACTGAGGCTTTGATGGATGGACAGTCAAACGCGTACTACATGTCTGGGAAGTCGAGACAGAAGACTCACTTTGAGAACATTCTTTCACAAGTCAACGAAAGAATTAATTCATCTTCTGTGGAGGAACCTTCAAAGACATTGCAGCCAACTTCAGTCAACGCGATTCATCACGAGAGGGGAAGAACCGTCACCAAGGACACGACCGTCGCCTCAGCTGCATCTCGTCTGAATGTCGGAGCGATTGCGAGCATGGAAAGCTTCATGAAGAAGAACAAGACAGAAATCCGGCGTCTTAGCACCATGCCAAGTCCTTTCCAACTGGAGCATCTCCAGAAGGCACTCTCTTCGATGAACACCAACGCTCTGGCTCCCGGCCACGGGGTGTCCGTGGGTAAGATGCCTGGATACGACAGTCTCATGTCTCTGGCCTCTCGGACAACTGGCTCTTCTAGAAAGAGCTCATTCAGCGCCGCTTCCAGCGCAGGCTCTCTAACGCCATACCCCAACATGCAAGGCCCACCAACACCGCCCAGCGATGCAAACATGGCGTTGCAAATGAAGCTAGTGGGACTAAACAGAAGGCAGCGCACTCAATCCACGACGTCCATGCACAACTTCACGTCGGCCTCTGAGGTGAGGGATTCGAGGAGGAATAGGTCTGTCTCGGGCACTAGAAATGCCTCAAGGGGGCGGTCGTTGGACCACGGACATGGGAGGGAACCGTCGGCTAGTAGGTTGTTGGCGTTCAAGTTGGGTGCTTTGGCTGAGCAAAAACGATCGATGACAGCCCCAACATTCTAGGCGAGCAGTTTGTAGTATAATACACATACACGGTGCGCTGGCCGTACCATAGATTCAAGTTTTCTGATGCCGTGAGATGCTCAACTTTCCACCATGGCACAGCTTCCGGAAAACCTGCGGAAGTGACCCATTTATCGATCTTCTGGCTCCATGAAACCATCATGGGCCGGGCTACAACTATAATAAAGAGCAGATTGTCAACACATCATAGCATCATGTCCCGATACTAACACAGTGGCCGACCGGTTTATCAATACTAGGAATGCTGACATCTTTCAAATTACAAAAGTGTGTGATTTCCGAGGCGCCCAATAAGGCTCTTCACCCCAAGCCCTGGTGGCTGATCTAAAGCTGCTCTGTAACCACAATTGCTGGCTCAGCCACCCTTGGGCAGATTCGATGGGCTAGGCGAATTCATTGGCCTATTTAAAAGGCTCTTCGCCTCCAAGTCTTGAGAAATGTACATACCTTTCCGACCCTCACATCTGGCCATCCTTTATCGACGTTCGTGATGACCTCGGAAAACCCCGACAAAGATTCACCATTGGAGGAAACTTCCAAGGCCCCTTGGCCAGACCAAGTCCAGGGTACAATAAGGATACAGATTGAACTCTACTAGCCACTGGGCTTTGCTGAATGGTACCTCACCAGGTTTCCCCGCTGAAAGTGCCACTCTTTCCCGTTTACGACGACGACGCTGGATGCCAGGTTTCCCCGCTAGGAGAGCCCCTCGTTTCCCTTTCCTCCAACGCTGGATGCGATCCTCTCTTAGAGGGCCCTCTAAGGACCAAGAGTCCCAATATCAAGCACAAGGGCTTCTAGATGCCCAAGCGGACGAGAGTGCCAGAGATTTTCTTCATTTTGAAACTGCGCCACCCAGCGTTGCCAGGGTCTTCGAAGACATTGAAGACAGGATCAGCGAATTTCAGACCCAGCAATCCAAGAGACAGACAACCGACAAGGCAGTTGAGGATGAGGCCCTCGAATACACCAGATTTCTATTCGATGAAGACGGTGCGTATACTCGTGTTCTAGACGGCGACGAAGAGATCAGGAGACAAGTATTTTGGCAAGAAAAGCGCAAACAGCTCGACATGGCTCAAGATGAGTCCATCGGTCACCCTGCCAAGACGGCGCGCATTGCCTCGACCGACCTGGATCAAGTGATTACAAAACCAAGCCCGGATTCGACCAGCCAACCGAAATCATCCGATCCCTACGACCCTCAAACGTCATTTGCTCTCCAGCTCAGAGAACTTGTCAAGGAGTATTCTGAACGTATGGGACACTCAGATGACTTACAACAGATCCAAGATGTGGCATCAGAGATTTTATACTCTCGCCCAAGCAGGATCAAGGTTTTGAGCGAGGCAACGAGCTCTGGATCTCGGGTTAAATTTTTGAGTCGTTTGCGTTCTTTTTGCTTGTTTTATTTCATGATTTGTCTGTTAATAATTCTCGTCGTTCGATGTCCATGGCCAGTGGCCATTTTTACTTTTCTCGTTCCTCTTTCAGTATTCACAGAGGTGGTTTTATCTGTTCCCATGCTTCTTGGACTTTTGCTCTACTATGACACCATTATCGGGTTTCTTAAGAACAAGATGGTTTTCTTGACCTGGAAATGTGTAAGGGCGCCGCCGGAGGATTTCGAAGGGGTCGCTACTAACTTTGAGATAAGGTCTGCCAGGACACGCGTATAGCAGCTGTCCCTAAGTCGTTCGCCCAACGTCTGGTGGAAATTCGAGAAACAACCTTGGCTGTATCGCCAACATCAACCCCTCCAGCATCGGCCGCTCTTAGTTCCTTCTCCATACCTACCAGCTCTCTAGGCTACCAGAACAATCTGCAGGCCCAGTCTAACGGCGGCTTCCAGCCTTTCTACCAACAAGGTCCAGTACCGACGCGAAAGAATGCCGCCTTGACCGATACCGTTCCCGCTGCCATATCTATTCCAGTGACGTGCAGATATGTTCTCTTCATGGTTGACAAGGATGGACTTTGTCTTCGCACAATCGAATCTCAGTCGCTGTCTAACGAGCAGCTCTTTGACAGAATGCAGCTGGAATACCGCACGTTGAAAGGGTGGTTTAGGACATGGTTCGGGTTGTGGATATTCTCGCACTGCGACTTTTACAAGGCGAGTTCAAATTGCCCTATATCTTGATTGGATTTTCTAACATTTTCCATTAGTTTGAGGCATGGACGAGGGAGCGATATTGTGAAAGGGGGCGCGGCATCCCTCCACTGTCGGAAACTGGATATTTCTACATGCCTAGACCCATGGACAACGAACCGCCGATTTCCAAGCACGAGTTTTACGACCGCTTCTACAAAAGAATCACGCCTGAGCAGCTCAGGGCAGTTCATGGCAGGTTTTACAATGACCATGACGCCGTTGATCGGATCCCTCAGAAAAAGGGTCTCAACGACATCGTCGCCAACGGTCGGCCACAGTTTTGGGGGATCATCGCCCGGGAGAAGAAGTCTGGCAGGAGGATGCTCATCTACATCCTCATTTCTTCCTTACCTGGCTTCATATTTTTCTTCTTGTGGTTGTTTGTTTTGGACAAGGATAGTTTGCAAGATGCCTCAACTTTGCTCTTGATTTCTTTCACGTTGCTCGGTATCCTCTACGCGGCACAACTGCTTTAGTATAGATAAATTGCAACTCCCTTATTATTCTTCACTCTGGGAGCATAACCTTGAAGTGTTCATTCCGATCAACCCTCCGAATGGCCCAGCATAGTACCGGTGATGGCCTGCATTAATGAGACGTCCTTGCGGCTCCTTCTCTTGACGAGAGTTGTCCGAAACAGTACGCTATAAAATGCACTCTAATAAAAGACTCGGAACATAAATGTTAACCTGAAAGTCAGATTATGAATAGTACCAAGACAACAACACACTCTACCTAGCCGACAGGTACGGTTGCCTGCTGTCATGACCAAAAGAGGGGAAAAAGGGCCGCGGCCGTAAGTCGGGCCGCACAATCGGACCGCGGGCTACCTGCATAGCATCAATGAGGTCATCTAGAGCCGGCGCAGCTAACTAGCTGTCATAGAGCTGAGAAAGAGAAGGAGTTAGAAGCTGAGAGAAGCGGGTTGGAGGCCTCTGAAAGAGGTATATTAAGGCCTGAAGGCCCCTGGAGATAGAAGGGCAAGAATCAACAGACTTAATCATCTCCCCTAAGCTAGTTATCTGCTACTAAGCAGCTGCCTTTGTCACTCTTCTTGATTGATCCCTTTTGCCACTGACACCTGCATGTCATTGATGCCTTCCTTGGAGAAGGTACCGTCGTCAATATTCCGGTCCCTTACGTTCTGATTCATAAAGCTGTCAAGAATGGGTACCGTCTAGTCGTTTGGTGGCTTCGTGGGTCTGGTGCCAATCCTGGTCCGCGAGATTAAAATGGCAGATATTTGTCATGGACCATGGCTGATCCAGGTGTTGCTTGACGAGGACATTGATACACACATCATTTGGAGGAAGGAGGACTTAAGAACATGTCACTTGTTTTTCAAATCGATCTACTGTAAAATGTATCTTCAAACAGCAAATAGGAGTAATAAAGCTAGATAAGAGCTGGATCAATCTTCATCCATACCCTCACCATACGATTCCTCCTCACTAACATAAGCACCCTCGTCGAACTCCTCGCAGCCACTGTACTCGGCCATTTGCGATTGATGAGCTTCCCTGTCAGATCTCAAACACATCGTTGTTGACCGATGTCCTTGAGCCAACGGAGGAGGTTGGGCATCAAACTGGTCTTCCCGACTCTGAAGAATAAGGTCCGTGTCAACGGTTGCAAATAGCAACGGCTTCCGAGTTGTGATGTATCCGAACCAGGCTATATCCTCAGAGGACCTGCGTGAATCGACTATCCGTCGCGCTGGCAGGATGAGGCGGTCCGGATGCTCTGCTGGTTCATCTGCCATCTCGCCAGAAAACTGGAAATCTCGAGCCCTCCAGGACCTCAGACCACCGCCGCCGGCATCTGGATTAGAGAAGTAGTATACTGCTTCGCTGGGAATACTCTCCAGCCAGAAAAACGGCAGACCTTCCTGCGAGATGGGGCCGACGCAAGCCGGTGACCGCCCACGCAAGTATTCATGAGCCCGACAATATTTGACAATGGGTCTGTTGGCCTTTTTCGCCACAAAGTATTTGAGCTCTGATCCATCACGAATCCCGACGTACATGCAAGTTGCCTGGATCGTTTCATGTACAGTCTTGAGGTCCTCCTTCCACGCCTCCAGAGTCTTTGGATCCTCCCTCCACGCCTCCAAAGTCTTTGAATCCTTATTCCACGTCTCCAGAGTCGCGTGACCCCAAGTAGGCATTGTGACATCCTCAGTATCATCAAACTTGATGTTGAGGGGAGAAGAGGAGAGGTCTGTTGCTGGCCAAAGCTCCAAACTCTCGATCAATGCTTCCCCAATGAGGAGCAGCTCGTCCAGTGGTCTCCTTTGACGCATCATCAGGGTCATCGTGTTGCGAAATACATCGTCCACCTTGACTTTGTCATTGTATTTGACCAGTGCAGGGTCTGTGTCATCTGCCAACGATAGGAGGCCGTAAACGCGGTCTCGCTTATCTTGACAATCTGGCTCGGCGAATGCTCGTAGCAGTGATGCAAGCGATAAAGATTCGTCCTTGGGGCGCTTTCCAGAGTGTCTATCCTCGAAACGCATGTATCGCCACCAAAAGTACCGCCATCCTGGGAGGTCATGCAGTTTCTCAGTACCGTCGGCAGACCCAATAAACAATGCAATTTTATGGGCTCCAGTTTGAAAGTTTCCAAAAAATAATGTCGGATCACCGCCCAGGATAAACTCTTGGCCAATCCATAGCCGTGTCCAGTACCGAGCATTGAGGATGTTTGACAGCGGTTCCAGCCAAAGCTCTTCAGGAGTATGTAATTCTAACCTGTCATGAGGACCTGGACCTCTGGCGCTAAAGGACGTGATTAGAAGATTGTTTATATATGTTCGTTTGGGTCCTTACCGGCAGGCTTCCTCCCATCTCCCACTATCTTTTCCAAAGCATGGATAGTCGGTTTGTCGATCAACTCACTGAGCCAAACAAACACTTTCTTGGCCTGATCGTAAGTCAGGCCCATTTGTCTGACTTGTTGCTCTATCTCGGGCACGTCGCCTTGGTTGATACATAAGGCATCGATCTAAAGCCAGTCGGTGACATTTGCGTCGCGAGCAGCACTAAGAAAGTCTCCTAGGTTTTTGGCGACAGTTTTCACCCCTTCGTTGATATCTTCCCCTTCGATGTAGATGGGTCGTCCAGGCTCTTTCGGGTCCCATGTGTAGGACAGGCAGCTATAAGAGGATTCAGACCTGCTTGTGGGCCTCTCCATGTGTTTCATCACACATTGGATTGGCTCTCCGCCTTCTGGTTTGATCTGAATTACTCGAATATGTGTCGATGCTTTGTCATGGCCGAACGGCCTGTAAGAGAACGTGCGGGAGGTTTGTGGCACCGACATCCTAACCTTTTTCCTTGGCACAAAATGGTAAGGCAAAGAAAGGTAGGCAGAACAACAATTAGGAAAAGAGCGTTGAAAATGAAAGACAACAGAATAGTTGATCTGGTATATGTGGTTGAGGTAGGGATAGCGTGACAAGAAAGAAAGAGGAAAGGGGCCATTATGTGGATGGACACTCGCAGCCTCGTTTACAGCATCACTATAATCGGGCGAAGCGTTTGACTTGACGTGTCATTTACTTAGGCACCTGTTTGAAAATTTACACCCAATAAGAGGCTGTGGTTTCCCTGCCCTGTTTTCTCAATGCTTGTTGCGCGAGAACTTCCTGATTCAGGGTCGCTTATGCAGCCACTTGCCTCGCGAGCTTCAGCCCAACCGCCTCAGAATCCCTCGTATTATTCAGCGTCACATACAGAGTTGCCATGCATGTGGGCGTGGCTCGAATCAACCGGGCATATCAGTCGTCCCGCACCCAGTCTCACCAACGTCGGGCGTTTGGTCTGCTGCAAGTTTCTTTCAGCTCCCCTCTCTGCATGTTTACATTGCTGACGGTCGCTTAGACGAGCAGACTCGGCATTCTTGGCCTGCATGCGGGTGAGGTGCTGGTTAGAGGCTCCAGGGCTTTGTCACTGGAGACCAGGAAATTGTTTTCGGAGTACCTACCTGCAACTCACCCACGAACAAATCATCTCTGAGAGAGGCCATACACCACAATAAGAACTCACATGCCCATTAATGCCGTATCGACTCAACGCATCGGTTAGAGCCTATGGGTTTCTTGTCCCCCGCTAACGCCTGTTCATTGGCCTGATGCAAGCTAGAGCCATATTGTTAGAGACCTAACTGCGGGAAAGCTCTGGGATGGCCAATCGGGCATTGAAAAGCAGAGGCTAGCAAGGGTGCGAAAACCCAGAGGCTCTAATCAATCTATTAGGTCGATACGGTACATAATAGCATTAAAACCGCATATATGTCTATGGATCGTGGCGCCGTTGCCGCTATTCCTGATTTGGAACGGGAATGCCCTCAAGCTGCTACCCCGTCTCAAACTCGAGGCTCCACATTTCAAAACATGGAGAGAGGAATACGATGAGAGATAGTCTTGTCTATTACATTATGGAATCCTTTACAGTTTATTTCTAAGCACAAATGGCATCCACGGCCTTCTCGATAAACTCCTGGTTGGTGTCCTTCTTCATGTCATCCTTTGCAATCTTTTTGAGATCCTCCATTCGGAGATACTCATCCAGGCCAATCTCCTCCCTAAGATAAGGGTTGAAACGGATATACTTCGTTTCCCTATGCTCATCGCGTTGGTTGAGATGTGTCATGTGTCGCGAAAAGTCCTTGCCCTTGGCGTTTGTGTTGGTCGCAAAGTCCATCACCTTGGAAGCAACTCCAACAAGCTTGAACCAGGACTTCTTTGCCTTCGCAGGGTTCACATAGCCTGTGCCCAAGCTGATAACACATGAAATTGCAGGGGCAGCGTCCTTGGGGTCAACGAGCTCAAACCGCGTGTACCACAGTTGGTCGATGGGGTTGTTGTTAAGAAGACCGCCGTCCCAGAAGACCAACTCGGGGTTGGTTTCGGGGAATTTTACTTCGGGGAAGAAGGTAGGGGCAGCTGATGTAGCTCGGGCGGCCAAACTAATCGTCATCTTTTCACCGTGGTTTTGCATAGCTGTGTTGAGCTTTGACTTGGTGTAGATGGTCTTGTCCTTGTAGGATCGGAGCAGTACCGACTCGGCCCTGTTTTGAGCAGTTGTGCAGCAGAACCTATGCGCATTAGTGACGTCCACCAATAAAGTGGATAAGAACTTACATGCGAGCACCTCCTTCGTGCTGGAGTGGCGCACTGCCCTTCAGCTTCTTGTCATTCTCATCGAGACCGTACTTCTCAACAACGTCGTCAATGGCCTTGCTCAAAGCCCCACCATCAAAGCGGCTGTCCGAGAAAACAGCCTTGCTGTTGTTGAGGTACGACGAAAATGGCGCCCAGCTGATATTGTAGCCGTAGAGTCTGGGGCTAAAGATATCCTTGGCGATCTTGTCATACTGAGCGATGGTGTCGTCGACCGACATACGCAGACGGAAGAGCATGATGCCCATAATGCCGCCAGTACTGGTTCCACCAGCAAGCTCAAAGTAGTCTGCTGGGCGGGGAATCTCGGCAAGACCTTTTCGCTTCTGAACTCGGAGCATGAGTTCTCTGAGGACTTCGAGGGCCATGATGCCTCGGACACCGCCTCCGTCGAGGGCGAGGAGTCGGAGGCCCCTAGTGTGTCTTGTGAGGGGAGCGTAGACCATTGTGATTGCTGAAAAGTGGGTGAGTTGGGGAGAGAGGAAGAGAGGCACACGACAGCAGAGATACCATACATATATTCATATGCTACAGGCCTCGAATCCGTATCGATGATAGCTCTAGCCCAAGATGATTGCCCCAAGCCGAAACTATTGCTGCCTCCCGTCAGCTCATTCCTCTTTTAGGGCGCCGTCGATGACAAATATTGGAAATAGGCGAGCTGAAGGGTCTGGGCGCACTCCACCCGCTGCGGGCCGCCAGTAGTTTACGCCTCTAGCGAAGACGAGCCCTGAGGAATTGCGCGGGCACTTTCTTCGCTTGCTGAGTAGATGATGGGCTGAGGTCAATAGCGGAAGTCAATTGGGCTTATCCTTGCCTTTGGTCCATATTCAGCTCAGTTCGGAAGCCAAGAATGCAACCATACAGGGCAGTTCTTATCAGGTCTGGAGTGATTGCTGACGAGACCCTGCTTTACCCACTGGAGCTGAGGCCTCTGTAATGTCCACTGTCTCACCTCGGGCTTTCCCCAGTGAGCCCCAGAACCTGGGCCCTGAAGATGGCAAAGTCGGAACGCGGCCTTTTCACAGTCGCATCTTCCTCTTTCCCCCATATCTTATTACCTCTATGGCGGCATTGAGCAGCCAATGATTTGACAGAACCAAGGCTCTTCTAATTCAGATTTGTGAAATCGCATTCTTCTTTCGTGACCCCAGTTCAGCTCTGACATTCCACGACTACAATAAGCCCGCCACAGTCATCCCAGATTGCTCATCGGCATGAATCCCTTGCATCAGTTGGTAAAATCAGCATGTCACTGGCGTCGTTTAATACATGCCGTCTCCCTCCTCTTACTATGCTTGCAAAGAAGATTACTGTGTCTACAATCGCTGCAATTGGCCGCTCTAGATAAGCACGCATACACAATCTGCGTCGCCAAGCTTTCACATAGATAGGCTCATTTGCAACATCCAGTGCACTAGTCGGACCAATGTTTGTGTTTCAGAGAACAATGTTGCGGGAGGCAGATAATAATAATACTAAGTGCTACAGAGGGTCTTTCTTATCCAATCTCTATTGACATAGCCAGTTCAGAAGCAAGAAAATGTCTCCCAAGATTTATCAAAAGCGCGGCTGCCATCTACAAAGAGCTCAGACCAGAGTATCCTGTGGGCCAAAATTAGGCAGACAAACGTGTTTTCTCGTGATTCAAAAGCAAATTCGGGAGTTTCCGGTTGTGGTTAGTTCGTCACGACCAACATAAAAGTCGAAGGCCGAGCTTCAACTTTTTCTTCTCGTATTCTTCCCGAGTTCACGCTCATCATGTGGGTTCCCGATTACCTCTTATTCTTGATTACATGTCCAGGTAACTTGCCTCAGTGGTTCTATTCCCTTTCCTCAGCATGTCCAAGGCTAATAGCATATATAGCAATGAGTCAGAGTGACATGGACCTCAGGGAGCAGTGCTTCCTCGATATCTCTGTCCATGACGTTCTCTATTACGATGGGGTACCGGCCGTCGAGCCCTGGGCGACCATGTATATCGATGGCCTCCGCGAAAAAAGGTTCGGCGATGCAATTTGGGCGCGCTATCAGATTTTCGGAGATGTGGAAGATGGTATAATCGACGGAAGGCTGACTGTGCTCGAGGCTATTGAAGAGGATGCGGTCGGATATAAGAAGAATGCGCCGGAGGCGTTTGATGAAGCCGTGGCCTTCTACAAGAGTCATTCTAACAGTTCGGACGGACATCCCGAGGTTATCGAGATCATCATGCAGATTGACCGAGAAGATGTCAGCGATAGATATTTCCCAGAGGGCGGTTAGAGGTTCAACTCATCACATCTTATAATTCACAGACAGCCAAGATCTAATGCCAAAGGCGATTTTTTCTCAAACAGGCGCTTGGCATTGCTAGTGCTTATTGTGCCAGCTGACCGCGTTGAATTGAGGGTATAAATACAGGTCCATGGTGCCGGTGATCCGTTCGCTACTGCAAGTTCACGCATAGCGGCATCTCAGCGAAAATGGCAGAGACAGCGCCCATTCCCATCATTTTGTGTGGTAAAACAGAAGGGATAGGCCGAGCAGTCATTGCAGCCTTGAAGCCCGAGATTGAAGGTATTTCCTCATTTTTATTTCCTTAGGGGCCTTGCTGACATCCACAGTTGTTCACTTTGTTCTCGCTGGAGAATCAGGTCAGACCATAATTCCCCCTCTTCTGGCAGGCGAGTCTCCACCTTCTCATCCCGAGAGCAGCACCATCGGGAGCGGGAATTACGCTCAGGTTCCACGTGCCATTCTCCTCGGTGGCGCTTTCGACGAAGGGACGATAGCTACGTTGCGAGACGCGGTCAAGGCGACTTCGGGGGCGCGCAAGATTCCTTGGATTCTTCAAGATTTAACGCTACCGGCACCTCCGGTCGGCACGCCTGAATATTCAGCGCTTATGACCAAGAGGTCTAAGGACGCTCTGTTGAAGTTGGACCAAGATGGAAAGTTAGATGGAAGCCATGATGGGATTGAGTGGTACTAAGACCGGCTGGAAGGCTATTGAGTCTCGGAGCCAGTTGCAAATGGAACCTTTGGGATCAGTGAGTCGTCAGAGCATTTCATGTTAGCACATTAGCACCATGTCACACATGCACCAGCGAGATATCAGTGACAGTCATATTCATTCAATCCAACCGTCTAGAAAGTAATTCGTGCATACAAATGATCAAGCAGTTGACTCTGCTTTAGTTCTTGCCAACACCGTTGTTGATGAGCTTGTTAGGAGTTCCAGATCCAACACTGGAAACAACACCATCGAGAGCAGTCGAGACAATGTAATCACACAGACCCTCAGCCTTCTGGCCCAGACCCAGAAGATAAGCGCCAAGACCAGCAACATGAGGAGAGGCCATGGAAGTACCAGAGATGGTGTTAGTCTTGCCACCAGGCCAGGTGCTCAGAATATCAGTGCCAGGAGCAAGGACATCGACAATCTTGCCCGTGTTAGAGTAATAGGCCAGAGTATCGTTCCTGGTGGTGGCTCCAACGGTGCAAGCACTGGGCTCAGAGGCAGGAGATGAGTCGGATGCGTCGGCACCGTCGTTTCCAGCAGCGACAGCGAGGAACAGACCGGCATCGACAATGCTCTTGGCTGCGTTGTTGACAGCACTAGAGAACTGTCCACCAAGAGACATGTTGACGACGACACCCTTGGGGCAGCTGGCATCGGCGGCATGGCCAGCGACAAAGTCCATACCAGCAATGACACCAGAGCTAGACTTGTTAGCATGTGTAAGATGTTTAGATTTGGGGTACTCACTTGGTGCCCTCGCCATTGTCGTCGAGGACCTTGACAGCAAAGAGGCTGGTCTTCTTGGCGACTCCGTAGGTAGTAGAGCCAATGGTTCCAGCAACGTGGGTTCCGTGACCCTGGCCATCGTTGTCGCTGCCGCCGGCAAAGTTCTTCAAGAACTTGGCGCGTCCATCAAAGTCCTAGCTCATGTTAGCCACGTCCAATCTTCAGGGCCACAAAACTCACGGGGTGGTCGACATCAATGCCGGTATCGACAACGTAGGCGCAAGTACCCTCGCCAGCGGTGTCGTCGTAGGTGTAAGTCTTGCCGCCAGCCTTGTCGCTGGAGATGCGGGCAAGACCCCAAGGAGCATTGTCCTGCTCAGTAGTAGCCTTGATGGTGATGACAGCATCCTGCTCAATATACTCGACCTATTCTTATTAGCTTCATTCATCAACTCCTCCCACCGTCACTCACATTAGGATCGTGCTTGAGCTTCTCAATCTCATCCTCCTTCAGACTAGCAGCAAAGCCATTGAAGCTCTTGGAGTAGGTGTAGTCGGCATCAGCCTCGATGGAAGAAACAGCCGAAGAGACAGAAGTAGCGCGGACGCCACTCTTCATCTTGACAATGTACTTGCCATCAACAAGCTGAACGCCACGTGGGCGGAGAACGGGAGCAGGCTCAGCCCGCTTGGAGGGGGCGGCAAAGGCCAGGGGCAAAAGAGCGAGAAGAGTTGCGGTGCGCATATTGATAGTGAGCGTCAAGCTACAAAGTAAATAATGATTGAAAGAGTGTTGGTAGAGAGTGCTGAGCGAATGTTGCTGTGAGTCTGAGAGCCAAGTTGCTTGATGATGGAAGTTTGAGAGAAGAGGTCCATCTATTTATCTCTTCGATTCCCCTTTAACAACCCCCATGTCTTGGCTCCAACTTGAAGCTCTTGGATCTTTTCGGCACGTCAACCTATGGTGTCTAACATGTGCTCGCCGATCGCGCATGTCTTAGATCCCTTATCCCGGCATCTCAATCGAGACCTTCCTAAATCGAGCGCCGATCTCAAACGACGCCTCCTTCAACAGGTATAGCATAACATGTTAATGCAAGTGATGCAGCCAACAAGAGTTCCATACTCAAATTCTCGGCAGATTCCCTTTGCCATTTGCCACGAAAATCAGGAACGCGTTAAATATGAAGGAGCGCATAATGGTCGAGCCGAGCTGTTTGACGTGTTGCTTTGTCTTGTGAGTGGTGAGTTGATTTGGCGCCAGGCAGTGGGGTTGAATTAGCAGCTTCAAAGATGAACCAATCATATAGCCGAAACGCCTCTAGCAGGGTCAAAGGTGTTGAAACGATGTTGGCCAAGGTTGTCGACCAATCACGGAGATTTCTGACGATCTTTTTCCCGACAAGGGAGTTGGATTCCCCTGAACAAAAGTGCGAGGAATTTGCGATAGCTTCATTCAAAAGGTCCGAGATCAAACCAGATTCTAGAAAGCTGCCGAGACCGGTGGATATGAAACACCAAGTTTGGCAGGTGTTGTGGCGTTCAAAAGTGCCAATCACAAGCACATGTTGTTGTTTGAGGCCATCCGAGGGTATGAAACAGAGGTTTGATGGGAAGTGACAGTGGGGGACATTTAGTATGTATCGCGTGATTGCAGATCGATGCACCTGAGTGTTTTCACACTCTTCTTATCGAAACGAGATGAAGGGGTTTGGTTGCAAAAGTTCGCGAAATGGCAGAGGCATTTCTAAGAGTGGAAGTTCGTGATCAGGTGTTAGGTCTCAAGATGCAGCAGAAGGACTGATCGATCCATTAAGAGATCAAAAGTTCCGAGATAGAGACCCATCAGTAGGTAGTTATCAGGAGAGTTCCTAAGAGGGAGCTGGTGATAATCAGGAGTGAGAATGCGACAGGGCTCCCTACCCTGTAGAAGAGCAATGATGAGGAAGATTGGAGTTTGTTTCTTGTTCCAAGTATTAAGAAACTTCTCCTGGCTTGGATCATGAGGTACATTATTCCTTGCTGGCTTTTATCTGTCGGTTCTGGTGCTGAGTTGTGTGTTGGAAAGGGGGGATTGTTTTGTGATGTATTTGGAGTAATAGCCATGCAACAGCAACACTGACCGGAACCTTGCCACACGTAAAATCTGAATTTTAAGTGGAAAAGTGTCTTCAGAATCACTCTTGCCGAAAGAAATTTAAGCAATCGTTAATTGGTATTGTGGCGCATCTGCAAAAGAGGGTAATCTGTTCTTTATTATAGATGCAGCCCGGCCCTCGATGGGTTTACTGAGCCCGAAGATCGCAAAAGAGGGCATCAGCTAGTAGGTATCTAAAGAACATGATCAACGAAACATGTTAGTCTAGTGGATGAATTGCATGGATGACAGGCGCCAGATATGGGCAGGCAAAGCTGCTTGCGTGCATTAAGCAACTCATTCAAAGCTCAGCAGTGGTAATGTATGCAGGCAGCCGAGGTGTTGTCGAGGGCGAGGCATCTCTTCATACGTACACAGCGCTCACAGATACTGCCCCCTTGTCCGTTCAAACATCAACTATACTACTTACTTAATTACTTCTAGTCGTATTTTTCATTCTATCTGTAGTTGACATGTTCCACCGGCCAGTCCCCAAGATGCGCCTCTTTCTCCTCCGTAGGTATGGTAAGAAAGAGATCTAATATCAGTCTTTGGGGGCCTTGTTGTGCCATAACCGAGCAGCCTAAAATAACAATATGAAATGCTGCACTTGTACACGAAATCCTGAACTGATGAGCACAGCATCTCGCTCTCGCTTGGGAACCGAGGAGCCTCAGCCTTGACTGCTAATAATAGCCACACACCACGCGGCTTTATCCGAAACTAGTCTCTCGACTTTTCCTTTGCTGCGCGCCCACTCACAACACCACCAGCCAAAAAGAACGCGCAGACCAAGGTACCGAGCACCTTGTCCCTCAATATGAGTATCATAAATCCCCAATTGATCGGGAATATCTGTCACTCAAGCACAACAAATTGTCGTCACTTCGGGGCTTGGGTTGATTATAGATGCTGATGTCATCCGTCAGCCGCAGCTGAGACGTGCAGTGTGAAATCGCTTTAGCGGGGGAGGATGGCTGCCTAGATTAGATATTTGCTGACTCGACTCCCCACTATCTTGATCGCGACTTTTATCCCCCTCGCGAAATAGCCTCATCAACGGCCATGTTCAGGAACCAACGGACAGACACGCAATATGTTTCTATTGCGCTATCTGATGCCTCGACATCCAAGTTGGTCACCGACCGGAACTCTCAGTTTGATGGTTTGCCGCCGCCGCCGCCTTCCATCGCCGAGTCAAGGTGGGGAATCGGCTGGAGAACCTTGACTTCAGTCATCTTCTTCTATGTCTTGGGTACGCCACTCGTTAATCCACGTGCTCACAATCGTTAACGATATAGCACTCCTCATCGCTATTGCACATTTGGTCCTATATCTCAAGTTGGATGGTCGCCTTACCCATGGAGACGGCCTCCCTTCCCAAACCTACATTGCATCGGTTTCAACGTTTTTTGTCAACGCCTTTGGAGCTAGTCTAGTGGTTGCTCTAGGCTTTGCCTTTACGCAATGTCTATGGCGTCTGTATCGCACTCAGCCCATGACTGTCAGGAACGTCGAAACCCTTTACTGCCTCCGATGGAGTCCCTCGCTTCTTCTGGATTGGAAGGCTTGGGCCGCGGCACCCTTCATGTGCCTGCTGGCCTCAACCATGCTCTTCCTAGCCATCGCTAGGATCTTCCCTCCCGGTGCTCTCACTGTTGTGCCAAGAGACCTGGTAAACAGCACTAATCGAGCTGTCCCTACCTTCAAGTCAGACTTTGTGGGCAACACCTCCCGTGTCGATTCGGCAGCACATGCTCTCGGTTCCTATACTGTCACCACTTCAATATGGAGATACGTTGCTCCGCACTCTATTTTGAGAAGGATTGCTTATGCCTCCCTATCCACTGGTGAAGTCTTGCCGTCTCAGTCTCCCTGCGGACCAAACTGCACCTACCATCTGGTCTTTGAGGGTCCCTATTTTAAATGCGAAAACTATACCAATATAATCTCGGAGGCGAACTATGCGTCTTTCGAAGGATATCCTATATACAAGTACTTCTCGGCTGGCTACGTTCCCGACACCAGAGCCAATCCACCACCCCGGCTTGTGAGCGACAATGAAAAGAACCCCGAAAAATCAGTTGTCGCCTTTCCCGACTTTACC